GAAAGCAAAATGAGAATTTCAAGTACTTTCTTCAGAGCATTCTGGACTCTTTCCCAGATGGATTAGTTCGTATAACTAATTCATTTTAAGTGTTCTCCCAACTTTAAGTGATGCCCTGGCTCATTTTGTGTTTATGGACATGAAGTGAGATGTAGGGGTGGCAAATTCCAGAAGAGGTGGCTTTATTTTCTGTAGCACTGTAATGGGAGTAATGCCTGCAGGCATCTGCAGGAACTGGCAGTTAGTTCTAAGAATCTTTTTCCTCAGTTTTCTTATCTTTTTGCTTGGAAACTTTGCATCAGTGTTACTACACTCATTGTCTAACTCTCTGAAGATCATCTGGTCTTTTTGTTCTTTTCCGCTGTGTTTTGGAGCAGATAAAGAGCTGAAGGTTTTTGTCAGATTTCTTAATTTGCTTATAAACAAGCCTTTAGATAAAGGAAATGTATTGTTGGTTCCACCACAAAGTGTATTAATATTTAGTTGAGCCTATAAATGGCAACCCAGCATCAGTGTGGGATGAGCATTTCCTATGAAATAGATGCTTTTCTGTACTACTTTTTGCAGCTGGGAATAATCAGTATACAGTTTTAGTCTTTTCATCTGCTTTGTATTCCTGTCCTCAGTACAGACTCTTATTTTGAAGCTGTATGCTTGTACAATTTAAGGAATCTTCTAAAAGCTATTTATGACACTGCTGGTGCTCTGATAACAAATATGTAACAGACCTAGGAATGATGCTTCACAGTTGTTTTTCTTATGGGAAATAGTCCTGTCCAGATTTGATCTCTATCAACTTTGATGACAAATGTTTGCTGCTTACATCTATTCCTGCTATAATGACTTCAGCAGTATGACATAAATGATTTGTAGTTTTTCCTGTCATACTTTCTGGGGAAATGTGGGTAAGTGGCAGCTATTAAGAGAATATCCACAACTATATGTAAAAGGTCTTGAAATGTATGATGAAAATATTTTTCTCTATTTACTTGTAGAAACAATTTCACACTTGAAATTAACTTTTCTTTAATAGATATCTGAGATGCTGTTATTTTACTGCAGCATTCTTTTCTACTGGTGCCCTAGTTTTATGAAGCTTAGATGTAGTCATGTGAATATACTCTTGGATTTTCATGCAATATTGTTGCTAAGGAAACATCATCTTTAATATTGTATCCTTGTCTGCGGCTTGTCTGTATTAATCAATGCTTGCTAATGCCCAGCATGAAACAAGAGAAGAGGAAAAAATCTTGATTTGTTTTATAATAAAGTTGTTGGGGATTATTCTCCTTCAAGATCCTTTGCCTCTACAAACCTCATGCACACTGAAGGGTCACAGCTATGTCTTTGCTGTCATCCCAGACAGGCATAGTATCAAGATTCTATACGTTTCTTCAAGACTCTGTCATTAATAATTAACACTTTGATCTAATGTTAGTATTATACAATGTATGGATCTGCTAAAAACGGTGGGGAGTGCTGAGGTGAGAAATGACCTTTTGTTTAAACTGTAAAAGAGGAGCTTGAGTGCATTGATGTGTATCTTCACTATACTTTTAAAACTGTAATACTGTACTTCAGTGTGCTTTGAATATCTATCTAGAAAATGATCTAGAAAATATCTCTGACGTCAGTCAGATATATCAGTGGAACTCTATTCTGTTGTAGCAGGCATCACTGTTCTCAACAGATCTGGCTATTTGGATGTATAACAACAGTGACAGCCACATTTTGGATTTTCTACTTCTTAGCTCTTCTTGGATGTATCAAATGTTAAAATGAATTTCAAAATTTATTTGAGTAAGCAGTTTGTTAGCCTGATTCCTGCTTTATTTCATGATTGTATTTGACTTTTTAACATTCTCCTTAGGATAGTTTGATTGAATACTGTGTTGACACTAATGTCTGTTCTGGAAAATCCAAGTCAGAAAGGCCAGAGATAAGCAGGAAGGCCTGAATAACTTACTTTGTTCAGAATATCTGTTTCTTTTTTTGGACAAGCAGTGATATTCATCAGCTTAGTCATCCCTGTATGAAAACGGAAGATATCAGGCAGACTTTTACAGTTTATCTGTGTAGGCAAGATGCAAGTCGCAGTTTAACCTGGAGAGGTTATCTCAGCTTTTGTTATCAAGATGGTAAAAGGAATGTGACTTCTTTCCTTTTGATTGCAGAGCTTCTCATTTGCACTAAGCATTCTCCTACACCTCTGAGGGAGAGAAGAGAAACAAAAAAATCCCCAAGAAAATCCTTTGTGAGAAGTCAAGGTACTGAAGTCTGTTGAACCTACACCCGCAGCTTTGGCAGCTGTCTTATAAGAGCCAAACCCATGAAGTTTTCTGCCTTTTCTTGAGGGCTGTCTGATGAATACAAAACAACTACTTCAGTAGCAGGAGTGGTGTAATTGGGCACCTCTGTAGAGGTGTCTTGGAGATCTCCACTGGGGATATCCACAGAGAACTTGCTCATTGCTTTTTCCTGTTAACTACATCATCTCCATGAGTGAAATAGTCATTAGGTAGCAGAGGTTTATATTTATGCCTTACCTGTTCTACCTATATTTTTTCTTTCTGGAGTAATAAGTTGTAAACAATTTGTTGATTAGCAATTTTTAATATTAATTCTTAATTAATTATTAATTCTTAATAATGAATGTTCCTGAATTTGTTAATTACATCAATGCAATTCATTGCGAGGCTATGCCAAGGTATGATATATTTGGTATTTATTGCTATGTCTGCAAGGATTGTTCAATCACTCATAATCCAAAAAAAGAAATGGTAAGGACCTTGAGATCTCTTTAAACTCAGGTCTGATCTCTCTGCTTTGATCAGAACTCTGAATTTCAGATCCAGAACTCTACATAGGGCTGTTTGTGCATGTGTGTCTGTACTCAGAGCGACTCTTGAGTGTTTTTTGAACAAAGAGGTTCTATCAAAATTGCAGTTGTGGAATGGGGACCCCAGTCTGATCATCCCTTCTAGTATTTGTGTTCCAGTGATTCACTTGCATGATGTGTTAATAGCAGTGCTAAGTATAGGGTTGAAAAGTCCTGACGTCAGGTTTCATGAATCAGTCATAAGACTACTGTATTTTTATTCTCTTAGTTTATCTCTTTTTTTTCTTAGTTAGTCTTCACTTCTATCCCCTCTCAAATTTCTTTATTGTCCATCTGGTCTTATTCTCCCCCTCTTCGTGGTGTCTTTGGAAAAATTAGATCATTTCATATGCAACATTTTCTCGCCCTCCAGATGCTCTTTCTATTTCCCCACATATGCACCATCTGCCTGAGTGTGTTCTGGGAGTTGTGCAGGTGTTGATCAGGATTAGGTGGCAGAACTGAAGTGAAATGTGATAAGTTTTGCTTGCCCGTTCCTTTCTGCATTGCTTTTTAATTATGAAGTTACTTTACTCAAATAAAGAAGGAAGCAAAGAGGAGTAGCTGTGTACTAGAAGAGAAGCAAATTGAGAAATGTTGGTTCCCTGATCCTAGTACTGAGGATAATGCAGAATAGCTAGTAGGAAGAAATGTTTCAGAGTCTACAGTCTTTCCACCTTTTGTGGGAACTCTGAAGATTGAAGGGTTCCTGTCTCAGTGTTGTGCTTCTGGAATTTTTTGAGCAGTGGCAACTATCCGGAATGCTATATTAAAATAGAAAAAATACAAAAGAATAGTGCGTGGGGCAGCGTGACCTCATGAATATTAAGAGGCTTCTAACACTGTTGTCTCTTGGTCTGTTTATGCACAGGAAATGTACATGTCTTCAGAATTCAGCCTTCTGATCATTTCCTTATAAACTCTATCCTGGCTATTTCTGATACATATATAGGCTTCCCTTGCCTCCACCCTTTGAACTTCATTTATCAAAATAAAACTTCAGATGTAAGAGCAACTTGAGCAATGTGCTTAACCTTTCTCTTTTACATGTAATTTTGAGAAAATGAAATCATGTGTTTTGAGTGATTCTCTCTAGTGGTCTCCAAGAAATGCTCTCTGATTAGTCAGTAGGGGGAGGAAATATTTTTAACCAATTTAAATAGCTGACTTTTGACAGTATATCTTCCTGACTAATGTAGGATATTTTTCAGCTCACTTTGGCCTGCTCTGTCCAGACTGTGTAGAATCTCATCTAGTAGTGCAGATGATTTTCTATTGAAGTATGTTCTTACTTTTAAAAAATGAAATATAAATCAACAGATGTCACATCCTCCCCTGCAGCCTGCTTTCATAAGCAAAACGCAAAACAATCTTGCTGACTGTCATGCTTTCATGATCCCTCATTTGACAACACAGTTATGAGGATTCTGTGTAGACTTTGGAAGATTCTGAACTTTAAACAAATTCTCTGCACTGTTGGCAATATGAAAAGTTAACAGTTATTCAAAATGAGCTATTCCCAACTGTTCTGTTTCAGTTTAGTCACCTGAAGTTTATTCTGGTCATAACATCTAGTTTCAGATTTGACTTTGGTGTACAATCATTTGAGAAATATCTTAAGAATTCTATTCAATCTTCTCCTCTTAAAAAAATAAAAATAAAAAAATCGAAGAGTATGCAGAATTGAATAGTTCTAGGTATGCATATTTCTCCATTGATGATAGATGTGTTGACAGAGTAATGCTAACTTTTTTGTCTTTTCCTTTGTGTTTTCAATTATTAAGAAAGGTGGTGAAAGGGAAAAGAGGTACTTTTTGTATATGAAAATCTGACTGAATTTAATAACGTGAAAATTTTAGAGCAGAAGATTAGTAACTTCTGCAATTAGTTTAATTGGAGAAATCCTTGAAGGATCAAATTGAAAAAAGGTGGTGCCATGGACTTTAATAAAGTCCAATAAATTAACTAATAAATTGTGGCATCTGGAACAAAATTATTTAGTATCTGTTATTACTAATGGAAAAATATTGTGAAATCATTTTTATGGAAAAATATTAATGCAACCAACTAGGCAAATGTAGAAATTTTATGCAGAAATATTTTTTATTTTTTTTATTGGCAGCCTTGCTTTGCATCCTGAACGTGTGTTGGTGGCAACAGGTCAAGTTGGAAAGGAACCATATATCTGCGTATGGGACTCGTACACTGTGCAAACTGTATCTGTTCTGAAGGACGTTCACACGCATGGTATAGCTTGCTTGGCTTTTGATTTAGATGGTCAGGTATGTAATTTTTGTTTTTTTTCCAAACACTCTAAGAAACTGCATCTATGAGAGCTCTTTTGTTGTTGGAGAGACCAATGCCTATCCTTATTAAGATGACAACAGGTGGTGCTCTACTGAACATAGAGGGAAACCTAGTTGTAATTTTTTTTCTATAAAAACATATTGAAATTAGTATAGGGAGGCTTTGAGTTTTTTTCAGAGTGATCTACAGGTTTTATCATTTTTATTTCTCACTATTTACAGCTTTCTAGATCAGTGTCGTTCTACAACAATGTTTCTGGTTGACATTGATGTCTTTTCTCTTTGTTATTCTTGTCACTGTGAAGTTGTCACTTTCTAACTTGAGCATTGTTAATAATTTGAGATCAAAAGTTTAGTACTAGATTGTTTTGTTGATGTTCCCTAACCCTTTCTTAGAATGCAATCATGTATTCCCTATGTACATAGGGGAAATTTGAATGTAGATCTGTGATCTGCTCTGGGTGCACTGAAAACTGATTTTTGTGTTTAAAGCCATAAATTGTCAGAATTTAGACTGTGCTTTTCTCAGTGTTTCCATATGATCACCTTTTTTCTGGCATTTGGAAGCTGGTTAGAGCTCTTTTTGAGATCTGCATCTCCAGAATTGTCTCCCTGTGGAAACATTTCCATATGAAAAATAAGTTTGTTTACATCTTAACTGTCCTTTTAAATCTAGAATTGTCAGAGAGCAGTTCTCTGTGATGAGGTTCTTCTAGATACTCCTCACAAGTAGCATTTACTGTTGATAGCAAGTTTAATTATTTTATATATTGGACCCTGTATGATATTTTGATTTAGTGGAATGATACACAGAAAGGTACTGAAATCACAACATAAGCATTTGTAGCAATTGTAATATACTGATGAATCTCATTTAAAACATTCAATTTCTGTAGTGTAGAGATAAGTTCAGTTTTCTCTACAATGAATTCTTCTGCAAGATCACAAGTATTTTGATTCTCATCTGTGCTCTCCATTGTGGAGGAGTACTGGCTGGTAGCAAGATTTTCTAGAACTGGAAGCAACATTTGATCACTCTTTTTGAAAAATAAAACTATCAGCCAATGTAGGACAATCATCAGATTTTGCAAGGGATTGATGAATATCAATTACAGAGCTAATTTACTTTCATACTTCTTGTGCAGTTGGGTTGGAATTGACCTTTATAGAAGGATAGCTGGAACTGAAACTGATGTTCCTTTCAAAAACATTTTTAAAGATAGAATTGAAAAGATGGACTTCAGAGTATCTGAAAAATTGAAGTTTGCATTAATAACTAAGAAGCTTGAAGATCACTTGTATTTAACGTTTTCTTTTCTTTCTTTTTATTCCCATGATTTTGGAGCCTTACTGATACTAAAGAAATAATGTTATTGGAAATAGCTTTCTGTTTTTGTAAAAATTTTTCTTACCTTTGTTGTTTGTTTTTGCTTGTTACAAACTCAATTTTATGATCTGCATAAAAAAATGGAAATTAAATTTCTTTTGAGTGTAAGTATTTGCTTGAGAAAAACTTGTCCAGAAGATTTGCTAAGATTTTATATTTTTATCAAGATGTCACAGTACCTGAATTGTACCAGATTACCAATTGTACCACAGTACCAGAACTGAAGAAAAAAGATTTCAGTTCCTTTAAAAATAAAAACAATAAACGGAATCACCAAGGTTCATTTTGTCTCGTCTTCAGTACTGTTACAAACTCTCAACAAAAAGATTTTAGAGAAAAAAGTAACTTGACTAATAAGTGTAGTAGAATTGGGCTGTAAACTAATATGGTCAGTGATGTGTGTCAAGAGATCTGTGCAAAGTGTTCTTAGAGCTGAAGATGATCCAGGCTGCAAGGTGTAGTTCTTCAGCTTTTATTTTTCTATAATTTCTTGGAAAAGTAACTGATCAGACAAAGCTTTTGAATGAGATGGTATATCTTTAATTTTTTTCTGTGTCAAAGTGAAGATATTGTTTCTTATTCAACTTAGTGGTGACTCTAGCCTTAATTAATGCACTGAGTTATCTTTACTTATTTATTTTGGTTACTTTTAGCGGTTGGTCTCAGTTGGTTTGGATTCAAAAAACACAGTTTGTGTTTGGGACTGGAGAAAAGGAAAATTGTTATCAATGGCTCCTGGTCATACAGACAGAGTAAGTACAGCTCAATAATTTGAGTGTCAATGAAAGTACATGAAGATTGGATTTGGATTAAGATGTTGGACTAGATTATCTCAGAGGTCTTTTCCAACCGTTATTCTGTGTATAACAAATAAATGTAAATAAAATATGTAGCTTATTTATTTTGTGAATACTTTGTTGAGACTGTGAGTGTGCATGGGAAGTGCGAAAGTAAGGCACTTTTTAGACACAAATCCCAATATGAAAAGTCAAACTGAAGGTAATCTCTTAGATTTTTCTAGTCTCTTAGATTTTCATAAATTAATCTTTTTGTTGTTTCTTTTCATGGGGGGGGGAAATAGAAAATAGAAAAAACGTGCAACTTCAGTGTTGAATGAAGAGATGAAGAAGTCATTCTATTTAAAGCATTTTAGATTATCTGTTGATTTGGTACAAGGTTTTTACTGTTTTCACTGTCCTGTTCTAAAAAGACCATGTCTGCTGACATTCTTGTGGTCTGCTGCTTTATTATTTTTATTTTTAATGCAGATATTTGATATTTCTTGGGATTTGTACCAGCCAAACAAACTCGTCAGCTGTGGTGTAAAACACATCAAGGTAATGAAATGAATCTTACTTCATGAAATACTTATACTTTGTAAAATAAGGCAAAAATGGAATCTAACAGCAGTATATATCTAAGAGGAATCTACTGCTCAGGGATTGCTATCATGTATCGCACATGACTACACTAGACATTTTACAAAACATACAGTGGAAAACTGACCATTCCTGCTCAAAAGAGTTCATGGTCAGGCAGACAAAAAAATAGAATAAAAGATAAAAGTAGAGTATAAGATTTGTCATTACGTGATGATTGTGTTGTAATTTAGAATTTAGGTCCTCTAAAATACTGTTTGAAATCCCAAGCAGTGTAAGGCAAAGAACACATGCGTACAGTGAGTCCAGGTACTCAAATTTCCGATTTAAACAATTAATGAATTGTTACACGGCAGAGCTGAAACATGTTTAACAGTCATTTCTCAGACTTTCAGAAAATGTGAAAATACAGTGGAAAGAGAGAGGAAAAATTCTTTATCCTTCTTTTTATTCTTTTTTCTCTGTAAAAGTAGCTGTTGCTACTTTTGTTGTTTTCAATGCTCTTTGCCTGGTAACAGGATTTGTAAATTGGCGTTCTGTATATTTTTATTTGATGTGTGTTCCAATTGTCATGCAGGAAAAAAGCTTCTTTTCCATACTTGTGTCAGTAAGATTATGAATGCTTGACTGTCATCAGATACATTTCCTAAAGAAAGTCAGTCTCTTATAGCATGCACTGATGACTGTGTTACCACATAACAGCAGTAGATGGCAGCTTCAAAGTTCTGCATTGCTCTTAACTGTAGGTTCCTATGGTGAGAACGAAAATAATGTTGATTTTCTTATTTTTATACCATGAAATTGAGATTAATATATATTAATGGCTGGCTAGATTGCATATACCTTTGAGCATAGTGTTTATTAAATCAATCAAGTCTCCATGAACTGAATTAATAATTACTTTTTTTTCTGTTTCAAGATCTAAAAGCAACACTATGATGATAGTAAGTTAGTATTTGCCAGCTGAGAGTTAGTATATTTAAAGGGGCTTTGTCATGTCAAAATCCATCCATTTAGATAAGAAAAGCTCTTTTTTGCAGATGGGAGGGAGAGGTGTATTTTGAAAATAATTGATAGTACTTCTTTAAATAAAAATCTGAGCCCTAATGATTTAGAGGCATTTGGATCAGGAAAGAGATTTTTACTGATGATGTCTGTTTTTCTTAAATTGTTCCTTCTTTGTGTTATTTTTTTATATCTGTAATTATTTATTCTTCATCTTCATTATTCCGTCATCACCTCACAAAATCAAGTTAAATAGACAATTTCAAATAAATTGCTACTAAGGAATTACTAAGGAATTATTAAGGAATTTTTTTTAATATGTTACCTTCCTATTTATTTAATTTGTGCAGTTACATCTAAGACAACAACATAAGCATTGGCCCTGTTTGCTTTGGTTAAAGTTAAGCAATGAAAAGTAGGAAAAGTACATAGGCAAATGTATGTAATGAGGAGGTAAAGTACTTCTCTCTCAAATGAACATGTTAAAGTATAGGAGATTAGCAAACATCCGTCTCTCTGAATGGCTTTGTCTTGCAGTTCTGGAGCTTGTGTGGCAATTCACTGACACCAAAACGTGGTGTTTTTGGCAAAACTGGTGATCTTCAAACTATATTGTGCCTAGCTTGTGCAAGAGATGAAGTGACGTATTCCGGTGCATTGAATGGTGATATTTATGTATGGAAAGGAATCAACCTTGTAAGAACAATACAGGGAGCACATGCTGTAAGTATACCTCTTCTAAATTAACGTAAAATGCTAAATAGATTTCCAGAGAGCCAAAAAGGGCAGTGCAAGATCACCTGGTCTGTGTTCTTAAACAATTCCAGTGATAAAGACTGATAAAGACTACACTCCTATGGTAAGGCAGTGGGCATTGAAAAAAAGAAACAAGTACCCAGAGAGGTTGTGGATTCTCCATATGCATCTCACTCCCTTGGAGATAATTTAAACACAACTGGACAAAGCCGTGGGCACTTGCTGTTAGCTAACTCTCCTTTGAGCACGGCTAGGTGGTCTCCAGAGTTTCTGTCCAACGTTAGCTGTGCTGTCATTCTGTGAATTGAGTCCTACTGGCTAATTATCTGTTAGCTCTCTAGAGTCCATTGATTCTATGGACTGCATAAGCCTGTATGCTTACCTAGTTTGTTGGCACATATGCTTATCGTGCAATTGAAGTATTAAAATCATTCTTTATAATTTGGTTAGGTAGAATAGAGGGATCAAAAATGGTGAATGTTATATATGTGAGAGAGGTTGCTGTCAATTAATAATGAGTTGATAATGTGTTCACTGATGGCTGAGAAATGTACCGTAGGGAATGGGTTGCACCTTATTGAACTGACTTTTAGGAGAGATTGGACTACTTAGTCAGACAGCTGTATAATATGATGGTTTATGTGTTTATGAATAAAAGTGTAATTATGAAGAATTTAAGTGTGGGAAACATGTAATGACCCAACTGATGAATACAGGATTGTTAGAGCTTGTTGCTCTGTTACACTGCATCCATTTTTTGTTGAACACAAGATCAAATTTGAAATGCTGTTCTCTTTATCTTCATTAGAGTAAGTGGACTGAGCTCAAGTGACCTTGGAGTAGGTCTTATCTAACTTTCTATTTTTGTCTGTGTCCTTTAGGCTCATTGGAGTTGTAGTTTGCCATACTGAAAATTAAGTAGGTTCACTCGTCTGTGGTTTTGGAATTCATTTTTACAGGATATTACAGTCAGTAAAAATCACACCAATACAAGAAAAAAATATTTTCCAGAAATTTACTTTCCAACAAAATGAAATATTATTTTTCAATAAAATATTAGTTAAAAGGATAAGATTGTCAGATTATAGTAAGTGCAAAATATAAAAGCTTGGAATAAGAGTGCTTCTTCAGTCATACTAAACTATAATCATTATATACAGTTATTTTGTACTTGATTTTATAAGTCATGTCCTACTTGTCCATTCTATTAGAAGAGAATGCATGTGTAAATGGTATCATTTGTTGTGGGTGTATATTGTTAAAAGCACAGTTTGAGCATAGTAAGGAATCAGTATAAATTTGCATTCAGAGAGCTAGTGTTGGAATTGTCATCCCTGCATGCCTGTTTATCATGACTTATCATTACTTCTCACTGGGCTTGAATTAGACTGAAAATTTATTCAAAGAAAGTGTGTCATTATTTACTTGAATATCATGTATTCTGTGTTACAAGAAAAAGGGTAGGTATCTCAGCTACAGAAGAATACAGAAGAATTTCTAAAGCACATTAGTGATGTGGAGACACTGTCCATCTGGCTGGCAGTGGTCTGTATTAATATAGCAAACAAGTATTTCTCAAAGTTTGACTGCTTTTGTTACATTTAGCTTAGTTCAAAAGTTATTTGAACAGCAGTTCAGTGTGTTTTAGTATGGGTAACAGAGGAAATAAAGAACAACTTTAGCACTAGCAAGCAAAATTGAGTTCACTCCTAAGCCAGATTATCCATTTTGTGTTACAGCATTACTAAGAACTATAGACAGAGGAAAGAAGAGTTTCTGGCAGATTCCTATCTGAGTTTGATGAGGAATCAAAAAGGTTAAACCAAATAGCATGTTTGGATGACTGGAAAATTTGTTGGAAAAGGACTGCAGAGTTCACTGAACATAGAAGTAGGAGTGGAAGGTAGGAAAAGATGAAAATGAGCAGAGGGGAAGAGTACAGGCGTAGAATGTATGTTTAGGAAACATTGGATCACAGTGGGAATTTGTGGAACTATAGTTTTGCCAATCACTTATTAATAATAAAACCAATGGAGAAAGTCTCAAAAAGGAGAAAGGAAGCAAGGTGGCATGAAAATATATGAAAATTTATTGGCATTGTTGTGGTGTTACAGGCATGCAGCGCGTCTGATTCTGGAATGTTAACCATGTATACTGTTTAAAAAAATAATCTTTTATCCAATGTTACATGGCTGTGCCAGTGCAAACAACAGACTATAGAATTTGCTATTTATTTTATTCACTTTACAGGTTCTAAATTCAAAGTAGCCTGTGATTATTAAGTACCTGAAACAGACACAAGGTTTTACTCATGCATTAAAAGAAAATATGCTTGTTTAAAAACACTGAATGCTTTAAAGATTGTTATATGCTATGTTTTGCCTTGAATTGCAAATGTACATAAGATGCTTTCTCAGCAGCTGAATAATTTATTTTGAGATAGTCTTTCAGAGGTACACATTAAAGTTGTGTGGATTGATGTCAGAAACTGAGGTTAAATAACAGACTTGAGGTTAAATAACAGGCACCCTGTTAGAACTATTGCACGCCTATGTCAGTTGGTTGAACACTAATTAAATATAGATGGAAACAATATAATGAACTTAAATGAATGGTTTTAAGCCAGTATCATTTACCAACACATTAAGTCATGCAGAAGTTTTTCCCTATTGTTCAGCCTTGTTGTGAATTTGAAAAGCGATAGTCCACTTATAGGCAGTGAAAGACATATATACAATTCATTTTATTTTTTATAGTAATATGCCCATTTTTGAACTATTTTATGGGTAATCTGTGACATAAGAAGATTACATTTCAGAATAGTTGCTCTCCACTTACAACATATTGACATCAACTTTAAATATTTACAATACAACCATTTACTGCGCTGCATACACGGGAAAGTCTTAGAATAAATGCCCATTATAGACATTGCTTTATATGTTAGCATATGTATCCTGAACTACATTTGGGATTAAAAAGAAAGTGCTGGATTGTTTACCATACTGGCAAAATTTTTCTGTTCTCCATATTGTTCAGAAGAAGTAAATTGCTTTCTGAGCATACTTGAAGTTTCCATGTGATTGCTTGTTCTAATTGCCTGTTTTCCATGTGAATGCTTGGTCCTAATTACAGCTAGCTACAGTCACATGTTTCAGGAATTGCATAGTTAGAAAATTCACTGCACTAGTTTTACTAGTAGACTGCATTTGGACAAATTAGCAATTGATTTCTGTCCACATGAGACAAGACAGGTCCGGAAGTACCAAGCAACAAGAGGCTACTTCACTATTTTAAATTTCATGGATAGAAGCTCTAGGAAAATATACAGTATAGGCCATCTTTGTTAAATTCTTGTACTTCTCTGTTTTTTCAAGTTCTGGTCTGTCTGGGGTATCTTTATTTGCTCTCATTTAATTCTCTTTTCCAGTTTAAGGGAACACAGATGTGATACCAGCTGGTTATGCTGAAACAATAGGAAATATTTTGCATTTTGAGAGAACTGCTGATTAATTTGAGTTCTTTCCAAAATTTTCCCATTCATTAAGAAGCATAATGAAAAATCCATAGCAGAAAAAGATGATCTGTATGGCAAATTTACTAACTTTTAAGATGGGATAATTTGATCTACATATTTTGTTTTGAGTCAGGAGCACAATCAGTGTTTCTTGCTCGTATTATTCACTTGGAACAAACAAAGTCAGTTTGCCTCTCATTACTGATGAAAGACCACTGACCATCAAAAACTAAATTATGTTCATAACAACTACAGATTGAGGGATCAAGAACTAAATTATGTTCATAACAATTACAAACTGAAGAATTGAGAGAATCTTGAAGATTTCAAAGATGTTTTGAATTAGCAAACTTTACTTTTCCTGAAAGGAAAGATTTAGTGAAAGCACAATGACTGGCCAAGCTCTGAGAATAATCTATCTTTTCCCACTTAAATGTGGGCCTAAAAATTAAATGAAGAGTAGCTAAGCTCAGCTTCCTCCATCAGATACTTAGAGTCCCCATAATGGACTTTTGTTGTTGTTTTCATCTCTTATCCCAGTGGCACTTACACTGAAATGAGGATGTCCTGTTGCATTGCAAGAGATTGATTGAGCACATCTGCCAAATCTCCTTGACAACCAGTATGTCCTTCTCAAGATAAGGATATTTTATGAAACAGAAAACAGATTAATCCTGGATCCACTAGATTTTATCTTCAGAACATTCAGCCTGCTTCCCACATTGCCAAGTGTCTGATTCTTGTTTTTCAGTATGGACTAATTAAACTATGGATTTTTGAAGGAGTTAATTAGAGAAAAGAGAATAATTCTATTATCAAGATTGCATTCCAAAAAGAGCTCTAAACTATTTAAATATGCAAAAACTTCAGCAACTTTCATCATATGGTTTAAAAAAAAAGCCAGAATTCCTTCAGCCTTATGTTTACTCAATAATGCTAAAAGGTTAATGCAGTAAAACAGTCACATACAGAAATAAATGGAGTAGGAGTTGATTTTGTAAAATCTTTAGGCTCCCAAAGAAACAGAAAGAGGATTTGTAGAACATTAGAGATATGGGAGTTAGCCTTCTAATCTGCTTATGACTTAAAAATTGTACTATATGTCTGTTTCAGCACATATTACTTCTGAAAATGTGGATTCCCTTAAAAGTCAGTATTCTGAGGATGGACGTTACATGTCAAAAAAATGGACTTCTTTCACCCTAGTTTTCAGTCTTGATTGTTTCTTTAAACTTTAGCAAACAATACTCATCTTGTGAAAGCTGAGAAAGTTTTTTATTTTTTATGTTTCTCAACTCTTGAAACAATTAAATCCTTGTTACTCAACACCAAAGGAACAAACAGATTCCATACTTCATTACAGTGCATTCAGGTATTTTCTTTAGATATGATTGGAGAATAAAACACAGCTTGGTAGCAAAGAATAGTCATGAGTACCTGGAAATTATCACAGTTTTTATTGTATTTGCATTCTAAACTTAAGATTAGGAATCAATCTTCCATGTCTAAAAATGTGTAAAAATAAATAATAAATCCCAGACATACGTTTGCCTACATTAGAAGTAACTAATAGCAACAAAGGCCCAGAACCAAGCCTAAAGGAGATTGGTGGAAATCCTTCTACTGATTTTTGTACAAGTGTATTTAATTATTTGATTTATGACAAAAAAAAGTTGGGGGCTTGCAAACCTATCTTAGGCTTGAACTGCTTTAGTTTAGTTGAATTCTGTATGTACAGAACTAAAGCATTAAATTTCTCCTGAGTTTAAGCTCTCATTTTGCAAAGCATCTCAGTTTCTGACAGTACATAAATATCTGTTAAGCCCTCAAATGAGTTAATGTAATTTTGAATATTTCTTATGTACCTTGAATAGAAACAAGCAAAAATTGGTTAGTTAAGATTTCAAAAATCAGAATCTAAGTTCTTTCTAGTTCCTTCACAACTTCCAAGAATTTGGAAAAATTCTTTTAAGAATTAAGCTCTTAATTTTCTTTTTCCTGTCTAAAACTTTTAATTAATTGTGTATTTTTGTACAATTTTCAACAACTGTGAAAGAGTGTAATAGGAGAGGGTTCCAGTCTCCATAATGATCTCTCTCATCTGTATGTATTATTAAAAAATAATTTTCTTCTCTCTTTAGGCAGGAATTTTCAGCATGAACGCGTGTGAAGAGGGCTTTGCTACTGGTGGCAGAGATGGCTGTGTTCGCTTGTGGGATTTAAATTTTAAACCAATTACTGTGATTGATCTCAGGGAAACAGACCAGGGATATAAAGGTAAAAAGAAGTTTGTCACTATCAACATATCATAGATTGGAAATTTTACATTGTTTTGTAAAAGAAAAAGTTTATTTAATTAAATTAGGAGCAGACTCATGGATGTTATTATGTATTGTTGGCAAGATGAGAAATGTTTTGTTTTCACGATGCCTGTAAATAAAAGAATATGTAGCCCATCAAAGGTGCTGTGCAATGTGCTATATACTAGGAAGTTTTGGACAGGAGTTTGTCTATGACTATATACTATGAAGCTGTTGATAAACGGATACAATGCATGTCCTTTCTGATGCAGAGCAGTTTTTAACAATGAAGAGTAAAGCAGTAAGAGAATTTAGAAGAGACACTGCAATGAAAAACATCAGAGTGAAGAAATTCTCTTTTGTAGTAATCCATGTTTTCAGAAAAACTGTTCAGATAGAATTTTGTGGTATTTAGAACGATGCTTACGTATACCAATATCATAATAAAATTTTAGGTCAAGCAGGCTATGGTCTGTATTGTCACTGTTCTAGGTATTGGTGCTTTAGTAAGCAGCAATATAAGATAAACTTGCACCGGAGCACTAATATCTCATGTATTACTGCTTTCATAGACGTGGGTTTTTTTGTTTTCCCCAGTAACCTTGCTCTTTTCTATCACCTTGTGGAGAATTTGATGATGTGATAGAACGTGTCTTGACAATTAGATACATCACTGTCCATAAATAACTGATTACAAGCAGAGTTAAATATTTGTATTCTGTAATTTATTTGACATTCCCACCAAGACTGTGATATTTTTCCAGAAAGATGAAGTACATTTGATTTGAAATGCCCTGGGGTACTGTGACTTTGTCATGACTGAGACAATTGAAGAGAAATAATTGCTTCAGTCTCAAATCAAGAGATAAATGTGTTCATGTTTATACCCCCTTGCTTCATAAGGAGATTAATTTATTTTTTCTAAAATAAGTGCTTAACTGACTGTTTTGGATAGTCATTGCAGTTTCTGTCTTGTCTGACAGACTTACTTTGAAAAACAGAACAGAATTTCTTGTTTATAAAAATAATGGTTATGTATTAAGTTTCTAATTAATATTTCAAATTAATATATTTCTAGATAGAGGTAAATTAAATTGAATTAAAATTAATTGAATTAAAACCATTAAATCTGAATTAAAGAGATTAATCTAGTTTATAATATGTTTGGTTCATTAATACATTTGATGTGTTTGCATTCATGTGCATTTCTGTACTCTAGAAACGCTAAATTAATTCATTGATAAAGTTAGTAAGTCCGAGTGTCTCCTAAGTGAATTTGTACATTATTGAATGAATTCTGAAAAGAAGACTTTCTTCTGTTGTGTCTTATATCCAAGTTACACTAACACAGATGCATTTCTGCTGTTGGTAATCTTAATTTTCCCTTCAAAACAATTTATTTGTAGATACTTTCTCTTTCTTATACTGTTGTATGTAACTGTGGCCTCCTTAGGTCTATAACAAATATTAAATATCTGTTTGTTTTAACAACAAGAGTAATGGTGGTAAACTCATGAACCTTTGCACTTGTAAAGATTCCTTAATTTCAAGAACTATAGAACATATCAGTAACTTCGTATTTGCTAAGGAAATTATCCCAAAGCTATTATTTGTGATTGGCTGTTGTACTAAAACATCAGTCCAGATTTGGGAAAAACATGACTGGAGCAGGAGAAAGAGACCTGTTCTTACATACATTAGAAATTTTGGCTTTTAAGCTTAATTAGAGGCTGCTGCTGCATGTAGTTAAATGCTACAGTTCATTCTGTTTCATTCTTTCAAGCCTATTCTATGGTTCTCTATTCCAGATCATCTCTCTTGCTTTTGGCATGAACTCTTTAGATTCATCAGTTCTAAGTACTCCATCTTCATTTTTCTTTACTCATCCAGTGCCATTATGCAACTAATAACTTGTTTTTAAATTATATCTTTCATGATTCCATTTTCCATAATCGTTTCCCTTTAGACTTCTACATCTGTGATTTCTTTATTTATATCTTTTTCAGGATAACCTTTATGGCCTTTCATTCTTCTTGTTCTCTTAACTGCATTTTCTGTTGGTCCCGCTTTATCTGTTGGTAATCTTGTCTGTGAAAGCAGTCTCAAGTTCTGCATCTCCTCGAAGGGTTCGCAAAACAAATTAATGGATAGATCTCCAAATAGTTTTTCAAAATATCTCCCTCCACCGCAAGAAGTTCCAGCTTACTAAAACAGATTTCTTAATCACTGTTCATCAGAGATTCCAGTTATTTCTTTCTTGATTTTTGTTTTTAATTACAGTAGTCAGTATAGTGAAAAATATAAAATACCTGGATTATAGATAAATAACTGAGTATATTCACCAGTGCACCATAGGAATGAATCTGTAAAGCAGATAATGCAGAGAGTTTTATAAACATTATATATATTTGTTTTGAGGAATTTTTGAAGGGATTTAGCTCTAGTCATATCTAGTGGACTGAATATTGTGTAGCAGTCAAAGTGCACTGAGTGTACTCTAGGCACTTTTCCATCCTATTTCTTATACATTTAGTTTACGTTTAAAGGTTCTCTTTAGATGCAAAGCATATAGGTAGGCCTTGCTTTGAAAGCTTGTTTTGTTAAAAATGAAAAAACATAGATGAAGATGCACCACTGGCCTGCTGATCCACACATTCACTCTTTCTGAGCCTTGCAATTTTTTCCTATGTAATTTTAAAAACATAAGATTCTTCTTTTCACTCTGCACAGTTAAAAATATTTTTCAGAAGCACATCAGCTCATATGATATTCATTTTTTCTTGCTTGATGGATATAATTTTGCCTCACATATTAACCCAGAGTACTTTTTCACAGATCATTCTTGACCTGCCCTTCACTATAGTCAGTGTTTTGGCAGAGAGAATTGTGCCAGGCATTTCTATCATCTTGTTTTCTGGATCTGAAACTGGCAAAATTGACTTGTGCTATCAGTCTGTAATAATTTGAGTCTTTTTTAAAAGGTGCATATTCATAAATTTGGTTAAGAGTGGGTTCTCCATGTACAACTCTCCTAACTTTAATTTTATTTATCACAATCTTATCTATAAACAAATATAACTTGTGAGTGTTCAGCTCCTCTGTAAACCTGGAAAGTAATTCAGTTGTTCAGAAATCCTTGTTAAATTCCATCATAAACTCTTTTCAACTTTTTCGTATATTGTTTCAGTGAGTCCTTCTTCTTTTCTTTGAAGGAGGAAAGGTAAAAAAAAAACAGATATTGTTACAAAGATACAAGTTACAAGGGTTTGCCTTAGGAGTAGCATCTTAGAAACGAGCTGGAAAGTATTGAATTCTTTGTCTTATACCTGGTCAATACGTTGCACTGATGCTTTTGTCACGTACATAATTGAGATTTGTTCAGCTAGTCTTATGAGTTCATGGTATCATCAGAAGTTATAATTTACATTTTCTGCTACCTGTTTTGATGTTGAAGGGCATTAAATTTGCCCCTTCAGGTCAGTATTTCTTTCCTCAGTCAGAGATCTTGCTATGAAAGAATGTTCTTTGCTTTACTAAAGTAAGGGTCACATTTGATTTTAGAATTTTTAAAATTCCAGTGTTGAAAATTTAATGTTCCAAGGACAGCAGTACGTGATGTGAAATAGATAAAGGGAGTAAATGGGAAAACAGGAGTGTATGGATACTTCTTGACATGTTCATGCTTTTATGTTTTTCCATGTTTTGTCATGTTATGTTCTCTTTGTTTCGCGAATTCTAAGATTGTTCCTCTCAGTAACAATCTGTTCCTTCTGTAGGTCTGTCTGTAAGAAGTGTTTGCTGGAGAGGAGACCATATACTTGTTGGAACACAAGACAGTGAGATTTTTGAAATTGTGGTACATGAGCGTAATAAGCCTTTCCTGATAATGCAGGGGCATTGTGAAGGAGAGCTGTGGGCTTTGGCTGTCCATCCTACAAAACCATTGGCAATGACTGGAAGTGATGACCGATCAGTCAGGTTGTTATTTGTCTGATTTTCATTCACACATAGTTTGATGCAAACAACTCATTTTGTAGATAATGTAATTGAAATGTATGCATTTTAATATCACTGGTACTGATATCAACTGGCACTGAAATACTTCTAAACCAGTGAAGCTATGTGTAAAATTACAGGCCTCTAATAATAAAATACGTAGGTCACTTTGACAGTAATGCCTCCTATTTAATTCCATGGAAATGACAATAGATGCAAAGAACACAGTAACACTGTTTGTTAATTCTCAGCAAATTCTCAGCAAAACACTGTTTTTCAACATAATCACCACATGAGTTACACATTTTTGCCAGTGATGAACAAGAACCTGTATGTCAGGTTCTGCATGACTGCCTGGAATGTGGCTTGTCTTTCACATCGCTGTCACCACTGCTGAAATAGAAGGCGTAAATTTCAGAATAGCCCTTGTAGTTGAAATTTATGGTTAACAATAGTGCATCATGGAAAACAAGCCGTTTTCTGAGAAAACTCAGTAAATTTCTTGAGCTTCTTTAAAGCTCAACGATTTGTCATAAATGCCTTTTTTTTTTCTTTCTCAGATATTAAATGTGTTGCCATTTTTTGCTAAATATAATTGTAACATAGTTAAGAAAAATTGTAGTTGAACCAAAGTTTCACTCAAGAATGCTGGATACATCTTGTAAATGGTAGATATCATGTGTTTTGTAAAAAACAAGATTTATAGTATTATCTAGGCAAATGTAGGAAGTGATGATAGTTTGCTAATAGGAAAGGGTATGTTTAATCTGAATTCTTTGATTATTCTTATGCATTTTTAGCTAAAGTAAGAAACAAAAGGGTAGAATTTTCACACAGTGATCTAAAAGTATGTGTTGTCATTTTTTTTATTTTTCAGAAAGACAAAAAATACCTGCTCCTGCATTTTCTCATTAGATATTTTCTCACAGTTAAATGTAAGAACGTTCTTTCCTGTATGGAGAACTGACACTTTTGTCTTAGATACTGCTTGTGGAAATTTATTTTTAAATAGGACGCAACCATGTCATGTTTTCTGCTGAAATTGCAGGCTTCATGCTACCTGTGGCAAAGCTACAAACCATTTTTTGTATTTGTAATTAATGTTTTATTCTAGAATTTGGAGTTTAATAGACCATGCTCTGATTGCCCGGTGCAATATGGAGGAACCCATTCGCTGTGCAGCAGTTAGTACTGATGGAATCCATCTTGCTCTTGGAATGAAGGATGGCTCTTTCACTGTGCTTAGGGTCAGGTAAGATACAAAAATTAATAGATACATTATAAACTCTTTCAAGTAGACAATCTAAATACTTTTGTATGTATATGGATACAGTACCGACTGTGTGCAGGAGACCACATAGATTTGTTTTAAATTGCTGATTCACAGAGTGCTTGGATTATTTAAATATTTGCACTAGCGTGGGAGAGGCTTTCCGTAATAACACATTTGTAAAAGTACACTGGTTTTTTAAAGAATGGCAGCATTCTAGGAAGTGATTTATTTATATTATTTATATTTGCTTTATTCACTGTTCTTGAATTATTAAGAAATAAACTGCTTTACTTCCATGATTGTTTTGGAATGCTTTTGCTAGTACAACACACATGGCAAATCAATGGTGCTTTGCCTTGTTGCTGTGATACTGCAGTTTTAAAGAGCAACTGAGGTCTGTGGCTTATATGTCAGTGGAGTTTTCTTCTCTAAGTGAATAACCTGGTACAGGACCTTCCTGTGTCAGTGTTCCTTTTTTAGTCACAAAGCCCTACCCAGCCCTGAAAGTAGTGTGGTGTTTGTACATATGATAGTTGTAGTTCACTTCATCATTTTACTGATGTGTTTTCTTTTTTTTTTTTTTTTCCTTTTTTTTTTTCCCCTATTTTCCCTTTTTTTCCCCCCTCCTTTTTTTTTTTTTTTTCTTTTTTTTTTCTTTTCTCTTTTTTCCTCCTTTTTTTTTTTTTTCTTTCTTTTTATGGTTAAGAACTTCACAATATGATAAGGCTCTTTTATACTTATGACATGCTTTCTTTCATACCACAGAGATATGACTGAGGTTGTTCATATCAAAGACAGGAAAGAAGCTATTCATGAACTGAAATATTCACCAGATGGGAACTTCCTAGCTGTTGGTTCCAATGACAGCTCTGTGGATATATATGGTGTTGTTCAGAGATACAAGAAAGTTGGGGAATGTATTGGATCTTTAAGTTTCATCACCCATATGGATTGGTCTTCAGACAGTAAATATATACAGACTAATGATGGCAATGGGAAGAGACTTTTTTACAGGATGCCAAGTAAGATTCTGAGTTGCCTTTCTTATATTTTTTGCTAATTGCAGAAAGAATGTATAGCAGTTTTATAAAAATGACTTAAAATGGATCCTGGTTCCAAGGACAGGATTGTGAAGAAACTTTAGTAAGTCTGTGGAAATACTGACTTTATTTGAATGAGGATAGCATTTTCTGACAGTTGTTTACATGTTTTTATTGCTGCTGCATGTTAGAGATGCTGAACTGAAAATTATTTTATTTCTCCAGAGTAAATATTTGTTCTGCTTTATTGCAAAAAGAAAATATATTCAAATTCAGTTTTTCAATACCTTAACAACTTTTTAATTACTGAACTTGAATATTAAAAGGATTATATTTGCTCGCATTGAAGGTTTTTAAAATATATGAAAAATCAATATATTGTGTCTCAGATGTGTCATCTGTTTTTTTAGATCTTTAGTTTACAAGAGCTTGTGCTGTAAGAAGTATTTTTTCCACAATAATATTTTATTTAAAATTACATAAATACTGAAAAATGACTTTTTTTTTTTTTTTTTTTTTTTTTAGATGGAAAGGAAGTAACAAACAAGGAGGAATTAAAAGGGGTTCAATGGGCATCATGGACTTGTGTTTCTGGTGTTGAAGTTAATGGAATCTGGCCTAAATATTCAGATATAAATGATATAAATTCAGTGGATGCAAATTTTATTGGACAAGTTATGGTTACAGCTGATGATTATGGAATTGTAAAGCTCTTTCGATACCCGTGTCTAAGAAAAGGTAGTACCTTTGAATTGATAAGTGCATATTCATGAATTTTGGTGATTCAAGAGAAAAGTCTTAGAAAACTGGATTTTTGAAAATTATACAGCTGGCCAATTATATATATATTTAAAATTTAATTTGGACTCAGAGTAGAAATAAATGAAAGCATGGTGTATAGGCAACTGTAATAGTAGTTGTACCAGGATTTTATATACATTTTGAATAGGATTTTCTAAAGTTTTATGTGTTTTTTTATTTTTTAAAATAGTTCTTTTTAAATAGAATTTCACAAGATTATGCAGTCCACCCTTTTTGAGATATGTATCTAAATATTTTCACCTTAGTCTTCAAGTAGTTTCAGAATGGAATAGTTTGGTTGGAAGAAACATACTAAGATCATCTAATCCAGCTGCTTGAACATTTCAGGGCTAATCAGTTAAAGCATATTAATGAGACTATTACCTAGGAATGAAGCATCAACCACTTCTGTAGGAAGCCTATTCTAGTGTATTCTAGTCCTCGTACAGGACTATCACGTGTATTCTCTCTATGTTTAACTTGTTAGAAACATTATTTTCTAGAATCTAAGTTGATGTTTTTGTTGTTGTTTTTAACAACATTTTAAAGAAATCAAAATTTGAGGACAGCGCAAAAAGTTGCTGCTATCAATTTACAGTATTAATTAGCTTAATCACTAGTAATTGAGGTATCTTATTAGTTTCTTTATATATATTTCTGTTATGCTTCTGAAACATTCATTCCATGTGTATTAAAAGATATTTTCATTGTTTTTCTAGGAGCAAAGTTTAAAAAGTATCTTGGTCATTCTGCTCATGTGACAAATGTCAGATGGTCACACGATCACCAGTGGGTTGTTTCCATTGGAGGAGCAGATCATTCTGTCTTTCAGTGGAAATTTGTCCCTGATCGGAAGTTGAAGGATTCCCTTCATATAGCACCGCAAGGTAAGTAATGTATAAAATAATGCTGGGGGGGAGAAAGGGAGGCCTGAGTATAATTATTAGTTGCCAATAAAGAAACAGATATTCAGAATTTCTAGACTGCATAAAATTATTATTCTGTAAAATTTGCATCTGTCTGAAGTACTGAAGAGCATTACCTAATACGGTATGTGTCCTGTATGATCAGTCTATCAGCACTGTATAAATAAATAAAAATACTATCATGCTGTTTCCTGTGGAAAGGAAAATTTAAAAGTTTTGTCACTTTGTTAAATTTTTGCATTGTGTAGGTGATAATTAAAATATTGTTAGTATTTATCTTGTTTTTTTTTTTAAGTTTCTATATATGTTTAATATTTGAAAATAAAAAAAAAAAAAGTTCATCTCATTGATGAAGACTTCAGAAAGCTTTTTAATGTTTTGATCCTTCATGCTATGAATTAATTTTCATCATTTTTTCCTATGTCCCAAATGTCTTACTGGGTATTGCACCCAAGATAAAACGCCTCTTTCTTAAGAGTGATTTAGGTTCCTTGTTCCGGGATGTAGAACCTTGCTTCTGTGTATATAACAGTACATGCAACATATATCTGCTTTACCACGCTGTTGATTGTTGTTGCTTTTGTGGTTTCCCAAACACTGTTATCTACTATCTTTACAAAGTAGTATTGCTTTTCTCTGGATCACGTTGACAGTTCTTTTTTCATTACTGAAAGTTTTACCATTTCCTTCTCATCCATAATAAATTTTCCTAATCTAACTGAAGAATTGCTGCTTTCATTCATGGCTAGTCTAACCCTATTATATCCATTTGGATCCATTTAATTGTTCTAGTTTTCTGCAAGCCTTCATGCATTTGTCTCTCCTACATGCTCAATATACTCATGAGTGTAGAAAATTAATACAGCATGTGTGCAAAATAGCCATTCTGACTTACATTCATTACGTCATTGTACTAGTACTGCTTTATGCTTGTTCTCCTTTATATTTGTTACTTCATTCTCTTCTTTTTTTTTCTGAAAATCAACATTCATGAAATAATACTAATGAATTAAAAGTAGTTCAATCCCAAAAAAGCATGCAAATAATTACCATACTTTCAAGTTAGCTTGTCTCTGTTGTATCAATAAAATAGATCCTGTTAAAGGATAGCAGTTTGTGTTATAGTTAATATAAAAATTGATTTTTCAAATCAGAAACATTATGCAGCTATTCTAAATGTTTCCTAATTTGTCATCTAGTTTATTTCATTTTCTATTACTGTTTTCTTGCTGACAGAGAGTCTGGTTGATTCTAATAGTGATGAATCAGATTCAGATCAGTCTGATGTTCCAGAGCTGGACTCTGAAATTGAACAAGAGACACAGATCACATATCGTAGACAGGTAAAGATTTTTAGTTTTAATGGAAGTTGGAATGTTTCCTGGAACTTATGAAGGTCTTTTATCAGGACCTCCTGAAATTTGAGAACTGAGAAGAGTGAGAAGTCAGTAGTAACTGGACAAGAAAAAAAAAATTACATGTATTTCTAGCATGTTAATTAGAATTTTGGTTGTAATTTAGATACAATTTACTTTCTACTATAGCTGTACCAGCTATGGTTACTGAAAACATTTTTTCATCGGTGTCATTACCACATTTTTGTTGGTGATAATTGTAGCTGAATTCTCAGAAATACTATTTATGTGTGAATCTCTTGATTTATAAGTGTGCTCTTTCTTGAAGGTTTACAAAGAAGATCTACCTCAACTTAAAGAGCAATGTAAAGAAAAAAGAAAAAGTGCAGCTTCTAAGAGACGAGAGAGAGCTCCAGGGAACAGTATAAGATTGCATTTTGTTCATGGGTATGAAAAATAGGTTTCTTTAAAATATACAACCAGAATGTATTAACTGTTTCGGAACAAAAGACTAATCAAACTTGTTATTTATAGTTTAAAAATCTAGTGAAAAGCTATGTGATTTAGTGTTTTTATTTATTCTTGTAAAACTAAATCTACGCTAAGTTTGTGCCGCTTTATGCCAAGCTGGACTTTTTCTGAATGAATTCTGAAGTGCAGTGAAAATTTAGCTGATTTATTATTTGAATAGATGTGACTAAATAAAAAATTGACTAATACTCATGTTTTTTACTCTGGAAAGTTCTCACTGGTGTCATATTACAGAAACTACAATAGAAACTTGGTTTAGTTGAAGGCACTTGGGTTTTGTCCTAAGTGATGTTTCTAACAGTGTTTTATTTAAAAAAAATAGTACTTATCTATAAACTAGCTATTTATCCCTAATCAGAAAGAATTTATAAGTACCTTGGCTTGAATAGGAATTAAATTTTATTTCTTAATAGATCCTGTGTATGTGTTAGAATTCAATTTCATTCTCTTTTTAGTGCTAGTAATTTAAGTAACAAAATAACTTCCAAATACATCGTTGAAATCCTATGATTTCATCTTTAGGACTGGCAGTTTTCCATAACACTCTAAGTGAAAGCTTTTTCATCAGAATAAAGGTGGTGTTTTAAAGTGAACTGATAGTGGACATTACTACATTAGAGTAATAAAGTCTCTGATAGAAAGAAAAACCAAAATCCTTGTTAAACTAAGGCACTGGAAATTGGTAAATAGTGTGTTTTCATTTCAAAAGATATCTCTTCAGGAATGCTAGTACTTATTAGAGACATTTATGATAAGAATGATAAGTTACTGGCAGTGTTTATCTTTACTGTAAAACAGTATCTTTACATAGTAATGACTCTTAATATTAAAATGTTTTCATATGGAATGCTTAATGAATTAATTGGTTAAGAATACTTAATGGTTCAACTCAGCAGTTTTGTCTGTAGAAGACATGGAGTTTCAGGATTAGCTTTGGAAATAATGACAAATAGTAACTAGTATGAAGCTGGATTTTTGTTTCTATCTCTTATGGCCCAGGATTCTTAGTTGAAGATTTTTTCTTAGCTGTGTAGGAAAATGCAGTAAACTGGATAGCTGCATGTAGTCTTTAATTTAAAAGTTGCTCTAAGAATTAAACCAAATGATCCTGAGGAAGATGCAGTATGAGTAAGGGCCCTGGATCTTTGGGATTATTGTTATTTCCTTCACAACAGAAGTGAAGCTTGACCAGAATATCCAGGAATGAACAGAAGTAGAATGTCCAGTTGAGTTCTGTCTGGTTGCCCAATGTGCATCAAGGAAACTAATGAAGAATCCATGCTGAACAACAGATTTTTCTCAATGTGTCCAGGCTGTTAACTTTAAAGTGACCCACATCCAAGTGAGTAATAGGCATATTCTCTGATACAGGAAGTCTGCTTTCCTTCACCTTTCTTTAGATGCAATGGAAATGTCTTGGATGTTCCTTGAAAGTGTAAAAAGTGGTGGTTTTCAAAACTAGGGAACTAAGAAGCTCTTTTTCCTTTCTTTGTTTTTGAGCTGTTTTTTGTGTTTTGAATTGTCAACTGCCTTGAAAGATGAACTATAAAAATATTTTAATATCTTGTAGGAAATCTTTTAAACCTCTTGTTATTTCCTATTTTGGAAGGGGATAAAATAATACTTAGTATGTGAGCCAGCCTAATGACTAATATGTGTGAGAAAGCAACTTCTATTAGCGGGTTAATCTCTAAGTGCATCATTGTCTAAGAGATCTGATGGAATCATCAGCAGGAGCAGATTATTTAAGTGGTACACTAGTTTGGCCTCCTGTTATTTTCCTTCTGCTATGTGCAGCTGAGGTGGTTCAGAAACATAGAAAGGATACGTTTTTTGAAATATTCAGGAAAACTCTCAGACTCATTGTTTTTGATACTTTCTTTTTGCTGACCCAGGAATAAAGATGCAGATACCTTTGCCCTGTGTTATCTTAAAGCTGTACTGCTGATGTTACAAGAACAAATTTTATTTTTCTTTAATATGAAAAGATTTTATATAAAATTTAGATTGAGTTCTAATGTATTCATTGAACCAAGCTGATGGTAAGGTGAAATTTGGTTGCAATTTGAAGATGGCCAGGGATTTCTCATGCTCATAAGTTAGACTCTTATGACACTTTGAATGGAATCCTATCAGAGCTGCATAGATTCAAATAGCATTTGAAATGAGTAGATGATGAGTGGTTCATGCCAAGAAAACATTTCCATAAGGCTATGCTTTTTTTCTCTCGCTGTTTTATATCTCCCACCTCCCTCTGTGCTAAAGACTGATTTCAGCTGTGTAATTTTTTTTTTTTCAAATCACTTTTTTTGGAGATTTTCTGGGGAATGTTCTGTTACATTCAAAATTTTCCCATAAATATTTTGAAGAATAACATACCAATTTTGAAACATTCACAGCATTAGTCAAGTTACTTCTTTTCCAGGCAGCACATTACTTTTGAAGTTGTCCCTGGTTTGGACACATAGATGTTGCAATTGTGCATGGGATCCAGCTTCAGATTAAAGAACTTACAATTATTTGACTAAGGTAGATGTTCTTATGTGTGTATCTCAACATTAGTTAAATCACTGGATATCCAGTCAGAAGGTAGTGCAGCATAGGCATTAATTTGGCTCATATGAAATTGAATGCAGATTGCTCTGCAGGTTCCACTGACTATATTGACCGAAGGCTGTTGATTAAAATATGTATGTTAATACATCTAATCCATCTATGCTTATTTATCTTAATCTCTAACTGAATCCAGTCCGTTATATTCATGACCTTGATAATGGCAAAGTTTTTTTTTTTTTCTATGTATTACTGAGCTATCTTTTCTTATCAAAGTTGCTACTGTGATAACTTCAGTCAATCCTGCATAGTCTGATCAGATGTTACTGAAGACTACCTGAGAGCATCACCTACTGTGGAATGCAGTGCTGTATTTATTGTGCCTTTTTAGATATTATCCAATATATATGATCCAGAGCTTTCTTTCATTACTATTTAGTTCCTAGTCATTAATTGCAATGTCTTGTAAATGCGTGTGAAGAAATTGCTTTTTTTTTTTTTCTGAAATTAAATGCTAATCTCAGTTCTAGTTGGATTAGTGATACATGGATAAATGTGTTGTGACTGTGTGACATACTCTCAGAGAGCAGTCTTGAACACTGAAGCATTCTCTTTTTCACCCTTTCTTTGATTGTCTGAACCAATATTTTACTTTTTTCGTAAATATTACATATATAGTCAGGGTTTTAGTTAATTGGCATGTGAGAAAGCTCAGATTTGTTTAACTGGTTTACAAAATTTCACAAATGCTCTGGCAAAATATGCTTTATTTTAATTGTCAATGATTGAAACTTTTTTTTTTTTTTTTGTAAACAGAGGAATTGCACTAAACCTCAAACTTTTGATTATAAGAAGTGGCAAACTGTTCTTCTGCATCCTAGATAAGTTTTGGATACTCCCGTGATGCACTATATTAATTAATTTAGTTTCACTATGCTTAACTTAAAATATATTGGTAGTGTTTTAACAAGTGCTAGAAAAAATGTTAGTTTTTCTTTCATATCTGGTTTTTAAAATAATCTCATTTAAGGTGTATTTTCAGTATAGTTTTTATAATTCTGTACTTGCAATTAAATTTTTAACAATGTTAAGTACACAGTGAAACATGGGAAAATTATTCTTGAGCAAGAACTGGTCCAGATATCTTCTTTGGCACTCCTTCCATCACTATAATCTCTGCTGTTCACAGTACATTTTTCATGTGCTTAAGCTGTTTTTATTGCATACAGAGATAGGTTATTTTTTTATTTCTTCATAGTTACAGTGGGTCATTGTATATTATGTTCCTCTAAAAGCTAGTGCTGGCTGGGTGTCAAAGAAAGCTGCCTGCTTATCTTGACTGACTGTTTTGCTTTGGGTCAGGCAGAAATAATCCAGCTTCAAAATAACCATGCATTGCTACTGGGGTAATTTTTTAATGAAAGATATGTGTTGAGGGAGGCTGAAGCCTAGCAGAAAAAGCACCTGTATCATTAGTCTAAATTGGTCATTTTGACAAGAACAGGGAGAAACATATAAGTGAGCTCAAAGCTCATTGGAAACAGATTTTTCTAGATACTTTGAAGGAATGGAAACTCAGGAGACACCGAAAGATTGCTGGACTGGAAGAAAAACTGAGATTAGGAACCTATTTGTGAGTACCAATCTAAAGAGTGTGTAGAAGAGAGTCTTATTTACAAAGCTTTACTTTCTGTAGTATCACAGTTTTTGCTTTTTTAAGAAGGTCTCTGTGTTTGTGGTTTTATGAAACCCATCTTGAGAGTTCACAGTATCACAGATGATACAAAACTGCGAGGCATGGCTGGCACGCCAGTTGGTTGGACTGTCATTCAGAGGGTGCTGGACAGACAGAGAGCTGGGCACAGAGGAATCTCATGAACTTCGAAATAGGAAAATGAAAAGTTTAGTGTGTAGAAAGGATTAATACCGTGCACCAGTACGAGCTGGGAGCCATGGCTGGAAAGCAGTTCTGCAAAGGACTTGGAGATTCTGGTGGATAATAAGCTGGCCGTGATTCAACAATGCACTCTCATGGCAAAAAAAGACCAGCAGTATCATGGGCTGAATTAGGAGGAACTTTACCAGTAGCTCCAAGGAAATGTTCCTTCCCTGCTACCCAGCAGTGCTGAGACCACACCTGGACTGTGGTGTCCTAGTCTGGGCTCCCATTATAGGAGAGATGTTGACATACTGGAACGGGAAGTTTGTGGCTTGAGTCGAGTGTGTAATTCCTTTAGGAAAGATTGCTTTTGTATTTTCCTAACAAATAGTATTTGCAAATAAGCGAACTCATATTTTCAAGTAACCCAACCCTTTCACTATTTGAGACGACTGGTAAGCCTGCTGGGAGAAATCTTTTCAAAGTTTTAATCTGTGTTGGTTTGTTTGGATTTGATAGTTCACTATTACTTGGGTTAGACAAGTTGGTACATCTGTGATTAGAGCAGGTGATACTGAGGCAAAAGAACTTGGCTACGTAGCACATTGCTGAGCTGGACCATCTGCTGATCTGTTTAAAAACTTCGTAGGATAATTTTAGCAATTTATCCCTAGTCACTACATAATCTGTTATAAATACCACTGCATGTAGTTTAGGTAAACAAACAGGAATACAGTACATTCAAGCCTGATCAAAGTATGTGCTGTGCCATTATCCAGCAATAATATAAATCTGGTATGACTGAACATAGATCCATGACTGGAGTTTTCAGAAATGTATTCCTTAAATTGGTCAACCAGCTTTATTATTTGATCTGTGCATATTGTTGTATTATATACCTTAGGAAAGCTTTATATAAATTTATGAAGGAGTATTTGATCCTGACAGCGTAATTTCTGTGCCATTTAAACCTTTACAGTGTTTTGCATCCAGTAGTTGTCTAATACTTGTGTCTTGTGTACCATATTGGTATGTGTACAGATGCATTTTTGTCCTATGTGGCACTGAAAAACCTATATGTTGCAAAAAGGTCCTGCTCTTTTTTCTGCATAAAAATAATGTAATTTGTTCTGATACATGCTTTTAATTATCCAAAGAAAATAACAGCACAAGAAGTATAAAATAGGCATTACAGTCTACAGTTATTTTGTAGCTGCTCATTGTTAATGTTCACTTGTTTTATCTGCTATAAATGAATTCCTTGTCATTTTAGAATATATATATATATTTTTGACTAGATGAGTTAGAAATTGGGAGCAAAAGTACTTGGCTAGATTCTTATTCTTATGATCCCTACATCAAAATAATTAATGACCAATTCAACCATATTCAGATATCATACTCTTCCTATAAATTTAACTACTTGTTTAAATCAGATTTTGCCTGCTTTTCTAAAACAACTGGAAAGTTGATTTAGTGTGGATCTGCTGGAACTGATACAGAAACAGATTAATCAGGAAAGTAAGAGAATGGAAATAGAGTGCATCAGGAATTTATGGACTGTTCTTTATTTCAACAGGAAAAATGAAAACAAGTTGGCATTTTTGAATGTTCCTTCTATTCGCTACCAAGGATAGCAGTATTACAAATACTACTTTAAAACTTACTTGTTTATTTAATGTTGTTTAGATATTATAGTCTCCTACATTACTTTTGAAATTATGACACTAGCTGTTTTGATAATGCCATTTATGTATGTATTTATTTATTTTACGGAATAGTTAGTCACACCTAGGAAGAAATATGTATAGCACTGTAGTGTAGAAATAGTGTATAATGATCTCAGCTGAGTATTGGCCCTGTCTTGGCAGTAGCTGTGCTGTACTGATACTGAAAGGACATAGGTTTTCCTTGGGGAAAAAAAAAAACAAAACAACAAAACAACAAACCACCCTTTCTTTCAAAAAAACAACTTGGGAGAAAATTTATGTATTAACACCTAGAACACTTCAAGAAACTTTGAATTTGACGGTGCCTGTGTTGTCCACGTTCTTGTAGGAAATTTTGTTGTTCAATTTTTGACCAGTAAAACATAAAGTGTCCAAAAACTCAGTTTTGTTTTCATTTAATTAACGAATCAGTTTTTTTCCATTTAATTGTGTTGCATGCCTAAACTCTCCATGTGGTTTGGAAAATTATTACTTATTACTTTATCTTCCAAAGTGGTTGTTAAGAGTGACTATTAAAGTCACTCAGCTACTATAATGCTGGTAGTAGTGATACCTGAATAGTAAAGCAAATTGATAAATTTTGGGGAGAAAAAAACAGTTAATAACTCCAAAAACACATAAATACTAACTGGTAAGTAATCTGAACTTTTACATCTGTAAAATACATAGTGTGTAATTTTATGTCATAAAGTATCAGTGTGTATGGTTATGACCTTGATGCACAAACTTTTTTTGTCTAGTTACAGAGGTTATGACTGTCGAAGCAATTTATTTTACACTCAGACGGGTGAAATTGTATACCATGTTGCAGCAGTGGGAGTAGTGTACAATCGACAGCAGAACACACAGCGCTTTTATCTAGGTCATGATGATGACATTCTTTGCCTTGCTATTCATCCCTTAAAGGACTATGTGGCAACAGGCCAGGTAGGAAGTGTGTTTACTTGCAATAAGACTTTTTTGTTATCACTGAACTTTGAAAAGCCTGTTTTGGAGAAAGGAGGTCCAATCTACATTTGTTCCAATGATGGAATGCACTTCTGTTGCAGATGGAGTAATGTTAAAAACTGCAACATAGGAGGTGTTGCTTTTTTTTCCCAGTTGTTTATATGAGTTTCACTAGAACTCTTTTGACTTTTATCTTGAGTATAATTTTGTTTCTTCTGCATGTTTATGAATGGAGTAAATGGATAATTACTACTGTTTGTTTTCTTTTTAAAATCTTAGTTGTGAAATTAACTATGAGAAACAGTTTTTACTGTATTCTGTCTGTCCATTTCATGTATTATGATTTTACCTCCTCTAATCAAGCTGTTCTCTTTATATGCAGTCCAGTGTTTGTAACACTTCATTTCATCTTTCTTGCAGACGACACTTTTAAGATAATGTTTTCTAAAAAATATACTTCCATAAAAGTTTGTAAACCATTACTTGAAAGTTTGATTTGTGGTATGATTATTGGTATGATAATAATAAGTACCATAAAATAATTATTGTAATCATTATAGTAATAATTCTATTATTGAAGTGGAGAAATTAAAACTTTACTAATAAAGTTTTGCTTATGACGCCCTTATAATGCTCTTAAGGAAAGAGAGCCGGCTTGTGGGAATGGTAATTGTGATGCTGAAGTAAATTAGTACTAGAAACATGTTATCACTGACATATTCCACGTAGTTTTTGAAATATTTGCCAACATTAAAGTTTTGAACAACTATGTCAAATAACTGACAAGAAAAAATAAAAATTAAAAAAAAAAGTTTTTAAATATGTGTACTTTCAGGTTGGTCGAGATTCCTCTATACACATTTGGGATACTGAAACAATAAAACCACTTTCAGTACTAAAGGGCTATCACCAGTATGGAGTTTGCGCTGTTGATTTTTCAGGTAATAAGTAATTGTTTATTTATTTACTTTACATCATTTACATCTCTTACTGTACAAAAGAATAAACTAATGAGTTCTAATGAGGGGAATTCCTTTGCACTGAAGATTTTGTATTAAAAATATTCTCCAATTATTTTGTCAAATGAGTGAGGCTATTTTAGAGTGATCATTTATTAACAAGAACTCCTGTGGAATCTTGTAAGTCAGGAAATCCAAGAATGAATTCTCTGTCATTTAATAATCAAACTGATTGCTTTGTGGTTAATTGTATGGCACAGGCTTGCAGATCTTAAGTGTTGTGTCTGCATTACAATTGTAAGCTCTTTTTTTCTTAGATATATATCAGTAGTAACAGTATTTAGTTGTGCTCTTAAATATGTATAAATATGTATGTGTGTGTGTATGTATATATATATATATTTAATTGTGTAATACCCATTTGGGTATATGTGATACATATGATAAAATCATTAAGTCCCATTATGGAGTCCTTGTGGGAGGAAACCCAACTTCTTTTCTTTATTTGACACTAAAATAGGAGAGCACCAGTTAAGACTTCTGAAATTTTTGCACTCTATACACTGAATTTTTCTACCAGTGTTAAATTTCCTCATCTTACCTGGTTTATGTTTATTCTTCAAGGATTTCAATTTACCAAATAGGACTTTTAACCTCACAGTGAAGGTGAATGATCCTAAAGATGTGTATTGTGGGATGTGGGATGGGGTGAATATCAGAGCTACTGAAAGATTTGACACCATTCCAAGTACAGGAATATTTCATAAACTTCCTAGTGTTGCTTCAGTGCTTTGCTGTTCAGAAATGAACAGGGATTTTCAGAGTGAGCAGAAAACACTCACAGTGCAACTGTGATGAAGAGTTTTGGCAGCTGTGCCAGCAACTCGCTGAGCAAAGGTATGGTACAAAAACAGAACATCTAAGGGCAGTTTTTAAAAGGATAATTCAGAAAACAGAGAGTGATGGTTGTAATATATTTAACTGTGAAATTTGGTGATGTTTTGCTAAATTCATAGTTCTTAATTGTTAAATCAAATACAGAGTTCTCAACCTAGTCCGCAATTCCATCCAACTGACAACTCAGATTTAAAAGAGATGACAAATGTGCCTCTAATGTGGCTCACCATGTGACAAATGTGCCACACCATGTCATGTGATGATTCACCTGTTTCTATATCCTCCTTATGATATTTCTAAATTAACAAATGTTTTTTAGTGTAGTTTCTTATTACTGCAGCATGAAATTATCTATCTACTCTCTCAATTGTAAATTTATTTTTATAGCGGATGGGAAAAGATTGGCTTCTGTTGGAATAGATGACAATCATACTATTGTCCTCTGGGACTGGAAGAAAGGAGAGAAGCTTTCAGCAGTAAGGTAGTAATTTAACTTCTTTTTAAAATTTATACATAGAGTTAGTCTTGGGAGACACTGAGTAAAATATATTACTTAAGAAATGTCACATCCAGACCTCAGACTTCATTTACTTGCCTTTCTCATGATGCTTAAACCTTTTGGAGTCTGTACTGAGCTTCTTTATTTTAAGGCCCCTAGTCCTTGAACCTACAAACTGTTTTTTTTATAAATCAAACTTTATCAGTTTAGTCTCTCTGAGTTGATTTTCATCTAGAATAGAATATTTGAGAGCAGCAGCTGTACTTTTCAGATCACAGTATGAGTTTAGAAAGGAACCAGTTGATGGTCTTTGCTACCAATTTGTTCAGTAGTCTGAAAACCACATAAGGTAAGAGTTTTGCTCTTGTCCAGGGACCAATAAGTGTCTATTCCGCATTTTGAATAAATAAAACTAATGGTAATCTTTATATCCTTGCATAAGTAGTAAACATTGACAGCTGTTTTTTAAACTCAAGATTGAAGCAAGGCATTGGCCTAATGTGCTTAGGAGCACAGTGAGCTATCCAAAACACACAGCAAATTTCAGTGCTTCTAGAAACAGCTGAAATATTCCATTAAAAATTGATATAGCAGCATAATTTTGATTCTAACTAGAAAAATTAAAAAGTAATTAAAAGGTAATTGTCGTTTATTATTAAATGATTTATTTTCAGAATGAAAGACTGATTTAAATAATACATAGGACTGTATGCCTTGCAATTTTATGATGAGCTGTTGGAGTTTAAACACAGTATAAATGCATCAATTTTCTATAGATATTTTTGTTACTAAAAGGCCACCTAGTGGATTTCTGAAGTGAATTTCTCACCTTTGGAAAACTGAAAGCTAATGAGAAATGGAACAGAATTCAGTATATTCCTTCTTTGGCTTTCTTTCTTTTTATAATAAAATAATTGTAAACTGTTCAGAAGTAAACGTTAGCAGGATAAGGAAGGTAACAATAAAAACAAATCTGTTTAAAAAAAAAAAAATCACTACAATTTTCATAGTATCAAAGAATGGTTTGGGTTGGAAGAGACCCTTAAGACCATCTAGTTTAAATACCCCCCTGCTCTAGGCAGACCTCCCTTCAGTTCAGGTTGCTTAAAGCCCCGTACAGCCTGGCCTTGAATGCTTCCAGGGAGGGGGACATTCACAACCCTACTAGGTAATCTGTTCCAGTGTCTCACCACTCCCACAGTAAAGATATTCCTAATATCTAGTCTAAATATACCCTCATCCAGTTTAAAACCATTTTCCTTCATGCTGTTGCTACATGACCTTATAAAATTATAAAAGCTTTCCTGTAGGCCCCCTTGAGGAACTGGAAGGCCACTAGAAGATCTCCTCAGATCCTTCTCCAGGCTGAAGCTCTCTGTCTGTCCTCATAGTGGAGGTGTGCCAGCCCTCTGATCATCTTCATAGCCCTGCTCTGGATCTGCTCCAACAACTCCATGTTGGAGACTCCAGATCTGGATGTAGTACTCCAAGGTGGGGTCTCACAAGCATAGAGAAGAGGGACAGAATCACAGAATCATCTCCCTCAACCTGCTTGCCACACTTCTCTTGATGCAACCCAGGATGCAGTTGTCTCTCTGGGCTGCAAGTGCACATTGCTGGCAAATGTTGAATCTTTTATCAATCAGCACTACCAAATCCTTCTCCTCAGGGCTTCTCTGAAGCCATTTTCTGCTCAACCAGTATCTGCTTGAGATTGCCCTGACCTGGATGCAGGACTTGGCCTTGTTGAACTTTATGAGGTTGGCATGGACCCACCACTCAAGCCTGTCCAGGTCCCTCTGGATAACATCCTTTCCCTCTAGTGTGTCAACTGCACCACTCAGCTTGGTGTTATCTGCAAACTTGCTGAGGGTGCACTCAGTCCTACTGTCCATGTCACTTATGATGTTAAATAACATTGGTTTTTATTTGTTTTATTTGAAAGAGGAAAATATTTTGCTTTATGTTTCAGGGGAAGCAAAGATAAGATTTTTGTTGTTAAGATTAATCCTTATATGCCTGAAAAACTGATTACAGTTGGAATTAAACACTTGAAATTCTGGCGAAGAGCAGGTAAGGTAACTTTGTAATTACAGCATTTTCTGTCATTTAAAGTATAAATAATACATCTTCTAAAGTGTATTTCATGCATGAAAGGCAGATACCTTCTCCATATAGCTCTGTAAGTTAGCTTCTTACTTGTTCTATTAGAAATAACACTAATGGCCATTATTATGGTATTGATGATTCTATCAGTGTTCTATGTTAGAGATACACAAATAGAAAAATTTGGACTTTCTACTGACTTCTTTATACCTAACATCTCAAAATCTTGCTGAACTGTAAAACAGTGCAACAGTTTTTGGAAGAAGAACAGTAAAAAGGCACAAATATAAATGAATCTAAAAATGAGACAAAAATTCAGACAAAATAGTTAAAGAGGACACATCTGCCAGTGAGACTTATCATTTTACATACATGTATTGAACATGACAATTAAAAACCTAGCTAAGCAGCTTACTTTTTATCTGCTTGAAAAATTGTGAACAGTTCAGAAAAAAAAAAAAAAAAAAGGCCATTCCCTGATGTTAGTGTCAAATTTACAGCATCAAACTTCAAAAAGTTCATGAATGCGTATGGGCTGCAGAAGACTAGCTTACTAGTGCTCTAACTGTTCAAGCAGAATCTATGCACTTGAGCTCATCTAAATCCCTGCAAAAGTCTGATTTTAGAGAAAAATCTGTGATGAGAGAAGTCGTGCTGATTTTCTCAGTTCATGCTGCAAGAGAAATTAGGTAAGATTGTCTGAGAGAAAGGTGAAGTCTGTGTAAATTACTAGTTTTAACAGCTTTGCTTGCTATCTTAACTAAGATAATAAAAGCAGAAGATACTTTGAGTAAAAACATGAAATTGATTAAATTTTCTGGCATTGCTCAGTGAGCAGGTATCAAATTTCTCTAATACTGTAACCCTGTGTGAATACTGACAGGGCAGTTACTTTGAAACATGCTTAGCAGTGTTAAGAGGAGCATAGTATCATCACCCTGACAAATGTGAAGTCTCTGAATTCTGCATTAGAACAACTTCAATTAATGTGAGAAGTGAAGCCAAAGTATATAGTTTAGATTAAATTTCCTCAGTGTCAAGTGATGGCGAAGTGTTTGGGACCCTGCCTCAAACCCTGGAGCTATGAGAGTGGTACAAAATATCAGATCCTAAGGGACTTCTGTACCAGGTGAAGTTTCTCAGAGGAATATGAAAACCTGAATCTGACCTTCTGTCTTGAAGTTAGTATTTATTATGACTAGCATAACTTCAGATTACAGTATTTTAAAGAATTTTAAAATTCATATAGCTATAATGTCTCTATCATCCAGAAGCCAATACAACAAACCTCGAAGATAAAGTTAGATATTCTGAAAGCATATCATGAAAAGAAAGGGATGTTGTCCTAATCAGTTTTTTTTTTCAAGTTAATTTTTAATGTGGAATTTCTGTGTACTGTGGTAGGTATTTTGTTGTTATGAGCTGTTTTTGTTTTAAACCAGGGGGAGGACTAATTGGGAGAAAGGGCTGCATAGGTGCTATGGGAAGAGCCGATACAATGATGTGTGCGGTATATGGCTGGACTGAAGAGATGGCATTCTCTGGAACTTCCACAGGAGATGTTTGTATCTGGAGAGATGTGTTTCTCATAAAAACTGTCAAAGCACACGATGGTCCTGTGTTCAGCATGCACGCATTAGAAAAAGTAAGTTCACAGCTATAATTCCACATAAACAATAATTTAAACAATCAAAAAAACCTCTGTAATTTATTCATGATGCTTTGAGGATGACAGTGAACAAATAATGTAAAAAATAGTGGAAGCTTTCTTTGAGATTTCCTAAATTCACCATCTGAATGAAAAGAGGATTATTCTGTTAGACTATGTTGCCCTGCCATATTTGTACTCACAAGATGATTCGTAGCAAGTTTGCTTAGCAGATGAAGTTCAGAGGCTTAGCTATGCTCAGTTGATGCTCAGTTCTTCATTTGTGAGAGATGAGTCTATTAATAAGCACTGTGATGCTGAAAATATTTTTTATGACTTGTTGAAAAGTGCTGGCATAAAGCATAAATGCAACAGGGGTGGAATGAGGAAAAGGACTCCAATTTATTTTCTAAGAGGCGCTTCACATATACTTCTAATAGCTGTGTACGAGGGATTGATACTGTTTTACGTTATTTTGTTTTGTTTTGTTTTTTTACTTTTTACTACTTCCAAAATAAGCATTTTCTTGAGGTTATGATATTAAAAGTGTTTAGAAAACTAAATACAAGGCGATTAGACACAACTCTGAGAATTGTATTCTGTTTTAACCAGATCATACTCATACACTCTATGCTGCAATTACAGTCTATTTGTGGAAGCTTTCAATCTGTAGGTTACTAACTACTTTCTCCTGGGTCTCACCTTTTTTTGGCCCTGGAAAGCCTGTAAGCATGTACTTAAGTGTAAATAACATTACCAGTTAATTATCTGTATACTTATAATGAGCAAAATAAAACTTTAAATCATTACTCCAAATTTAACATTTGAGTTTCAGGACAGAAACTTCAGACGAAGCAAGAACTGTTGACAAAATTTTTTGAGATATAATGGCACAGATAGACATATATTTGAATCATATAAGCACTGAATATTTTTTTATAAGTGATATGAAGTGTGACATGAGTAATTGGGTGAAATGTAAAACGATACTTAGTAAATAATACTTAGGCTAAATATCAAGAAAAATACTTATATGTGTCAAACAGTCACATTACTTTTTAGTATAGTCAAAGCTTATTGGATAGAATTTGTAAATCCGGTCTGAGTATCTGGGCCGTATAGAACTGTGTAATGCTTGCATCTAGAGACTAAAAAAATCATTTTGTTGCTCCTGATTTTTTTTTTTTTTAATCTCTAACGTGTAGTTCTGTGCATGTGTAGTTACAATAATTTTCAATATAATAAATTTTAAGTATTGGTAGAAATCAGTGAAGTATTAATGAAAGAGAGTGATTCTATCTTGTGAATTTTTATTTCATTTTTTCATTTGCCAGGGATTCGTCACTGGAGGAAAGGATGGGGTAGTAGCTCTCTGGGATGATACTTTTGAACGCTGTCTCAAAACCTATGCCATCAAAAGGGCTGCTTTGGCCCCTGGCTCTAAAGGTAACACATCAGACTTTATCCTATTTCTGATTTTACTCAATAGAAAACTCGTTTGGTGAAATTGCATTTTCCATCGGGGGAAGATTTACATTTGACATAGGAAATACTAATACTTGAGTTTGTACTGATTTTAACTAAGACATATTTCTGTCAGGTGGGGAATGGTAGTAGTGTCTAATTGCGCATTTATTGAGAGCAGATCTTAATATTTATGGAAAATTTCAGGACCATTTAGGTTGAAAAAGACCCTTGAGATTATCAAGTCCAATGATCAACTTAGCTCTAGTGAGTCCACCTCTAAACCATGTCCCTAAGCACCGCATTCGCACGTTCCTCCAGAGACAGAGATTCCACTGTTTCCAAAGGCAGCCTATTCCAATGCCTAAGAACACTTTAAGTGAAGAAGTTGTTCCTGATAACCAATCTAAACCTCCCCGGATGCAACTTGAGACCTGTTTCTTGTGTACTAAGACTATTTCCTCATGTCCTATTTTCTGCATTGTCTACTTGACTTAATGGTTTTCACCTTGAGTCTGTTACCTCCCAGGTGTTTGTTTTTGTTTTTGCTTTTTTTAAGTAAAAGCCAAAACATCTTTTTCTGTTTCTAATCATGAAATAATTTTGTCTGATTTTTTTGTTACTTTTGTTTGTTTCTTTCTTTTGGAGAAGGATTCTGAAAAGGGGATGGAATTTAAAATTCTGTTTAGATTTGTAATGTATTAATACATTTTATGACTTAACTTTCTGTAAATACGAATGTGTTTTGAAATTATGATTTAATTCCTATTCCTTTAATTTATTCTTGCTCTTAGTGTTGATTTATGGTTTTCCCTATTTTATGTTCTGGAGTATGTGTTTGTGTGTCTTATGCCCTTGCTCTTCTAAATTTATTTTTTCTGTGTGTTAGTATATGATTTAATTTTCAGAAAACATGAATGGGAACACTCATTAAATAAAACATTCATTTACAGCTTATCTAATTTTCACATCAGTTCAATGAAATCCTTTTTTGAAAGTACCGTAAATAATACCGTTAAGGTAATGACACAGCTCTTATTTATTTCACACATGTATTTTTCACTAATATTACTAATGAGTCAGGCTGATTAAATTACAGAGATGTTCTATTTAGGAGAAAGATTAGTAGTAGTTGCTTTATATAGTTACTTTGTTATGGAAAAGATAAAGGTCACAAACAGAAGTTTGCAAGAGCAACTAGTGTATGTTTTTCCATCCACTGGGCTATTGCTAAAGACTCCCAAATGAATCTAAGCATGCAAGTTCTTCTGTGCATAAGTAAGTTTTTGCTTCCTACTGAATATCTTTTTCTACAGTGGGAATGTAAGGTGTACTTGTTAAAAATCTTCTTTAAGGCATAACTAAGAATCTTGTGTCTTCTATTATTTTAATGTTCTAGGACTCCTCTTAGAAGATAATCCTTCTATACGTGCCATTTCTTTAGGACATGGTCATATTTTAGTGGGCACAAAGAATGGTGAAATATTGGAGGTAGATAAAAGTGGACCAGTAACTCTTTTGGTTCAGGTACGTAGATATCGGTCAACTACTGTTTTATTTTTCAGGTAAAGACAGTTGTGAAATAACAAGCATTTTAATTACCAGTCAAGTAAACAAGTTAGTATCATTTCTCATATTTTTAAGGTTCAGACAGACCAGCATGATCTCTGATAAGAGAAGAAGTTCACAGAATTTCATGTAGAAATTTGTTTCTCAAGTTCATTCTATCAGACTAAAATCTTATTACTGTTTAAAAATAAGATAAAATCAAGCAATGGATTCTCCACCAGTTATCTTACTAATCTGTTCTGTTAGTTAATCATATCATTTTAAAAAAATATCTGTTTTTTGGGTTTTATTTTAAGTTTCTCATCACAGTTAGGCAAAAAACAATTCAGTTTTTACTTTGCCATACCATACAGAGAGCACTTCTTACACTGCCTACAAAATGTTTTTTTTCAACATTAGGTCATCATGTGATTTCATTTCATATGTAAATACAAGTCTGTGCCTCTTTAATTCATGTTTTACGAGTGGCTAATGCAATTGTGAATAAGTGGAGTTTTTAAAGAATGTATTAGAAATAGAGGTAGAAGAAAATGTAGGAGTATGTGGAGATTATTCCTCAGAGAAAAATTTTCACTGGTAGAAATTACTATGGCATGCACTTCTATAAGCAGAAGGGTAGCACTTTTTTTCAGGTATACTGTTTCTGTTCAGATATTTCTTTATTATCATGTAAAAATATGTCCTCATTTGGTGCTTTTGTGTTGTTTTTTTCTTAACTCCTTATGTTATTTTTTATTTCAGTTTTATATGTAGAAGCATCTGATTCATCTTTTTTTTTTCAGGGTCACATGGAGGGGGAAGTTTGGGGTCTCGCTACTCATCCTCATTTACCCATTTGTGCTACTGTAAGTGATGACAAAACCTTAAGAATATGGGATTTATCTCCTAGCCATTGTATGTTAGCTGTTCGCAAATTGAAGAAGGGTAAGATGCTTAGTATGAAAAAAGATGTAACTGAATCCACTTCATACTTTCTTACATTATGATTCTTGCAGAAACAAGACCAAGTTACTTCTCTTCTGTAATTACCTTTTTGTCGCTTTCTTCATAGTTTATGTAGTGCTTACCTAAGAAATCTGTACAAGAGATTTCTCTGTAATACTGTTCTCAATCCAATACAGCTGCAAATAATCTTTAATCAATAAATTAACAATAAAAGTTGATCCAATGACATAAATCTGCCATATTGAAGACAGTAAGGGAAGCATATTGGAACAGTAGAGGAATTCAACTCTAGAAAAATTCTGAAGAAAACTCAGAAATAATAGTGAATTCCTGTTTTTTGTTTTTTTTTGAGAGTATTAGAAGAATCCACAATGAAGAAAAAAATACTAATTATTTACTACATAATAAAATTCTGTTTTTGAAGGATGAAGAATCCTCTTTAATGATACCATATAAAGAGACTGTAGTAGGATTTAACTGCACTTGCCATAACTAGCTTTTAATAATGCATATAACTTGCTAGACAAAGGAATGTGATAGGCTTCATCTGTTTGGAGTTCAGTGGGGAATTTTGATCCCCACCGTATAGAAATCTTAGATGAAAATGGTCTGAATTGATTGGAACTAACTAATCAGAAGAAATGCCAAGTGCCAGCACAAGCAGGAGTGGTAATGTTAAATAAACAAAGAAGGTTCAAATTAGAGTCTGCTGGAGTCTTAAAGCTGATATATCTTAATATTTTTATTAGCAATTTTCAGAGAAGTCAGGACTGTGATCTAATTTGCAGATGAAACAAATTTTGAGGTGGTTTCTCAAACTTAAAAAGCATGCATGTACTGTACAAAAAAAGCACAATACTCTTGCAGACTGCAGTAGTAGAAATGGCAGTGTTTACTAATTAAAAAGGGAATATGACTGTAAGAAAAATGACTGTTCAGCTGAAGGGTAACTGAGGCATAGAAGACTCATAGCATTGCAGCTGATCATAGGATGACAACTACACATAATAGTAAGGTTTTGTATAGGACGTAATGAAGTATTCATGTAGTTTACTAGAGACTAATCAGAGTATTTTTGGTGTACCTCCCTCATCTGTGTTCATTTGAACTGAAAGTTGAGTGTTGACAAAAAGGAAACACAGAGTAGTGAATGAAAAGCTTTGTCTGATGGAATCAGCTTATCTGAATAAAGGGTAGCTGACAGCATTTTTTTCAGAGGGAAAATAAAAGGCAAAAATAGTTATGCTAATGGAAAATTCTGCCATGGAAACTAATGTATTTAAGCTGACCAAGTGAAGATTGACATGCTTAGTGAAAGGATTATATGACTAAGTGACCATGAAAGCAAACAACTGGATTCTGTGAGTACAGAAGATCTTTGCCACTTAAGTTCTCCTTTCTAAAGCAAAAGCTAACAGTTGGCATTAGATAAGTGAAGGAGAGCAGGATAAAAAAATAGATAGATGACAGTGGTTAAATTGTATTGTTAATTTAGATTAAATGTTGATCAATATGCAAACCAATCTAATGAGATTCTGGTGTTGAGTACTTACAAGTTACCAATAGTGTCTGTGTACTGTCACAGAGGTAGAGCTTGGAAGTGATATTGGCAGCACCTATAATACGTCATTAAACTGTATACTAGAAAGACAGCTTTACAGCTAAAAAAAAAAAAAAAAAAAAAAAAAAGGAGGGATTATCTGCTGTAACCATATCTGAATGGCATTTCTTTATTCATTGTAGGAGGCAGATGTTGCTGTTTTTCTCCCGATGGGAAAGCGTTAGCTGTTGGTTTAAATGATGGAAGTTTTTTGATAGTTAATGCAGATACCTTGGAAGATCTAGTCTCCTTCCAGCACAGGAAAGATATTATTTCAGAGATCCGATTTTCTCCAGGTAACTGATTTTAAAAGAAGATTTTTATATGCAAATTCTTCAAACAAGCTTTATAATCCTTAAAAGATAAAAGTAGTTTAGTAATACTCTTTAACATGTGAAATGTAAAAGTCAGCAAGACTGATATTAATGTTATCACAAGTATTGGTTGTAAAGTCCATTGTTGGTCATTTAAGGGTGGTATTCTTGGAACAGGTTTGCTTAGAGTAACCTCCTAAATGCCACAGTAATATTTCAAATCATGAACATCCAGCAGACATCCTAGGGACCAAAAAAATGGGTTACACTTTGAGCTAAGTTTAGCTCTACACTTATGTTACTTTTAGCTAAATAGAATGTTTGAAACTTGGTTCCTTTTTTCTCCACCTCCCATCCTTGCAGCTTAACAATCCCAGTGAAGCCAGTGTTTTCAAACATTACAGCTCTTAAACACTGAAATTTAAGGCCTAAGTTACTAATATTGTTTCAGTGAAAATACTCTGTAGTCAAAATTTGACATAAATAACTGATACAAGATCTCATACAACATTGCCATCTGGTTACTTTAGCCTTACCAATGCAAAAAAAAAAAAAAAGATAAAAATTTTATATTATAATTTATTGCTAAACGTGACGAAAATTTCCTACTGAAATGTTGATTATGTAGTATCAGTATTAGTTTCTCAGAATCAATGTATGAATTAGCAGAGGTCATAGAAATCTGACACAAATATAGCTGAATTCCAGGAAGTTCTTGTTTCTAATGTACAGACCATTAAATATTTTTAAAATGTCTCATGTTTCTACTGTTGTGTTGTAGGAGCTGGAAAGTACTTAGCTGTGGCATCTTGTGACAATTTTGTTGATATTTACAATGTAATGAGCAGTAAACGAGTAGGAATCTGCAAGGGGGCCTCCAGTTATATAACACACTTGGACTGGGACGTAAGAGGTAAGTAATAATCATCTGAATTGTAAAAATGTCCTGGAAGATTGACTGCATTACACACTAAAACAGGTAACTTCCATTGACAACATGAATTTTTGATGTTGCTAACAGATTGGTTTTAGTTTGTGAAGATGCTCACAGCATGTGAATAAATAGAAAAACGTGATTTTTACTCCTACTTATATATATTTAGATGTTGTGTAACTTAAGTAACTAAGGGATTTCCTTTATAAATTTTTTTTTTTTTTTTTTACATCTTCTATATTTATCTTTTGACTTCTGTTTCTTAAATAATGCACTGCAAGCTGTAGTTGCACCTTTAACTTAGAAGTATTTATTCTTGAATATTGTGAAAAACAACACTGCCTTATTCTTGGATCTTATTACATGATTCCTGGATCTTAATTCGTTATCAGTTTGAGTATTTTCAGTTCCATTTCGTGCAAAAACATAGCAATGCTATTGTGCAATCTTTCTGTTCCTCCACAAGAGCACCTTTGCTGATGTTCATTTTGAAACTAATTTGAAAAAATGGTGGATGTTGGCTTCCTTTGAGAAATTTGAAAACAAGATGAAACAGGAAGATTAATTAGAACTTTGTCTGAAAAGGAGTATAGAGGCCAACAGAAGTCCGCTAGTTGCAATCAGTTGCATGTACATTTCTCAAGCCCGAGAACATGTGCATTATAGTCAGTCAGGTGCCACTAATTAGTTCTGAATCATACTCAGTACGTTTTATCTGCTGTCTTATGGGACAACCATGAGGATAGTAAAGTGATGTGTTATTGCAGTCTATAGAGTGTGAGTATAATGAGTAGAGTGATGCAGATCTTCAGAAGATCACACTTCAGTAGCATTAGTTATGTATGCAACTTTTAAATGGAAGCAAATGATTTTGTGTATCTATTTTAACTGAATATTCTGATTAATGCTAATATACGTTATGTAATATTTTAATAGGGAAGCTCTTGCAAGTCAACACTGGTGCTAAAGAGCAGTTGTTTTTTGAAGCTCCTCGTGGGAAAAAACAGACAATTCCTACTTTGGAGGTGAGGAAGGAGAATACCTTCTTACTTTGTTTGCAAATTAGAAATATGATGCAGCAGTCTGTGTCACATGGAGAATGATGTATAAAACCACAACTAGTCTGTCCTTCACACTTTTTGCAAGTCGTTCAATTAATATAATTGGGATGATAAGTTACATAGAGGATGTTGTATTTGTTTCTTCTGTTAAGAAGACATCTGACTGACTTGTGCACTTGTGAAAATCTGATATGCTTCTATTAGTACCTAAAGTCCTTTGAAAATCTACTGCAGAATACCTAGCCTTTAAACTTGTTTTGAAAGATCTCTTTCTTTATATAACAATGCAGTATACGTAATATGTGTAGTCAAGTTTATGATGTTATAGATGTAATATTTCATTTTCTCAGATATAGAGCATTATTAGAGAGCAGAGTGTGAAAATGTATAATTTTCAAAGTAATGATTTCTATGAGGTTGAAAAGCAGCGCTGAAAAATGTGATTTGCTTTTTCTAGGCTAAAATGACAACTAAGGTAATTTTTTTAATAGCACATCCACAGAGTTTGTGGCTGTTTAATAAAGTTAAGGCTCTTAAATGAAATTTTGAATAAAATTAGTGGTTAATATTACAATATTATCTTTTAGATGGCAAGGACTTTTTATTGAAATCAGATATGGAAGAAGACTGCTTAGGAAGAAGCGTGCTCTGTCTCAAACAGGTTGTTTTTATAGGTAGAAAAGATTGGCTGGGCATCATGGACAAGTGTTTTGGGCTCTTGCTGTGAAGGAATCTGGCCAATAATTGGTGAAGTCACAGATGTAACTGCTTCATGCCTCACTAGTGATAGTAAAGTATTAGCCACAGGAGATGATTTTGGATTTGTGAAACTGTTCCGTTACCCTGCTAAAGTAAGTAGTTTTCAGCTGTGCATGTAGAAGATTGGTCAATTAAACTACCTTTTAAAATTATATAAAAAATGTAAATATTGATCTTTGGGAACAAAATAGTGCTTTTAGAATTTTGTCCTTATGATTGAGGGAAGTTACTGAATGTTGCAAATATGCAGTGTATTAACCTGTCAGTTACTGAGAATGACTATTCCAGGTCAGACTAAAGAGCCATCTCACTGTGTCCAATCACTGACAGCAGCAGCTGTGTAGACAAAATATAAAAATCTGACAGATATGTAGTGATACTCTATCAAATTCTAGCAGTTTATTGACCAATCGCTTTCTAGTAATGTATTCAGCCTTAGTATCCACAGTGTGATTTTATCGTTGTATTTTTAGCCCCTTACAGTCTTTGTAAGACAATGAACAATTCTTCTTCACTTATTTTGATATCATTCATTTTATGGACCCCCATTCTGTACCATCTCAGTCTTTTCTTCCCTAAAATGAGGATCATTAACATTATTTAACCATGCAACATAGCAAAGTAATTCTGGAAGGATACTTATAGTGCTTTTCGAGAACTTTTTCAGTTTTTCCATGTATTTGTTAGTCAGTAAATATTTCTTCAGTTTTAAATATTTTACCAAATACATAGGCATTTACTCAAAATATTCTGTGTGTGTTTTATTCTTAATCTGCTGTATTATCTTCTCTCTTACAACACACAATGCAGTGTTCATTGCTGGAATCTCTTAATAAAAATTCTTAGATGGTTGGCATAGAAATATGGTTGCTTTTCATAACTTTGCTAGAGAAAAGGAACTTGGCAAATCATGTAATATAAATGCAAAATGGATAAAACATGAAGTGAAGAAGTTAAGTACATGGTATTGGATAAAGATGAACTGGCAACTTGTTTTGATTTGATCAAGCAGATAGGTTAATTTTTTTATCTGTCCTTTTTTTTTTCCTTAGGGAAAATTTGGAAAATTTAAGAGGTATGTTGCTCACAGTACCCATGTAACAAATGTCCGCTGGACCTATGATGACAGTTTGTTGGTCACTGTTGGAGGAGCAGACACATCTTTAATGCTGTGGACTTATGAGGTGGAAGGACATCGGGATAGCCGACAGTGTGACAGTGAGGAATCTGACCTAGATTCTGAAGAAGATGGAGGTCAGTAATAATATACAGGCTGGATTATGCTGCCTTAGAAAAAACTGTTTGTTAATGGAAAACTGCTTATTTAGAAATAGCTTTTTCATGTGATTGTTGTAATAATAGTGAAGATGCTTCAAAAACATTAAGAAAATTTCTCTTTGAGGAAAAAGCGTGTTGTAAAGAAAATGATAATGGAGAAATTTGATGTTCTGCTTTGAGTTAGAATGCATAAAGAGAATCTTGACATCCATAAAATTAAAAAAATTGTGTTAATTATAATTAACTTCCAGAACTGCATACTGAAAAATAAATTTCTAACTGTTTAGATTTGGACAATACTTATCATGAAATTATGTTGAAATCCATACAACACAACATTATATATTGATCTTTTCGCGTATTTCCATTGCAGCTATTTCCATAGTATAAAAACATCATAGTCTGAGGTAGACTAATGTTCACATATTTTATAATTTAATCTATTACAAAATCATAACACTGATAACATACTGATTTTTTTTTTAAATAAAATTCTTATGTTTTTGCGATGCTTAACTTTTCCTTTCACACGTGTAACTCCAAGGGTTCGTGAGCCACTTCTCTCCTCCAAAGTGCAGTTTTCCTTCTTTGTAGACTCCTTAAACATTTTAAACTTGTCTTGCTAATCATCAAATAATTTTGTGTAATACGTAAACTTCAGTTTTCACTGAAATCTACTAGATGACCAAAGAGAAAGTTTAAATATTTGAACGAGTATGGGAATTGGTCAACTGTAGCTTTCTAAATCAAAAATGTCAATCTTCAGTTTTTGTTCGGCTCCTGCCTTATGAACAGTCAACACAGCTTTGCCCAATGAGCTTACCTGTGCTCGAGCACTTTATACAGAATCCTTTTAAGGTATGCGTTCAAAATACTTTCTAAGAGAAAGAGAGGTCCATTATTTTAGAAAGACATTGACAACATTTTCCACAAAAATTTCTCTTTATCATGTCTTGTTAATTTCAGAATTTCAGTTAGATGGCAAATGCATAGAATGTTGCAATTAGTAGTTTTGTTGTTTGAATGAAATGAAGAGTAACAACCCAGTCACTAAACTTTTGATCATAGTTACTATACTAAATATAGCAAATATCATCTTGATACACCTGGCTATTCCTAACCATTATGTGGGAACCCAGTGCAGAACTTTAGATTCTATCCAATTGTTAGAACCTTGTGGATAGATCCTGAAATTGAGAACAACCAGATGCTAAATCTTCCAGAACTAATAGCTGGTGTCACGTAGCCAGATGCTTTTTAGTTACATTGAGTAACCATGCAAACAAAAACAGGATGACTTTGAATGTCACTTGAATGTTTCTTAATAGTTCCCCAAGGACAATTTGATTTCTTAGATTGTTTCCATTAATAATATTCACAATTCCCAGCTGCTTTCCTTCCTTTTTGTATTTGTTTTTAATAAGCTATAATTGTACAGTGCTTCACTGAAAGCTGCACAAATTATGCATCTTTTTTTTCAGTCTTTGTTTCGATTCTGTTCATGTTGATTTTTTTTTAGGTTATGACAGTGATGTGACAAGGGAAAATGAAATTAATTACACCATCAAAGCCTTATCAACAAACATTAGACCAATGTTTGGAATTAAGCCTCATCTACAACAAAAGGAGCCAACCTTAGATGAAAGGTAATTGCTAAATTATAATTCTAGACAAGAAAGCAATCTGGAAGATAATTAATAGTAAGGTATAATCATTTTGAATTGTATATACATCTAAAAGAGATATGTATGAAAAGAATGAAAATAATATATTGGGAAAAAAAGTGTTTATCAGTTGACATGGCTAAGAACTAGGCTGTATCTTCAGAAAGAAGAAAAGACTGCTATTGATATATGTATTTATTATATTTGGGGAATTTCTTGAGATAAAATTGAAACATTTGCTGTTGTTTGATAATAGTCTACTGTCGAAACTTTTACTACTTGCAAGTGATAGCTAGTGATGTCACTGTAGATAAGAAACTATTGAATTGTTTTAAGACAACTTTCAATTTTTTTGTTCTGCCAACAAGTGGAGTTGACTAACTTGTCTGAATTACATCATGTTTCTACCTCCTTGTAATTTCTTCGTTTCTTTGAAAAATTCTGTCAGACATGTTTCTGCAGTTTCTATTAATGAGTCTTGGAAAATATAGTTGATTGCTTTGCATGATTTGGAGTTCATAGAACCCTTAGAGTTGGAAGGGACCTTTGAAGGCCATCTAGTCCAACCCTGTAATGAACAGGATACCACAGCTAGATGGGCTTCCCCAGGGCCTTATCTGGTGTTGCCTAGAAAGTCTCCAGGGATGGGGGCATCAACCACACCACTGAGGAACCTGTTCCAATGCCTCACCATCCTCACTGCAAAAGATTTTTTCCTTATATCTTACCTAAATCTTTGAGCTTGACTAAACTATTTTCCCCTTGTTCTGTCACCACAGACCGTGCTAGTTAGTTGTACCTGGTTCACTAGTGTATGATTTACAAGAGAGAGGAAGTGCTGGGGAGCAGAATAAAGTTAGACCAGCACATAAAGTAAGTGTAAAATAAGGCAATTGAGGAACACTAGTATTGAAGAGTACAGAAAATACAAAGCAGTTTAGCTAGGAGGGAATGTATAGAGAAGTAGCAGATGGGAAGCCTGCAAGAATGTGAGGTGATATGTTATAATGCATTGCCTCTTTCCTTAATGAAGCTGGCAGTTATGTGACACCCTCACTGAGAAATGCAACCTGATGTTTGTGGGGTTTTTGTTGTTTTTTGTTTTTAGGTTTTGTCTTTGAAGTAAGAAAGGGATGCATGCATATAAAGCCATGATCCGTATTTTACATTTAAAATGAAAAGTTGTCTTTCTGTTGATTAATTGGATGATTTGATGTGGAAATCAAAAAATAAATAATATGCGTGATATAAACAAAAATATTCTGTTATGGAAAGCTGTGATTTAATTATGTTAAAAATGAAGCTATAAGCCTCTTGTATTTCATTCAACAATTGTCTTGGAACTGATGGAGCTGTGGTTTTCATTTTCAAGTAGAATATTAATTTTTTAGCAAGTTCACTAGATTCTGATTCAGAATGTATCAAAGCTGATGAAAGGACTCAATTGCTTTCATTACTTAAAAGTTTTGGGTCCTAAAATTTCAAATGAAGGGGGAAAGACATGTCTGTGAAGAATAAAAGCATGATATGGTTTCTGAATGCATTTTAGCTTCTGAATTACTGAAATTAACATTATTTGAGATTGGTAAATGTCCTCTTAGGTCTATTTTCATAGATACTAATTTTTATTTTACTTTATATTCCTTCCCTTTTGCTTCCTATGAAGGCAGGGGGTAGTGAGGTAAGTTCAATTGCACAGAGTGCAAGACATTTTAAAAACTTAAGCAGCTTGAAAAAATAAAGCTATACTTCGACTTGACCTGACATTAGATGAGAGAGCTTTTGAATCCTTGTACTGTAAGGAGCACAGGTGCACACAAATTTTGTGTATATTTCTGAGAATATTCATTTGTTTATTTGTTTTACTACTGAGTGTATGAAGAGTTTAATGCTCTATGGGAGGAGAGAGGGATAGGTACAACCAGGTAATTGATTTCTAGGTCTACGTAGACTTTAAAAATCAAACCAAAAATGTTACTGCATAGGATTGTGGCATCTCGTTTTGAGATTTTGGAGAGATTAATTGGAATTCCTGAAACCTGGCTGAATAATAAAGTTCCCTCTGTACAGAAGGAAAAGAGAAGGACTACTAGGACTATGATTTTTTCATATTTGGAGTATTAAGTGAGTTAGGTCAAATCAAAGGAAGATGTGTACCTGAAAACTCAGTCTTCTGCTTCGGCTTTGCGAAAACATCTGTGAAGCTGTGGGTTGCTCTAGTCCTGGACTGTGACCTGAATTTGGTCATGAATGATGCCACTAGGTAACAAAAATTGATTCACTAAAATTAATTTTATTATTAAGCAGAAAACATGATCTCAGCTTTTATATAATGTCCTAGATGTAAGAATGTGATTACATAGGAAATCAGAGGTCTAGGCCAGTTAGTCTATCAAAAATGCAAATATACGTTATAAGGTAAATGAAAACAATGTCAATTTGTTTTGCTAAAGCTCTACATTATAACATAAAAGAATCCTAGGGTCAAAAAGACAGACTAAGTAAAGGAGGGTACAGAATTCTGCAGTCAGGTAAGCAAGGAATTTCTCTGTGAATTATGGATTTCTGCTGTCAGCATATCACGATAATTATTGTCCAGTGACCCTTCACTTCAAAATAAAAATACTTTTTCCAGAATCTGAATAAAGGATTATTTTTGTTCTGTTATGAGGTAGTTTTCTGTTCTCAGTTTTCTGGGCTTTCTCTTCTCTTCTTTTTTTTATTTCCTTGCAATAGCAGAAACAAAGAAATATTTTGTTTTCACCTTCATAATACCACATGAAAAGGACAGTTTTCTGTGTTAATCATTTTTTATGGCTAACACATTGATTTGAGATGTAGGCTGAATCAATTCATACTTTCAACTATCATTGCCTTTATTTATTTATTTTTTTTACAACAGTCATAACTTTTCCCAGTTTTTAACATGGCTTTTTAAAAATTTAAATCTTTCCCATGCAATTCAGTATTCTAAAGAAAATCATTAGGTAAATATTTTTGAAATCTTAACAATTTTAAGTCTAATTTTGCTACTGCTTGAAATAAAGAATAAAAACATTTTACAACAATAGAAATGAATGGAAAAAATAATTTGCTGTACACCAAGTCTTAATGTTTAGGCACTGCATAGTGTCTGTGATTTAAAAAAAAGTAACTCGATTAGTGGCTTGTAATGCTAAAAGAACTGAATGTTCAGAGAAGAGGCAAGCTGTAAAATAATACAGCTGACATTAAGTTGTTCTAATGGTCTAATAATGCTGAGTATTAATGGAAATGATTATAGGGATTGTGTTGAACTTTCATTCTCTTTAGTAAGGAAAGATATAGATGTGATAGAACTGCAGCATTAAATCTATTTCAACTTGTTTTTCATTGTGTATTTGGAAACCCTTATTTCATGTTGTAGATGTGTAGGAATCTTCATGTTATTGGAAGTTTTGAAATTAAAAAAGACTGGATTAGAGAGACATTCTTTCTAAGTATTAAATTGGCAATCCTTTGTTGGCATTTTGGTACAGTTGGCATTGTATGATACAATGATTGGAAGAAAAAAAAAAAAAAAAAAATTTGGGCTAGCAGACTCTTCCTGTGACTTCTTGTTTACTTTTAGGAGTTAGTTACACAGATATTGTTTCGAAATGCGAGATGCTGGTGCTGTACAAGTTAATATACTAAAGAGAAATATGCTGAAGCTTTAAATTTCACACAAAACTTTATGGAAACTTAAAGAAAAGTTCTAGATACTAAACAAGATTTCAGAGTTGCATCACATTGAAGTCTATTATGGTATTTATTGCTTAAGGCCAACTTTAGTAACTCTACATCATTTCCTTCATAAAATTGTCATAAATGTATTGTTGACATTGGAATATTTATTTTAACTTCTATCAAAATAAAAAAGTAGTAGCTTTTGAGGCACCAATCATATCTAAATTTATACTTTGAATTATTTATAATTTTTGAATAGCAATATTGAAAGATACGTTTTTATTTGAAAATATGTCTACTGTCCGTATGATGTTGAGTTGTCAGCATAATTAAACAAATCAGTAAACTATTTCTATCCTTTAAAAGTTCTTTTCCAAATGTGGTTTTGTGGTAGTTAAATTGCTTAGAAGAAAATCCCATCATGGATGGTTAATTTTGAAAACACTTCTGGCTCAGCAATTCCTTGACCTGAAAACCTCTGAAAGTTGGTATATTAGTCTGGAGAAAATAACTGTATTCTTATGCTGTTCTTAACCTTCCTGAAGTGTTCTCTCTTTGTAACTGTCAAAGAGAGGATACTGTCAATATGACTTATATAAGAATGTTTGTACCAAGAGATCTCAAAAACTAAAGAAGGATTTCGGATTTAATTTTTTAAAATGAATTTACCAAAGATTTTTCAGCTACTTGAACATTTAAAGTGTTTCTCTCACTGTTACCATTATCATGTGTTCTTAGTACATATCATTTTTTAGTCCCTGGGCTGAGATCTCTTATCTGGTAAGATCCACCTGTCAAATATTTTTTGAAATTTTTCTTAGCTTCTCTGTATCTACACCCATGTGCAATCCAAAGCCAGGTATTGTGGCAAAATTGCTTCTTTTTCCTTTCTTTTTTTTTTTTTTTTTTTGTCCTGCAGTGTTTTTTTGTATTTTGACTGTTTACAAACTGATCCACATGTAGAATTCATTTTGACCTGAAAAAGACAATAAATAAACTTAAATTGTTCTTCTGAAGGATTGAAAGAGGGAGAGGAAGCTACTGAAATAAGGATTGTTTTGTCTGAACTTGGGCAGCTCACACATCACATTGACATCAGAATGTGCATTAATGCCAGCAATTAAGCCTTGAGGTTAAAAACACTGAAATTTCTGCAGCCAAATTACTTAGAAGCAAATCAAAACGAGTGTACCTGCTAATCAGACTGATGAAAAGTACCTGTGCATAGTACAGATACGAGTAGTCCGTATAGACTCATGTGCATCATACATGACTGAAAGAAACCACCCAGTGCAAAAAGTTTGTGAAATGTTTAAATATCTTCAGTCAGTACAGACTGAATTAAGTAATTGCAGAAAAAATATAGTAACTATAGATCGGCAGTGATCAGTATCGCCCATACTTTCACTAGCTGAGATAATTGTATTTTAGTATAACAACATATTTTTATGATTGAACTTGAACATCTGTCTTCAGTAGTGAGTTGACTGTTCTATTTTTGAGCTCTTTCAAGGAAGTTAAACCTGCAAAACCCTTCTTTGGGATGTTCAAGTGTTGTGTTTGCCAACTGTTTAAGCACTTCATATACTTCAGAGGTTTCGGTAATGCTTCTGCTTTCTTCTTTAGTTTGCAGTAGGAAGTGTTCCTAAGAGATATATTCTCATGGCAGTGTATGTTCATAATACCCATTGAAATGATCTGAATTTTTCTGTACTGATTAAAAAAAAAACAAAAACATGCACAGCGTATTAAGTAGTAATTTCTTTGTATAAAAGAAGTAAATAAACCAGAAAATTAGTAATAATTATTTATTGAATTATTTACTGACAGTTAGCTTTCAGACAAACTTTTATAAGTAATCCTTTTCTCTTTCCTACCTGCTGCTGAAAAGAGGTTCCAGGTAATGCTTTTATTTTGCTGTCTACTCCACATTGTACTGTCATTTCTCATTTTGTTGAGAAGCCATCTCTCATTTTGGGTGCTACTCCATGCGCCTTCAGAATATAGTAATGTTCTACATACAAATTTTAGGTTTATATGTATGCATTATAGTTCTGTTGTATATAGTAAACTGGATACTTCTTTACCCACCAATATAAAATTAACTATAGGGACCGTTAAACTTTTCTATGTTTTATAAATAATAATTTTCAATATTTTTAATGAAAATATATAGATTACTAATCAGACCAGTTCCTAGTGGACTGCTCTCTATCTCAAATGTGACTTCTCTTATGCTTGTTTGGACAAGTTGACATGCCAGTTTGTAGTTACTGCTTAATATCTAAGTATTAAATTACCTATATGTGCACAATTGTATACAAAAAGGCACTTACTACTCACAAGATTGTGAAATCATGATGACTAATCATTGTAAGGAACCTTATTTATAAACTACCAGATTTCAGTATCTTCTAATGGAAATTGGATCTCTAAAGTTTCACAAGTGACTTTGAAAATATTATCAAGAATAATTGTAAAAATTCATTCTTATAAAATTCATTACCTATTTCATACTTGTTGGTATGTATGGGAAGGCAGTGAAAGTCACTTTGTGCTGAATGCTATTGCAAAATCAGTTGCTGAATTCTATGCCAGTCACCTTAATACGAAGTATAGCTATGATGACATTCAGAGGAAGAGAATGTTTCAGTTGTACCAGCAGCTGTAATTTGCTCTATGAAACCATGCCTCCTAATACTGTACCGTATACCGTAATTTTCAAAAGATAAACGAATGTCTTAACTGGCATTGTGAGTTACCATGGAACTCAAAGAATCAGTCGCACTCTATGGTGACTACAGTGAAGGAAAATTCAGGCAACCATCCTTTATTCTGTTAAAAACTTTGGAAATGGTATCAATAATGAATACAGGAAATAAGATACAGTGCAGGACTAGTGGGTAGCAGTATTTTTTCCATGAGCTGCTTTAAATTGCTTCTGTTTTTTTGGTAAACCATCAAACAAAAACAGTCTCCTAAAAAGAAATGCTAATGTATAAATATGAATTCTATTTTCATGTTGAAAATAAAGTGTCAATATCAAGGTATTTATTTCCCCTGTGATAGATGGCTGGAGTTCTCCTTCAACACATTCAAACTGACCTCATCCATATGTGCATTCACCCCCAAATTTTTTTCCTGTTCTCTCTTCCCTCTTTTGTATATCACTATATGAGCATGCAGGCTATCTTCTACATGCAAATACTTGAGCACTGTATATTCTGTATGAAATGAGTTACTCTATGGACTTAAAAATAACAAATGAAAAACAGCTTTTGCAACTTTAGAAAAGCATTTGGAAAATGTATTCTGATATTCTTCAATATTCCTGCTTTTAAGTGCACAAATTCTCACCCTGAAACTTAATTACAGGGAAAATACATCTGTGTTTATAGTTTGCATTCTAAAACACTACAGTTGATGTTTCATAGACAGGTACTTGAATAATTTTTTTAAAATTACTTATGAGAGTTGCAACTGAGTATAAATAGTCTAGCCAACTTTTTTCAACTTTATTTCGTTCTTTCTTATGCTAATGTACAAATGTTAGTGTACCAACATCGCTAAGGATGACTATTAGCCTGTATTTGTGTCTGTCTAGCTGTAAATCCTTTAAGTATAGATGGTCTTCACAAGGTTGCAAAATATGAAATACTTCTTCTATTCTATCCCAACGAATTAGTAAACAGCAAATATTAGAAAAATTCCACATTCTAGGTGCAAGCAGCAGAAAAATCTTGAGTTCCACTCTGTTTCACTTCCAGTAACATTAACCTGTGACTTGAACGATGTCCTTACGGCTTTTACTACTTTCTTTACTGGGAAGTAGCCCTAACCCTAACCTTGCCCAAACTGGCTACAATATAATAATCTAAAGGACACCATACTCAAAGATTTCCATGCTCTCTGATAAGCATCAGAAATTACTCCTTCTCTCAGATAAGACTTTCTGGAACTGTAAGAGGAGTCTGTCTTTTTCTACTTCTCGGATTTCTCTTTCTCTAGAGGCATTTTTGAGTGCACAGTTCTGTAACAGGCAGGTAGAAGTTCCATGCACAACATACGGTGTGAGGTTATGTATTTCTGGAGCTCCGTACTCTTCTTGCTATTCAATTTTATAGTTGCATAGGGTGGAAGAGGAGATAACAGCGAGAGATTAGTGGATGTTGAAACTAATTTATTATAGGATCAGATTCCTTCCTCTGAATCTGGAGGAATCTAATGGTTAGGACTAACAAAATCACTGGTAATGGGATCAATCAATTTACAACATTTCAACATTATTCATGATGTTCATGTTTGAAAGGAGAGAGGTACATGTTATGTTTGCTTAGTTTAAAATCAACATTATGTGTTCTTAAGGAAGCATTTTTTTATGTAAGCATTTGTCAAGAAAATTCTTGCGTTCCTGTTATTTTTTGATATTTCTATCTGAGTAAGATACCTTTAGTACATGAGCATGTTGGACTTGTTTTATAACCTGCATTGCTGTATGTGGTAGACATCTACATCTAGATATATTTCTCTGTTTTCCATTCTTCATAAAACTTGCACTTATTTATTAATATTAAAAATGAAATGCAGTACGAAACATGAGACTCAGTAACTTTCTGTCATGGCCTGAATTTTCTATCTTTTTATCTTTAAGGATTTCATCTATTAAAATAAGTTTCATTTTTTTTACTATAACCTGTATGCCTTCCCTGTGAAAAGACACAGTATGTTAGTTATCCAGTGTAAAATAACATTTTCTTTTATACGTAGACTTGGATTTTCTATTTTTAAGATTTTACATTTTATAAAATTATAGATTTATGTCACCAAATTAAATATTGTAAGGGTCTCTTTCAGGCTGTATTTCACACAGTAGCCAGTTTTTCAAAAATTGATTGTGTTTGGGTGATACAAACCTTCAACAATACTTTGTTTGTCATCTGGTTTTCTTTTGAAAATTTTCTTTGTAGGCATTTACAGGCTTCTATGTATAGTGAAAGTAACTGAAGTATTTCAGAGCACAGTTTGTGTCTGCAATATAATCTGTGTTATATGTACAATTGTTTTGATTTGTGACACAATAAACCTATGAATTATACTCAAATTGGGCAGAGAAAATGGGAGAATATGATACATCTCAGAAAATGGTATTGTACTTGGATAATTGAAATAGTATTTTTTTGCTCAAAATTGATATTAAAAAAACATCATCTGTTGTTGCTAGAAAAGGTACGGTGCTTAATTGCATCGAAGACATCACTTGAACAAAGATGGAATTAAAGGATAAATTCGTACTAAAAGAAATATTGAAGAGAGTTGATGTGTTGTTTTATGTATGATACCAGTTTGTCACACTGCCTTCTGGCTTAAATAATCTGAATTTCACAGAATCTATCATTAGATTTTAGTTTTAAATGAACTGTTCCTCTCATGGGTCACTCTCCTTTTCTTTATACAGCCATGTGTATTTCATCTGTAGTCAATAACAATTGCTCCTGCAAAACAGAAACAACTGTCTGACTTTGGTCAACAAAATGTATTTATTTCTTTGGGTATAAGCAGTTGAACATTATCTGAAAGATGCTATAGATCTGTATCAGGCATATCTATTTGACATTTCTTAAATCTGGACTATTCAGAACAGTGGAATATAAGTTAATGCTAATATTCATGCATTTGCGTGGTGATGATTTACTTCTGAATGTAGAAATAACTTGCATTTGTTGCTATAAGAACGAATGGGCAGTTGTACCTGGAGTTCCTTATGAACAGTTATAATAAGAAAAAATAGATCCTACTGAAGAACTGTGGGAAAAAGGAATGATGATGTCAAGTATTTAAATAAAACAGGCACGGGGAAGATGGAAGTACTATGAGAATACGCAATTAAAATCTACCAGTTGCCATTTGTTGAAAAACAAGTTTTTGCTTTTATCTCATGGTTTGTTGGAAGAATTGTCAGGCAGTGTAGCACATTCAACATTTCTGAAGTAAGGCATGTTTTTTTACTTTGACAGAAGGATCTTTTAAAGATGAAAACAAATGTCAGTTAAGCAGGATGATGCTAGACATTTTCCGTATGCAGTAGCAGGTTAGAAGGTACTGTGTTAGTATGGAATGGGTGACGGACAGCCTTCTCTTATTCACAGTTCTTTATTTCAGACCACCAGTTAGTAGGGCATTGCCACAGCCTGAGAAACTTCAAACAAATAATGTTGGGAAAAAAAAGAGACCTATAGAGGTAAGAAAAAGCGCATTGATCTTTTTTATATGCAGTATGTGGAAAGCACTAAAAGCACTGTCTTATTTAGGTAATTGTTTATTACTGATAACAGTTGTGTTTAAAAAAAAAAAAGTTTTTTTTTTTTTTTTTTTTTTTTTAAGTAAAGCTCAGAATTAATGATACCTTTGGCTCCAACACCTGTTTTTTGTTGTGCATAGCCAATGCAAAAACTCACTTTTGGTTAATCTGAAGTAGAAATTTCACTTAACTGTGAAAAATGCAATTCTTCATGTCAACTGAAATATTTTTTACAAACTGAAACGAAACGTTTGTTTTAGAGTACAAAATGACCTTTTGCCACTAGTGTTCTAGAAGTTTTAGGTTGTACTTCAGCATTTTTAATTGGCAGCTAGAACTAAGTTGCGGATCGGTGTTCGTAGCCTGACAAAAGGCAAGACCTTAGTTTCTGTTGGTTTGAGACACCATTCAACTCCTTTTCTGTTACCACATCAGAACATATTTCAAAAACAAAATCCTAAAAAACATTGTAAATTTTACTAATTGCTTTATGATTTTGATTGATGTATTTAAATGTCTTTCTTAGGACCTAATTTTGGAGCTGGTGTTTGGGTACCGAGGCAAGGACTGCCGGAACAATGTGCATTATTTGAATGATGGTGCTGATGTTATCTATCATACTGCATCTATTGGGATCTTGTATAATGTGGCAACAGGTAGGAGAAAACCCACTCAAGAATAGTATTTCTTCTTGCATGTCATGCTAGACCTTATGAAATTATTGGTAGAATTTAAATCTAATAAGTTTAAGTGGAAAAACTAATGTTCTTATTCACTGTTGCAAAAGATACCTCCTGTGGAGATCATAAATAGTACCTGCATAAGCAAGCTTTATGTATTTAAATATTTCTGCAAGTTTTATGTATTTAAATATTTCTGGGTACTGAATTTTGCAGAAAGTAAGGATTTGATTATTTTGGTGTGAGCTTTCTGGAACTTGACTGCTAAAATTATCCTAGAAGCTAGAACTTTTGAACAGTGTGGTGTTTAATATTTTCTAAATCTGTTTTTTTTTTTTCAATTTGATTTACTTTTTAGTCCTCTACATCACATCATTCACTATATGCAATTTAGTTCAGATAAAGCAGGCCTTTTAAAAACACAATACCATTTGTTTCTGTGGTGTTTCAGCAACTTGACAAAGAAAATGTCTGAAGAGTTATTGAGTATTATGTATTAAAATTGAGATTAAAAAAAAAAAAATCAGAGGTTTCTGTTTTCTGGGGTAAGCTCCAAACTGTAACATTGCCGTAATACTTTTCTGTAACAAATATTACAAAGTTTTCAAACATTAAAGATGTCTGTATGTGTGTAAATGTTTTAATTAAAGCTGAATTATTTTTTTTTATTATTCTAGGTTCTCAGTCTTTTTACCAAGAACATAATGATGATATTTTGTGCCTCACTGTAAATCAGCACCCCAAGTTTACCAACATAGTGGCAACTGGCCAAGTAGGTATGTTTGTATTTTTGTAAAAAGAAACTAACATAAGAGCATGCATTTAGGCCTTGTGAGTTCATGATAATTCACAGAAGTATTTGATTATGCTATCTCCGTTCGTATGAGTGTTACTCAGTTACCTGTCCTCTTTATATGTTTGAGTATAATTTAATAAATTAAAGAAAAACGTTGTGGTTTGAAAGATGATGCTCATCATCTGTTTGTAGTATTATGAAAAAGATATTTGTTGGGAAATCTTAAGCCCCATTATATTACTCTGTATTTATTTATCAGCTTGTGTTAAACCAGAATACTTAAACTAGTTATTTCATCATGTAGGGCTGTTTAATCAGAGAGTTTTGATAATGTGTAGCTGTAAGAATTTATACAGAAACCAAGACCTAATAATCCCTACAGATAAATTTAGATTTTTGCGGAAAAGGGAGAAATTTCATGGTAACATTGCAATTAATCTATGAGCTCAACAACAACAAAGAAGGCAAAAAAAACCATACTACCCTGTATTTGCATAGCTCGACTAAGACCCCTTTTTTTCAGATGAAAATAATTTTTTTCTGTAGTCTTAGAACATAATGACTATTTTCATACTTGCAGTTGTGTTTTGGTAGGTGGAAGCATACATTATTTCCCGTAGTGCATAGAACACACAAAAAAATCATTGCTTAATCAGAAACAGCTTGGTTGTTTCTTTTTTTCCGTGTTTTTTTTTTTTCCTAGTTTTACATCTGAGTCTGGTCAGTTTGGCAGAGCTTCTTACCTTCTTTCATGCATCTTTTGGATTCTTAAGTGTGTGTTTCATTAAAACTGACTCACTGATGATACTAACAGCTAAACTAAATTTCTTCGACTTTCCTCCTCATCAATTTAAAGAAATTGTAATAATTTATCCAGAAATAGTTATCTGCAGATTTTTGCCTATGGTTTGATTGCAAAGAATATTTGCAAGAATATAGATTATTTTTGTTGTTGTCTTAGGACTTCTTCAGCAGATTTCTTACTCTAGCCCTGTTTATTATTCCGTAGGGTAGAATATATGGGAATAATGTACTAATATTGTGAAAATCTATTCTTTGCATGAATCACTTTCTTCAGTGTTCATTTTACCCAAGAAGAAGTATGGGACCCTTAATGTTTTTTTATTCCATAGTCATTTTTACATCAGCTACCAGTAGAACAATTTCAGTTCATTCATAATGTGTATTATGGGATATAAATCAGGAGCAGATGATGACACTTGAAAACTAACTACAGAATTCTTTGTAAGAAAAAAAATATGTTTAGAAAGATAAAATGGCATAAAACTGTCTTCCAACACTTGTTTTTTAAATTGCAAACAGACATTTAGATGTACAAATTTCATGAAGAACTTATTAAACTGCTGCTACTTGTCTCACTGATATGATTGACATAAACACAGCTTCACTATCATGATTTAAGCCTTCAAAAATTTACAGACATACTAACTTCAAGCATTTCTAAACCGCAGTGCTCTTGTATAGCATTTCCGTAGTATTTTCCAATACCTGAGCCAATAATCCTGATTTCTTATGACACCTATAGACAATCATTGAGTGTATTTGCCACTTGTGAGGTCGGAGTAAAACATTACTTATTAGCAGAATAGTAAATGGCATTTTTTCCACTTAATTTCTTAAGATATCAGTAATGTATACAGGAGGTTTTTTTTATTTAGAGTTGGCAGAGATACTTGAAGTAGGTAGGTTGTTCCAAAAGTAATGTCTCCTATTTATTTCCATGGAAACTACAGTGGATAGATAGAGCATAAGCACTATTTGATAGAGCAAATTCTTAGCTATTTTTCAACATAGTCACCACCATTAGCTATGCATTTTCACTAGCAATGAACAAGAGCCTGCATGTTATGCTCAGAAAAATCCTCACTTGAGCCTTTTCTTTAGTGCAAATTTCTGTATTGCCACATCATGGACTGCTGCTTTGATTCCAGTTCACAGTGGTGTCTTGTCACCAGTAATGGTGTTATCCAGAAAGCTGTCACCTTCAGACTTGCATCGGTTTAAAAGGTCTTGACAAACTTGCATACAGGGTTCTTTCTGTTCCTGTGTGAACATTTAGGGGACTCTATGCTGTATATTTTGCAGTGTTCCAACATTTCCACCATTGTTTCCAGTACATTGAAGCTGATGTTCAGCTCCCTGGATATAATCTACCAATTCGTGTGGACAAGCTGATAGAGATGCTCTTCATGTCATGGTGTAACGGGTGTGCATGGCTGCCTGGAATGTGGCTTGTCTTTCATGCCACCTCTGCTGAGACACAACACCCATTGCCTCACTGCCCTTCTGCTGCCATTGACACATGGCAATAAAATTTAACAGAATAAGAATGGGAAGATGCAGCCGCTACTGCTGTACCACCAACATCTATCTCTTATGTTGTGGACCAACATAACAAAGTAGGAGGCAGTACTTTCAGAGCAGCCCTCATACAGCAAAATAAAATTAATTTTGTTGTAACTCAAAATAGAAATAAAAACATATCCACTCTACTAATTCATATTTCCAGCGTGACCACTGTTTATCAGTAATTTTTCATCTTTAACATGAAACGCAGTGTTGATGCTGCTCCAATGCAAGGAGATGACATCAAAGTGTGTGTTAAGAATTTACACTAAATATGGCATATATTTTCTTTAGCACTTATCTTATTTCTGATCTAATTATTTTTCTGCTGCTTTTCCATTACAGGAGACTCAGCAGATATGTCAGGTAAGGGAAATAAAATTTTAACATCTTCAGGTGTAGTTAGCCTATCTAGTAGCCATCTACAATTTTACAGAGCAATAAATGACATGAATTCATTTTAATTTATTAAAACCCTGTACTGTTAGCACTGAATATAAACAACAGTATTTCAGCAAATTGTAGATATTAGAACATTAAAAATCAAAATGTTAGAACACAATGCCTATTTTGTTGTAACACATTCCCTTCATATTGCCCAGTAATTAGTGAGTTCTAATGCATACTGCTACTGTAGCATTCCTCTGGATGTTTGCAGGTTTTATAGGCGTGTTGGGGCTGATCATTAGCAGTTTTTTTAGATACTTAATTGAGTAGAGTTTTAATTACACATTTTCAACATAAATTCTATTGAGGAGGCCTACGTGACTGAGTGAATAAAGCAATCACCTTTCACATTTATGTATGATTGTCATGCATGTATTACCACTTATCCAAAATGTTTTTTATTGTGTTAGTTTTTAATGTATCATTTTGGGTCTTTGACAGTTTGACAGTCTTGACTGAGCTATTTTTATTAGTATGTGTTTTTTCAAATGTAACCTTAAAAAATCATCACCATCATATGTGACTGAGTTCATTGTTGGGCAGCCATAATTGTCTTAAGACATATCTTCAGAGATGCATAAATATGTGTTAATGTCTACCTAGAGAGTAAAATAATCTTCATGTGCATCTAAAGATTGTTCCTTGAAGAACAGATGTACATTGGCATTCTTAATATGTGTTGACTTCTTTCAAATATGCCAAATTGTGCTTGCTCTGAGGATGGGAGGAAGAATATAGGTACCTTTTCCTACACTTTTAAATTGTATATAATAAGCAGTGATTATATGGTTTTTTAATGTAAAAGAATATCTCAATTGCTGCATATAATGCCTGGAGACTTTCCTTCTCACTTCCTGTTTTGCTATTGCAACTTTGCTTTGAACTTGTGTATATTACTAAATTCTGTTGTCACTGCCTGAAACCAACACTCTTATTTTTTCTTCTTTATCGAACCATTAGTCTGGAATCCAAGCTGCTGGTTGCTTTCATCATAAAGATACAGATTATTTCACTTGAAATTTATTGATGGATATTTGGCACCCTTCCTCTCAATAACTTTTCTAGATACTGTTTTATGCAGTGATATAGTTTTTGAAGCAGCAATGTTTGTCATAGGCTAGACTGGCAAATTAAGTTTCATAATGTCTTGGTATTGATTTATTTCATCTTACTGAAGATATATTTGTGACTAAAATTTTACCTAAGTCCCTGTGCACACTCTTTCTCATTATATGAGTGCCTTTGGGAGGCTAGATTTTGCTAATTACAGACACATAGTCAGGAGCTGAAGTAAATGTTTTTCCATGAATCTGGGTCTTAGATAGCAACCGATAACTTTCCAGATCTGCAGATTTCTTTGAGATTAGAAGGAAAGAAGTTTCAGAGAGACTCTTGTCATCCTGGAGATGCCCTGGACGCTTCTCAGAGATTATGAACTACAGTTGGATTGTAAGATCTGCAGAGAAGGCATTACATTTGGAAAAAAACACTAGCTGTTATCATATTAGAAATACATTATACATCAGTAGTATGGAAAGATGGTTAAGATGGTTCTAACTGCAGAGCTTGCAGTCTAAACAATACAAACTGAGTTAAATACCCTAGTTGTTCTACTTCAGTGAGCAAACTCGGTGTTCTCCCAAGAGAGCATGCATTTCAGACAGATGGCCATTTTGTAGAAAAGGAGATTTTGGTCTTGCACTGTGAACTGATTTCTCAGAATCTATCAGTTGTTCAAAAGCCCTACATAGAAATTATGTTCCTGATCGTCTACTTACTATTTGTAGAGGCTTGAGATAGCATGTTGAGCTGAGTATTTCTAGAATAAAAACAGGAGAAGATAGATAGCTTTCGTTAAAAGATTTGCAGAGCTTTGTAAGTCCAATAAAACATTAAGTAACGTTTTTATCTCTGGTAGTGTAATGAGACCAACATTTTAGATCTGGCTTAAGGAACCTGTTCGCATGAAATTGGTTTTCAAAGGGAGGCCAAAATCTTTCTTTTCTTATTTTCTTTTTGTCTGATAAGAATTTTTTTTTTTGTCTTATTAAAAAATATGTATTTCAGAGAGCAAATCATTACACACTGTAAAAATGTGCACTAATTAACTTTTTTTTATATGTTTATGTAGCTACAGCTCCTTCTATTCATGTGTGGGATGCAATGAACAAACAGACGCTATCAGTACTGCGGTGCTACCATTCTAAGGGAGTTTGCTCAGTCAGTTTCAGTGCCACTGGCAAACTGCTGCTCTCTGTAGGGCTTGATCCTGAGCATACCATTACCATTTGGAAGTGGCAGGAAGGTAGGAAAGTGATTCTTTTTGTAGAATGTGTTTATGTTGTTTGAAGTATATTGAGTTGAGGCAAAGACAACTGTAACATAAAAATATCAGTAGATAGAAAACTGTTGTGGTAAATGCTGTGCACTATGCCCTGTAAGAAGCAGCAAACTAAAAGTACTTATCTGTTTTAATAACTGCTTATAGAGCTTATAGAGCTGCTGGGTTAAGATCAACATTGTTCACTGATTTACAAATAGAATAATTAAAGAAAATCATATTCATCTTAAAAAATAAAAATTAAGTTTTGCTGCTTGTTTTTTACTGTTTATAAATATCTTTGTTACTTCCAGATTAAATTTTCTGTTCTTCTCTAAAGTCTGATTATTTGCTTTACAACTAAAATGATGCTCTAGAAGTTAAACACTGCAGAAACATAGTACTACTATGGCTCCTCTGTGCCACGACATTATTTGTGTGTTAAGTTATCGTACAGTATTTCTGAATGATGTTATATGAGTCAGGATTTAGGACAAAGCCATCTGCTTCCTGTCTGGAAAAGCTGTGCTCAGACTTCAAACTTGATTCTCTAGACTTGTTGATTTATTTCCTCTTACTTCAGAGATTTCTGTTAGTTGGCTAGTATCTCTCAGAATTTTTTGAATCGGCTGCCAAATTCATGCAAATGATCCTCCACAACTTGTCTATCTGGATGCTGCTTCAAGTATGTATGTTATACACATTTGTGGTGGAAGCATGCATAGCAATTCACTGCCCTTTCAGTAAAAAAATATCTATAATAATCTGTAAGAGATGATTCAGCTTCAGCGTGGCAGCTAAGAAATACATGTCCTGGAAAGAACTAAATACCACAGGAAGCCAGGTAACAAAATGTCTTTTGCAGGTAATAAAATTATTCAGGAATCTTCATGTGCATGGGTCGAAATTGTAATCAGCCTGAAAAGACTAAAAGAGCATTACATGGCAGTAATTTGTAATGAAGTCAGTTCCTGCATTTTCTCCAGAAAAAAATAAAATATCTTTAGACAAAATTTCCAAGGTGGTCTTTCATTAGTCTCTTGTAGTTTGTATGCAGTTTGTCAGTTTTAGAGGATTCCTTGTAATTTAAGAGTAGATGGATGCTTATTTGGATCTGTGCTCCTAATTTTCTTATATTCTTGAGGAAATTGAAATCTATAAGTAGAGAGCACGTTCATTAGGTGTTACATCTCAGTGGTAGGTCTTACTAAATCATTTCTAGCTTAATTGTAATTTAGGAGCAGATTTCGCTTTTCTTCATGACCTGTGTGGTCTTGGATGAATCGTCATTCTCCAGAATGAACAAACAAACAAATAAATAAATATTGCCATAAATGTATATTTTTCTGAGTGAATTTTTGAAGTCCATTTTCTTTTTTCCAGGTGCCAAAATTGCCAGCCGAGCTGGTCATAACCAGCGTATATTTGTAGCAGAATTCAGACCGGATTCAGATACCCAGTTTGTTTCTGTGGGAGTGAAACACGTGAGGTTCTGGACACTGGCTGGAAGAGCACTTCTCAGTAAAAAAGGGCTACTGAGTTCCATAGAAGATGCCCGAATGCAGACAATGCTGTCTGTAGCTTTTGGAGCTGTACGTACCTTAAGCTATTTTAAAATATATGCATAAAAAAATTATTGACTCTTCTCTGGTGTTTGCTTTTTTCCCAACTCAAATGAGACTGTAATATCCTGCAAATGATTGTATCAGTTGTCTTAATAAACTCAGTTTAGCATTTCTGTTTTTTTTTATTTAGAATTAATACCAACTAATACACTTAGTGTGTAAATTGATCTGTATGCTGAATGTCCTGGAGTGTGGTATGAGCTTCTTTGAGGATGCAAAGCTCATGAGGATTTTATAAAAAGATGTGTATGCTGAATAAAGCCAAATTTGGAGTTTTCTTCATTCTGCCTGTAGGGAGCAGTTCTGAAAACTTCCTTGATGTTGTCTGAGAAGGAGTTGGTTCCAGTGCTCTGAAACAAAGGTTGAAAACAGCCAAACAGTGTGAGGATGATTGGAGGATTTGCTCCCAAGTTCAATTCCAGTCCTCTTCAATTTACTCATTTATCAGAGGCCACTGCCCTGACCCTTTTAATAAGAATGTAGGAAATCAACACTATTCAATTCAAGGAAAGTGTTCTTACTGAATCTATACTAATACTAAAATACAAGACACTGAATTTGAGGATTCTTCACTTAATAAAACAGTTTTGCTCAATGATCAGTTCCTGTTAGCTTATAGTCTATCTGAAGAAAATGGCCTTAAAATAAGACATGATTACTTGAATTACCTTTCAAAAACAAGCAGAAATAAAGGGAAACACACAACTTTATTCTAAGACAGACTGCTTTCTTCATAAACCTACTGGTTACTAAAGTCATAATGCACGTAGGAGAATGGTGCACTTCTGGCAAGTGTCAAAACTGCTCCTGGTTTTTTGCTTAAGAATATTTGTGCACGACTGATGTACTCAAAACGTAGATTACACTGTGGATGAGTTTTAAGTCACTTCTTTTCCTTCTGCAGTGTGGAGCCTAATGGCAACAAGGAAACCATACATATCAGATTTCAGCAAAGCATACAACAGTTCATTCTGACCTGTATCTTACATCTCCTCCACAATTGGTTGCTCTACACAAGCGGAAAAATTAAAAAGGGCAATCTAGCATAAAAGCAAATGGTTGTGATCTGTGTTTCTGAATATTTTTCTTCCTGCCTTACTCAGAATCAATTGTTGAGTATATTTTTCCTCTTTTCAGAATAACTTGACATTTACAGGTACTATCAGTGGAGATGTTTGTGTTTGGAAAGATCATGTGTTGATACGAATTGTGGCCAAAGCTCACAATGGACCAGTTTTCACAATGTACACCACCTTGAGAGATGGTCTGATTGTTACAGGAGGCAAGGAAAGGCCGTGAGTCATCTTATTTTTCTTTTTTTTTTCTCTCCTGCACACACTTTTATTCTTTAAAAAGATTTGGATTAATTCCTTCTAACACTGAGAAGCTGATTGAGACATTAAAGCTTGGAGAGTAGTAGCCACCCTAAGTAGTAACTACTACCTCCAAAGCCACTACTTTGTGAGCTTCAAGTATGTATTCAAGTACTGAAGCACTGAAATTACACAAAACAAATTCTGTGTTCAGGAAAATTGTGCATTTAGTTCCACCTTGGCCTTCTTAATTGCAGTTTATTAGCGTCTTTTGATCCAATCTCTTTGAGTGTAATAACAAATCATTTGTCAAAACAGTTATATCAGGAAAAAAATATATTGTGTTGTAAGTACTAGCAATTTATATTCTATTTTCTTATTTCTTCTAATGATAATTGTATACCAGCAGTAACTGTGATGAAAATTTTTGGAGTTCTTTGTCAGATTTTCTTCCATAGTCCAAGTTGCTCAGCATTATGGAACATTACAGTTTTTGTTAGGAGAGATTTTCTTTTTGAAGACAAGTTAAACATATGTCCTGGCTCTACTGGAAATGCCAGATTTATAATGCTTTAAAACATCAACTCATTTTTGAAAACTGTTTTGATTCTATTGCGTTTTTCACTGGAATACCAGCTCTCCTAAAAATGACAGGAATACTTTGTGCTTTGATGATTAACACTTGAGTTTGTTATCTCATGTAGTTAACATTGTATGATTTTTCTCCTATATCTTTTGCAATGTATTTCATGGCAAATGTAGTAAAAGATGTGTAGTTGAGGGAAACAGGGAACATATTTTGATAAATGCAGTCAGTCCTAATAATAAGATGGCAATTTGTTCATATAGTTAATTGCTCCTTTGACTAGACAGATTCTCCAAGATCTACTAATTTAAACCAGGCTTAGCAATGACCATCTTTCAGCTTTTTCTGTAAAGTAGTACAGTGAGGACTTTGAATCAGTACTTCTTGCTTAGCTAGCAGGCTCAGTATAGAGCCTCACTTGTTCAGTAAAAACTAATGGATGTTTAATGACTTAAAACACTCAAATGCATCAATTACAGTAAATTACATTAAATTATATATATTTCTTTTATATTAATTGTCCTTTTTGTGCCAGCCATTATAGTCACAGTTGTTCATACTTTCATAATAGATCAAAGGAAGGAGGAGCTGTTAAACTATGGGATCAAGAACTGAAACGATGTCGTGCCTTCAGACTGGAGACGGGGCAAATAACTGACTGCGTTCGCTCTGTTTGTAGGGGCAAGGTAAAGGAATCATCATGTGTTTGAAATAAAGCTTACAACTTGTGGTTTGATTTATAGCATTAAGAATATGGCACATCCCTTCCTCTCTCTCCAATAATTGGTATTTGAAATGAAAAGTTTTGCTGCAAGTTATCTACAACTGACTTGAAAACAGGAAAAAGAAATCTGCTTCAGGAGATCTTAGTCCAAATTAGGTTAATGTTCATTATATATTTTGATTGTAGACTAACAAGGACTTCTATTTTATATTTTTTTCACTTTTCAAATATCTGACTGGCAAGCAATAAGTCATCTGCTACCACTTATGTACTCCTTTCTACTTCAGTAGATCATAGCTGAGTTTAAAAAGTAAATTAGCTTTGATTAGTTGATTTGAGCAGATTTTCTTAACGTAAGTATAGCTTTGATTTATATCTTTACTAATGTTAATCAGAAATAGTTAATGTATTATATCAGAGATGATTCTTTTACTGTTTAAGGGAAAAATTCTTGTTGGCACAAGAAATGCTGAAATAATTGAAGTTGGAGAAAAAAATGCTGCATGTAACATTTTAATTAATGGTCATATGGATGGACCAATCTGGGGCCTAGCAACACATCCTTCCAGAGATTTTTTCCTTTCTGCTGCAGAAGATGGCACAGTACGGCTCTGGGATATTGCTGAAAAGGTAGGTGTTGAAAAACAGTTGTTTTGAGAAAAATTAAAAAGAATCCTGGACTTGGGATGATTTTGCAGACTCAAAGCTTGCTTTTAAATCTACTCTGAGAAAGATTCATGTGATATTACAAACATAAAGTACTTTTGAAATAAGAACAAAAAGAAACATTTACTCTTCTGCGTTTTTATTCCTTCACAGAAGATGCTGAACAAAGTCAGCTTAGGACACGCAGCTCGTACTGTTTGTTACAGCCCAGAAGGTGATATGGTAGCTATTGGCATGAAAAATGGAGAATTCATTATCTTGCTTGTGACCTCTCTGAAGATTTGGGGGAAAAAAAGAGATAGAAGATCAGCTATCCAAGATATCAGGTTAGAAAATGCAATGAATTTATATGCTGTAATATCCTTGACATTTCTATTCTTTTGATTTTTAAAGAATATAATTTAATTGAGTACTTTCTGAGGAGGATTGCAGTAACATTTCAGAGTGCTGGAATCAGTGCATTCATGAGTTGGTGTCATTATTCTTGTACCTATAGTAAAAAGGAAGGATGAACTACATGAACTTTAAAAGTAAATAATAAGCAATCAAAACCAGGCCTTCTATAGTAGTGGGTTTCAGGTGATACTGCCAAGAATTCAAGATTAGTTAAAATGAAAGAGGAAGGAGAAAGTAAACAAAAAAAAAGAAGAGACTATCATAATCACAGGGCAGATCAGGAGGTGTAAGAAAGAGCAGGGTAAGACAATGTGTAGGAGGTAAAATGAAATCAGAGGTTTGCACGACTGAATTGTGAAAACCCATGGAACTTGCCTCTGTGTCAGTCCCCTAAAGGAGTACAAGACTTTTCCTTCTGTAAGATAAACTAATCATGTTTGGCTCAAAGGAACTTCTGGAGACTATCAGGCACCCTGCTGTGGGAGGGAGGAGAACCCCCACTGAAAGGTAGAGTTTGCAGAAGGCTATGGCTTGAAGACAACAGAAATTGGGAAATTCCCTTATAACACTAATGTTACTGTGAGGAATTTGTACAGATGAAAGATTAGATTTCAAGTGGTTTTATTTAGTAAGTTCCATCTAGAAGATCTGAGGTTTCTTTATTTAAATCATTTCACTTTTTTATCTTGTAGCCTTGTAAGTATAGCCTTAGAGAGTCAAAGTCATTGAGGGTGTGTCACAGTTGTTTTTACATTGGGATGATGATGATGATGAGACAATGAACTGAATTATTCCAGAGATGTTCCTTGCTCACTTATATATGACAGCTCCACCAGAATTATTGCCACATTCCAATGTATATGCATTCCCCCAAAATTTAGTTTCACAAGTTGTTTTGCTTAGCAGACAAAAAAAAAATCCCTCCTATTCTGAGTAACAGATGCCTGAAATGGAATTTTTCCCACGCATCTCAAGTATTAGAATCTGCTGTGAAATCAAACCTGTCTTAAAAACTATCATAAGTTTATGTATTCATAATCTCTTTCTCAGGTTTAGCCCAGATTCTCGTTATTTAGCAGTCGGTTCCAGTGAGAACGCAGTGGATTTTTATGACCTGACATTGGGCCCCACGCTAAATCGAGTCAGCTACTGCAAGGATATCCCAAGTTTTGTGATCCAGATGGACTTCTCTGCAGATAGCTGTTATCTCCAGGTATCAGTTATTAATTGTTCAAGATACTGAATAGTAAATGTACTTATGCTGTGTAGGCGTGTTCTCCTTTGAAAACTACTACATTTTGCAATGAAATGTTGGAGTAGGAGGTTCCTGTCACAAGACTTACTGTATTGTGGTACAAGGATTACAAAAATAGTTATCCTGGATATTAAACGCAAGAAATAAGCACAAAAAGGAAAAACGTGTTTCAAAATCACTGTAATGTGTTTTCATTTTCTCGATGCTTCCTCTTAAATGAGGAAGCGTACAGTCTATCATTTAGTAAGCCTTAGGGAACTGTGAATCTTCACATCCCTGACCATCATTATGCTTATGTTCAGTTCTGCCCTTCCCAGAGCAGCAACAAAACCAGGGTGGTAGAACTCCCAGCCACAGGGCGGAACACATTTTTCAAAATCAGAATAAATTAGTCCTACTTTGTTTTCTGTATTTTGCTCATATCTGAGAAGAGAAATTACATGAGCTTGGTTTTGCCTCTCCACACCGAGTGAAATACCTGCTTATCAGTGTTAAAGATAGAAGTTAATTTTATGTTATTTATTGATATGCATACATACATAACAGCATGCACAATATATGGAGAGAATGAACGTTATGTGCAGAATGTGAAGTATTTCAACTGTATTTTCTTAATTAGACATTTTAAAATTGAAGATTTCTTACACTTTCTCACTCTTGCCATATACTTGCATAGATTTTTTTATTATTTTCAACTCATTGAGCAAGATGCTTTATTAATAAATAATTTTAGAGGTACTATCAAGAAAATCAAGAAATCAAGAAAATGCAAAGCCCCTCTGAATTATAATTTCATCATTTCAAACAAGCCCATGTATTTTAAATTCCTATTAACTCTTCTCTGCTCATCTGCAAGGTATCTACTGGGTCTTACAAAAGGCAAGTCTATGAAGTGCCTTCAGGAAAACAGCTTGTGGACCAGGCTGTGATTGACAAAATAACTTGGGCTACTTGGACAAGGTAAATGATTCACAGATATACACCTATTAAAATGCTTGTAACTTCCAGGAGAAGTACCTGCTATTTAAATGTGTATTTCGTCTCTTCATTCACATACTTTCCTTTAATGCACCTACGTGCTTTGGCAACTTATCTTATAAGCTCTGGGTGGCAAAACAAAGTAAATAGCTTGTATGGTAGAAAAAGAGCTGCTTGACTGGCCAAGGTAACATAAAAACTGACCTCTCCAAAGTTTGCCTTTCTGTTTGTTATGTATCATCTCTAACTTCCTTTGATCATATCTATAGTGGGCTCAGTAGATTTCGTTCTGCTATGCAAGTTAACTGGCCTACTACATTTTTTGTTTCAAAAGAATGATTTGGGGATACGCTTACAAAACAGTAAGAAACAGTACAAGACTGGTAGTTTGAGTTTTATTCACAGGATCACACTAATTGTAACTGTATACTAAAATTCCTAATAACATTTGCGTATTAAAAGTTGTACAAAAAAGTATTTTTAAAACCCTAAAGTTATTACATTTAACTAAAAATTGATTTAGAAATTACATTAAGTATCACATCATATAACATTTTTATTATATATTTAATCATTTATTTAACATTATGCAAATCTGATTTCTTCTGCCTTATTTTGAGCTGCTTGCCTGCTTTTGTTTCGCTGTCTCAGTCAACAGTTGAGAATAAGTACACATATAGATTATGTTAATCTGTTGTGTAGTAGTAGTAATCCTGTAATATTTTGTTGCAAGACCAGACTGAAACTATGAGTTTTTCAAAGGGCTCTGAATACTGAGGTAACTTTGGATTTCTTTTTGGGTAAGCCATTAAGTACTACTTTCTTTACATTCTTAAAAGTATGCACATACATTGTATGCACAGTTGAATAAAAAGAAACTTTTGAAAAGGTTTTGCAAATGAGGTTTTCTATTAATGTGCTTTTTGGAATCATAAGATCTATATTTCTTCTTCGTTACCCTCAGTCCCCTCCCCCACCACTCCATTAATGAATAACCTTCACTGGACACAAGGAGCCTTCTCATCTGATGATATGATATGAAAATGTTACAGACAAACATTGTGACAATGTATATTTTAAAACTGTTTTCTGATAACTAAATTTTATTTGTCCCAGCAGTGTCTTTGAGCATTCTGTCCTTTCTTAATTTTTTTGCAAATACCTCACTGCGCAGTATTTGTGCTGCTAATTTCACCTTCTGTTTGTTAGTGTTGTAATGGGACACAGTACGTGGGGAATTACAGCACTCAATAAATTTCAGAAGCACTTATATGATGATGTAAACATTAATTAAGGAATAAACTTTATGTGAGATTTGTATGTATAGGAATAAAATGTAGGAACAATATTTTTCTGAAACGTTACATTAATAAGAGTTGCTTACTATTCCCTTACTGTATTGCTTTTCCTGCGGTTTCCAGAAGTATGTCTCTCTCTTCTTTTTCAGTGTTCTAGGTGATGAAGTAATTGGAATCTGGTCCAGACATGCTGAAAAAGCTGATGTGAACTGTGCCTGTGTCTCTCACTCGGGAATCAACCTTGTAACAGGCGATGATTTTGGCATGGTCAAACTGTTTGACTTTCCATGTCCTGAAAAATTTGTAAGAACCTGGTTTTTGCATGGCTATTAAAAAATAAATAAATAAAATACTGCTGATATTATAAAAAATATTTTCTTCTCTGAATTTGTAGCTTTGTAATGCATCTTTGTAACCTTAGTTTCAGTCTCATAAGCATGCTTGATCTCAAGTTCTTCCTAATTTTCCATTTTGTACTGTGACGTTTGCTATAAGTTCTGATAGGTGTTAATACTGTTTGCCAGGCTGCCTTAATGTAGCACCTTCTTAATTTTTTTTAATCTGCATCTCCAATCTCTATTTGACAGATGAGGAAAACATTTGATAGTTTTAGTCCCATTGACGTATTTCCATGGATGAAGTGTTTATAGATTTGTCAGTAATACTGGCATAGTTCATTTTTGGGATTTGAGACTGCACTGCATTGATAACTTGTAATGAAAGACATTTCTTTTCAATATTAGAAATTATAAAAATAAATATCAAAATAAATATAAATAAATATGAAAAATTTCTAGACAACTATCATGTGACAAAATACATTTTGTATTTTTACGTTAATGCTTAAGCATTGCTCCAAATTTGCAGGTGCTGTCTCATTTGGAGATAATTTTATCTTTGCAGCTCAGTGGTGGTTCTTCAGGAGATTTTTCACATCTGAAAGCCTATGTAGCATTCTGAATTATATGACTGTATGATGCAATAAAAAGGTAGATAAACGCATGCCTATTTGTTTTGATTTACAAGTGCGCAGAATATTTAGACTCTTTCATTTCATTGTTTTTTTTCAGGCAAAACACAAACGATTTTTAGGTCACTCTGCCCACTTAACCAACATTCGATTTACAAGTGGAGACAGATATGTGGTTAGTGCAGGAGGGGATGACTGCAGGTACGTATCTGTTCTGTTCTTATCTGAAAGCATGTGGGAGTGGACAGGGATAATCCATAACTGTATAAAGCTCAGGCTCAGAATTTGAATCACTGAATATCTATGCTTGTTTTTCTGTTACACACACACACACACACACGCACATATATATATATGCATATATATGTAAAGAATATAAAGAAATATATAAAGAAGTAAATATTTGCAACAAAATAGCCCAGATGTCAATATGAACAGTTAAGATTTACTAAATTAAAATGTGTGTATTTCTGTATTCAGAGCATCATACATTTAAACATTTTTTAAAATTTTCACAGTGTCAGCTCTTTCTTATATCTTATATTTAATTTCTTTTTGAAAATACAGCTTATTTATTTGGAAATGTGTACATATGCCTCATTGAGGGAGACATGGAGACTTGCAAAGAGGACGCTGCATGAAGTACCAGGCATGAAATACCCAGGATTGCAATGTGATATTCTACTGTGCCCTGCATGCTTAAGAAATGGTGCTGATCCAAGACACAGAGTAATCTGTCTTTGAAAGACAAGTATCTAGAGTCTGTCAGAAGATAGACTATAAGAAATATGCTGAGGCCATTAGATTTTACTTCTGTAATCCGGGTTTGTATTTCACTCACTGCCAGATGTTGAAAATGAAAAACGTGGATAAATGAAAAAAGGGAATTGTTAGTCAATGTACAGTATCACAGTAAGAGCCTGGGTTTTGAATCAAGAGATGTTATTTCTGATCTAGTACTGTACGTTGATCTATTCTGAGCATGAATGTTTCTGCTTTAAGTTTTGGGGTCTGAATATCATTGAGAAAAGAGTATTCCATATTTTATTACTGAAAGAAACCATATATTAAATATATAGTATTTTAATAAATGTTTAATTATTATAATGGCAAATTATATTTCTATGACTGATCAAAAGGAAGCATCATTTGATGAAGCAGAAAATAAGACAGCTGATTCCTTAGGGCTTAAATATTTCTGTATTTAGAGGCCTGGGTCACAATCATGTCTGGTGAAAGCTGCTGGATATGCATGATCTTCATGACTAATTTAGTGTTTTTGTTGCACTTAAACATTAAATTAGTTCCGTGAGCAAAATCAGATTTGCTCACATTGTGAGTGCCTTGCCCACAACCTAAAAGTCTAACTCCAATTTTTGCCTTGTGAATAAAAGTTATTCTCAGTGGAAGAGAGGTGATTGCTGTGCTGCTTGACTAGGCTGCTAGCCTCTATATTGGAAGTGTGGACTACAGTGAGAATTTTGTAACCTTCGTAATTGACAAGGCTTGGGATATCACCAGTTGCAAAAATAGAATTTCTTAGCAATATTAATTATTTTCTCAGCATCATAGGAAATTCAGAGAGAATATGAAATTTCCAAACTCTATATTTTGTGCATTTTAACTTTTTAACAGAGTTGGGACTAGCTGGGATAAGTGTCTACTCAGATTTCTCTCCTGATTGTAAAATACATCCAATCATATGCTTCTTTAAATGGACCTGCTGTCACCTCTCGCAGGAGTGCATTTATTCTATCCTGCAAGGGTAGCTGAGGTGAAAAAGAAAAACACCTGAGTGATGGTGAAAACCTGAAAACTGTAAATGAGGTAGAAGTGAGGAAGATTTCATCAGCTATTTGTCTAAATCACGTCATAGCCATGCGCTGCAGACTGAACCTGTTATTTCAATCAGTGTGGTTATTTTTTCATACAACACAGGAGGGAATAGAAGTAACTGATTATCAACACTACTCACAATTACATTCTGATAGGAACATGAAGTTCTTTTTGTCTGTGTAAGTCAGTGTTGCTTTAATGATGCCATTTGTTTAGGTCAGTCAGCAGATTTGATAATTGTTCCCCTCTTGCATTCTCTTATACCAGATATGTGACATAAACCTCATCTCTTCTTGGAAGCATCTTGTGTGCATGGTAGTTCTAGCGGGAATGGGAAGGTTTGCATGTAGAAGAGGAGGGGAAAAAAGTTTATGAGCCAGACTTTTGTGCTCTCCTAGATCCAAAGATGTTTGTTATATACTCCACAAGCTACTTGTCCCACAGACTCAGATATATTTTATATATCAAGATATAACAAATATTTATTTTAAAGAAGTTGATAACTAGACTATTGGCAGGTTTTTTTGGCTTAATGCTTCTTAGCAAAGCCTTGCCAGTCATGCAGTTGCTATTCTGCAGGATCAAATACTCTGTGAATGTGGTCCGTGAGTGTTGAGGGAAATCTTATCAGTAACATCTTTAACTTTAGGGGAATTGCATCTGAGAAATGAGACAAGACCTGATTTGTATCATCACTTTGTTGCCTCTCTGCCTATTTTGTGTGAAAATTGGTATCTGGTATTTAAATCTTGGCCGGAGAAATCAATTGTAATATGCTGTACTATAGCTGTAATTCTTTCCCTTTCTAAAAACATCCGTGAAGGACTACTTGAAGTAAGATTTTTTTCCTGCCTCTCTTTTAAGATTGCCTTTTATCAGTTTAATTTGGATGGCTGTTAAGAGCTCCTTCATAGTCTGTCCAACACAGACTGCCAGAACAAAGTCCATTTCCAGCCTCTTATGAGTTTTCCCCTCAAAATCCTAGGCTCAATATTTTACATCCTTACGATCTTCTGTAGGCCTTCATCTGATGTTAGAAATATGTGGGCCATCAAGTTTTGTTCCTTATCCCTGTAGTATCATCTCTGATCATGTCCTCTTCTCCTCCACCTGTGTTAATTTAACTGTGCCTCTCCACTGATAATTTGTCATTGGTGCTCTTGTCCTGATAAATCTCAAATGCCACATGGGTGGTGGAGTACCAGCAAAAATTGATGGGTAGATTGCAGCTGGGCAAGACTGAGAGCAACAGTGCAACAGCCGGAGCTCCAGCTCTCCCTGTTTCTTCATTCTCTTCTGAACCTCATTGCAACTGTAAAAGGGCTGGGAGCTGGGGCAGGGGCTGGAAGCTGAAGAATGTTACAAACAAAACTACCAGCCTTGTTCTGCCTGTTGCAGCCAACTTGGCAGCTGGTTTTTCCCTGACAAAGTGCTCAGGGGTTTGCAAGGTAAAATGTGGTCAGCCAGCAGGGAATAGTCAAGAATGGTGAGGAGAATGTACAGCTTCAGTTGCAGATTTGTTCTTGAGGACCACTTGGAGAATGTTCTGTGCAATCAGCTAGCTGCAGGCACACTTCAAGATGGCAGCTTTGTGGTCTTTGTGATGGTGCTTCTTATTGTGCCTCATTTGCTGTTTACATTAAGTGCTACTGTAGTAACTTGCTAACTGTTGCCACCAAGATTGGTGCTTGAAGCCTGTGCAGAGGGCAGCAGGCTGCCTGCATCAGTGGGCATTGGGACCTTGTAGCTGGTTCTCAGAAGATAGAGGCTGATGTGGCCTGATATGGCATTTTGATAAGGATGCTGGAATGCAGAGGGATTGGTCACAGCCTTGTGCTTGTAAACATTGGAGAGAAGAAAAGTGGGCTAAAGGACTTGATCAAGAGCTGGGGAAAGCCTGTTCTGTGATTATGCAGTGCTAAGGAATTGGAAGGAAAACTTCTTTGTGTATTTGGATTTATTTTTTAGTTTACTTGGACTTATTTTCTAGTTTAGTTGTCTTTATAAGTCTCTTTGTGGCTAGCAGCAAACATGTATCTTAGGGATCTTTACAGTCAGCAATGCAGAACAGCCACTAGAAGGGGACCTACAAAAACCATCTGGTCCATCTGCATGACCACTTTAGGGCTAACCAAAAGTTCAGGCATGTGTTGAGGTCTCTTGAAAGAAGAAAAGGAAATAGAGAACTGTCTCAAGGAAAACAAAATGTAATCTCACCTAAAAAAAAAAACCAAACAGTCTTGAAAGCTACTTAAGTATGCTTGGGGGGGGGAGGGGGAAAAAGATAATGGGAGAAGGCAAATCAAGCTCCTAAGAACAAACAAAAATTAAGTACATTTAGAACTGAAAGCTATCATCATTAAGAAGTGAGGAACACAGTAGAGAGAACTAATAAGCCAAATCTGTTGAATCATTTAGTTTTGAAATCTGAAATTTCTCATTCTTAAGAGAGTAGTCGTATACAATTTCAGATTTTGATTTGATAAAGAAGGCAATAGATTATATGAAATTGGAGACAAAAGAAGGCACTTCAGACAATTAAGGCTACTTTATGACTTGGTTTTGATAGTTGAAGGAAAGTTTCAGAGCAACTTCAGTTTGGCTCAATATCAGGTTTTGAACTTTACACAAGTCATGTTAGTACTGACTTGGAATTGCACCATTAGGAAGAAAGCAGACATGACTTACCTCCTGAATCTGGAAAATAGATCAAAATATAGGACCTCAGTACCTAGAGCAGAACTTTGAGAGCATTCCAAGTGGCTTAGTTTAAACCTGCAATCCATTTCTTTCAGCTGCTGCCTTGTCTCTTTCTCTGGCTTCCAAGTTTGCCAAGGCAAACGAACCCTTCTTTCAACAGGCCCTGAGCACCTGTCTGTGCTGCACCTCACCTGCTTTCTAGATTGCACCCAAGAGAGCTCAAGTCTTCTTTAGCAGATGGATTTCACTCTGAATCTTTACTTGGGAGTCTTAATATATTGCACTTTGCACTGTATGGTGTAACAGTGGGGCAGCCTAAGGATCTTGTTTTCAAATGCAGTTCTTACACAGGCAAGATGATATATTTCCCTATTTCGTTATCAGTGTCACAGATGGGACAAGCCTTAATCTTTAAAGATTCCTTTTATTCTGTTAGTGTAAACAAATGTTAGCATAGACAAATGTTTTGTCAGTATTTTGGGCAAAAATACTGTCTGTAGGCTCTACAGAAAGGGAAGTCAGAATGAATTGTCACATCTGTGATTTTAGTATCACTTGCTGCATTGCATTTGCACATCCTTGTTCTGTCAGTTTTCTTACGCTTCTTGCAGTCTGCTCTGTTTTCCTAAAGTTTATGGCACCATTCAGTCTTTGCTCATGTATGTATGGATAGATAAGTGAGCTTGCCAAAGCCTACTATGCATTCTTTATACCGAGCACTGTGGCACGGTCAGACCAAAACCATTTCTTTGGTTCTCTCACTTCTGACCTTCAGCTAACTTTGGCTTCAGACTTAAAATCTGCAGATCTCGTTTCAGGAGGGGAAAAAAAAAAAGAAAGTGTTAGGTGTATAACATGCATAAGAGCCACAATTGATTACCTTGCCAAAATCATTCATTAGTTAATAGTAATTAGTGTGTGGGTTTGTTTTTTCCCAGTCTATTTGATGCTAGAACAGGTTACCATCCCCTTCTCAGTTTACTTGCAGCATAACAGTCATAACTCTGACATGGTTTTTGTTAACTCAGTTAAGCCAACTAATCTAACTAAATCTCTTTAAGAAAAAGGAGGGGGAAGATAGAAAAGGCGCAGAAGGTGTTCTTTTTCCCTCACAGTGTGGAGAAAAAATAATTAAGATCTGTCTGAGCATGGTGGCAATAGGCAACTATCATCATTTCATATACTTTTTGAACTATGGAAAATGGTGGGAAATTGAAAGCCAGTAATATAAACCCAGGGAAAAGGAGAAAGTGGGAAGCAAAGGAAAGGGGAAACAAAGGAAATAGTCAAAGGCAAGGCCAAAGGACTGGCACTGGTGGAGGGGAAGCAGCTCTACACAAAGAACAAATGTCTTATTTCAGATGGCAGGTCTTCAGGGATGGCTTATAGGGTTGGAGGACTAAAGAACTGTAGTGTTAAGTAAATAGTGCTCAGGGAAAGGCTGCTGGCAACTTTGTTTGCTGGTTTTGGGGAGACGCAGATTCTTATTTGTTGCTTTTCAACTCCTGTGCCTGTGGGACAACCATTTAGCACAGGGGTGCTGCAGCCAATGCTAGTTACCACTGTTGCAGCATATGCACATTGGTAGCAAGCAGTGTTGATGGAAAAATGCTTTGTGATTTTGAGAGCTCAGGTAAAAGAGTTTAATATTGTATTTTAAAATGCTCCTTATCTTTCCCGTGTAAACCAAGAATAGATTTGTCTTAACAGGCCTCTTCTGCTTTTTTTCCACATTTTAATTTCCTTAAATGCTTTCTTTAAGCAAAACATTTTAAACCAAAGAAACATTATATATTGGAAAACTTCACAGCCAGTCTCTGTCAGGGGCCCTGGGTGTGCATGGAGCAATCTGAGGCACACGTGGGCTGAATGGTCCTGCAGTGGTTCTGTCTTCAGCCTCCAAATGCAGGTATGATAAATCAGAGGAGAGGAATGTAAAGTAGGCCTGTAAATCGTATCAGTAGGAACAAATTGGTGATTACAAAATAAGGAAAAGCCATCTCAAGGTAAGCTTTACCTTAAAAATCCAAACTCAGTACTGGTTCTACTGAGGAGACAAAGTTTGACTTTCATGTGTAACAACCCTTGGTAAGAAACATCAGATCTCTGCACAAGTGTCTGAACTATTCTGAACCTGCTAGAGGACAGCTGAGTTTGGCTCATGAGAAGCAGTGTGTCTTGATTTCTCTTTCAAAAGCCAAAATCCAGAATTTTTTGTTTCAATTGCTTGCTGTGGAATAACCTCAAGTCCTGCAGAGCAATTTTGTCTTTTACTTACTTGCACTTCTCCTTTGGTTTGGGCACAGATGTTATATAGGAACTTATTTGAAAAGAGAGCAAAAAATATATATAATTTTGGCTGGTTTTGATCCCATGTTTTAAAGATGTGTTTGACTCCCACCACAGTTTGCTACTCTTTCTGCTCAAGCAATGCCAGGAGCTGAATGGCACTGACTGCAGCTTTCACAATTTGCCTGGGACTTGAGGACTTCTCTGGCTTTCCTGCGTTCTTAGAATTGTGTCACACCATTTGAACTTTGAAGTGGTCCCAACAGAACTGACAAGTTAAACTATGGGAGTAGCACTGTTCATGCTGTACTAGTCTTTCATAACATGAATTCTTCTTCCTCAGGGGACAGATGTTATCCCAGGTGTTTCTTGTAACTGCAGCTTTCAGACAGCTTTCACATAGTGCCATCGTCAGCTGTTCTCAGTTGGTCTGAGCAGGAGATGAATGATGATGATAAAGATGTCGATTATTGAAGTGAGTATTGCACTGATTGGTTCTGAAAAGGAGATTTAGTAGGGCTACAATTATTTTCAGGCCTCTGTAGGATTATAAGCCAGGAGGAAATGAAAGTTCTACACATAATATCCAAAAATTCATTTGTTATCTTTTGCCATTATTCTCCCACAGGCACTACTAATCTAACTTCCACCAAGCATGAATGCTGGCACAAATTGCATGGAAAAAAAATGGTTTTCTGTACTTTAGTGAAATGTTGGTGCTGTTGGGTAATAGGGGGAGTACCTTCCATAGCTCTGCTCTGTTTTTCCTTTACTTGCTGCTACTCAGCTTTGTGTTGTGCTTTCAGAATCAAAGTAGATATTCTCTTGTAAAAAAAAAACAAGCAAAAAACAAAAAACAAACAAACAGTATTTGGTAATTATGAGCTTAGTTTATGCTTTTTAGTTCAGTTGTGAGTAGATGGCATAATATACAAAATAGTGGAAAAGCTGCATTGTTAATTTGTGAGGAAAGCTGATGCATTTTTAATGTGAAATTTACCATAAGCATACATTCACGACCACAGCGATTATTTAAAATAATGTAACAATCTAGGTAACTGCATTAGACTCGTTCCCTTTAAAAGTTATATATATGCACTTTTAGCTTTAAGTGGGGTTTAGTCACTCTTTTTTTTTTTTTTTAAGCAAGCAGAAAAGAATCTGCACCTTGCCTTACTCTGAACCTTGTACAGTAGGCACTAAGACATCTGAGCTGCTGAAATTCAGCAACAGAGTGATAGTTTGCTTGCTCTGAAAAGGAAAAAGAACTTCACGGTGGCAGCTTGTTCTGAAAGGGGCAGTTAGTGAAGGTATTGGAAAAATAAATAAGTAAGCCCCATAATTTGAAGAAGTCATTTACCTGGGAAAAAAGACCAACATTGCAGCATTGTTACAAAGCCTAGAGCCCGTCCTTTGCTATTCTCCTCCCACCAGGTCACCTTAGGAGAATATTTTACTGTAGTTCTTTAAGCTTAAAATCCAGTTGTCTGTTCAGATTTGTTGTGTTTCATTATGGAGTGTGTCCGATAATCCCTTTTGCTTTAACCAAAAAAGAAGTATTTTGATCTAGTCCAAAGGTATGGTCATGTATTACTGTCATAAGGATCATGGGTTTCAGTGTACTCTATGTTGGTTTCCACCATGAACATCTATTTCCTGTAACAATGTTGTATGTTTATTTAAAGTAAAGCATATATATTATATATATATATAAAATATATATAAATTAAACATCAGATTTTTGCATTAAGATTTTTTTAAATTTGATTATGAACCTTGAGTACTTTAATTCACATTTAAAATCTTAAAAATAATTTCCTGGAGCATCACAGTTCAGAATTCAAGACTGTATTTGTCAAATTTAATTTTAAAATATGTAGCTAATGTTGTTTTCTGATCAAATGTAAATATTTGTAAAAAGAAATCTTTTGTATATTTTTGTGAAAATGTAGTTCCCCAACAGATACAAAACGTTTAATAAAAAAGTGCATTCATGTTCCTGCTCCCCACGTTCCATCATTATGGTGCCCATTAAGATATTACTGGGAAGCTTCACTGGAAGTTTTCCAAAGAAATTTATTACAGCGTGTCCAGGATTTGGGTGTGCTGCAAGATAAAGAGATTCTTCAGAATCAGACTCAGAGATACGTTCTCACTTCCACTTATAAAGGATGATATCTGAAACCATTTTCTTTCAAGAGAAGTGGTGTTTAATTTCGTAAGGTTTTTGAATAGAGCACAACATCACATTTCTGCTTAATCGTTCCTATGAAGTGTTTTTGTGCCCCCCTGTGCCACTCTTTGAGAAAGCAGCCAGGGTCTGATAACTATTGCATGGCAAAAAGATCCAACAAACCAGCAACTTCTTCTTCCCAGTGAAGAGGTTAAGGGTTGAGGCACTGTTTGCTAGGACAGCACTGCGCGTCATACCAAACACCTGCTGACGGGAAAAAAGTACTTCTGGCATAATCTTAATACAGGAATAAACTTCCTAATAACGATACATTTCTTTGCCACACCTAATCTTAAGCAAGAAACATTATTCAAACAGAACACAAAATGTGCTTTGAAAGTTTTTAATGGAATTTAAAGTAAACTTTTATTACACAGACATCTTCTTACCGCGTAAAAAAAAAATGTAAAATTGCTCAAGCTTACAAACTTGGAAAATTAGAGACATTTCAAGTATGCAATCAACTTTGTTTTATGAAAACAATGTATATTAAAAGTTCAAAATGCATGAATTCTTCTAACATCCCGTGCCCGGGGGTTAGCTGTCCTTTCCACTACTGTCCAAAGGAGGCAGAGTTCAGTCCCCATTTGTATCACCGTCATTCACTGTGGGGAAAGAGAGAAACAAGCCATGTAACTCCTACCCTTTTGAAAAGATGATTTCCTACCTTTGTAGCAATCAAGAGTTTTTGTTTATTTTTTAAATGAGATTAAATGAAGTAAAACGCTCAGGCAATGTGAGTATCTTTAAGATGGACCAATGACTGGAGCTTTGGGACAGCTGAAGCTGCTCTGCCACCGAGTCTCCTGGCCTGAACAGAGAACTGCCCAGCTCACAAACACTTTAAAGAAGAATCTGAACATTTTGTGGAAAAGAGAGCTTGGTAAGAAACATAAAAGAGTGGTTAAGAACAACTGATGTTGTGTTTACCAACTTTTAGTTGAATAACACTAAAAATCCAACACATCTAGGCCAGGATTTCAGCAGCTCTTCCACATCCTAACTGAAGGGCACTTGCATTGTAGTGTTCCATCACATCAGTAAACATTTATGGTACTGAGACCAGCCAGTAAGGAGTTCTCTTCAAGAAAGACGCCTCTAACAGCTATCTTTCTTCAAATAATCTTGGCTGTTGATCACAGACACTACACTCATATCAGTAAAATTACATTTGTGACTTCAGTAGACTTATCGAGGAAAAAATAAAATAAAATCACCTGGTTTGAGTTCGAGTCCATTTCAAGGCATGGCGTGGAGGGACAGCAATAGCTGGATGGTAGAATGTGCAGTCTGGCCTTGTACACTGGGTGTTAAACCTACAATGCTAAAAATGAAAGCACGTTAGAACAAGCTACTTGATGGTGGCTTTTTAATTCCCAAACAAGCTAACCTTGAGAGTTACATGGAAATTTGTATCGCTGTACGATGTTTCAGATCATTCAACTGATGGTCTCAGAGATGAGTGCTGTCAGTTCAACCCAGAGCAGAAAGGCATCCCTGCTTGTAAATGTTAACTGTGAGTTAAATGCTCCAAGACCACCACTAAACTGACAGGTGGAAATCCATTCACTTCAAGCCATTTCAGCACCATTAGAGATTGAAAAAGCACTAAGCTTCCTGGAGTGAAACTACGTATGGGCACAATTTTCAAGCACTTTGGTTATAAAGCCTTCTAATATAAGTTGCATTGATGTACTCTGGTAACTGGTCAGTTGCTGAAGTTTTCGCACACTGCAGCATGCCCAAAGGAAAACTCAGGAGTCTGAAATATATTACTTTCAGATTTTTTGTGAAGTCATTGTATGTTGTTTCTGAGCTAATATTAAAATGTGAAATGTGAAAGCAAAAAATAGGAAATGTTAGTGACATTTCCTGACTCAAAGCAATGTATTTCAAGTACTTTGTAGAAAAGAAGCAAAGACACAGGAGATAGTTCTTACTTTTGGGTGGTAAAATGGACATTCCATTTTCTTACAAGCAGGAAAAAACTTGCACAGCGGGCTGCTGGAGGATACAGACTGTGCGGGCAGTGGTGCTAATAAAAAAGAACAGGAAGATGACATCAATCAGAACAAATTGCTTTTTAAAATGTAATTCCACAAAGATACATCAATCCTTTCACAAGAAATTACACTTTATAATACACCACAGTTCTGCAAGAAATAGAGGAAACCCATCACAGTGTGCTAAGTGGATCTCAGCCTGTGGTACAACAAGACTATCAGGTAATCACTATCCTCAGTTCTGCACTATTTTGCAGCAGAAGTGCCATGGTAACACTTCAACACATTTAGCAGTGATCCTGGTAGGCAGAAAACTTCATGTGCTGCATTTAGACAGCTGAAAGCCCGCTAGAGTGCAAGCCAATAGAAATGAAATGCACAGGCAGTGCACCCTCCAGGAATACACTGGAGCTGCTGGAAATGATAAGGAGATAAGCACATTGTGTTATGTCTGCTGGTAAAGTAACAAAACTGCATCCTACTATGGCTGAGGACTAAGACACTTCCAAAAAATCACAACTTCAGTGGTGCAGCCCTTGGCACTGCTCAAGGGCTTAGGAATACCAACGATGCTTCAAGCACAGCAGTTGCTGTCATAGGGTAACCTCATTCCCTGAAAGTCATCTTTTCACTATAAAAGCAAATTCCTACAAAAAAAGCTCACATATTTCACCCCTTCTGTTTTCAATTTGCATCATAAGCTCTGTAACATGAATTAATTGAGAACAAATTTGAGAACTGCAGTGCTGGCTAACTCCTCCAGCAGAAGGAACTACTTGTGCAAGGCACCACTCTGGCCTTGCATAGAGGGTGAGATTTTATACAGACTCACGAGTAACAGCATTCTGGGATATATATATTTTTTTAATAGCAAACACAGGTTTTTGTCATAATTCTGGATTATTATTGTTATCTAACATTAACACATCAAAGAAAATTAAGTCACATCACACAAAAATATATATATGTTTTCATCAATTACATTTTCTGCTCCTTCTATACTACCTTCCCTTCATTTAAGGCTCAGAAAACAAAAGGAGCTCACCTGGTTTCGGAGATGGAAGTGGGTTTCGTCGACTGGCATGAGTGTAAGGGCAGTCTGGTTTAGTGCATTTTGCATCATATTTACAGTTTGGATGGATGAACAAGCATTTATCAGCAAACTTGCAGTTGGGAAAAACTCTGAGTAAAAAGAAATTAAGATATAAGCTCTGACTGGAGCAAAATCCTCAAGCAGCTGTTGCACATGAAAGCCAGACTATTACACAGTTTTGCTGCCGAGAACTGCAGCAGGGTCTGCACATGTATGTTAGTTACTTCCAAAGCCAGGCATGCAGACAGAGTGTACAAGCCATGCTGACTCATCTGCATCCATTTCCCCTATGTACTCTTTTCATTCACAGTAAACAACAGAACTACTCCACACTCAGTGCAGTTCCTTCACAAGCTGCTTGTTGCAGGCTAAAGCATCATCCTTAGCGTGTAGTGCCGAGCAGCAAAGGCACCATGAATTCAGATGTTTGTGTGGGGAGAGGGCACAGAGTTTCCAAAATGATATGGCTTATGTAGAGGAAATGCCATTCTGTATTTAGGTATGTGGGATTTAAAAAGGAAAATTCTAATAACTGAGTAAAGGAAGCCACCCAGCATTTATCTCAAAACAGAAATCTTCCTCTAGATTGTTGCTGCTTGTGAAAGAGAAGTCAAACGCTCAGTGCACATTCACAAGTTTGCTTTCAAATCAAAAATTACAGCAGCACCATATAATGGTACCTTAACATACTGAAAAGCATTGTCACAACCCACTGCCTAGTTACATCAGTACCACAATAGATTTATGCTGCGTTGGGAAAATTACCACCACAGAAGGGAAATTTGGAGCGCTGAAGTAAAAATAATGGTAAGATTTCAAGTGGATGAGCTTTGTACTACTCACTTGCAAGGTTGTGTGGGGTGATGGTACATACATTCATCTCCATTTTTGCAAGCAGGCCAGTACTTGCAGCGCTCGAGCACCTTCTCCTGCTTCTGTAGCACATTCAACTGTTCCATTTCCACTAGGAAGGAAAAGAAACAAACAAACAAATAGATCTGATAACTTTTTGGTTCCATACACATTTTGACTTACATAGTATAGCATAATTGAAATTCAAAATATTTTCTATTTTTCATGTGCCCACCCACCTCAGCTCAACTGATGACAAGCCTCTACTAAAAAGAAATTATCAACAGCAAAAAAGTGTGTGTTTTTACAAATAGGATTTATTAGTATGGCACTTCAGACTAACTTCATTTACAAATTAAGAATCCTTAACAGATACACACCTATACCTGAAACACTTCCTGTACAACAAAGCTTTAGTCAGGAGCATGAATGAAGCAATGCTGGTAAAAGCACACATTCGTAAGGGTGTTACTCTAATATGTCTTTCACTGTACCAGTAAAAGGGTACCAATGAATGACAGAATTGCAGGGGTTGGAAAGGACCTCAAGAGTTCATAGGGTCCAAACCTCCTGCTAAAGCAGGTGCCCTACAATAGGTCACACAGCTCCAGATGGGTCCTGAATATCTGCAGAGAAGAGATCCAGAGATTTTCCAGTGCTCCATTCACCCTTATCATATAGAAGCCCTTCCACGTTAGTATGGAACTTCCTATGTTCATAACTCCTTGCACTATTGCTACACACCACCAAGAAGAGCCTGGCCTCATCCATTTGTGGCCCACCTCCCAGTAGATATTAGTAAGCATTTATCAGATCCCCTCTCAGTCTTCTTTTCCCCAGGCTGAACAGCAGACACAGGTTACTCAGCCTTCCTTCATACAGGAGATGCTCCAGGCCTGTAATCATATTTGTTGCTGTTTGCTGAACTCCTTCTAGGAAACCCCTGTCTTTTTTCAACTGGGGAGCCCAGAACTGGACACAGTAGTCTCGTGGTTACCTTAACATTGTGTACTTCTTTAAGACTGCATAAAATGAACAGTAACACTGAAGCCAGTGGGACAGAAAGGTTCACAGAAAACACCTACAGGATTAAGACCAGAACTCCCCCACAGTTTTCCTGTAACTGTTCATACATTTACTACTGGATCCGTGAATCTTCAGTGTTCTTCACACAGTATCAAATATTATCCTTTATTTAGTTCTGAAAAGTTGGATGCACTGCTACTGTAGAAAATAAAAGTCTCTGTTTTCATAAGAAATCTAAATAAGCTGAATTCAAGCATGACTTTAAGCACTCACCAGATCAATGACAAAACAGCAGCCTTTCTATTTTTTATCAAATTCAAAACAGAAACAATTTAAGCTTAGGTTTCCGTACACAGATCCCACATTATTCAAAATATATTCCAGCAGCTGAAAACTCAACCAACACCTTGTGTTCAAAATACTTGAAAATACACCAATGTTCAATGCACATTTTGGTACGAAAAATCTAGACAGAAACATTAAGGTTAATACCAACTGATGCATTTGTTGGAGACATGGGAAAGCATTCATCACAAAATCTGTCTAATTAACCAGAAGTGCAGATTTCTGGTGATGAAGACAAACTACATTTTCAAATGAGAAAAAAAAAACCCAAAAACAATCACCACTACTGAGCTGTACAGAGTGGTATTGCTCTCCTTTATCAAGATAAAAGCCTCTAAATATACGAACCCACTGAACTACCACCTTTCATTTGCCTCAAGGATGTTCTCATGGGAAAGATAAATACCATTGCTTTGATTTGTTGAGAATGATAACATCCAGAAGTTCTACATGCAATCAAACCACCACATTAGTGTTAGATCCTGTTGGCAAGGGTAATTACCATCAGAACTGTCTAGCTGCCGGGTTACAATCTGCATCTGCTGTGCTCGAAGGCCTTTCAATCCTTTGCCTGCACATATATTTTGGGTAATTGGCTTTAATCCTTCAGTTATGTACATGTCTTCCTCTTCTTGATCTGAAAGGTATCCCGGGGGACTGGGCACACCATCCAGTGTCACGATGAACTTGGGGCTAGCAGGTTTCTCTGGCTGTGCAATCTGGTCTCTATAAAATAAAGAAATGTAGTAGAAATAGATTCTTACTCAAGTCTCCCAAGTAAAAAATGTGAGCTGCCTTTGTACCAGTAGTATCACAAGCCATAGAGTAACACAGCATCAAACTTTATTTTAAGACTAACAATAATTAACTTCAATTACTCATAAGTGTTTGCTTTCAGGAGTCTCTTGCACACCAGTAAGTAATACAGATTACAGCAGCATCCAGCACAGAACTGCTGGGTACACTCAAGTTTGCTGCACCCAGCTAAACATACAGATCTGAAAGCCTCTAACAAACACAGACACAGGAAAGTGATTATCATTTAAGGGATTTTGTTTATGACAGTACTTTAAGGGGATAGCAAAGTATAAAACCAGGAGATGCATGCGTGTTTTCTCCACTCTTTCAATGTCCCATCCATTCCATCTGAGTAATTACCTACACCATCGTGACTGTAAATGTTTGGTAACTCACTATGGAGCTCTTGTCTTTGACACAAAGTGATGGTATAAACTTTGTTTCTCTATGAAACTGGGCTAAAAGCAACTACAGTGCAGAATGCCTCTAAAAAAGAGAAAAAAAACAGTGCTGACAGCATGACTAGGCAGAACTCTTAAGTTTAAGTAGTCAGAAACAGTTCCATTTACTGCCTTTCTCCTGACACCAAAGCTGTCAACTGTGAATTGTGTCAACTACTCTGAAAGATTTTCCTTTGTGGTTTGCTCGTTCACTGCTGGTTTTGGTCTTAATCACCACGTGCTCTTAATGCCAATCATAGAAATGAAACCTGAGTTTCCCAAACACAATGAGAGAGCACAGCAGCCCATAGCGATGAAGTACATCATGTAACTATGAGCAGTTTTTGCTTACCAGGTGAGATGCAGACACATACAGATAAAACTATTTGCCAGCAGGAATACTGAGTCCTTTAAAGAAATAGAAAAATTACTGTATGCTGCTCATTCCTTTGGATAAATAAAAAAACAACGCCACCCACAACGAATCATTTGCAACTGATGAGAAATTTAAACTCCTGGCCAAACTCACAAGGTGACTTAAATCTCTTGTTCCACACACTGTGTGACTGTTGTGGTACTGAGTTTCATGCAGAATGTGCTGTTTTCCTTCCAATACTGACAGCTCAAGCAAGGCTGCTCTTACTTTTATTGCATTAAAAGGCATTTCATAAAAAACACAAAAGAAAGTGAAACAGGTTCTGCCTTCTGCCCAAGGCAACGTTCAACATGAGTTCATTTTTCACGATTACACAGATCTTGGCTGGACGTGCCAACCAACAGAACGGCTGAACGATTCCTTTTAATCCACAAACATTCTGACTTTATGAGAAATAACTTTCTACCGTGTCTGTATCAGACGTCCCGAGAGCACTCGCATTGCCTCTGTGGCCCTCTTTCCCAGTTGCTGATTCTGTGGTGCTATTTCCTCAGACAGCTTGGGCTTCTTCAAGATGAATGACCTCGTATCAGTATGGACCATCGATTCTCCATCGTAGTAATCTGATTTGGGAGAAAAATTACATTAAAAAAAAAAAAAATCACAAAAATAATCATGTAATTGCACTGTAACTTACATCATAACTAACAAAAGTCCATTTACATGGCCAAAGAACTACATTTCTTTTGTTCTAAATTCTTACTAGTAGCTTACAGAAAACATTTTTACTTTCTTGCTTTTTCCATAAACATTGATCAGTGGGAACCATAGACAATATTAGGCTTGCACAGAAAACCTTGCACTGGAATGTAATAATGCTGTACTGAAACAGCACTGAAGGAAACATACACACAAAATCTCTCAGCTCTGCACACCTACTGATGTAACAGTTTCTCTCCTGAGACACGTAGAAAGTAGAAAATACTAGAAATAGGTATCAATAACCAGAAAGGAAATTTTCTTTTAGTATCACTACCAGTAGCATTTGAGAATGAGCAAATTTTCATTAGGAATAAAAGATCATGAGACTTAACCTTGAGTTATTTGCAAGGTATCCTCAACGACGGGATCCACCTGCAGCCGAGAAGAGAGCTCCTTTTGTTCTGCTCCTAAAGCAAAGAAACAAAAAAACCCACCAAGAATCAGGAGCGTAATTTACTCTGTGTCACAATGCTGCTATAGACTAATGCATGAAGCTTTAAAAATGAAGTAAAACTGAAGCATACTCTCATAGATCATAACTCCCCCACAACTTGAACAGTGACGTCTGTTCTCATTACGAACCACCTTCTTCATTGTTTCAGAAACAAGTTTGCTCCAGACAGACAGCATAGCTGTCTGGAGGTGATGACTATTCAGAGAACACACACACCCATGACAGCAGTACCCTGCAACAGACTGGGTTCTTTGTAAAAAAAGGTGAAACAAATAGCAACATTCTATATTTGACTGACAGCTTGAGAAAAACTATTTTGCTTTCTGTTTCTTAAGATGTCATTCCATCTCAGTTGAAAAAGTGCCGTAACTTCACGAATATTTTCTGCACATCAATTCAGAAACTGAGAAATGTTGTTCTTCCGTATTTTACAGACACAATTCCAACTATTTTGTTGGAATCCTTTTGTTTCCAATCCTTACCAATGACAAAGAACTGATGTAACAAAGACCTGAAACCAAATTTTGCTCAGCAGAATCACAGAATTGTAGGGGTTGGAAGGGACCTCCAGAGATCATCGAGTCCAACCCCCCTGCCAAAGCAGGTTCCCTACAGCAGGTCGCACAGGTAGGCATCCAGGCAGGTCTTGAACATCTCCAGAGAAGGAGACTCCACCACCTCCCTGGGCAGCCTGTTCCAGCAATCTGACTTAGTAAGAGTAAACTCATTTCTCAAAGGAGCATTTTTCTACCATGTTACTTCCGTAATTCCTTGTAACACATATATTCTTTCATGCTGAAAAAGCAGTCTGATTACCATCAGACACTGTACCATTTTCCCTTAAAGAGTTTCCTAACAGAAGCAAAAGTAAAGCTTACTATTCATAGTTACAACTACTCTGATATCCAACACCAACACAATGAAGTAAAACTTTAAAATTCTTTGTGTGATTAAAACACATTGGAAAGAATCTCTAATTCTACACATGCTACAAAATTGTTCCAACCATACATTATCTTAATTCTCATATAAGCTTTACAATAGCACTACTCCTACAAGATGTCAAGGAAAAAAATGCAAAGAATTCACCCAAATATACATGGATAAATTCACTTATTGTATTTGTTTATGCAAAATCATTCTTCCATGATAGACCAGAATGCTGTATCGTCCTTTGTTTGCAGATTAACTCATCCAAAGTTATCTGTGTATGGTTATATTCTACAGCAATGCTTCAAAAAGCTTCTTGGTTTTCAGGTCATTTCCACATGCAACTCTTGAGGATGACTTAAAAAATTAAACATCTCTTTTTCTTTGCTCAACCTGCTGTAAAATGACATTCTCTGGAATAAATTATTAAAGAATATTATCAGATGACCTTGAATTCCTTCAACTGTCTGCTCCTTTGGCTCTTCTACTTGAAGCTGGGAACACAGAGCAGGGAGTCTGCTTTGCAGATGGATTACTTCTAAGTGAGACTCTTCTGGGCTGATTCGAGTTCTTGGTGCAACTGGAACAGTCTGTTTCTGTGGAACTTTAAATGCAGAAACAATGGTAAATCACTTAATCTAATCCAAGCACTACTTTTACATATGAAGCTAAAATAGCTCCAATAGATTATGCACACAAACCTCAACCATCTGTTCAGATGAAAAGGATCTTTAGCTACCTGTATGATTCTCAGTGAGAAAGTGCACTCATGGATGTGCACAGAACACTCCATGAGCTCTATCACAGAACATCTACTTGTAAGAAAAAACTGAATGAAGGAGTCAAACACATCTCATGCCCTTAGATCAAGTTACCAGCACCCACACAACACTGAAAATACTAGTAACTACTAGAAAGCAAGAAACAGGTTCCCAATGACCATTCTGTAAATACGTTAACATAGAAGAAGATATCTGATTCTTACTGTTAGTTCACAGGTTCTGCAAGAGAGCAGGCAAGAAATTTTGGATAGCCCTCAGTCTTACTCCAGATGGCATAAAAGTAATGGTTCAGGCAGCTTAGTGAATGCTCCTTCACTGCCAACATGCAATGCTTCAAGCTGAAGCACATCCAATGAAGTGACAGCACAAAGGCAACAGCTAGATTTGCCCTTCATTAGTCAAAGTCCTTCCTAGCTAGGAAAACTGAATGCCAACACACAGGCAACTGCTCAGCTGCTGTATCAAGAGCATCTCAGTACCCAAAACCACTGAACTAAAGTTCTGCTTATAGAGAATATAAGCTCATATACCAAACAGTACGTTCCTTGTAATTCTGTGTCTTGATTACCTACATCCAGTATACTTTGATTTTTTTGCTGTTTGGCTTTCTTCTCCTCTCAAAGGGAAGAACAGCGCAGAAAAGAGACACAAGAGCAAACAATTAGCTCCAACAATACGCCTAATAATGAGTACTTTCTCCTTGGCAACTGTTAACACTTGAAAAAACTTCTGGTACTTTCATTTTGTAGAAGAGAAGATTCCAGGGAGCACTCATTACAGCCTTCCAGTACTTGAGGGGAGCCTATAAACACCAGGGAGACTGGCATTTTACATGCTCTGATAGTGATGGGACGAGTGGGAAAGGTTTCAAGCGAAAAGACAGGAGATTCAGACTAAATGTTAAGCAGTAATTTCTTCAGATATAGGTTGGATGGCACCCTGGGCAGCCTGATCTGGCAGGTGGCTAGTCTGCCTGTGGCAGAGGGGTTGGAAACAGATGGCTTTTTTAAGGTCTCTTCTAATTCTACGGTTTTGCCTCTAGATACTTTACAGGCTTACTGTGTTGACTAATATATTTTAAATACCTCTTTCTTCCCCCCTGTGTACACTCATAATTCATCACTGAAGATTGTTACTGTAATGTACACAGGACATGGAAAATCCCTTAGGTATCACCGACATCCACCATTCAACACTGTTTTATCTCTAAGTGCTATGTTCAGACTGGATACATAGAACAGGGCTTGGAATTACTATAGCTCAGCATAAGCATAAAACAATGCTACTTACCTGCAGAATAATTTGTTGTTTTTGTAACTGATTCCTGTGCTTCAGAGATTGCTTTCAGTATTAAATTCTTATTGGCCTGTTTTGAAGGTGGCAGCGAAGGTCTACGTGAGGTGAAAAAAGCAATTAATTGTAGATGGATTGCAACAGGAACCACATCCATGCTAAACACAGGTATTTTAACACGTTAACAAGTTACAATAATACAGATAGAAATCATCACCTAAAAACTCACTTTGCCTATGTTTTCAACCTGTTAAACTACTCTCTGAATGAACGGGGATCCATAAAGTGCTCACAAAAGCAAAGTTCATTTTACCTCTCGTCTTCAGTTGCTGCAAAACCATTCTGCTTCTGAAAGGCACAAATTCTGTCACTCCTGTCCACCCACCTCTGCCCCCCACATTCCTGTTACGCTGTGTGCATTGGTACTAATTATGCAGCTACCTCAGGCAGTAAGATCCAGATGAAGACTGATTTTGTTAAAACTATATTAGTTGTAAAAAAAATTTTCTCTTCTGCTTTCCTTTTCTCTTTGAACATTAAAGTTTAAATCAGGCATTGCTGATGGTGCTGTGGTGCTGAAGCTAAGTTCAGCTTAAAGCAGATTGTATACAAGCTAGCACTACACAGCTACCTGGTCCATAGTTTAAATGCTTTTCCTCTCAGTGCTGGAAGTCAGACACAAACTGCTGACGGATGTTGACTAACACCTGACACTCAAACAGAATGGGGTGGGGAGGAATGTCTTAAATCTTCTGAAAAGTCAAAATAATCTTAAAGCGTAGAGCAACATAAAGAGGCAAATTTCACATTAAAAATATATCCATTAGTTTCTGATCTAAAGTAATAGAGATGGAAATGACAGCAGCATGCACAGTGCCAAAAAGAAAATTAGCTTTATCTGATCAATGACAACTGGTTTGAAAATACTCTGGAAAAAAAGCTGGAATAAACAGGCAGCTCAATCACAACAGTGTGAGAGTACAAAATGTAGAAATGGCCTACTGATTTTTTTTCTGTCAGTTTTCAGAACTGCAAACAGTTTCCACCAATGTCTATTTTCAAATTTTTTTGTTCGTTGAGTTTTTTCTGGAAATTACATAGAATCACCGTGTTCTTAAGTACCTTCTTTCTGGCTTTGCAGGTACAGACACGCTGCTGGAGATGCTTCCAGTCCGTAGTCCATAGTCCTCCTCCTCCTCCTCTTCTTCACCATCGTTACAGAACTTTTTCACTTTGACTACTGAGCTTACAATAGGCAACCTTCTCTTTCTGGCGCCTTCTTCCTGCAGCAAACAGAACAGCCAAAACAATTCATTCAGCATAATGCACACATTAATAAGCAAGCAAAGGAAATACTGCTATTCTACTTACAACCAGAAGATGGGGAACTTGCATTCAAATTGCCTGAACCTAAGACTAAGACACCATTTGCAGAAGCAAATGACAGTCAGCAATAGAGAAATGAACATCAGATACATTTACACTGAAGTACCTCATTAAAAATGTGACAGTAAACAACACTTAGAAAAGGAGGAGAATGAAGTCTAAAGAAAAGACAATTTATTGGACAGCTACAGAGAAAAAGAGGGTTTTTCAAAGCAACGCACAATGCCTTTCAGGGTGCACCCATTAAAATTATTATAGAGAAAAGAGAAATAACTGAGAATGACTTTCTTCCATGCAGTAAGTCTAATTCCTAGATCACTATAAAGATTAAGTTCTAGCTATCTGGCACGTTCCAAAGGACGCTAGCAGCTCTGCAGGCAGTTTGGTGGAGCTCAGAAGTATCATATGCTTTTTCTGACAGCCACTCACCAAACAGTGCACACGGTAGTGACATTTAAATGCTAGCCTGTGGAAAAGCACTGGAGGAGCAATACATATCAGTACTTCCTATAGGAACCACCACTCAGCACTGAACGGCACAAGAACACAAAAGAGGCACTGCTAGGTTTGTACACTATGACTTTCAACAGACTACATGTCCTCCAAGGAGGGAAAAATCTCCTAAGGAGTGGACCTGGACTACACCAATACATAAGACATATGCAATTAAAAACAAACAACACAAACCAATTCCTGAATAAAATAACTTTTTAAAGAAAAGATTTTCCAAAACATGAGGACTTGCCTAAAGATGCAGCACAGTACAGCAAAGGCCCACTTTGTAATTAACACTACTGAAACAGCACTCTTCTGAAGATTACTAATAAAATACCAATAAAAGTATCAAGATTTTATCCTCATGCAACCAAGAAGAGCTGTGACTCAATTGTCAATAATTTATGTGCAGCCTTATACAAATCCCTACATTTTAATTGTCACTTCCCCACCTTAAAAACCAAACACATCAGCAAACATCTCTACAAAGCTTTCCATATTGTCAAACAAAAATCACTGCCCATTTATAAAAATCAGTTAAATTGTAGCAAAGATAGAAAACTACATACACAATGGGAAACATGAGATGGAATACAATGTAAGTAAAACGTCTGCTTTGTTATAACATCAGCCACAACAATCTTCATTCCACTCACACAGATCTCTTAATGGATAGTCTTAAAACTAACCCTACCTGGGTTAGTCTGACTTCCCAAGCTAGTAATGTAGCAATCATCTCTTAGTTTGTGTTTGTACAAAACCTATCACAAAAAGTGCTTAAATGCCATGGCTCTAAACAGCAATACAATGGTCCAAATAAGTAATGTATCTGAGCCTTAGAGACTAATGTGTACCTAACACATGTATGGTGTAGAACAAATCTTATCCTAAAAACACAGACTTGCAGAAGTGTAGATTTGCAAAGCACTTAAAAACACCATGCTAACCCAAAGCTCTTATCTACAGATAAAAATAATTATTTCTGATTAATCACATTCACCACAATGCTAACACATTAGTTCAACTCGAAACAGCTCAAGATGGAAGAGCTCATTAATTCAGCTGTACAGCATCCTGTGACGTGATGACGTTGAACTGCACAATGCCTACCTAACAGTGGAGCAAAGAACAAAATCTCAAACCCACTCACACCAGTAACATTAGTCCACTGATTTTTCCAAGGTGAAGATTTCACTGAAAGAATACATAGAAATTGAGGCTCCTAGCAAGTAAGAGACATAACAATAATCATGGTCAATGATGATACTAACCTCACTGCCTACTTTATCGGCACTGAGTTTGGAGGTGGGTCTGTAACTCTCTGCTAAGCTGCCAAATGCTTCTGGATTGCACAGCTGGACTGTTTCCAAAGACCTGCAGCTCTGTGTTTCTAACTGCCGGCTCCCCTGCAGGTTGCCTTGCTGTGGCAATCTGTGCACCTGTAAGCTGCCATCTGCACTCCTGCTAGCGGGCGGTCGGTAGATTTCAGCAGTAGGTCGAGAAGAACCGTAAGTTACAGTTACAATAGGTTTCTTCCGTGACAAAGGATTCTCCTGTACAAAGTTTAGGTCCTCATCAATTAGATCATCTGGTTCAGGTTTAATGTCAATTACAGCTTCAGAAGGTGACAGTTCCCTCAAAGGCTTGACTGTAGACATTAAGCGGGAGGCAGAACCATCTTCACAAGACTGCCTGATAAAACAAGAAACTGTCAAACATTAACTGTGCAATTAAATTAATCAAAAATTCTGGCTTATAAAACAAAGCCAGATGGGAAGACTCATGAAGGTATCACTTCTTATACAAACCCACCACAAACATCACCATTTTTGTTAATTAATCTAAGCACATCTATTACTGAAAGAAGTTTAATACAATTCCTGAATTAATGTTTTTTTATTTAACAAATTATTGAAATGCCTTCCTCTTCAAAACTACATTGATCTTTCCAAGTAACCGTGTCCTTCAGAACAACTACCACAGTCACACAACTCTGACAGGCTTAATCCATGTCAGTAAGCCATTGGCAGCCTTACCGTGAAGCAGTGTTTCTTTGTTCCTGTGAACTGGTTGAAACTCTTGAGTCAGTTCGCTCAGATCGAGTGCTGGAGACTGCAAGAGGTGGCAAGGTATCCTCACGCCTCCTCTCATCACTCACACATGAACTACTTTTGCTGGAAGAATGGTTGCTCTCAAAGATATTAGGTTCTGAAGATTTTGTACCAGATGGCTCTGCAAAGACAAGTACCTTTAGTTTTATATCAAAGAGGGGTAGTATAGATTTTGCAATAAATCTATCTAGGCAAATGTAGCAAATGAGACATCACTCATATGAAAATAGACCTTAAAAGCTTTTTCGGCTAAAAATATTAAGAAATGTTGGGCATGGGAATAAATTCCTTATCTCAAAAAACAAACAAACAAAAAAACCCCACACCCTCACATTTTCTAAAAGGATCCAAAATAACTATAGAAATTTAAACTAACAAAACAGTCAGCTAAAATATTACTTGAAACTAACTAGACATGCAACACTACATTGAGAAGATAAACTCAATTTCACTCAACATTCATTTTCTTACTTACCAGTAGTTACAGATCGCAGCTTATCCAAAACACCATGGAGCCTGAAAGAGAAGGGGGAGAGAAGAAGAAGCAAAAGAGAAAAAGGAGAAATAGAAAAACCTTAATTCAGAAAAATAATCTTTCAGAAATCAAGTGTCCTTCCTCCGTTAGAATTAGAGTCTTATTTCTACAAGGCTTCGCTTTCCACCAACTGCCAATGTCTAACTTCAAAACGTGAGGCTTTAGGTACCTTGCCTTCAGTGAGCAAACTTCATACATACACGAAGGGTATTCACCACATCATCTACTGTAGGCATTTTGTTGGATTACTGAATGAAGCCAATACTTTCTACTGTTCCACTACAATTGATAGTGTGAGTTCAATGCCTTCAAAAAGAGCGATTTGGAAAACCTAAATTAGAAGCCTCAAGTACAAACAATTTTATTTCACATACAAAACTTTAGTTACACAGCAAAGTTAAAAATAATTCTAAATACAAACCTAAAAAATACACAATTCACAGCACTTAATACAACTCGGGTTCTTCCAATACGCTTTGTGTTTACCGACAATATTCTTCGAGACATGTTGGTGAGCAAAAACATTTCAGCGAGGTACCAAATTTGCTGCTTGCCTGTGAAAAAGGCACCAAGCTGAAGCAACACAGAAAATCAAAAGGCTAAGAAATAATGCTCTTTAAAAACAAACATGCATTACAAAGAGAATTAAAATTAAAAACTACAATAAAATAAAACATTTAAGTACATAACCTAGACAGAATCCCAACCTGATCAGGGGCATCTCCATAATTTTAGACTGAGTATGAGAAAGGAGTCAAAGAGCAAAATGGTATTGAAAACCAGGAGAAACAAAAATGCATGCAAATATAAGCAAGACTTTTCACTAGAATGCCATGAAAGATTTTGTCAGCCGAGTTCTGCTGGTGTGACCACGGCGGATCAGTTTTCACAGTGACCCTCAGCTCTCTGTGACATGACACCTGGTTCACAGTACCAAGGGTTGGCCAACCAGCAGGAGCGGCCAGTTCTGCCACAGAACTGCAGTGAAACTTTCACTATATCACCCAGAAATACTGGCTATAGAGAAAAAACAAGGCAGCAAGGTCTCAGCGAGTATTTCATCGAGCCAGGCACTCATTGGTTAAGTAAAAAGTAAAAATTCTGAGCTGCTTTCAAAAGAAAAAAAAACAACCACAAAAAACAATCAAACACAGCAAGCTAACTACAGTACTACATAACTGCTTTCCCCACAAGTCCTCATGCACTCTTCTGCATACATTTCATCTTTTCTATCACTCTTTTAACCAATTCCTACTTCATCATCTAATAAAGCACTCTGAAATAGAATTTATATTAACAAGTGCAGACACTCAACTGAACATGGAATTTAAACAGGAAATGTGAAAAGCAGCAGGAGACGTAATACCTACATATAGTTGATATACAGTTCTAAATATAAACACAAGACAAATCTTGATTTCCTCCTGTTGAAATTTACTTTGTCTTTATTAGTTTTCAATAAAGTTTGTTTCACTTACAAAGCCAAACAAGTGTTTTCTGCTGCCTATTGCTGTGTTTTTAGCATGTATCGAGATTCAGAGAAAATTAAACTAATCAACATGTTTATCTAATTTTCCAATTGATTCCCGATATTAATGTCAAAAAACTACTGCATGACTTACTAACAGGGTGAAGGTCAAAAATTTTGCTTAGGCATGTCATAAGAGGGAACAAAGCACAAAAATACTACAACTTAAAGAAAAAAAAAAAAGGATTCAAGGTTAATCGCACTTCCCATCCTTATATTTTTGACAAATTGACAAATTCGTATATTTTTGACAAATATTACTTTCAAAGTTTTGAAAGTAAACTCAAATTATACTCCTACAAGTAATGCTGTCAACTGGAAATCCATTGGTTTAAATAATCAATACAGTGAATTGTAATAACTGGAACTAATTTTTACTTTTTGTTGATGTTTATGGTTTGAAAACATACTCAACTTCTAAAATATTTATTGTTGCTATTTAATTGCATTAAAGTTCCTAACTAAACAGAACTCTAATTGCACAGAAGCACTGGAAATGAACGTATCCAGTCAGAATGAAAATTACGAAGGAAATAAACAGAAAAAGAAGGAAATAGGCAGTACATCTCTCATCTGTACATATCAAGGTAGTTTTCCTTAAAACTATGTTGCATTAGAGATCTGAAAATAAGTTTTACTTCAAAAAATATGCAACTTTGATATGCCCCAAAAAAACTCTGGAGTGATGCCGTATCTGCCAAATACCATAGAAGAAAATGCTTAAGAAGTACTGTCATGTCTAAAGCTCTCATATAGCATAGAACAAATTAATTCACCGTTGTCAGGACTTTAGGAAAAAAAAAAAAGGCTCATCTGTTGCTCTTTTGTTCTCTTCACAGCAATTGTGGGGTTCTCTTTTTGTTTTGTACAGCTGGGTAGTGGCGATAAGTAAACAGCCTGAGAGGTGGGAATGCCTAAACATTTGGTGCTAAGCCCTGTCAAAGACAGTATACAGAATTAGATTCACTACTCATCTGTCCTGTAATTCCTACTTGCAACAGCTATCTGAAGAACTACTAGCAGAAAAGAAGATGTTCTTAAAATCATTACTTTTAAAGAATTAACTGCAGTATACGAACCTCCCATGCTCAGAGCGGGCTTTGCAGAAATTACTTTTTAAGTCAAGATACAATGCTCACTTACCTGAGCATTTCAAACTTCATTCAAAAATCTGACTGCTTTTACAAGCAAAACAAGATCTTAAGCCTTCCAGTTACCTTTGAAACTTATTCACTGCAGTCATCTAACTGCTGACAAACTAAAAATGATTTATCTATTAGGGCTGCAAAGTAAAAAGCTTTGATTAATGTACATAATGAGAAGATAAGTAAATGCTTACATTCTCAAGTTTCATTTAGAGGAAGGAATTTACTGATAAGAAGAGTGACAATTAGCTTACAAACATACCATACAGTAAACCTGACTGTATTGTTTCCCAGGAAAAGCGAAAGGTCTTCCGTCATCTGCTCCTGACTCTTCTTATTGGCCACCATAACCATAATATAATCAGGGAGCTCTTCGTCTAATAAAAACAGAAATATGTTGTTTTAAAGTATAACAAATCGTAAACCCCACGTTTTTCTATGATGCCTCTGGTAGGCAGATTTTACCCACACCTGTCTCCACACATCCAACATATCCTTGTTTCATGTATTTCATCAAAATTATTTTAATGAAGCTCTTAATAAGATCTCCATTCATAAGAAGAAAACTATGTTGCACAAATGGAAAACTATGTAGCACATGCAAAATGTTTTTCTGACATGGCCTTCCATACCATGGCCTTTCAACCTCACCCTGCCTCACAGTAATATCCTTTGTTTTGACAAATGTCTGAAATTCAAAATGCTGTCAAAAAGATCCCTAAGAAAGACTGACTTTGTCTCAGGGTGGTCACAGGTAACTGATGTTATATGGAAGGCCTTTGCTTCATATGACCTTTCTTCTTGTGCTTCAAATAACCTTCTTTAAATATTTAAAAAGACACGTCATTGTTTGTTTGTTTCTTTTTCAAATGCTTTGCCACAGTATCTCCCTGCAAGGGAAGACTGTTGTTATTCCATTCATTCATGTCTACATACTGCTCCCCCTTACACTAAGGCTACCCATTTTTTGAAGGAAGCCTTTTTATTTTTCATTTTAGTCCAGCAGTAACTCAGCCTGGAGGTAACTAAACTCATGCTTGATGTTTCTGCATGCGGCAACACAGTTAACAATAAGTAAATACATTGTTCCAGAGAATAGCATTATCCACCTGCTTGTTTCCTACTGACCACCAAACTTAGAGTTGATTGCTAAACAAGTGGTAAAACTTACCAACGTAAGCCCCCAGCTCCTGCAACTTTCCTTTTATAGCACCCTAGAAAATAATGAAACAACATTCAAGAGACAGAACAATGCGATTTAAAATGCAAAATAGTGCGAGCCTCATTTAGTGATGCTTTCCTCCTTAAATATCGGAACATTTTGGTTTAACAGACATTGCTTTTCCTGTTCTTCGCACCTAAGTGCTGTTACAGAACGATTGCCAGCACAACAGCGATAACCACACTTCCAGAACCCCCAGGTCCCAGCCCCTTCTTAAGCACAGACCTTCTGCTCCCAAGGCGCAGAGACAAAAGTCCCGGATGGTTTAAGAAGGTCATTCATTCCTGCCGGGACTTCCAACGCCATTACGGAGCGGAAGCAACTGACAACCTTCTCCCGCTGGGGACACGGGCTGGCACCAATCCGCCCGCTCCGCTCCGGGCAGCGCCTGGCTCCAGGCCCGCGTCCCGCGGTGCCCCAGGCCTCGTCCTGCAGCTCCGAGGGAAGCAGAGGCGGCAGCTGCCCACCGGGCCGCGGGGCCAGGCCCCCTTCCCAAAGCAACGCTAACTTCCCTGCCGGCATCCCTCCCCGGGGAACGCCGGGGCCGAAGGCGACCGCGGCTCCCGGTTCGCCCCACCGCCTCCTTCCCCCGAGAGAAGGGAACCCGGCAGTGCCGGGCCCGCGGCGGCCCGGCCCTCGGAGGAGGCCGGAGGTAGCCCGGACCCTCGGCCGTCGGCGGGGCCCAACCCCGCGAGCGGGGATCGGGGTCGAGCCCCGGCCGCGGGCACACGAGGAGCGACCCGGCCGCTTCTCTCTCACCCGGATCTTGCGGCTGATCTCCGTGCCGATCTCCATGGCCACGCCGTTCCGTGCCGCGGGCCGCCCGCTCCCGTCCCCGCGCGGGCCGTGCAGCGCAGAGCAGGGCAATGCGCGGCCTCCGCCTGCGGCGCCCCCTGCCGGGCCCCGCCAAGCCCTCCGCGTCGCCTCGCAGGGGTCGGGCCGTCCGGGTCGGGCCGCCGCCGGGTCAGTGCGGAGAGGCGAGCGGCGGCAGGGAGAGGAGAGCGGGTCGAGGCGGGAGCGGCGTTGGAGCAGGGCCGGTAGTCACGGGCGGAGGGAAGCGGGCTCGATCGACCGCCCTTCGCTCGGCGCTGCTGTGTCCCGCTCGGGGCCCGCGCCGGTCAGCGCCCTCACGCCCGAGGGAGGCCTCCCTCCGCCGGGCTCCTCGTCAGTGCTTCGTCCAACAGTGCGCGCTCCGGGCTCCGCAGCCTGCGGGGGGTGGCCTGCTGGGACCCCGCGCGGCTGCTATCTGGGTCTGAGCCCGAGTTAACAAATACACGTACGTCTTTCTGACATCTGCCAGTGTTACTGCTATGAGGGATTGCTTTCTGAGGGAGCAGGAACTACACAGAGGAGACAGAAGGCAGACGAACAGAAAGCAAGTCGTGCTATTTGTCTCCTGCACCAACGTCCCACGTCACTTCAGTAGTGACAGTTCAGTGGGCAGTGAAGAACAGAAAGATCAGCATATAAAGTGTCTTTTAACAGTAATAATGCTTGAAGTTTACCCAATGGCAACAGCTGTTTTAATCTCTTTCTGCATCACAGCTCCTAATATAAACCAAACATAATACAGAGGTGGCCTACGCTAATTAATGCTAATGGTCTGAGCTGTTCACCTGACCATACTTTAAAGTGTGCTAGTGTTACAGTGAGATACAGTGAGTAACAGATTGGTTTAATTGCAATGTTCCTTTTTTTACTTTTGACAGACATATATAGCTCCATTTAGATTTCAAATAAGTTACATTATTTCATTGCTGGAACAAAAAATATATTGAAGGACACTAATAGGAATTAAATTTATGTCATCAACTAATTAATTTACTTTTCATAAAAAATAGTTTGTTCCAAAAAAGTATCTTTTATGAGTTATGGCAGAAGCTCCCTGCTTCTAGTTCAGTACTACCTGTCTTGGAAAAGTGGCCAGTTTAATACAGTAAAACCCTATACAATCAATTACTTATTTACTAGAACATAGTTTAACATTTTACACTGCCTTGTAAGTCAAAATAAATCTTGTAACTGTGTAATTTCAGGTATCAAGCATGTAATAGATGTAGTGTGTGCTTATTTTTCTAGCAGCTTCCATTCTACTCATTTCTTTTTACCTTTGAGAAGCATGTCACGATGTATGGATACCCAGTTATCTCCTGGTTTTTCACAGATGAGGAAAAGTGACAAAACAGTGATGTCTCGGCCACAGGGAGTAATAAAGTGAATTTGTTTAGGGAATAGCTTTAACAATTACACACAGAATCAGAAGTACTCTGTCTTTTCAGTTCATTGAGTCACTATTTTGCATGCTTAGTGAGTAAATTAAGATTTTTTTTCTACATGAATTCTTCATTGTCTCAGCATCCTGGGAATAGCCCTTTAACTGTTAGTTAGGGGACTATGATGTATTTTATCACAAGTGGGTAACTCTCCATTAGGCTGAGGGAAGCATATGTATACATACCACTTTTCTGACAGGGGAGTGGGCATTTCTGAAAGGGATGTGGGTATTTCTCACTATGCATGCCATGAAAATATGGATTGGGAGTTGAAAGGGAGCAGCAGTAGCACAATGTAGTGCTCTGAGGCAATTGGGCTATGTCTTATTAATGTGGCTGTATCAGAGATCGTTGTGGTCTCATGGACTCCATTGTCACTTTGTCCTGTTTGTCAGAGATGATAGGTAAAGCAGGTAATGAGATCTGATGGGGGAAAATATGAGATATAAAGGGTAAAATGGAGAGAGTACAGATAAACACAGAGTTAGGATACAAGCTAGTATTTATATAAAGCAGAAGAAAAACATGGAGTTTAGGAATAAAGGTTTGATGAGCTTCAAAGGAGAAAGTGTAAGCTATGGAGAAGCCTATGAGTGATGTTCTATCTGTATTTAAAAATTCTAATAACACAACTTCACAGCAAAGAATCAGACAGGAAAATGGTGTGATCAAAACTTAGAATAGGAAATGAAGCAGATAGGAGTATTGAGACTTTGTTTCCAGTATGAATTGTTTAGAAATAGGAGGTGTTGCTTTCATTACTCTGAATCTTCACAGTTTGAATTTGTCATGCATTATACTGTTCAGTTTTCTCAGGCAAGTAACCATAGTTCTGGCCTCTAACGTACTACTAGAAAAGGATATTCATTTAGTTTAGTTCAGAGTTGTTTAGTTTATTCAATATAAGACTCCTCTGAATGAATTCTTTTCTTGGCCTATGGACTCCTCATTGTAACTATGGCTCATATGTAGGAGAAAACAAGGGGTAATTCCCCTGATTGGAGGAAACCTGTTGTGTCTGAGAGAAATAACTCAGAAGAACTCATCATAGTACAAAACTACCTACACATTTCAGCTGCGATTAGTGTCCTCAGTAGCATTCTGTTTGCATAGCAGGTCTGCAAGTTAGACTTGCCCAGACAGTAGCATGTTTGCTTTATCTTCTTCCTCGTCCCTCACCTGTTTCAAGTTTGTATATACTTTTACCTGGCTCATGTAATGTGGAGAATGACATTCTATGTAGCATACAACAATTGTTTATTTTTTGTACATTTTTTGAATATATTTTTGAGTATTTGTGGGAAGGGGATAGTACCCCCTATGTCAGGATTGAATTCATTAAACACTAGAAATATTACTTTTATGCTCGATGAGATGGTTGTTATTAAAGACATACTTTCTATTGGAGCCTTTGTGAGTTTTGATGTGAGAGGAAGAGCTGAAGGATCAGCCTTTAAGCCTGCATTTTCTTGCTGTTTATATTACCAACAGCTGAAACTTTGCAAGGACTTCTTTCAGCTGCAGGCATGAATGTATGTGCATAGGTTACTTAGTGTGGCACATATGAATTAAACCCTGAATGTGCTTCCAAACAGTGTAAAAATAATACTAATAAAAATAATACGGCCAACAGATAATTATTTTTTGGTAAGAGATTTACCTTAATTGGAAAAGCTTAAAATAAATGATCATATGATTAAAAAAGCAAGGATTGCCTGCTATTTGTTGTAGCCCCTATTTCTGTAGCAGCCCGCAGCCAGTGAAGCAGCTGTTCATTGCTGACATTCTCCCTGCCAGGCATTCCAACTCTGTGAGGTAATGGGCTGCAAGCATACGGGCCTTTGCTTTAATTCTTTCGGTGTATCCTTCCGCATGGGTAGAGCGAGGGGAACGCCTCCAGGAAAAGAAATTAAATGCACACACACACGGGCGCACAGAGACGGACGACTTGAAAATATTCCAGAGAAGGCGATTTTGTGCTCGTGCAGCACAGCGTGGCGTGGAAAGGCTGCCTGCAGAGCTGGCTGGCACTGGTTTATTTTGTTGCAATATTTCCTTCCACCCCCAGCTCTTCACCCAGTGGAATGATACCCAGAGCAAGTTTTTTGAGACAGGAAGTGAGGAATGTTTTCACTATGAGTGATCTGAGAAGAAGGTGGGTTAGTCGAGATAGCAGCTGTGCGGTGCGGGAGGAGCACAGTAAGGCAGTACAGGAGTACAGATGAGATGGCTCCGCCAGAAGACATCTCGGAGCACTGTGGTTTTTCTTCAGCTGCACATATGTGAAAGGAGGCTCGGTGTCTTCAGATCACAGCAAAAGGTAATGGGAAAACGGCAGGCAAACTTAGTGGGTAAGCGTGGCTGTGTGCTGTGAGAGGAGTTCCCAGCATTTACTTTTTGAAAAGTGAAGAGTGTAGAGCTCTGTGCTTTGGAGAAAGGAGAAGTTTGAAATGTGCACTTACTGTGGCTCTGTTAGTCCAGGAGCCAAGTCAAAGATTAACTGGTAAAAACAAGGGGGGGTAGAGTACTCTGATTGATTTATTTTTTTTCTGGCTCCCTACATCTCTCTCTCTCTCTCTCTCTCTCTCTCAAAAAAAAAAAAAAAAAAAAAAAAAAAAAAAAAAAAAAAAAAAAAGCAGCTTTGAGCATTTAAAATTATAGGAACTTTATTCTTCTGTAAGGTGTTGCACTTTTATTTCACGTGCTATCATTGACACAGACTGTTTGAAAATCTTTATAGAGTAAAATGCTTATTACTGAGGAGAAAGTGGGAAGCGGGAGGGGTAAGTAAGGGGAAAAGATATCGCAGTGCTTGGTAATTGTGTTTCAGTCACGAGCATGATGCTGTAATTTTAAAAGCAACTATGTGTTGAAATATAAGCGTACCAAGTTTGGCCACGAATGACATTTTTACTTCTTGTGTGAAAGTCCCAGGCTTGCCAAATTAAAGGGTTGTTGTTTTTGAGAGAGGTTTCGCAGCTGGGTTTGCAGCTTCTGACTGTAGCTTTGTAACAGTGCAGACGTATCCCAACTTAAAATTATACAGAAGGCAAATACACCTGGCATTGCTGATTGCTCCTGGAATGTTCTGAAAATTCTGACCTAGGCTTCCTCCCCATGCCTGCGTTGCTACTGCGCACATAGAGAAATTACTGAGATTGGAGACTGCCTAAAGTCAGCATTAGGTGCCTTGTGAATTTCACCTACCGCTGCTTCCTGATGTTTCTTCTTGGGATACTTTTCTAAGGGTCTGATGGGGTCATAACAGTTTCAGTCTTTCATGTTCAGACCGTAAAACTGAGATTAGAACAGCACTGCACTTGTGATTGCAGCCTTCAAAAAAGTCAGTAACTGGTTTCTCACTTTGCTGTAGCACCAAAGAAAAGAATGCATAATTGTGCACAGAATGTGTCATAGAAGTGAGCTAAGGTCAGTCAGCCAAAAGTTTCACTGCCAGGAATAAAACCAGTGAGAGATTCTGCTGGCAGTGGGCAGGAAACTAAAAGCTTCTGTCCACAGAGCATTCCCTGTGTGCTTCAGGGCTGGATTTGGAGGATCAGTGTGCAGAGCAAGTAATCAAGTGAGGAGGCTCAGCCTGTCTCTAGAATTTTCAGGGAAACCTGTTGCTGTCAGTTGCTACTTATTGTGGCCACACCCAAGAGTAATTGAGTCAGTGTTTGGAATTTATTTTATTTTATTTTATTTTATTTTATTTTATTTTTTTTATTTATTGAGGGAGGGGTGGAGGGGTGAGGGAGCGTTAAACCAGTAATAATGAATCTTAAGTTTTTAGATGATATCTGTGGAGGATGAGGACTGTGTACAATGCTAGAACGGCATCCAGCTTATTAGAGGCATGGCCATGAAATGTGCTTCTGATCGTTCTCTAAGTTGCAAAGATGTCACTGAGGAAAAATGCCAAGCTGTTCCTCAGGCCTGCAGCCCTTCTACCTCTGTTTCTCCACGGGTGCCTGAAAGAGCAGAGCACGGAGCCTAGCAGGGCATTGCAACCCAGTCTGGTTGCACTGAGTAACGTTGCATTTCTATGTGTGTGTGTGTAAACATACAGCAGCGTGGTGTTATCCGGTTGTTTAAACCTTTTGTACAAACAGGTGCAGCAGGGAGGTTGCTTCTGATTCCCCTTTCCCAAATAAGTGCATGTATTAAATCTTGTGGCTATTCTTATCTGAGAAGAGCCCTCGGGAATCAAATTGTGTCTTTTAAAACGCATTATTCCTGTGATTTGTTGTTTGTTTGTTTGTGTGTGTGTGTGTGTGTGTGTGTGTGTGATTACACCTCTTTATTTCGAGAAGCGCGGTGCTGCCGCTAGAGGTCCCGCGGCACCTCAACCCAGCGGAGCTCGAACAATGCGGCCGCGCCGTGTGCTCGGGGCCGCCTCCCGGGCCCGGCCCATCCCGCTGCCGCCCGTGGGAGCTGCCCGGACCGGGAACCGGGTGGGCATCGGCTCGAGTCATGGTGTTTGGGCGACCGTCCTGAAGCCGTCCGCCGCCTGGCTGAAGCGCTTTCATTTGAGTGGTGGTGCTTTGAGCGCTCGCGCTGCTGCAGCGCTACCTGCTTTCATGCAGCGCGTTTGTTTTCCGTGTGCTGCTGAAAATCCAAACCAGTTAGGCTGGGGCACGAGAGGTGAGACAGAGCTTGGAAGAGGGGAAGGGTGAAGTGAGTGCCCGGCGGAGCCGACAGGAGAGCAGGTGTGAAGGTGTTTGCGAAAGGCCGGGGGGTGAACAGCCGGCTGCCTTTACGTTTAGAAAAAATATACTTTTTCTTCCCCCCCCCCCCAATGAAAAGCTGGAAAATAAATAGTTTTCAGAATTAGCATACTGTGGTGTGAGGGAAACCATAACCTCAAACAGTGTACCACACTTTAACATAAGACATAATGGCTCCACGAGTTGCAATTCAGGGAAAATTAGAAGAATTGGATTTTAATTGTCTGGTAGGAAATGGCTGAGGTGTGAGGTGTAGTGCCTCCCTTCCTGCCTTTCTTTGGGGCTTGGTTTTGTGTTTAATCCAACAGATAGCAGCTGAGGCTCCACGCTGCTCTGAAATAATGCCTAACTGCTGGTTTTGCTCTTAAAGAAAAGGCTTTCGTCAGCATTACAAGTACTGAAGAACTTTCTAGAGGTCTTTCACTTAAATACCAATTCAGTTAAGAAATGCTTTTTATTTTAAGGCATTTCAGCCATGTTTAATCAAGACTCATTATTTATTTACAAGTAAAAAAACCACACACGCACAAAAACACTGGAAGACAAATGTTGTATGTGGAAAAACCAGAAACTCCTGTGCTTCTTTGAGTATTTGAATGTATAACAGCTCTGAAAATTGTTTCTGCTTCATATATATTTTTCTTTCTCTTTTACTTCTTGCTAGGATTCCAGTGGATGCCCCCCTACTTGTGTGTTGGTGGAAAAATTGCTTACCTTTAATGGATACTGCTGCTGGTGGTTGATTGTTGGAGACTTTACAGCTCCTTACTGTTTGAGAGGAAACTGCTGCTTTTCCTCTCTCAAGTCCCTGGTAGTGGTAGCTTTTTATCTCCAACCATCGGTGTGGGAAAGAAGATGCCTCTGCCTTTTGGGTTAAAATTGAAACGAACTCGACGCTATACAGTATCCAGCAAGAGTTGCTTGGTGGCTCGGATCCAGCTACTCAATAATGAATTTGTGGAGTTCACACTATCTGTGGAAAGCACAGGCCAGGAAAGTCTGGAAGCAGTGGCTCAGAGGCTTGAGTTGCGGGAGGTGAGTGAACTGTCGAGTTAAGGTGTGGCTTTGTCTCTGGTGCTAGATGACCTTCGTGGTGAATCCTTAACCATTTGGGGCAAGCAGCTTGGTCACAACAGCAGCTGAACAGCTGTTCTGTGTGCGCCCCTTGTTTCTAAACAGTCTGGTCTTAAGGATGAATTGGATTGATCCAAAACTGGTGCAAAACATATCTTACAGAACAAGAGAATGCCTAAGGTAATAACGTGTGAGAAGTGGCTGTGAACAGAAGCTCAGGAAGATGAACAAAGTCACAGCAGTGATTAAATTTTTAAATTCAACAATGCTGAAAATATCATTTAAAAGAAAAGAAAAACAAATGCCACCACACACTTTCTGCCTAAGCAACATGGCTAAGAATTGCTGAGAGACATGAGATTTTAAATCCTAATAGATTAGGACATGAAAGAGAATGTTATTTTTGTGCATTTATTTCTGGTGGATCAGTGCTGCAAAAAGAACCCGAAGCACAAATGTGATATGTGTGCTGGTGACTATTTCTAGTGTTTGTTCACAAATCACAAACCTGTTTGCAGATGGTGTCTTTGAGCAAGCATATAGTCATTTAGATCAATGTCTGGCCTTATGGAGAAATATGGTATACACTAGCTGGGCTGTATAACATCTTCCCCTTCACTCCCCAGTTTTTTGCTACGTATTTTAAAATATACTTTTTCAACTGAAATCGAACTCTTCTCCCATGCATATGGTGATTATTCTGCAAACAGAATAATAACAGAATTAGCACACGTAGGTGTAGAATTTATCAGTAGGAAATACTCCATACAGTCAGTTGTTCTCAGAAATATTTTTTTCCCTCATTTAGAGAATAAATGAAAAAACAGGGAATCCATTCATCTGTGTTTGTTTACTGTTTATGTTTTCTGTTCCAGTATGCTTTTTGCGTTGTCCAAATATTCTTAATCTGTACAATTGCTGTGGAAAAGTGCAATTCTGTGGAGTACTATGGATTTTTTTATCCTTGCTCTTTCTAGAAAAGGGAAAATCTGAGTACTCTCATAGCTTTAGCATTTACTTAGAACACATCAGGCATCATATATTTAGAATTCAATTGTTGTGACTGAATGGAGTTTGTCAGTTTATGCACCCTCAGATGTCACTGCTTAGTCAACAGAAGGTAAAGAATTTAACTATGTTTGATTTGCAAAATGCAAAGGCTTTGTGTTTCGGAATTATGACCATTGGCTTTTATTTATCTATTTACAAGGCGTCAGAGATGCGTGGTTGGTTGTTTTTTCTTTTCAGCAATTTATTATCTCTTTCACTGGAACTACTCCTAAAATCTGTTTGTTGTTGTTGTTTTTAAAAAAAGGCTGGCAATTCCCTCAATTAAGAGTCATATATCAGACTAGGGGAGTTGACAGCATGCTACTGAACTCAGAACAGATTCTTTTGGTCATGCATTCTTGCATGGATTATTTTGGCAGGAAAATGTGTTGCAATAAAAGGGAATGGAAAGTAGGGATATAAATTACTTTCCAGAGCTTGCGTTCAAAAAATGTTGTTTTACTTTTAAATAGTAGGATTTGCCAAGCAGATACAGGGTTCATTTCTGACTATTTTCTTAGTATGAAGTTTTCAGGAAGATTGCTGAGCATTTGCTTCAATCTGCAAAGCCAGTATTAATCCTTGATACTGTGGAGTACTAAGTACATTCTCTAAGAACTCATATTTTTAATGCACAACACACCCTTTAAAGTGTGAATTGAAAGTGTTAAACAAGAAAGTATGACTATTTAAGCACTGAAATTTACATCAGATATGAAAGTGGAGGCATGAGCATCAGATTACTGTATATGGGCTATGAAGTTTTGCTGTACTGCCTCAGAATAATTAGTTGCAGGAGTTATGAGTGGAATCTTGACCTATTTACACACTGATAAAATTTATCTTGGTGTAATTTGTAGTGAGTGAACTTAGGTAGTGAATTTACTGGTTTATTAGTGCTGTTCCATCTTTTAATATATTTGTTTTAACAGATCATACTTGAATAGTAGTCCTCAGATTATGTAATGTGTGGCTTAACACTAATTTACTTTTTAATTTTTTTTCCAATTTATCTCATTTTCAAGTTGTATGGACACAAATTTAGGATTCAGAAAGTCTAAGTACTTGGACAGTTTAATTTTGTTACTGAGTGGCAAGCCTTGCAAAAAAAAGTGAAGTGAGTGCATTAAACTGAGGAATAGTTTGTCTTTTGTCCCTTGAGAGGACTATACTCAAACTATTATTTCACTGTAGTCAAAGGAAGAGCTGTATTTGTTCTGGAAAACTGTTTTCAAGTTGCAAGTTGTGAAAAAGTGTTCAGAGCTCTGATTATTAACTAACTAGAAAAGAATGTTTAATACTGCGTGTGTTGCATTTTGGACACAAGCATACAAATTAGGTACTTGAGAATATAAAAATGTTTACATCTACTACAGTTAAATATTTATAGGATATTTGGCAAGAGATGTTACAACTGATTTAGTCTCTTGCTGAATCTTTTAATTCTGTTTTGTAATAACAGTTTAATGCTGGAATAAATGGCCAAATTCTGCTAATGTGTGCAAACAGAATCTGACTTCAGTGCAAATGTGTGGTACACAAGTGCAATACTGACTCATGTTAAAAAAAATAAAGAGCTGCTGTGTAAAGTATGTGTGGTGTACATGTGAATTCCTGTGTTTGTTTTGGACGTAATGGGAAAGAATGAATCAAAGTTATCCAAACTTTGAATAACTTGGAAATTCTGAAACAGTGCTTTAGTGTTTTCTAAAACTTTGTTCTGAAGTCCAAAGGATCACCTCTTGTTTTGAGAAAATGCATGAAAATACTTTTAATTCAGTGTGGTGTTGTTTGTTTTTTTTTACATAGGTAAACAATGTTTTGAAAATAAGACCAAGTCAACCATAAGCTCTCTTGCATGTGTATGTATTAGTAAGCATACTGATCAGCAGATAAAAGTTGGGCTAAGCAATGACAGAGGAGTTGCTAACATAATTATGCTTATGCCTCATATCAAATTTTTAAAAAATATTGACTAATACTTAAAGAAATAAAACAAAAAAGTGCTGGTTGTTGAACTATTAATGGCTGCCTCTCTGAATGAAGTTTTGCTTAGCTTTCGGAAAGGGAGAGAAATCATGGAGGAATGCATAGAAAGACCTTCAGTGTGTTGTGTTATTCATTTAAAATGCCACTCTCTTGAAAAACAATATTGACTGCATCGTGCATTAATTTTAAATGTGCTGAAATAATAATTCATTTGTCCAGATACACAGAAAACCAGAGCATTTTAAAAATCAACAATTGCCTTAGGTATAATTACTGTCATGGTTTTTTTTCTGAAGGAAAACAGCAGTATGCTCTGGGGTAAGTTTTACTCTCCATCTTGCTTATTACACTGAGCGACACAAAATTAAGATTTTTCCATGAAAGCTTAGGTGGCAGTTAGGTAAAGCAGCCCTGATTTCTCTAGTTTTTAATAAAGTTCAGTCAGAATTTGATTGTACCACTTGATTGTATTCTTTCACTGTCACAATACCTGTGAGTTGTGATATAGTATTATACTAATTTTATACTAGTTTTAACAGATTTTCATTAGTTCTGAAGCAGGTATGTTAGCTTATTGTTTTGTATTGTTAGGCTACTTTGACACTGTAAAATGATCAGAATTTCGGAATCCAATAATTGCAAATGTGATACTTCCTTTAATGTTGGTGCTTTATAAGGTGAGAGTCAGAAGCAAGTATGCAAGTTTATCCTTCTTGGAGTCTTGAACAGAGGTGGGAAAAGTAGCACAATTTACAGAAGAAAAACAGGTCACCAATAGCTGACTTGTTTCTGCAATAGATTAAAATGTGTCTTGATGGGACATAACATCTTTTATGTGCTGTAAAAGTATTGCTTTTTATCTTGTAGATAAGCCAATTTAATTTTGTATAACGTTCGGATAAGTTAAATCTGCCTTGTCCCTCAGAGGAAATCCCATTTATTCACATACCACCATTATTGCAGTGCTTTAATGTTAGATTACCTTGCAAAATACTGTTTTTTAAAACTACGATTCTTAAATTTCTTGAAAATCCCTGCAATATTGATTTAAGCTGTAATTGGCAACTGCTTTGTTTAGGTGGGGTTTGTGAGAATGATATTGATGCAGTCAGGAGAAAATCATTGCGGAGGATTTGGCAGTAGGCTGTGTAGGAAAAAAAATGTTTACTGTGTGAAAGAGTTAAGCTTGGCTTCTTTCTGAATTCTTTTTGTACCTTGCTACATCCTCCCTATGGGTAGCTGCAGTTGAAAACTTTGTGCTAGAACAAAAATAGTCAAGAAAGCCAAAGTGCCCTAAAGTGAGTGGCGTCAAATGGCGGGGAAAAAAAGAGGGGATTTCTATGAGTCTCCTCAGCCCTCTTCCTGGCACTGAAAGCACTGGTGGATGTCAAGGGCTGCAGCTTTCTGTTCAGTGGCAGATACATGGCAAGACTTAGAGATTTTTTTTTCCACCACTTCTGCATCTTGTACCCTGGCCAGTCCAGGCTGCTCCAAAACCAGTCTGAGTTTCTCCACTGGGAAGATTTGTGGAGGGGGATGTCTACTGTGATAAGAAGAAAGTTTCTGGAGAATTTTTAGTGCCTTTTGTCTCCTTCTGTAGTTCTTGATGTTGGACATAGAGTAAAGCCTTTGCTTGTATCTGGCAGTTGTGCATAGTACGAGATTATTGAGCCAGTTTTGAAAGCAGTTTATTTTAACAGTTGTATTCTGATGGCAGGGGCTGTTTTGTATCCAAGTACAAGATAAAGTGAGACTCAGTGGAGTCCCTGAGCTAGCTAGGATCTTAGTTTGGCTGCAGAGCTTATGATGAGTGTTTTCAGCATTCTCTTATGATGAGACAGTGTTTTCAGCATTCTCTTCAAGAAAGCCTTATGGAGTGTTGTATTCATACATGCCAATATAAAGACAAAAAGGCACCCGTAGAAATTGTTTTGTTTTTTTTTTCTTTATCTGTGGATCTATAGAGGATAATTTTGTAAAAGACAGCAGTAATAGTGTTGTCTCAGAATCTTAGGAAATAAAATTTTTCTGATGTGTTACACTGTTTAGAACAGAAAGGCACAATCTAGTTTGGGGATGCAGAACAGCTGCTTTTAGGAGAGACTATTACACACTTGATATCTGACATACACATTTGTCAGTCAGATTCCTTTTCTAGATAGTGTAAATTGTGACCAAAGTAGACTCTGAGATTCTTTATTAAAGATGTTCTTCTGTGTGTAGTGCTAGTCAGAATAACTGATATGTATAAATTATATTTAAAGTAGAGCCAAACAAAGTGGAATTATGTTAGGGATGAGACAGGTTCATTTTAATAAAAATAAAATGAAATATGGCTGCTAATTATAGCCAATTAATATCAGATACAGGGTAGAAGGACTTTGTCATTGATTCAATTTGAAAGGAAATCTGAGAATGGAGACTTGATGCCTCTTTGGGAAACCTCTTCCAGTGTTTGACAAATCTCACTTTGAATTTTTTTTCCTAATCTGATTTGAGTTTACCACATTGCAACTCGCACTCACTATTTCTCATCCCTCCAACGATTCTCACTGGAAGTCTCCTTTGGAAGAATAATTTGGCTCTGTCTTCCCTATACCCTGCCATTAAGAAAGAGAAAACAACAGTAAGATTTTTCATGAGTCTTTTCCTATTGACTGATCAACCCTGTTTCTCAGGCTGTCATGGGACATCATGCAAGAAGATATAATAGTGATGTAGTTTTGTGGCACACGTAACCTGACAGAGCTCCTCTGCTTAGCTTGTGAGGACTCACTGACTGCAGATACCGGTGTGGGTGCTACCTCTCTTTCCCACAAACCGATGGGCCTTGTTGGCTGTAAGATTATATTGGGCTTTTCTTTGCATTCTTCAACTTTTGTATAAAAATACTTCATGTTTCTGTCTGTAGCGACAGGAAGCAGCTAGGTAGAAAGCAACTGCAGAAGTGTTAAAGTTCTTTTATTTATATTTGACTTTCTTCAAAGGGATTGGGTGATAAGTCACTAAAATAAATGAACCTCAAATAGCGTTAATCTTAACAGCTTAACATATTTTAGGAGTTATGTCATTACATTCTTTTTAGAATTGGGTGCTGTCCTATGCTACTAATAATAAAAACTCCTATAATGAATAAAATGGATTCTATTTTAATCAGTGAAAATATTCCAGGGCACATAAACTACCCTGAAATTTAACAGGGCCAGATTCTGCCCTTGCAGTCAAGTGAAAGGATTGCATAGAAGTCAGAAGGTGGGTTTTGGCCCATAGCATTTACCTTGGCTTGTATTTTAGTTACTTTTGATAATCCAGTTTGGAGGAGATTTTAAGGGAAAATAACGTGACAGAAAAATCTTAATAAAATATATTCTGGATTCCAGAGTATATTTTAAAAAACAGAAACATTTTTCTTAGTCTTGTGCCAGTAATATCTCGTTTCTGTACATGGTAAGGAAAAGTGGTCTGTGTGGTATGGAAATGGACAAGCACAAGAAATCATCATGGCTTAAAAATAGGTTGTACATTCAGTTTATCCTTGTTGTAGAATCAGGAGTATCTGCATTCAGTGAGTATAGAACAGTGGTGCTGTTACCAGACATTTCAGTTCATTCTCCACTTTCTGTTACAAATCTGTGTTTGTTTGAAGCTTATGTACACCAAAGCTGCAGCTGAAACTTATTCAAAGTGTTGCTTATAAATGTTTGTCTGGTTTCCAGAAGCGTTTATATGATACCCTCTCCAGAAGTCTTTCAGCTTTGATGGTGTGCTTCTGCAGGCCTTTTTACCTGTAGCTTTTGGTTTCTTCTAGGGTTCTGCTTGCGTCCAGCGGCTGCTGTTGATGCTCTCCAGGCTGTGCTCTTAGCCTGCATGGTGTGGCTAGCCATGAGCCAGCCAGCTGGGCCAGCACAGGGGTCTTCCTTTCCTCCTTCAGAGCACAGAATGGATTGTGAGGGATAATTTTTATCCTTTTTTTTTTTTTTTTTTTTTTTTTTTCCTTTTACAGTGTGAGATGTTGCAGTGGATATAATATTTCTTCTTCATGGAGAACCTGTGGCACTGTTGTTAAAATTCTTAATATCTTAAAGAATCTTGAGCTGTGAGGTGACAGGGGCCACCATGCACTGGATGGTAGGGATTGACAAATTGAAACACATGAATAAAAGCCAATATTTTCTCCGACATCAGCCAATCTGATGCACTTGAACTGAGAAATTTAGAATATAGTATTTTTTTTATATTGTTTGCGATCAGAGCCACTTTTTTCTCCTTGAAACTAGAAGTGTTTGACTTCTTAAATTTCATGCTTTATTTTTAGAATTCTGAAGTGAAGAGCACTCAGTGTCCACCTGAGAATTTTTTTTTGTGTCTACAAACAGTTCTAATTTAATTTAGTGTTTGTAGTATAGCCTGTGTTTTATATCAAATGGAACTAGAGTTGTGTTAGAAGACAGAATACAGGACAGCCTGTATTCTAGCATGTTCTATCTTCTGCATACTGATTCTGTAATTGCCTGGATTAATCACGTTAATTTAGTTTGTTTTTAAGCACTGAGAAAACAAAAATCACTAAAAATGCATTGATGCTAATTTAGAGAGGGGCAGAGAAATACATATAAGTAAGCCAGTAGATTTTAGAAGTATTTGCTAAATGTGGAAGGATGGCATTATGCCTTAAAAACAGCTCTAATTTCACAGTTATTGCTGGTGACTGTGCTTTTACAGAATATATGATACTGTGAACGTAATGTTATATCTGGACTTTGGTGTCCAAAATTGCTAAATGTTCTGCGTCGTTACAGAGAATTGACTTCACTGCTCTCCCTGCATTCTGATATGGAGCCATGCTGTGGTTGTGTGCATGTGTTGGAGCTGTAAGGAATGGAGTGAATACCATGATGCTGGATCCTTCACTTCATTTAGATTTTAAATTAAGAAGATGGATTTCTGTGTGATTTTTCAGATACGCTTGTTTTCATAGGAAATTACTAAAACACAGATTTGGTACTACCAGCTCTCATTCCCCAGTAAATTTTAAATTTGTGCTCTAAAACATCAAAATGATAGCTTCTGAGAAAACAATAAATATTTTCCTTGAAAAGTGGAGAATTTTTCCAGGTTTAATTCAGGAAAATTATTGAAAAGAACATATTATGATAAATATTCCTGTATTTTGTAAAATGCCTTCCTAAATAGCTTTATTTTGCTCAATTTAAAAACATCTGAAAACATAATAATGTAAAGAAAAATGCTAGATTAAAGGTGTTGGCATTTCTACTATTTCAACATATAATGATGTACGTGTAGCAAAGACTTGGAGAATCTCCATATGAATGTCCTCAACTTAGTTGGTGTTTCATTGCATTCCCTTGCCTTCCCTACCTTCCACAATAAGAAAATGTAATTATGATTTCTAGTTTTTCTGTGATAATGCCATTATTATTTTCCAGTACATGTCTGCTTGATAATTCTGAGCAGAATGAAATAGGTGCTACGGGAGAAGAAGATTTTAATCAGTTTAAATGTACTGGAGAGATTTAAATGTGAATGTTTTGAAGTCAGAAAAATAGTCTAGTCCAACTTTTTTTCAAAGCAGATCACGTCCAATCAAAGTTTTACTGTGTTACTCAAAATGTTGTTCAGTCAAATCCCAGGGATGGGCATTCCTCAGCTGCTTTGGGCAATTTCTTCCACTGCATATGGAATTTTGTGGATTTTTCTTGTGTGATCAAGAGTTGCCTGCTCAAGCAAGGCAGATTGCTGCTCATTTTCTTGCTCAGTGGAATAAACCATACATGCGTTTGATGAGGTAATTTTTGACTGTTTTTTGGCCTATGCCCTTTTGTCCTTCAGCATCCTGTGTGAACCTGCCCACTGGTTCCTACGACAAGCTGTATTCTGCTGTCCTGTAGTCCAATTCTATCTGTATTTATCTCTTCTCTTAATTTTCTTGTTACATTTAAATGCATTGCCTCAACTGAGTCAGGGACTGCTCACAAATAAAAACTAGATTTGGTAGCCCTTATATATGTAAATTGTTTATCTGGATGTAATAACTGAGTTTGATATTAAAATATTATGTCCCTCCAGTTCTCTGTCTACTCAATAATCTTATTCTTAGGATCTTAAGTCTTCTATTTCTAGGTAGCAAGACTTTCATACAATGTATTTTATCTAATATAGCAATATCTAATTTGTTTCATCATTGAAATGATTTTCTTTCAGATAACGTATTTCAGTCTGTGGTATTACAACAAGCAGAATCAGCGCAGATGGGTAGATTTGGACAAGCCTCTGAAAAAGCAGCTGGATAAATATGCCTTGGAACCAACAGTGTATTTTGGAGTAGTGTTCTATGTGCCTACTGTTTCTCAACTTCAGCAGGAGATTACCAGGTAAGCTTTATGAATTTGTCTATAACTTTACTTTTAGCATCCTGAAATACATAGCTCATGTACAGATTGCCTGCTTTTCCCTTCCTAGACTTTATAGAAATAGAAATTGTTGTTTTAGGCAGCATTTATATAAAATATAAAAACTATGTATTTATTTTCCTTTTTAATGTTTTAAAGAATTTATAAACTAAGCAAAGAAATAATGTGTCAGCGATCTTAGGAATTTGCTCTAGCTTGCTTTGATATACTGTGGCTTTTTCCTTTCACTTTTTTTAAGGGCCTTGGTTTGGGCCCAGTTATTTTTGATTCTTTTTTGTAAGGATATTATCTGGTGTAATGTGACATAGTGCTTTTTTGTAATAGGATCCAGGAAAAGTCTAAACAACATTTATGAAATCTCACTGAATTTTAACAGTTCAGAGAAGGAAGACAACTGTCTTTTAACTTCTGATTATCAAAAAGTTTCCATGACTTTTTTTTATTTCTGAATTGCAGCACGTGCTTCACTGTTTTCAGTGTTAAAGCTTTACTTCACAACAGTTAATGTACAATATGAGGAAGTCAGTATTTTTTTTTAAATTGGTCTCAAAGAAAACAAATGTGCTTCTTGGCTAAGGTAGGGTGTGATATGGATGACTGAATGGGGTCAGAAGAATTCAAGAAAGTAGTGGTTTGGACTGTGGACCACAGTCCACAGTTACAGCTTAAAGGGTTTGCATGTTCAAGAGATAATCCAGGAAAAGATCAGTTTAATGGAAAAAAAAAACAAACTGAGAACAGACTATATTTGGGAATTGTGCAGAAATGAAAGTAACTGTCATGATTGAAGGGATATGCATATTGGATTTACTGGAAGGGAATGCAGTAATGCTGCAGCAGCATAGTGGACAGAGTGCTGCTGGACGGTTTACTAGTGGAGATAGCAGCAATACTAAGGAGGAAGAACAAACAAATCATGAGGCTATGGTTGTGGATGGAAACTGTGAAAATTCTGTGCCTTTCAAGGGGATCAGGATTTGATTCTGAGGTAGATAAATGAAAGTTGAAGGAAGAGTTGGTAAGGACCATATAGGGGATCTGAATGATGAGAGTGTCCTCCCCACATGCTAGTGAATGGAGGGAGGACGTGCAGTCTCTTGAGCATACGGAGCCCATTCTAGCTGTTCCTTTTATTTTTTTCTTTTTCCTTCACATAGGTATCAGTATTATTTGCAATTAAAGAAAGATATCTTGGAGGGCAACATTCCTTGCACATTAGAACAAGCAATACATTTGGCTGGTCTGGCTGTTCAAGGTAAGTAAAGCAATTGCGCTAATGTTGCATTGGAAGTTTGTTGATATATTTTCCGTTGCATGCTTTCTGTTTATTGCTTATCGACCCCTCTTCTTGCTATAAGAGATCTGCAAGAGGTAGTTGCTTTCCTGTGTAAATTTTATTTCTATGAAGCACATTTTTGTTTTCAGTTGATAACCCTACAAATGCAGTGAAGGTTCAGTTCAGTTCAGTAGGTTATGAAAGGTGAAAGGCTTGCTCCTTAGAACTTCATCAGCCACTGTATTGGTAGGGAAGGGAAAAGAGGGGGAGAGAGGGAAATGGACAGACAATGAGATCTAAATACTGAATACTGAATACCAGTACTTACTGGTATTTCAGAGCAGTCCTCTGAGGTGTACCTAGGTACCTAGACACTTGAATTCCTTTGGAGTACTCAGAAGCAAGTTGTATGCTTGTGTCAGCAGAGCTTTCATCTGTTTCTCTTACTGAAAACTCTTTATTCTGACATCGTCACATGAGAAAGGGACGTACTTTAATAAGCAGATGTGAATGTACAGCAGTACTAGGATATCTGGGAGAAGAGGTGGAGATACAAACACCAAAGTTAGGAATTTTTAACAGTCTGTGTACTATGTTAAAATCTTTCCTGAAAACGCATTTTTGAGGTGCATATGTGAAAATACTTACTTTGTTTTTCCTAATTAGTGTTTTCCTAATTAATGTGACCATGTCTGGTGTTCCCTGCTAACATGTTTGTTTGATGTGAAATCTCTCAAGTCAATAGTTTTTTAATGTAGTAGCTTTGTTTATTGTGTCTATGTAAGGCTTCTCTGTGGATGTCACTCCAGTACATCTAACAGCAGTTGTAAAGCTGCATATCACTATCAGTGCGTACAGCCACAAGATTTTTTTTCTTTTTTTGTCTAATTTTTTTAAATTGTGTAATGACTACAACACATTAAAGATTATGATCATGTTTTTCTGAGAATATAGTATCAGTGGTGTAGATGAATAATGTTAGTGTTTATGTAACAGTGTATCTGTTTAATCTAAGCCAGGATTTAATGGTCTTCAGCTGGCCAAATCTTGCTTTGTTATTTTAATATCTTTAGACAGTATAAAAGTTTCTCTGCTCTATAAGTTGTTTATAGATATCTTTCAATGTAATCTTCTTCCCAGATGGAAAATATTTATCCTTGTAGCTTTCACATTCTTCTCTCAGTCTTTTATGTGAGAACTACATGTGTTGATAACATGATGAAAAAAATAACATAGAAAAAGTGCAGGTTCTAAATTAATGCACTCCAATGACTGAAGTAGCTTATAGAAGGTAGGTCAGTTAATTTTAGCTAGTGAGCTAACAGAAGCAGTTGTTTGCTGTTTTGAGTGCACTGAATTCAAGAACGATTTGTGTTTGAAATACTTACAATAGGCTGCTTGTAAGCACTGCTTTATCTCAAGTACTTGGTTGGTCTAGTGTGTCACAGGCTCTTCCCTTTAATCATGAATAACTTGCAGAGTAATTGCTAATGCATAATAAATACTTGATTCCTAAATGTCTCTGCAGTTATACTATTATAGGTTAGAATCTGTGTAATGTAAATAAGATGCGGAGATTATGTTTCTGTGGTTTGGAGAGGCTGTTCTGGGCAGGCTGATGTTTCTTAGAACAGTTTACCTTGTGAGATTATACATACATTTCTGATTTAGGCTGTTTTATTTCTTTGAACTGTTGGCTACTTCTTTCCTAGAAAGAAAAAAGACACAGATTCTTCTTGATGCTTTTTGGTGTGACATAAAATCAGTTTTTATTAAGTTCTGTCGGAGCATATCTTTGAATCAGGGAAATTAAGGCATCTGATTTCCACTTTCTTGATGTCTTCATGCAGCGAGTTGTGAACAGAAGCTGGAAGCTGCAGAATCCAAGGTGCTCTGGCTGCTCGGAATCCAGCAGTGAGAACAGTCTGTCAGCTCAATGCTGACAGTGTGGTTGTGTGCAAGTACATATCAGAGAGGAGGAAGTAAAGACAAAGCCACACTCTTTTCAGTGGGACTCAGGGACAGAATAAAAGGCAATGGGCACAAGTTGGGATATGAGGAATCTTATAAATTTTTTGTTGTGAGAAAGGTGAAACACCGGAACAGATTGCACAGAAATCTGTATTCAGAACACGACTGGGGGAGGCCCTGAGACAATCTGCTGTAGCTGATCTGCTAGGGCGGGAGAGAACACTAGTCTCCAGAGGTGCCTTCTGTCCTCCACTGTGATTAAAAACTGCACAAATAAAAGCCTGAGGAACTTGGAGCAGAGTTCTGCTTGTTTTATCATTTCTTCTCCCCTTCTATCCACAAACAATCTGACCAATTTTTCTGAAGATAAGAACACGGAATCTGTTTTTATTTTTCTCTTCATAAACATTACTGGTTAATGCGTTGTTTTAGATCATAGTTCAGTAATATGAAGATTTGCTATTTGAAGATCCTTCTGCAATTGATGGGGTATCAAATAATTTTGTTATAAATGTTTGAATGCAACTTTTATTTTTTAGCTGATTTTGGAGACTACGATCAGTATGAATCTCAGGATTTTCTACAAAGATTTGCTTTGTTTCCTGTGGTAAGTAATTTCTTTAAGTTCTTTTTTTGTGTTACTGATCACAAGCAAACTGTGTTGTAAGTAGCTCTTCAGTGTGCTGAAGCCAAATGTGAGACTGATAAATCATGATCTTTAGTAATGATTTATATTTATCCAGCTTGCTGCTCCCAAGATTGTCAAATTCAGTAAAGATTTTCTGAGAATGTGGTGAGATATTACACAGAAGCAAAGATATTGCAAGATCTTTTCAGTTATATTGTATTTAAAAGGTTATGAGGGTAGAGACAAGAAAGCCAGTAAAACACTTCAAAACTGTTTGTACTTTTTGGCTTTGTTATACAGAGTCTAAGCTTCAAAATTAGTGTGGAGGGTTGATTTCTCTGTGTAAAGACATTACAGCCACTTTATTTCATAGAGTGTTTTGTAGCTCATTTTATAAATGCTATCTTACCTGAAGGGTTGGCTACAGGAAGAAAAAATATTGGAAGAAGCGACACAGAAAGTTGCCTTACTACATCAGAAATACAGGTAACATTTCTAAAGCTCTTTATTGCACAATTTTGATGTGACTACTTCAGTAGCTCAGGGAGTTGAGAATCTCAGAATGAAGTTGAACTAATTTAGTCTCATTTAAATGAGTTTTTTCACTGATATGACTGTGTCTTGTTGTTGTTTGATTTTATTTTTTTTTTCTAAACGAAAACTGAACTAATGACTTAAAGTAAACAAGAGGATTTTTCTAGAAGATTAATATGGTGCAGCAGTAAATAGTGTGACTTCACCTGATAAAGAATCTGAAACTTGTTTACAACATGAAGTTGTGGCCTCAGAAAGATGTCTCTGAATAAACAATGCTGGCAAATTCTGCAGGCAGTTGAAATGTAAAGATGGTCATTGGGCCAGAATGCTTGTGATCTAAGGCTGCTAAATGTGATGGTTCAAGACAAAGGAAAGTTACTTTCTCTGTTGTCAAATTAGCAAGATGTGTTTATGACTATGATAATAATATTAATGTGGGTTGGCTTTTTTTTTTTTTATTACTTTAAAGCAAAGGTTTGAAAATTTCAAATTGATTTAGCTTTGAAATGTTTTCATAACAAAATGGAAGGCATAAGGTCTAGCGAGAAAGGCTGATTTGCATGACATTAGGACAAAGAGAAAGAATAAAGAAAACTATGATTGAGAAGGTATTAAGAGGCATAAGAATGAACGTGACAAAATTGTTCAGGTAGAGATAATGCCTTCTGTGAGAACAACTGAAGTATTTAGGGAAACACATGATTTTAAGCCCTGTAATGCCAGTGCAAATTAGTGAAAAAAGTGTTTTTGACAGCAGGTTTCATTAAAAAAAAGCATACTACCTTAACTACAAATTTTATCATGCTGAAGTTTTCAAACCATTACAATTAAAACTCTGTTAAGATTTAGAAAATAACTCTCTCAACAAATTTGATGTAGTTCCTTGTATACTGCATATGTATATCTGTATACTGCAGTAGGAGAAATTCAGGTCATTAACATGTGTGCTGGAATACTTCTTATGATAAAGTGAGAAAATAAGGTGACAGTGATGGATTGAAGAGGGATGTAATGATTTTGTGCCATCAGCAGAGACAGTAATTTTAACTGGTCTTTGCTGACATTTCCGGTAGAGATGACTAAGACAAAGAAGTAACCAGAATCACAGCATAAAGGCAGGAGGCAGGTTTTCAGATGTTGGTACAGATTGGAACAGTATGTTTTGATGGGTGCCTGATAGTCTTGGTGGTGTTCTTGTAGATTTAACGGTGTCATTCAGAGTAAAACATATATTTTTTATATTGTTGACTGTATTAGCTGATCACTGTTTTCTTTTATAGAGGCCTTACTCCTCCTGATGCAGAAATGTTATATATGCAAGAAGTGGAGAGAATGGAGGGCTATGGTGAAGAGACCTATCCTGCAAAGGTAAACGGGGCTTTAATTTTTGTCTCAGTTGCTTTTCTTCCCTATGTAAAAATAGCTGCTTCCTGTTAAAAATAAAGGCAAATAAACATTACTATCCTCAAAGCAAAACACATACTACTCCTCCTCTCTCCTCAGAATTCTGAAACTGTTTGTTACTCATACAACTTTGCTTTCCAAGTGTTTTTCTGTATATGCATGATTTTTTGCAACTTTTTCCAGGACAGCCAAGGGAGCGACATATTCATTGGAGCATGTCTTGATGGTATCTTTGTGAAACACAAAAATAGCCGGCCTCCTGTTGTATTTAGGTTAGTATTGTTCTGTGTTGAAATATCTTTATAATATCCTACACATAATATTTTGTGTATGTACCTCACTAGCATGAAAGACTCTTAGATATGATGTGTGCTTATTCGTTTCATAAACTTGAGCATTATCTTCTAGTCCTTATGCTAAATAAATAGTGAATTTTGAGGGAGTCATAGAATGGCTTATGTTGGGAAGGACCTTAAAGACTGCCCAGTTCCAACCTCCTGCGATGACTTGGTTGCCTCCCACCAGCTCAGGCTGCCCAGGGCCACCTCCAACTTGGCCATGTACATCTCTAGGAATGGGGCACCCACAGTGTCTCTGAATAACTTGTTCGAATACATCACCACCTTCTGAGTAAATAATTTTCTCCTAAAACCTGAACTAAGTCTCCCCTTCTAGTTTAGAACAATTCCTCTTGGTCTTATCACCATCAAACCATGTAAAAAGTTGGTCTCCCTGCTGTTATCTCTTTAAATACTGAAAGGCTGAAGTGAGGTTGTTGGCTATACAATTAATCCCTTTAAGCTGAATTAATTTTAAGAGATGAACATGTAATATACATTTAATTGTGAAACATTTCTTGAGTCAAAAAGGAACATCTGTGCACAGAACATATAATGTCCTAAGATACGCACGTAAGTTTACTTAGCAATATTCACATGTACAACTATCCAATAATCTCTCATATTTTTATATAAAATATATAAGAGTTGAATGGTAAATTTTGCATCAGTGTTTGGAGTTCATACATTTTTTTTTAGTTAGACTGTTACTTAATGTTTTGCTAGTGTTACTTAATGTTTTGCTAGTTAAATTGTAGACATGGTCTCTGTAATTAAGTTGTATTTTCTGTGGTTTGAAAAACATAACTCACCGGTCATGTTCTGTTCCTTTTGTCTATAGGTGGCATGACATTGCCAACATGTCCCACAACAAATCCTTTTTTGCATTAGAACTTGCAAACAAAGAAGAGACAATCCAATTCCAAACGGTGAGTGGATCTTTTTATTTTTACTTTTTTCACTTTTTAAAATGAGTTAATAGCAATTTAGTCTTTCAGTGACTTCTATGAGGGTAAGTGATGAATATGCGTATTTTGACTAATGAGCAAATTTTGGTTTTGTTTTTTGGCAGGAAGATATGGAAACAGCAAAATATGTGTGGAGGATGTGTGTGGCTAGACACAAATTTTACAGACTAAATAAATGCAGCTTGTAAGTAGAATACTTTAGCAGAATATTTGGTGCCCTTGAAGTTCCCCTGGAAAAGCAAAATTTATTATAACTTCTGTAATTTCTGTAGTGTCATTTTTAGATTATACTTTATATGGCTCATATTTTTTTTCCCTAATCATCTTTGAGATCACCAGTTTCTCAAACTTGCACTTTAGTATGATTTACAATGAAGGACAATATTAAGTACTGAAAATCTTACTAAAAGTAGTAATGCTTGACCCCTGGTGCTGGATCTCAGTGCTGTGACAGACTAGTTTCTTTGGAGGCTATTATTGCTAGAATGTTTGTTGGAAGCACTGGGATTGGGTTTGGCCTGTGATTGGGTGAACTGCCCTGAAAGGACACTCTGAAGGCCTTTAAAAGGGCGGGAAGTGAATGTGAAGCACTCCTGAAATGTGCTGGATTGACAGCTGAGAGGTATGTGGTCCTTTGGATATTCATGGAATCTGTATAGCTCAAGTAGCACCAGTATGAAGTAAATTTAATACATTTCATCAAATTAAATTTAAATGGGCTGGTCTCCAACTTGTAAATCAAGGGTTGGAATTTGAGCTAATCATTTCCACTGGTACAGATTTCTTTTAGTTAAGTTACTTCAGACAGAAATAGAGAAATAGACCTAGTAAATAACCCACAGAAAGCTATCTACGGAGGTGTTGATTTAAAATTCCCTACAGTTAACAGAATATTTTGTACTACAGATGGCATGGTTAATTCCAATTCTTCTTTTTAGAAGAGTAAGATTAATTTCCAATAAAATAGCTCTCATATCTCTAAGCTTGTAAGGCTGGCTGCCATTTGAGAGAGTTGAAAAGTGTTAGTAGCAGTGGTGCATTTCTGGAAATTGTGAATTGCATTTTGAATAATATAGTTCTGTATTGAATGTCAGTCTCTAGGATTACTTACTTTTGACCCTTTCACAATATGGTTTTATAAATAGGAAAAGTCATAAAAAACACTGTAATTATCTCCATACTGTGACTCCCTGTCATCTGGTGCTGCTGCTGAAAACTCTTATGCATGCCTGTATTAAGTTCAGACTGCTTTTCTTTATCTGCATGTACCTTGTATTTAGAGATTCCCTGGACTCTCCACCTGAGGAGGGCTCTCAGAAATCTTCACTCATTCTTTCCCTTCCACGCTTTCCAATCCTTTCTCGTCCTTCACTTCCCAAAGGGTGAGCTGAAAAATCATTTTTCTTTCTAATATCTGGCATCTGTATTACTCTGCCTTTTTTTTTTAACCTCTGTCTTGCAGCGGGAGTACTGGTGCAGTGTAGGGTGGGGAAAAAGGAGCTTAAGGTTTTTTAAGAGTCCAACATGGAGGCAGTCCAATAAATTATGAAAAGTTATTATTGTTAGCTAAAATGTTAAAGCATATAAATTCTCATGCAGTGTAGTCATACTTCCTGGTTTCTCTAACACTGCAAATGTCAAGGACCCTTTTAAGCAATGTTATATATGGTTTTGCAGAAGAAGTTACTTACAGTGAGATTTTCTGTGGGGTTTGGAACTAGATTTGGAACTAGTTCCCTTTTACCCTTCTGCTCAGCTTCAGGGCCATTTTCTTTTTATGCTTTGTATAAAAGAAGTGCAAAGAAGTAACTGAGGCATTTTGATCTTGTGATTTTGCTCATAGCAGTGATGGTTTATGCACAGAGCTCTTTCATTGTGAGACTGTTGGAAGGACTGCTTAACAATGCTGCAAAAAGTGCAGAGTGATTTTAGCTGACCTCTAAGTTTTGAAATAAATCTTGGTGTTGTAAGAATCTTCTCTCACCATAAGATTTCTTCTGTAGACAAACACAGCCCATTACAGTGAATCCTGTTAGAAGGCGGTCTTCTTCCAGGATGTCTATGGTAAGGAGAGAAAATAGTTTTATACAAGGGCTGCTCTGAAAGTAATGCCTCCTATTTTATCACATTGGCCCGCAGTGTCAGCAGTGAATGTTGGTGGTATGGCAGTACGGGTTGAATCCTCCCACCAGTATTCCATTATGTTTTGTTGCTGAGTGGCAGATAGCAGCAGAGGGGAAGTCTGACGGAGTGGTGTACGATGTGGAAGTGTACATGAAATAAAGGTGTGGAATTCCTCCATGTGGAAAAATTTGTGCCCATTGACATTTATTGACTTTTGCTGAACACTGGTGGATACCAGACGGTGGATGTGAGCACAGTGAGATTGTAGGTGGTGCGTTCCTGCAGTGGCAGCAGCAGTAATGTTTCACCTCTGCTGGTGCAGATTTTTCTAAGCACAGCATGCAGGCTCTTGCTCATCACTGGTGTAAATGCATAACAAATGGTGGTGACTATGTTGAAAAATAGTATTTTTCAGCTTAGAACTTGCTCTATCAAATAGCATTCTTGTGCGATTTGTATCTGTTTTAGTTTCCACTGAAATAAATAAGGAGGCATTGCTTTTGGAACAACCTACATGTTTGCACTTATAAAGATTTAAGTTTACTATGAAACAGATGTTAATTTCCTTCTGAGAAGTAAAATAAGCAGTGAGAAAGATGAAGCTATTATGTGATAACTGTTTGTGACTTGTTGAAAGGCTGTTACGTAACTTCTGATTAATGGAATTAAAGTGATAGCAGTGAAAAAAAATTTAAAACATTTCCAGTTTGCTTACTCAATCTTAGAGACTATCCTGCATGTCAGATGGCAACATATAGTCTGTGGTTATTTTTTTAATATATAATTCTTTTATGATCTTTCCTAAAGAGAAACTTAATTGCAGATTTAGAGAAATGGTTTAAGAGTCTCTGTGTGTGTAATTGTCAAGGACTGTGTACGTAAATAATGAGATCTTTAACTAATGATAAAATTCTTACTTAGCCCAAGCCTCAAGCTTATATGATGCCTCCACCACCTCAGCTGCATTACAATGGTCATTATACTGAACCATATGCATCTTCCCAAGGTGAGTTGTAGCAGATTTGGAAAGTTCCAATGCTTAAATAATTTTAAACAGGGTAGAAAACAGCAAATCTTGTGATTTTTATGAAGTCTTTTTATTTTATGAAGTTTAAGGCCACAATACATAACTTTGAAGGTAAAAGCTATAATTGTGTTTATAGCTACTTAGCTAGAGCTAAACATGAAACAGGCTGGTAAAGCAACAGTCACCAATGTGTTTGCTGCTACTCTACATGTATGCTGATGTGAAAAGTGAGATAAGGGAAGAGGTAGTTATGGTAGACAGATATAGCAACTACTGATTATGATTCCTTGTGTGAATCTGACTGTGTCTTCTGGTTTATGGAACAAGCTGGCGTGTTATGGCATTCAGAGATTCTTGTCAACATCAATGTTACTAACTGCAAAGACTAACTAGGTCCCCCAGAAAATTAAAAAAAAAAAAAAAAAAAAAAATGGGAAGGAAAGAACAATAATTGTCTTTCTGCATCCCCTTTTTAAGCAGTTTCTCTCAGATTTTGCTAGACTGCAGGGTTTGGAATTAAAAGGCTTTGAAACATTTCTTTGGGGGAAAAAAAGGAAAAAATAGAATTCTCAAGAAATACACACTCCTAATCTAAGCTGTTTCACTCTGGAGCCATGGCTGTTTTCTGTGCTTTTTTGATGGTTACGCATAGTGTGTTTACTCAACAAAGTTTGTGCCCTAGAGAGATTAATCTCATTTTTTGCCAATTTGCCTCAGTTTTGACTGTGACCTTTCAGTCTGCAACTCAGCTAGATAAAAAAAGACTCATAATAACTCATTATAAGGAAATGTGCACATTTTCAATGTAAATAGTTGTATAAGTACTCAAAAGATATATATATAGATTCAGAATGTACCTGAATTGTTTGCAGTACAGTGTTGGAATCATTGCTTGATGCAGTGAAGGCTATAAGGCTTCTTAATTCCTACAGTACAGATCCTACTTCTGAACATTTTTTTCACAAGCAAAAGAGTTTTTGGTTGTAGGTAATTTCATTAAAATAAGTATGGAAATGGTGAACTTACAGAATCATAGAATGGCCTGAGTTGAAAAGGACCACAATGATCATCTAATTTGAACCCTCCCTGCTATGTGCAGGGTCACCAACAACCAGACCAGGCTGCCCAGAGCCACATCCAGCCTGGCCTTGAATGCCTTCAGGCATGGAGCATCCATAATCTCCTTGGGCAACCTGTTCCAGTGCATCAGCACCCTCTGTGTGAAAAAACTTCCTGCTAAACCTCCCCTGTCTTAGTTTAAAACCATTCGCTCTTGTCCTAACACTATTCACCCTCGTGAACAGTCATTCCTCCTCATGTTTGTATGCACAATACATAGAATACATACTCTGCATATACAATAATACATAGAACTTGAACTGTTATATCATAAAAATCTAAAAACAATGACTTAGTTGTTTTCTCCTGCAGCTGGGCAAATTGTACAGCCAGTGAAATAATTGTTAGAGTACTATATGTATATTGTCTATAAACTTCTAGGAAACTTTCTTTACCCATCAGTGGTAATATTAATGTGCAAACATGGTTTTGCACATATTAATGTGCAAAAATGGTTCTTGTTTAAACTGGATCCAAATTTTCTGGATAAATCTGATTTTTTTTTTAAAGTGCTTGTTATCCACCTATGTCCTGAGAGTGTTATGAGGAGAGAGTGTTTGTTTTTTCTTGCTATTTAAACTGATCTCATTAGGCTACTGCAAACCTAGGTGTAGATGTTTGTTCCTTCAGTCAGAACTGTTTAAATTTTTATATGGATTTTACTTAATTTAAACTTAGCAAACCTATTGTAAACTGAAGAAAGCTCTTATGAAACAGAGGTAATTGCTTTCCAGTAGGAATTTGCATCATCTATTCTGGTAAATATACCTTAGGTATCTACAACACCAAAAAAGCTGTGTTTTTTTGTCTTCCCAATTGAAAACATATGACGAAATATGACTGAGATTTTGAAAGTCTGAAACATCAGTTAGCTACATCTTAATAGAGAATATCTTTGTTGTTCAAGGTCTTGAACATAAAGATTGTTCTTAAACTTTACTTTCAGATAACCTCTTTGTGAGCAGTCAGAATGGATACTACTATCACTCTCAGACTAGCTTGGATAGAGCCCCTCATGACTACAGTGGTCGAATCCGCAATGGTAGTGTCTATAGTGCGCATAGCACAAACTCCTTGAACAACCCACAACATTACCTGCAGCCGTCCCCCATGTCCTCTAACCCAAGCATTACTGGGAGCGATGTCCTCAGAACTGATTATATTCCATCACATAGACATAGTGCCCTAATCCCACCATCTTATCGGCCCACACCAGACTATGAAACTGTGATGAGACAACTCAATAGAGGAATGGTACACACAGATAGGCAGAGTCATTCAATGAGAAATCTTAACATCAGCAATACATATGCTTACAGCAGGCCTGACGCCTTGGTTTACAGCCAACCTGAAATACGAGAACATGCCCACTTCACTTCCCCACAATCTAACCATTATCCATTTAACCTGAACTACAGTTTTCATAGCCCATCCCCCTATCCCTATCCTGCTGAGAAACGCCCAGTTGTTGGGGCAGTCAGTGTGCCTGAATTGACAAATGTGCAGCTCCAGGCTCAGGATTATCCAGCACCAAATATAATGAAGACCCAAGTCTATCGACCACCTCCCCCATATCCATATCCAAGACCTGCAAATAGTACTCCAGACCTTTCTCGACATATCTACATTAGCAGCAGCAACCCAGATCTAATCACGAGACGAGTTCATCATTCTGTCCAGACATTTCAGGAAGACAGCCTGCCTGTGGCACATTCTCTACAGGAAGTCAGTGAACCTCTAACATCGGCGCGCCATGCTCAGCTGCAGAAAAGGAACAGTATTGAAATTGCAGGCTTGACTCCCAGCTTTGAAGGAATAAGAATAAAAGAGAGGACCATGTCAGCATCTGCAGCAGATGTGGCTCTTCCAAGAGTTATTTCAGAAGGGTCACAGCCCAACATTCTGATAGAGAGAACAAAGCAAAAAGAAAATGAGCATGATGAAGGTGTGAACTGTGATCACAAGAAAACCCTTTCAGATGCCACTATGCTGATTCACAGTAGTGAAGAAGAAGAAGAATTTGAAGAAAACAAAGCTAGTACTAGCCTCTCTCCTCTTCCTGAAGATCAAACCCAGCTTTCATCCATTATCGGTGGCTATTCTCATGATTCTGTACTCAACTACCCCTATAGCTCAGTTGCTTCATCTACTGGCCCTTTGCATATTCTTGAGCCTAAATTACATATTTCAGAAACGGAAAAGAGAATGAAAGATGTAAGTCCAGTTCATTTACTAGTAGAAAACCAAGTACAGAGAAGAGGGGAAGGACTGCTTACTCCATCTATGTCAGAATCTGACCTTACAACATCAGGGAGATACAGAGTAAGGAAGGATTCAGTAAAGAAGAGACCTGTGTCCGATCTTTTGTCTGGGAAGAAGAATATTGTGGAAGGCCTTCCCCCACTAGGTGTAAGTGGATATTATTTCTTGTTTTATGTTATTTCAGGATGTTCTGTGGCCACAGTTATGTGGGGTTTCTAAGTGTTTTTGTTTGTTTGTTTTTAAATCAACCTATGTTTTTAAAACATATGAATTGAAAGTTACTTTAACTTAATCTTTATTCTTCTATTTTTTTCTCGTTAACTTTGTTTACTTACGCTCTCTGCTCTGTCTGAGCTTTGTTTGTGTAGTCCTCCCACACAAATCCAACTCTGCAGCCTTCATCCATCTGACATAGCTAACCTAGTTAGCAACTAGTTTTTAGTTCTAGATCCCAAATTCTAGCCTCCCTATCCTTATCTGGAATAGAACCAGATGTGTCTGTTCCACTATCAACTTTCTAATATTAGAACGTCCCTCACTGAAAAATCAGATATAGCTGAATGTTTAACTTTTTAATTCCTTTATCTTCTTATTCTGACCTAGGAGGATAATCAGGCAATAAATTCTTTGCTTGTGTTCTCTTCTTTTCTTTCCTCCATACTTTCCTCTTTTCATATCCTTCCCCTTTTGCCTTGCCTTCCAGCTGTTTTTATCTCACTGAAGTTATTTCTTTTCTTTCTGTGCCCCTTTCTCCTATTCCAATCTTAAAAGCCATAAAAAGAAATCGATTGAACAACTGCGATTTTCCCATTTCCTACAATCCCCTCTACATAGAAGCATCGAAGTCTGCTCAGGACTGTATGATTTCACTTGCACTCTTTATTGCTCGCTGTGTTTGGTTTTATTAGTTCCTGGCATATTTCACATGCTAATGGAGGAATACATTTTTATAATTTTTTTGCTTTTTTTTCCCCCATTGATTCCTGCTAACTTTGCCTCCCTGAGTTTGTGTCAAATAGTTTTCTGCACAAACAGGTCTGCAGTGGAAGTGCTGTACAACTTCTGCTGCTGTGCAGTAACAGTTACAGCTGATACTACAAAAGCTAACCTGAAGTAAACTATGTATTTAAATTATTACTGTGTGCTCAACTTTTTGTGTGGGACTTCTTACATGTAGAACTGAACACAGTTAACTTGTATGAATTTCAATTTATTTAAAAATTGTTTTCCTAAATTTCCTGCCTTGTATGTTAGGTGGATATAGAAAAGAGGTGACAGCTTTCTCTTTATATTCACATTTAGAAAGACTCACTTTGTATTTTTTTTCTTTGAAAGACATGTTTTCAGATGTTGATGGGTCTACCAAAATCATACCTTGCCTTTTCTTTGTGATAGCCAAGTAAATATTTAAATCAACTTTTTGAAATGAAGTTGATATTAAAACTTATTTGCTGAGCACTTCCAGTGAAATACTTTCTAGGTTAGCAATATTTAAGATTTCTATTGCAGAATAGAGAATTGTGGTTTTAATCATTATTAAGGTGAACTGCCTTGAAACAAAAGCTGCCCCTGCAACTCCTTTTGCATTTTGCTTTTTCACTTTCCAATTACGTGCTACTGCTGTGTTTATGTTCACTTTCAAAAACAGTCTCAACCTTTTAATGTTGTCATCTTATTCTAGCTTTTGGAAACATTGAAACCATTCAAGCAGAATATTTGCTCATATTTTCAGTGTAGGGTTTTTTTGTTGTTGTTGTTTTTTGCTTTTTTTTTTTAAGAGTTAAACTGAGCAACTGAAGGAATGGTAGTTTTCTCACTTATGCTTTCAAAAAGAATTCTTTGAATTTATCCTTACATTGGAATCTCCTGTTGATATTTCTCTCAAATAAGATTCATAGTCTAGTTCAGGACTCTGATCTGCCTGTTCTTCTGTGTTCATATTTTGTATGTGCATTTTATTGCAGAAGTAGTCAAACATTTTATTATATCTAAATAACTTATAATCTCATTGTTATGATCATCTGTAGATAAGTGTCTGAAAATTGTCTATCAAAAGTTTATTTTTATTTATTGGTTGGTTAGTGCTTGGATAGTGATTCCAGTTCTGTCCAAGGTTATTTATCCAGTGTAGCTGCCTCACAACCTCAGTTGTGAGCTTTGTAGGAAACAGTATTTGCCATTCTTATGCAGTTTCATTAACCTGTCTGGAATGAAGACAGACTTGTGTTGTGTCCTTGGAGGAATGTTGTCCCACCACTCTAATCTCACTGCAATGCTTATCATGAAAAAAAAAAGTCAGAGCTGTTTGCAAAAGGGGTCAAAGAAGTATTCTTTGCTAAACTGAACTCATCTGGATTGTGCTTTATAACTTCATCTGCTTTTTGAAAAATATTTGTAAATTTTAGCTTTCCTTTTCAGGGCATGAAAAAGAATAAAACTGATGCAAAAAAAATAGGGCCTCTAAAACTTGCTGCCCTAAATGGACTAACTTTGGCTAGAATGCCTCTGCCAGATGAGGGGAAAGAGGAATCAACAAGAGCAACAAATGATGAACGGGTATGGTGAATTTTTTAATCTTTGATTTGTCATTTACATGAGTGATTTTTCAAAATCAATTGCATATGAATGGTGCTTTGTGTCAACTTCAAAGTGCTTCCAATTCAGAGCAACTCAAACGCTCAGAACACAAACAAAATGAAGAGTGAGACTTTGATTGTGAAGTCATTGCTAGAAGTATTAGGTGTAACTCAAGTTTTTCTTTAAGGTATAAGATGATGGTGATTCTACCCAAGTCTTACCCTTTGAACACATGAAATCAATTAGTATCTTCTGATACATTTTTATGCCTAGTCTTTCTGTTTTCTCTCTAATTTTTTGGTCACTTCCCGTACTGAAAACAGATTAAACTTAAAATTCTGAACTTGAACTTGATTGTAATGATTAGTAATGTATGTAATTTTTACAGTAAATTGTGTAGTCAAATTACATCCCTAAGAAGCTTGTGGAGATTGTATTCATGTTTTCCTCACATGGATTCCTGAAACTATAGATGCTGAAATTTTATTTGCTGAAATTTTAAAACCACAAAACAATTTCATATCGCTGAGTGGAGAACAACAGGTTTTAGAACTGAGGATCATTCTTTGAGAAAGTAAGACTTCATCTACTTGTACCAGGGTAACCAGCATACAGACGTACTTCAGCCTGCCTTGTGTATTGTTACATAAGTGCAGGAAAGTATGATATATAGTCAATCAACAGTCTGTGAAATGCTATTTGCAACAGTACTGTTATCACACATTTGATCAGTGAGCAACTACATTCACCAGGATCTGTGGTGATTATTGTACATACTCTGACTATTGGTCTCTTTGGAATCTAATGATAGTTGGACATCCTCAGCTGCAGAACACTATCTGCCTTCATTTGTTTACAATCACTGAACAGGATTAGAACCTGAAGGGGCAGTCACATTCTGACTAGTAGCAGTTTTAAGGAACAGGCCAAGAAGATGCAAGTTACACAGTAGAAATTTGGTCTTGTAGTTTGAGGGCTTGGATTGAGATTTATAGGAGAAAAATTCGACTGTGAGATTCAACTGTGCTGTGCTGAAATGGCTTTTTGAACTATATGCAATTGTTAAAGATAGTAGGGGAGGTCAAAAGTTGACATCACATTATTAAAGTACACATCTACATTTAGTACCTATGTTGGTTATTTCCTCTTATTTATAGATATCCTCTCTTCTCGGGTTAATGTTAATTTACTTCAGGCAAATCACCACCCAGCTAGTTTTGCCCAAAGTGTTGAGGGAGAAGAAGAAACTGTAAAGTCAAGTTATGAGGAAGATGTAGATCTCTACATGTTCTCTTCAGGTAGTCATGTAGAGGAAGAATAGTTATCATAAAATTGGAATGACTGAAGAAGCAGTACAAATCATATATGTGACATAAAAGAAAGTCCAGATTGCAGATATTTTTAGAAGACAAAGGAAGACTTTATAGTTGATACAGTGCCTGTTTTATTGCTCAGCTAAGTGTTACTATCAGATTAAATTAGAAAACTTGACCTAACAATATTAAAGGAGTTTAGACGGTTAATGTACCGATGTGTAAATTGCATATGAAGGAGGTCTTACATCATCCTCTGCAGCATTTGGCATTGAAGTTATTTGATACAAGATACTTTCCTGATCTGATACTACAGAGCAGTTGCTGAAAGAGGCTGGGGACATGTGACATAGATGAAATTTTCTGGCTGAAATCTTACATATTTGTCCTCTAATTATTGTTGGCAAAGAGATGCTGAAATTCCAGAAGTGTCTTATGATTTAGAAAGAACTTGGTTTTGAAAGTATAAATCTTTCAGTGGGCTAATTTAATAAATCAGATTGAATTGTACTACAGAAAGAAAATCCTTGTTTGATGCCTAAGTTACAGGAGGTTGTAAGAGGACTTTACTGCTGTCTTCAATGTTTAATGTTTTCAGTCTAAGTAAATGTGGAATTCTGAGGGGGAAAGATAAACTCATTTACTGAGGCAAGCATTTTGCTTTAAATCTGTGGAGTTTTTCTTGACTTAAGTGACAATTTTGACTTTTTTTTTGTGGGGGGAGGTGGGGTGGAGGGAAGGGATGAGGGCAACACAGTTAAATGAGATTTTAAAAATGATCAAACCAATGTGCTTTGTCAAGAAGAATGAAAAATGAGTGTGTCTCATTTAAAAATACTCAGAGAAGTTTGTAGTGCAGCATAATTACTGGGTTTAACCAAGTGTTTATTTTCCCAACTAAGTTGCCTTTAGAGAAGCTAAAAAGCAGTTTTTGTTATTCACCAGTGTTATCCACCAATTTAGTGAATTATAACAATATTTTTTTAGGCACTTCTCATTTGAACAAAAGTCCTTTTGGTTAGAATTGCTTCTAATTTGTTCTGGTACGTTTGTAAAAATAATATTAGTTTGAAAAATGTAACAAAATTGTACAGAAGGGGAATTCCATATTAAAATAGACTCATTTTAGAGTGTGGCTTCATATGGTTATCTTTTTTTTTCTTTCTGTTAGTGTAAAGTTCTGGAACAACGGTTAGAGCAGGGGATGGTATTTACTGAATATGAGCGCATTCAGAAGAAAAGGCTTATAGATGGTGAGTGCTCAATAGCTCGGCTTCCTGAAAATGCTGAGAGAAACCGGTTCCAGGACGTCCTCCCTTATGATGATACCAGAGTAGAACTAGTCCCAACCAAAGAAAATAACACGGGTTACATCAATGCATCTCATATCAAGGTGAGAGAAATTATGTTGGAGAAATGTTTTCCTCCCTCCCTCTATACTTGTTTTTGTGGGAAAGATGAAAACTGTTTATCCCCACTGTCTGGAAGAATAGTAGAGGGTTAATTACTGGAGAGGTCTTTGTATTCACTTCTATGTTGAAGAGGTCTTCTATATTGATCGTCTCTCTCCTATCTCTTCCACATCTCCTGATTGATACCAACAGAAGATATGTCCATTCTTCCATAGTTATGAAGGCAGATAGCTTTTAAACGAATTGGGATTCCTTGCAATGATTAAAACATTTTTTCCAAGTCCAGTGGCAATAATTATAATTATTATAATTATTTCCTCATTTTCTGTACCTTCAGGCTAGATCCACAACAGGCAGTAGTCTGGGTCCTTGCTTAAGTTTCCTTTAATGGTTAGAGGAACAAATGAAGATAGAAGGAATTCTGTTCTTCCATAATATTCTGATGCCCTAAACTAAAGAGGCAGATATAAATCAGAGTGCCTATTTCTGAACTGTTGCTATCTTTTTGAGTTTGTGGATCTTAAAGTGGCTAAGAAAATGAGGAAAAGATTTTAAATAATTAGTAATCTAATCTATTTCTTTTTACAGATCTCTGTTGGTGGCATAGAGTGGGATTACATTGCTACACAGGGCCCTTTGCAGAATACCTGTCAGGATTTTTGGCAGATGATCTGGGAACAAGGGATTGCCATCATAGCTATGGTGACAGCGGAGGAAGTAAGTATAAACCAGGTCAGATCTACCCCTGAACTTCATGCAGTTTTGTTCTGATTTGTTAAAAGAAGGGGCTCTTTGCTTCAACAAGCAGACCAGTCAAAGATAATTCTCTGATGACCCCTCTGTATTGCTTTCCTTGGCAATTTAGAAAAATCTAAATTTGCAAGCTCTTTCCCATGGAAGACTGGTTTATTTAGTGAAAAAACAAAACATTGTAGTAGCACTTAACAGAAGAGAAATACAATTGTTACAAGAACACTAGTTGTTATAAGTGTCTTTGCATCTCTTTTAAGCGAATGTTTTACTCTTAAGGAAAGTGGGAGAGAAAAAAGCTTCAGATACTGGCCACGTCTTGGCTCCAGACACAACACTGTAACATATGGAAGATTTAAGATAACCACACGATTCCGTACTGACTCAGGCTGCTATGCAACTACGGGACTGAAGATTAAACATCTTCTCACAGGACAGGAGAGAACAGTTTGGCATTTGCAGTATACTGACTGGCCAGAACATGGCTGTCCAGAGGATTTAAAGGGATTTCTCTGTAAGTTGTATTTAATGGCTTTCTTTCATTTCCCCTTTTTTTTTTTTTTTTTTTTTTTTAAATCACCTAAGATGTCTGCTAAGCGGGAATTAACTTGTGAAATTATGCCAAGCATGCTACTGCAAAAGATATATTTGATCCAGTAAGAGATGTTGAATTATATTTCTGGCAGGAATATTTCTGCCATTTTGTTAAAGTGACCATTTAAGTGAAAACCTAGATATATAATTTAGTAAGAAGTCATATAGGTTAAAGCATAACTATAGCAAGTATGACATATTTGAATATGTGCCAATAAGCTGGTTTTAGTGGGGAACAGAGGAACAAGGAAAACTTTACAGAAGTTGGATGATTTTTGTAGATCTGTATTGCTCTAGTTGGTTTATGACTTACGATTTATGTGATATGTGATTTTTTCTGTGGGATGTCATTTGCTAAATTACTACTTCTGATGGTCGTTCAGTCTAACAACATTGCTTGTGTAACTTTATCTCCTGAACTTATTCTCATTTTGTTCAACTTAATAGCATACTTGGAAGAGATACAGTCAGTGCGGCGCCATACAAACAGCACTGCAGATCCTAAAAACTCTAATCCTCCTGTGCTGGTGCATTGCAGTGCAGGTGTGGGACGAACAGGAGTGGTCATATTGTCAGAGATCATGATAGCTTGCTTGGAACACAACGAGGTGATCTATTTTTCTTTCTAATTTTTGATAGTGTTAGGTAGTAAAGAGTAAATAACCCGTTTAATAAATATTATTGCTGTTCATCTGATCTTTCCCAAGGAATGGCCTTTGGAAAAGTCTTTACAATTATGGTTAAAGTGCTTTTGGCAATTTAATAGAAGTTAATAATCTTCTAGTTTCCCACTTACACACTGGGTATTGGAATGCACAGTTGGATTCTTGACTGTGTAGGATGTTGAGTCACTCAGTGTAACAAGGTACGCCCTGGGCTACTAGGCATGTTTCAGGATTTTGCCCTGACTTTAACACTTTTTCTTCATGCCTTAGTTTTAATAGTTAATATTAAAGAAAATCTTTTGTAGCTGGTCTCTGTGCTTTTTATTTAACATTTTTATTCCTAAGTGTAGTAGTACTTGTAGTATGGGTCTCAGCAGAGGACAAAGTGGTAGCTTAATTAGTAAAACCTAGTCTTGTCATCCTTTAGCCAGAATTATAAATATAATTTATAATTGTATTAGTACAATTATAAAGTATTTAGCAATAACATTATGTTCAATCTGAGACTCAACAAAGTGATTGTTTCTTCTGTTTATTTGTCCTAATACTGTGACAAACTTTTGCAGCCAACAGATTTTTGAGGATCCACATATCCCAGAAATAGACAAATATTTCACAGGTGAGGAAGTTGAGGTAGGCACACGGTCAGTGGTACAGTGAAGTCTGTAGTGAAGGTATGGGCAATGCATTGTCAGAGGTGAAATTAGAGCAGTTCATTCTGTCCCCAGATCACTGGTACTGTGCTGAATCTCCTGCTGAGAAAGTACCAACGACTCTCCTTGCTCAGTTGTAATGGCTTTTTTTTTTTCCCCTCCAGATGCTGGACATCCCACGAGTGCTGGACATGTTGAGGCATCAGAGAATGATGATGGTGCAGACTCTTTCTCAGTACACTTTCGTCTATGGAGTTCTCATTCAGTTTCTCAAAAGTTCTAGACTTATATAATCCCTGCCAATTCCTAAGGGACGCTGCAAGAGTTTACAGAAAGAAAGCTACAGTTGTGCAGGCAGACCTGCTTTCACTTTTTTTTTTTTCTTTCTTCGTATGATGAATCACGCAGTTAACTTGTAGGGCTGGTATGTGGCTGTTAGATACAAGTCAGTGTAGCAGTACTAGCAAAGCAGGATCTTCACTGGACTAAATTCTTCCTATGTTCAGCTGGAGCCAAATTAGGGAATGATTTTACTTGTACTGGTTCTTAGTACTTGTACACATTTTTTTAGGGTTGTTGGGAAAATAAATTTCTAACGGAATGGAAATACATGGCACAACTTAATAACTTTTTTTTTTAACATTATAATGAACTGTGCAAAAGCTAAAATTTGTCAGTGCACATGAGGAGAGAAAACTGCTTCTTGGGGATGTCAAGGTCTTACACAGTTTCTGCTTTCAATTTTATATTTAGACAAAAAACATCTATATTTTTTTTAAATGAAGTTTTGGTTTCCTCTGGTTTACTTAGCAGAACTAGCAGCTCTCAGATACTTTAAGTTGTTGCTTTAGGGGCAGTTATTTTTCTATTCAGCTTTTTTTTTTTTTTTAAACTTTCAAAAAAAAAGAACCCACCCAACTTTTAAAACACTAATGTTTTTAGAGAAGATTATCTATGCTTGAACTAATTTCTTAAAAATTGTGCTTACAGTTCTAGTGTAATATGTAGTAACAGAGTGCTGTGTAATAGAACAAGTGAAAAATCATGTTAACTGTTGATAATTTCCATTTGAGTGGAGGCATGTTTGCCTATTGACTTGTAGACTACAGGCAGGGAAAAAATAATATAATTATCTACAGAGTTCTTGGTAATAAACAAATGAGAGAAAGTACATATTCAGTATTATTCAAAAATTTAGAGGACAGTTTGATTTTACTGGCTGAAATCAAAGTGGATGCAAATATTTTAAGCACTTTTTTGCTCTGTTATTTATGTAGTTAAACATAGAAACTATAATCATATATTGTTTCATATGGTAATATGCTGTTACTAACCTATTATTTGAGGAAGAGCCTTTAAAGTTGATGAAGTGAGAGAAGCAAAATTGGAGTAAGAAGGTGCGTAGTGGTGAAGAGGAAATAGTGGAGATGTGGCAGCTATGATTGCTGGTTTATGCATGGCAAAGATGACCATTAAAAATATTTATATTTCCAGTCAGGAAAACCTTTGAAGCACCGGAATTTTCTCTAGAATCCTTCAGATTATTTTGTCAGCAGTAGAACAGATTTTGCTAATGCTGTGCAGCATTGCAATGAAGGATGTTCACAGGAGCCATTTGAGAATGCCTGCAGAACGTAAGAACGCTAAGAGGTAACACTGGAGATGTAGGTATTTTAGTAACTGTGTAGGTTGCAGAGTAAATGGTTGCAGCATAGATGTGAAGATGTCCTACCTCTGGTAGGTTCTGTCTTGTCCCTGAATAGCATGGGTCTGGTCTGTTGACAGTATCCTGAATAGTTCTGTCTCTGTGTTTTTAAAATGAGGACGGTGTGGTTTTGCCTACTTTTGGAGTGTTTTGACCCTATACCAAAGTGAGCTAACTTGTTTGTAGACATCTAGTGTAATTTCCAACAAAAAAAACTATGGTAGACAAGTGTGTAGGTACATCTCAGTATCCATTTCCCACAATACTTGCTTAACAAAATGAAATGAGTCCATGAGATTTTTTTCCACTGGTGAGATGTTGTTATTCCCTGAGTTGTGACCAGGCTTTGGAAGCTATTATGAAGCATTATGAACCTCTCCTCTTGTGAAACAATGATTGTCCTCTCAAAACACAGATTAATAAATGTTTTGTCAATTTCCTTTTTAATAAGCTGTTTCCATAAAGATAAACACAAGGTCCAAATGACATTGTGCTAATATTTCATTCCATAAAATATGTGCTACTTTAAAATACACTATAATATTCAACTAGTGCATTTGGTCTTCTTTCAGGCAGTCCGAATTGTTCTACCCTCAGTAAAAAAAAATATTGAATATTTCAAATGGAGGGAAAAAAAATGCCTAGCAAGTAGTAACTGCCAAACATAAAACTGAGTGGAATAATGTCTTATTCCAGAGAAATAACCTGGAAGTTATTGAAGACTGATTATTCATATAGTCTTGCAGGCAAACAAGTTTGACGTGTATGTGTCAACAGAAACACCACTGAATGAAGCAAATGTATTTGGCTATTTGTGCTATCTTCTGTTATAGAAACATTGATTTGTTTTTCTTTCTTTTTTTTTTTTAAACCACAGTTTCTGAGTGAATAATGTATGCTCCAGAATGTAGCTTTTACCATTTCCAAAGTTTGAGCTGTGATCTTTGCAATGTGATGCATGTGCTTTTAATGAAATTGTAGGTGACCATAACTTTGTGCAACACTTTCCGCCATTCAGCAGCTCTTGGGACAGAATGTCAGGTATGAGGCATTAAAAAAAAAAAAAAAAAGCAATTTCATTCCAAACTTGTGAGATAGTTTCTGAGGTGGCTGAGGAAGCTTTTCCCTTCCATTTTCTTCTCCGTCTTTCTGAGAGGAAGTGAGATCACTTTCAGAGGTGTTAGCTCTCTAACCTGGTAGTCACAGTCTGTTTTTTTAAAAGCAGTAACACTGCTACTTCCTCCACTTCAGCTTTTCAGTCTTTCCACTTGTAGTGCATTTTTGCATTAGTAAGACTTGACTTTCTATGAACCTTCCTAATGAAGGTAGCAGGCTTGTTCTTACATATAAGCATATGGTGTCAAGCGGGCATTGAAAACAAACAGTTTCTCTTCTGGAGATACCAAAAAAAATAAAGCTCCGCAATCTCCTGTCACAAAACTAATTTCAAAAATGTTTAGATTTTCAGATAGCTTTTAAAAGAACATTCAGTTTTTAGCACTTTCTTGTTCTGAGCCTTTAAGGGGATGCTTTGTACATGCTGTTGTGCTGGATGCTTTGTGAAGTGTGGGACTTTATAAGAAAATTTGTGGCCCAAATCCAGTCAGAGCCTGAGTGGAAATTGGATCCTTCTGTCAAAAGCTTAAAATTGTTAGTCATTTTGCCAGGTGTGCTTCTCTTACTATGGGAGAGAAACCAGGTAATTATCATGTAAGATTTGAGCTGAACTTATTTAGTAGGAAAAACAACATAATGCTGATCTCTAGGAATGCCAGAGTTCTCAGGGATAAATAAAGGTGCTATATTACTATCAAGAGACAGATGTGAGCGTCTTTTGTGGTCTAGGTGGTAAATGCTTTCTTAGGATCAAATTCCTCAAAGAGTCAGGAAAGGAACCAATAGATTGCTGTAGGGGCTTCTGCACATTTGATTTCTGTCTTGTTTGCTCTGAAGAGAGATTTTTTGGACAGGGAATCCTTGTAATCATGGGATCCCAGATCTTCTTTAAAAACGTAATTAGCAGCCCTGTTGATTGTGAAGATGACACTTAACAGGCTTTGCTGTCAACTGCAGCTCACTCTTCGCTCATTCTTTGATGGAGGAGCTCCATGCTACCTGACAGTTTTGCACTGCTTCTCTGCAGCCCGCAAAACAGTGATCCCCTTTTTCTGCTGCACATTGGAATGCAGTCTCCATGAATAGCAAAATTAAAGGCCTTGATATTGCTCTCACTGTGATACCATTTGCACACATGAATGGTGAAAACTACAACTGCATAGGAATGTAATAAAAAATAGAAGGTTGCGACCTTCAGAGATGTTGAGTCGTCTTTAAGGTCCCTTCCAACCCAAGGTATTCTGTGATTCTAAAATAAATGCATACTGGAATGGAAAAATTCTTTGCATTTTGAGAAAGTATGCATTTTTTGTTCCTCTTTAAAGTGTGTGACACTTAAAGCACTTTTCTCCAAAATACTTTCTTAATTTTAGTAACTAAGGCTACCAGAGGCTGCTGGTACACTTATCTTGTTGGAATCTTTGTTAAAGTTGAGTGGCTCATAGTTCTCAACAGCCTCTGGACCAAACTTGGGAACTGCGTGGTGGTTTGTCTCATAAGCTAGCACTGTAATGAGACCTCGGTTTTAATACCAGTACTGTTACTAAAACACTGCAGTTAAAATAGTGAACTTGTTACTATGCTACAATGGTTAGCTCAAGTTATTAATTTAAAAGGAGCAACAGATCAACTGATAATAATTCTTTGCTTTAGGTATTTATTGTTCTATTTTCCTTTCCAGTACAAAAAACACATGCAAAGCCAGAGCCCAATCCCTCAAGAGGTAAAAGTTCTGCAGTTCTCGTGAGTGGATTAAGTAATGCTTACTGCCAGTGAAAGCCCTTAAAATGTGAATATTCACATCTACTTTGAATTTAAATATAGATTGCATGAATTAATCAAAAGAATGCATCAGGAATGTGCCTACATGAAGCTAGAACATTACAAGGAAAAGTAGCTGAGATGACTTGGAAGAAATTCTCTTGTAAAAGTACAAAATGTTAGAACTGGAGAGTGTGGATTTCAGGAATGGCTTGAAGGCATTTGGAGGAGGAATTGGAACATTTTGTATCCACAGTGGAGCCGCTAGAAGGGTTTGATTCATATGGTATGTTTTTTTTTTTAATTACACAGTAGGGTAAGTGAGCATGTAGTCATAGGTGTTATTTCTGCTGACTTTTTAAAATGTGATTTTCGAAGCTCCAAATATTATTTCAGAAGCTCTGTTATTTTTAAATATACTCTTTTCCAAACAGATTTAGTGCAATCTGTCACCTCAGCTTCTGTTTGCTTACTAAAGGTCAGATTTTAAGGCCGCAGTCTCAGGTTTTTGGCGTGCAAGCTGAAGGCAAAGGGGCGTATGTGCAAATTTGTGCTGATAATTTGTAATGGATGCAGATTAGATTATTTCAGAGTTTAAATGATTTGTGAATGCAGCCAGCTGCTTACTGTAGGTATGAACTGGATCGAGCTATGGCTATGCTGAAAACTGGGCCTTTGAATTGTGGAATTTGGCATATGCTTACAAATATGTTACATTGTACCATTTGAAGTACAGTGCTAATAAAACTTCAGAGAATCTCAAATGTGCTAGGCTATAGGAAAATATCTTAAACTTCAACAGCAACAGCTGTTGCGAATATGGCTGTAAAAAAGATTTCTTACAAAGATCCTGTTGGGGACCAGCTAACTTGATGTGTTTTGCTGGCATCATGTATGTTCCTTTAAGGTCTACAAGGACTGAAAAAAACATTCTTCATTTCTATGTGCATTTCAAAAAATGGCTGCTAAATGACCCTGGATTCTATTTGCAGTTTTCCACGTGATGCTGCGTTTAGTGGTAAAGAATAACCTCCAGTACATTTGTTACTTAGAAGCCCATTTTTCAGCTCTAATTGGGGAGTTAAGACAGAAATCAAATGCAAAAATCTAACAAATAGAGTTTATAACAGATGCAGTGTGTGGCAAGTTAGAGAGCAAGCCTGTAGATACTGTGGTTTTACTTTGTTTCTAGACAGCAGTCAAAACTACCAAATTACTGCTTTTGTGAGCACAATTTCAGAAGGCGCCTTTTGAAACCTTTTTAAAGGGAATTTAAATGCAGTTTTTCCATTTGGAAATGTTTAAGTAAAATTAGGAGATGTGGAAGTATTTAATGACAGTTAAGTTTTAGAATGATAGGAAACACAATAGGAAAATAGGTCCTCCAGTCTGTCACCTTGCTTATCCTGGATGATTCTGGCAGACAAGGTGTATATGCTGTCCCTTTACAAAGATACCTTCTCAAGTTCCTTTGAAACACCCAAACTGTTTGTCTTCTTTATGACTCATCTGGGAAGACTCGGATGGAAATTTTAGACTCCAGCTTGCAAATCAGTAGGTAGGTACCCTCCTGCACACTGCTGAAATCTCTTCACCCAGTTGAAGCAAGTAGGTGTTTGAAGTCCTTTCAGCAGTTTTGTAGGGCTTAATGTCAGACGAATGCAGGATCTGGCTCAGTTTTCTTCTGTTTTTGTTTGAGCCAGTATGGAAGGATTTAAATGAGACTTTATTTACAGTAGCAACATGAATTTTTGAGTATTATTTTCTAGTACAAAGCTAGTGGTTAACACATCTATTTTTGCTGTCTTGCCATCAATACTGTAAAAATCTATAATCAAAACAGCTTTAATTCTTGTAAAACTGAAATTGGTTTGTAAAACAATGTAAAAATTGTGTTTCATAGACAGAAAAGCTTGTATTACTGAATGTAATATATGTGAAATGAATATATTATAGTCTATTTTTGCCATGAAAAATAAATATTTGAAGCAACGATGCAGTTTTATTGTTCCATTATTAAAAGAAAAATCAGTGCTGTGTGTTCCAGTTTGGAACTTGGCCTTCTGTGCAAAAAGATGTTATCCCTCTTTTAAAGCTCTGTGAGTAATGCCCTGGTTTACAATATGAAGATAAAAACTTCCACTGGCAGGTACTAATTGTTCTCATCTTTGAGGTAGAAAAGTCACACGTCTGCCAACCTAACATAATTTTTTAATTTTTTTCTTTTTTGCATCTTATAAAGCCATTCTTAATATTGAATATTCAATTTCCCTTTAAGCAGAGCTTACAGAAGTTGAAAAGCCTTTTCCAAAAGCCCATGAGAAAAGAACATCGATTATATGACTTAATGAGTAATATTATTTACTTAGCATTATTGAAGCTGCTACCAATACTTGATACTGAAGTTTTTGTTTTGTAATTGATATTTAGTCAAAAATGGAAGCACACAAACATAAAAGGATGTACTTCACACTGGACACTGTAATTGCAGACCAGGCAGTTTCACATCCACTGTCCCTGCAGAATGCCATATGCACAGACTCAATTATCAGGAAATACTGGGCTTTTAATTAAGATTTGTATTACAGGTATGCTCTACTTGGTGGCATTAACGCACATAAGGTAAAATAACATACGTATGTATGTAACTGTCTGATCATTTCCTAAACCCTGAGGAATGTTCTGTGTGGGCAAAGCACTCTTTTTGGCATGGGGCCAGAATCAAAAGAGCAGCCTGTTGTTTAAGTCCAGAATGGCTGTAGATAGATAAAGATTACGTGAAGCTCAGCAATGCTCAATACCTAGCAGGGAGTTTGATGTCTGACAGTTTCTCTGTTCAGGATATAATGACGTTCTGGTATTTTTTTGCTGTTGTTTGTTTGTTTGTTTTGGTTGCTGTTATATCCACTGCTTTTCTTTAAGACATCAGTGATGGCATATAAATGTGTTTTCTCTCTTCCACTGTTGTTCTGATTGTTGTCTGGAAGTCTGGCTTCTGCATGAGGACAGCAGCTCGTAGCACTGCAGAAAAAAAATTGCCAGGCTACCTACAGCACCCAGAGGACAACTGATGAATGGACACCATTTGTGAGTATGATGGTGACTGCATGTATGCAGGTACCAAAAGGAGAACGGTGTTGCAGAGTTGGAGGTGAGTGAGCACTGGATGTATGATGGATGCTCATCAGCTCGGCACTAAGCAAGTTACCTTGTGTTGCTCTGGATGTCATTGGCTCAGTCTGGCTCTTGGACAGGGTGAACCTTCTGCATTTGAGTGATGGCAGTGTTGTGGTTCTGGTGCTTAGGGAAATGATTGTTCTGGTAGTTAAAGGCTAGTTCTGTCATTACTACAATTGCTTTGAACCTAGCCTCGTTAATTCAAAGAAAAAGCAAGAGTAAGTAGGAAATGGTTGAGCTTGGGACTATTTTATCACAAAATAACCTTTGAATTCTTGGCATCCTTTGGGAGCTTTTTTGAAGAAAGGACTTCAAGGCTTGTGCCTGTTGCACTCTCTGAAAAAAAAAAAAAAAAAGGGCACAAGACACATGGGGAAGCTAGAAGGGAGAGAGCTTAGAAAAAATCTTTCCTATTTCTAATTAATGCCCACATCTACTAGAGATAAGCAGGACAATCCTTCAGAAAGATACCTAAATTTAAGCCAAACATTGGTCATACTCAACTAACCAAAACAGTGTAACTGCCCTGCATATTTTATGGATTTAAGGTATCTGCTGTAATAAAAAAGCAGGAAAGACATTGAGGGCTTGCACATGAGATTTCTTAATCTAAGGTTCTTAGTTCAGATTATTATTATTAGCTATTTCTAAAATGATAGTCATATGCCTTAGGTAAATTTAGAAGGACATCAAATCCTTCCACGAACAGACAGAATTATCATACCCAGAGGCAGATGAAGAATTTTCACTGGTGTTAAGTACCTAGGAAGAAAGCCCCTGTCAAGCCTGGTTAATACTGATAATCAGTGATTTGAAGGAACCGCATACTTTGATGTGTGCATATGTGTGTCTGCTGTCTTCTCTCTGCATACCATGCTATTCATGATTGTGGCCAACAATGTATTTCCATTATCAGAACCTTAAGCAAAAACACTTTGGAGGTTTAAAAGGTTGAAGACTGTTTTTAGTTTGATAATGCTTAAAATACTTTTTAGTTTTAGTAGATAGCTGTAGGTCTCCATCACTTAATTTTCGTCAGTCACCAAACATGCACTTTTCTTCATAAACTTGGGGAAGCAATTTAATTGGAAACTGTAGTTCTTAGGGAGCTGTTCTGCCTCAGTTTTCCAGCTCAAAGACGACCCATCCTTTCACTGACTCATTATAAATACAATGTTGTTTTTATTTCCTGGTGCTAATACTCCTGAAAGCTCCCTTGCTGAGGTAGGCCAGCAACAATAATCAGTACTTTTGATTGGATTTTCTCTGGAGATAACTTCTGCTTGGAAAAAGTGGCAACACTGTTCAAATAACATCTGTTTCCTCCTTCGTAAAGAGAGGGGAAACACAGCATTGTGTCAGTAGTCAGGATCAAAATGTAATTAGGAAAGAGGAGGAAAACACAATTGTTCGGCAAAAATAGAAACAAACTTCTATGGTTGATGAAATATTTGTCTTTTTTTCCCCAAATTTCTCTTAAGGCTTAAAGGGCAGAAGGAACTGTTGTGTTTGCAGGATAAAATGACAACCTTATCTCTCTGCACAATGCTGGTCTTTAAATAATGACAAATAAGCAGAACTGAGGCTAATTTACATTCACTGTTGAAAGAAACTGGAAATACTGCTCCAGTATTACTAGCTGAATTATCTCTATACCTATGAAGGTAACTTTGTGAGACAGCCTATCTTGTTTCTGATTTGCCCCATAGTTTTGTGACTGGAATGTGTCGGAGACTGCATCATGGGTGCTTCACAGTGGCAGGGTGGTCTCTCACCTCTCAGTTGTCACTTTGGGTAAAGGTTTTGGAGCTGGTCATAAAGAGAATATGTCGAAAACCCTTTGGGGAGATCTCACTGTGCTATGAATTGAACCAAGCAGAGGCTTTAAGAAGTTCAGATATTGAGGAAGAGCCATGAAGAACATGCGTGCCATAGAAAGTCACTGTGGGGACCCTTGACATAAGTAGGTTGAAAGCTCTTTTGTGCAAGGCTGAAGACTCTCAAGGCTGGAGGGAAGGGCCCACCATGAGAATTTGTTTCTGGGGAAAGGAAAACTGAGAGGAGAGCTTGAAGAGTTCAGCTATTTCTCTTGCACAACCCATTGTTATCTGAGATGACTGCACCCAGCATTTGGGAAGCCTCAGAGCCAGCTCCCAAACCTGTGTTGTCTGCACCATCTCTGCTCTTTCCCAGTGTCAAACACTGGGAAAAAGGGTGCCAAATGCTTCCAGCTTGAATTTATGGCTGGGGAGGCCCCTGCTCAGAGGTCCTGTGAGGAATTCCCAGGCTGACAGGAGAGCTGATGGCATTTGACACATTCCTTAGTTTCTTCTTTGGCATGTGAGTATGCTTGTGAGCGAGAGAAAGAGATAACTGGGTTAGGGTCACTTCATCGTTCTGCTCTTCATCTCCTGGAATTGGCTGCAGGCTGCTGTGAGATGTAAAGCATGCTGCAGCCTTGTGCAGATACTGTAAGGGGAGTCCTGTGGGCTTGCTGAATTCCTGGGATAACTGCTGAGATCTCTGCACCTCGTGCTTCAGATCATGCTGCCCGTCCTCAGAGAATTGGGGTGGTGTAGCTCTATGGCCTGCCAGACCAAGGCTGTGTGAGTCTCTCAAGTTTCAGATGGTCTCCCCCCCACTCCTTTTATTTAGCCTTTACTTGCCCTTCTCAAGGTCTAATTTCATTCCACCAACGTGATAGGACTGGAAGGACTGCACAGGAGTTTTGCTGTGCTGAGCATGCAACAAGAACAACTACTGCACAGAAGTCTGTGCTTACTCTCAGTGTATACTGCGTCTCTAGCATCCCTACAGCTTTTGCAAACCAGTCCAACAGCTTACCATGTGAGTGCAACTTTAACTTGCGTGTTGTTACCTTGGTGTCCTGCACACCTTCTGCCTGCCCTTTGCTGCCTGCTGAAATGTGCATAGTGAGTTCAGTAAAGAGACCAAGCCTTCTATGAGGCCTGTAGAGTTATGCTGTTGAGAGTTACTTTGGATGTTTTCTACAGGGAACAGAAAGCCCTGAGCATAGTAGGTACAACATTGTTGATTTTGGTTCCCTTTACCTGAATTAACTTTTTTTGTTGCTGCCTTTGCTTGATCTCATGAAGTCCTCGCAGGATTTCATTTAGGGGGTTGAGGTAGAGATGAGCTATAGGTCTTCTGTGGCTCAACGGATGAACTGTCATGCAAGCGAGAATTACTTCTGCTTCTTTCCCTTCCCAGCATTGTGTTCTCCCCATGACAAGTTCAGCTTCCGCTGGCACAAGATCCACTTACAGGCTTTGAAACTGGATTCCCTGACTGGTGGTAACCCATGCAACATGCAATGGCTGGTGCAGTAGATTAGTTTACCACTCACCTGTTTGCACATCAATTGCTTTGCCACTTGGAATGAAAATTGATGATGAATGTATCTGAATGAAGCAGATTTCACTTTCAATAAAGAAAACAGGACTGCTGGTGAGTATTTGGGTCGGTTGTTTTGGAGTAAGAAATTTTAAGCCTCAAGTTACAGTGTTGTGTTTTTTTCACTTTTTTTTGTTATATTGTTTAGGTTGATTAGGGATAATATGACAGTTTGGGTTTTGCTTGCAGGTTTTCCTTTTTTTTCTCTATATAGCACTTAGACACCTAAGCACCTTCTCCCTTCATCACACGAATCTTTATTTCAAATGATCCAAAACCCTACTTTGATTTGTAAGCAAAGAGAATCCTACCTCTGAAAACTAGGCTACTGATGACAAAAATGTAGGCTTTAGAAATAAGAGATTTTTTGTCACAGAGCAAAGTAACAATAATGGGCTTTTGATCATTTGGAGTAAGCATTAATGCTATTAATTTGTTTATTGCCCAGATGAGCCTGGGCAGAAATAAATCTTACTATTGCAGATCACAGCAACTGATTGCTCCTAACAGTTACTTTCAAAATATTCAGATCTGTAGTCAATGGTGGTGAGACTACTTTGTTCTCCTAGGGCTTATACCAAAATCTGAATATATTGTCAAGTGAATAGAAACTCAAGGTGATAAGATTAAAAAAAAAAATTAAAAAAAAAAAAAGCCTTCCCTACCACTTTTTTATTTTATATATATATATATATATATATATATATATATATATATATATATATATATATATATATATATAACCCCAAAGCTTAAGAAAACAAAGCTTGCGCTGCTGATTAATCTTAGCAGTGACGTGGGTCTGGTTTGTGTATCAAATTGCTTAAACAACTTACATTTGAAGAACCACCAAATGTAAATGTGAATAAGGAAACAAGGAAAGTATTAAGCACAGGATAGCCTGAATTTACTTTTGGATCTATAGGTGAGATAAGCTAATTGATTTCATATTGATAACATCTATCTCAAGTGTTCTTTCCCCACTACCTGTTGGTAATGGTTGAACAAGAAATCAGTTCCCCTGCCTGTGCTGACTATTCTAGTTGTCAGCACATCAGTGTGCTCCTCTGGGGTTCCTTACTGAGTATTTCACTCAATGTCCAGGAAATTTCTGTAATCGTGGTTTAGGCAGACAGATGGTTTCTTTGTAAAAGGTCAGTTTTTATTAATTTATTTACTGCTATAACTACCACCTACCCAGATAAAACATCACCAATGTTCAGACAGCTCATCCACAGGAAGCATGGTCAAGGAACAGTACTTGTTTATTTTCATGTTACTCATACTGCAGGAAATGACTGTGTCATTATTTGCACCCTTCTGCATGCTGAAGTCATGACCACTTTCACTGCTATGCTTTAACTTGCGGAATTTTAATATGAATCTCTAATTAATACTTAATCAGACTTATGATGACCACAAGCTGAAGTTTGCTGAGTGATCCTTTTTATAAGGTAGGTTATACAACAAAGTAGTGGGAGAAAATTTCTTAATTCCGTAACGGATCAATGTTGGAGAACTCCGAGGGAGGGCTTCAGGAGCCAGTGTGGGCATGGCAGAGGAGCAAGAAGGCTTTGCACCTAGAGATGGCTCACCACACTCTTTAGTTCTATATATAAACCATATTTGTAGGCAACAGCCCTAGCCTGTCACTCTGTGTTAATTTTTTTTTTCATATAATACACAACCCAATTGTCTGGGTGCATTCTGCTCTTCACTTCTGGGCTAAGGAAGATAAAGGGAGTTGTTCTGGGGATGGGAGAAGGGTTTCAATCCCTTGTGATGAGGGAGAAACGATCCTGGCACTGAGTCAGTGCTGTGGCTGTGTCTTCTCAATGAGACAGGCTCTGATGGAGCAGTGCAAAATCCTCTCATCATCCCTACTTTTCAGTGAGCCAGGGGACTCAGGCTGCAGGCCAGCTGAGCATGGCAGACGAAAGACCCATCTGCTCAGCCACGTGTATGTGGGTAAAATAAAACACACTCTGCTGTCACTGTCAACAAGCGTGATTTATCATTAGGACCACGACAGCCAGGAAAGTGCCTTTTCGTTTTCTTGGAAAACATGCACTGTACTGCAACACTGGTGAGTTCCAGAAGCATTGCTTTTATTTGGCTTTTTGAAAGAGCTTTTGGGAGTTTTTTGTTCTTTGTTTTTTCCCCAGAAAAGCTTATGCTTCACAATGAAGCAATGGTCTGTGGTTACTGGAGCTTTTGGTTACTGATTGTAGGCACACTACAATCAGATGCTGAGCTTACAAGTTTAATAGTTTACCAGAAGCTCTTGAGCCACAGAGGAGGTAGCTACACATGCAGGTTGATAAGCTCTACCATTTGGGTTTGTCCAGCTCTTCTTGGACCTTTTTTTTTTTTTTTCTAAACCCAAAACTCTCTGCAGAATGCTATACCAAGGTTGCTATCAATGCAAGAAACTGGACTGTGTATTTTGGTGTTATGCACTGTGAAAACTGTTGCAGTCTTCACTTCCAGAATTACCAGCTAAATCATGGACAAGTAGGATTAAGTAGTTTAAGAGCTGTGCATAAAACAAGCTGCACGTGTACGGAATAGTTTAAAAGCTGCTGTATGCAACAGCTAGAACTGTATGTCTGTTTCTGACATGAGATCAGCTAATAGAGCAAAACGGTTTTTACACCTGTTGATGTACGGAATAAGACAATCCAGTTCATAGCTGAGAAAGGAGGAATGATCAGCTAGCAATATCAGAAAGAAATGCTTATTTTTGGAAAGCTGGCTGTCACTAGTCAAGCCTTATTTCATTCAAGCTAAAGCAAGGAAACCTTGTTTGCTATGTTCTACAGGTACTGTGAAAAGAAAAAAAAAATGAGATAAGAACTTCATGCTCCAGTGGGATTTAACATCAAACAATGGCAGAGCATGAAGAGAGGAAATAATGCTGCCTTCTTCCAGGCTGAACAAACAGTTCTGTCTCTGCTCTGCAGGTAAGTAGTACACCGTATTTTAGCGTGGGTAAATTGAGTTGTTCTTGCAAATTGCAAAAATCTTGCATCTTTATAACATGGACCACCATTATATTAGAAATGTCATCAATTAATTTTATTTGCTATAAATAAAAACGATAAATATTTCATAATTCTGCAGCTTTCTATAAAATATGCATCTAATTTTACTATTCTCAAAAGTTAGTTTTGGGCTGTATGTTTACAGACAAAATATATGAAGAATTTTTTTAAGTCATTTTACCCTTTACAGTCTACATCAGTACAGAAATGGTCACCAATCTGTAATAAATACTCTGCTAAAGAGAACACAGTGATTCTGTTAAAACACCTGAATATAAACAATTTACTTCTCTTTATTTAGTGAATGGCAATTCTCTACAAAAATAGCTTCCTCCCTCTTTAACAGCTAAATTTTGGCCACTATGATGAGTGGTCATGTGTGATCTGAAGGACCTCTGCAAAGTTTTCCTCAAGATCATCAAGTTCCTTGTTGGCTCCCAAATCACTGTCACAAGTAATCAAGTTTAGAGTTTCCTCACGTGAGGGTGAAGTGTCTGGGTCTTCAGATTTCACACAAGCATGAGACTCTGTCTCAGCATTCATCATTTCATCAACATCTTCTGAAAAGTCACCCTTGCTCTCTGTCTTCTTTGAATTTTCATTGCATAGTGGCATTTCACATGTGCTTGGTTCCTTCGATAACAAATCCATGGTCTTAAAGAATTCTTCACTTTTCGTAGCTTTTCCTTGCTTCTGACTTCTACTGCAAAACTCAAGCTGTTCCATCATATTAACCTTTCCCAGATCCAGTGACTCAAAGGCTTCCCAGCCTGTGTCGATTTGCTCAGCACCACTGTGTGGGCTGCAGCCAAGGTCTGCTTTAAGCACATCCAACAGGTGCCGCATTTTGCTCTAGGAGGTGAAGAAATAAAGGGTGATATTTCTGCAGCTAAAGCCCATAGCACTTATCTGCCCAGAACTCAGGGCTTCATTCTGGCTAAAGAAATGGAGGTTGCTTGCAACTGAGTGACTAAATTATATAGCAAGAGTCACCAAACTGAGTTGACTGTTGTCACTTTTTTTTGTGACTATGCCTTACTCCTGGTAGATCAGAAGTCTGCAAACATCTTAAAGAAAGACATTCCCCATTGGTTATTATGGTTATGTACACAAGAAAACTTACCAGTGCATTTCCACTGTACTTTGGAAATGTGGAAAGTGAGAATATTACAGAAGCAGTACCTACCTCATCCAAACGGTTCTTATTTTCTTGTATATGACACTCAAACAATTGTTCCAGAACTCTACAAATAAAAAAAAAAAAATATATAGATCAGGTAACACAAACAAAACCACATTCTAACAACCCTACTTCTTGATTTTTATTTCTTAGCTGAAGAGGACCACTAAGATTTGCTTTAATTAAGCTCTGTCACAAGAGGGCTACTAGGAGCCTTTATTCTACAGGTAAGCAAAGGATCTGGGAGTAATGCTCACATCCATGAATAATTACTTATTGTTTAATTATTTTAAAAAAATATGACTTAGTAACCAGTGAACCCTTATCTGGAACAGTATGTAATCCTTACAATGCATACTGAAGGCTGAATTCATACTGGAACAGGAACAAGGACAGAAAGGCAATTGAAGAAGTACTATATCAAAGATTAATAACTGTTTATTTAGCAAAACAGATCTTGCAGAGTAAGATTATTTTTTCTTAGCATTGTTCCACATAGATCAGTTTCTAATAGAGGCTGCATCTCATGTTACATTGGAGTAGACTGAAATAGATGACCTGCAGTTCTTTCTCAGTCCTCTTTTCTTATATAAAGTAAGAATCAAAAGGAAATAAAACAAGCAAGGGGTAACTGGGTATTTATATATTCTTAAAAGGCAATGAAATGTATACTGACATAGCCTTACAAATTTTAAAACAGCCATAATCTACCTGTTAGAAAACAGCCCAATGTCAAGAATGTCATTTGTTATATCTTCAATGAAAGTTAAATATAAATGGTCATCTTCTCTGGAGGAAGAACAGAAAGCTCAATGTTAGGTGTTTAAAAATAGAGACAACTGCCTAGCCCTTCACTCAATTAAAAAAATAATTAAATCTCTATGGTGTTTCATATTTATGCTACATTTATGTTGTGTTGTAAATTAGCAAAGAGCACGAGTGAGGAAAGAGGCAACCGTAAAACATGAACAACCTGCTTTGCACTCAGAAAGAAAGGGGCAAGAAAGTAGAAGATTGCAGTCTGGTGTTCTAGTGAAAGGCTTCCAAAGGAGCTTCTTGAGAATCTGACTGCAGCTCGTAATTGCAAGTCCTTAGCGGGAGCACATAAAAGTAAGTAGTGCTTGTTGGCAGCCTCCATTCCTTTCAAATGACCACTCTGGAATACAAGTCCTTGTTTGTGTGATATGAGACTTTTACCTCTTTGAATCTTTGAAACTCAGGTGTTTTTTCACTTCTAAACTCTGTTGCTACCTCCCCAGTCCCCCCCCTTTTAAAAAAAAGATTTAAATGCTGTTTTGCATTCATAGCATCTTTCTAAATATCCCAAAGTATCCAACCATTTAAGCTCTATAGAATCATCCTCCACTTAAGTAATAAACAGAAAATAACAAGACTGATACAACTTTCATGATTATATAAGAGTTGTCATGCAGTCTGAAGACTGTCGTTTGTGGTTCCATCTATCAAAGATGATCTATATTACATATTTGAAGTTAGGCAAGAACAAGACTATCTAAAGTATATAGATATCAGACTACTTTCCTGAGGTCATATGAGAGATCACTGACAAACTTGAATCTCCTTTAATTCTCATCAAATTTAAGAGCAAAAATTTGGTGAGAATTCACCAACTCCACATTCTAATCTTTCTAATTTGTTCCAGACAAATTTTAGTCCAAAAAAAAGAACTGAAAATGTTTAAAGTGTAGCCTGTGGATAATAGCAATTTATCTTACCTCCACAGTTATAGAGAATTTTCTTCAGATTTGGATTGATATGGAAGTTGTTAACTGTTAAATATAAATTCATATATCAGGTTTACTATAGAATGTGAAGTGTATTCTGAGTCCCCCTATATTGTTTGATCACTTCTGAGGGCTTCTAGTGTACTGTTCCGAACTAGCAGAAAAATCGTGTAAATATACTTACACAGCCTTAATATTCATCCTTGCTGAAAGCTGCTCAGAATACAATGATGCCTCTCTAATCAGAAAAATCAGAGGGTAAGAAACAGTGAAGAGCAACATTATCAAAACCCTGCACAGTACCTTGCATCTCATGCTCTTCTGAAATCATCTGCCTGTCCTGTTCCCCTACTCCTTGGGGGATTTAAAAAAAAAAAAAAACCACCAGAAGTTCTGAAACCCTGCTCCACTAGAAAAATTGACTATCTACCCTGAAGCCTGAAAGGCAACAGTTGAAGAGTATTACAGTACCTTAGTAGATGCAGTTTTCTGACTGATAACTCAGAAAGAGGTATCCATCATCCAGACAAAGTGCTTTTACCTTAACATGATTTGGTACTTAATTGGGTAAGGCTCCCTGTGTTATTTGTCACATAGTAGACTTCAGGAAGGATGAATGCCCAATTGATAATCTTTGGCACACGTCTATAAATAACTCTGACAGACCTATCTTAAATGTACCATATGGAGTTTGCAGATCATCAATTGAAATAATGGAGTTTATAGAGTAAGCTAACTTAATACCTGAATTACTAGAAGAGATATTTGTTTTTATTAAATAACAGCTGTTGCATTGAAGTAAGAATAGTAAGAAACGTAACCCATTAGATTTCTATGCAAAGGCCACAGAGTAAATCAGCAAGTAAAGCATGATTCTGTTCTCCAGCAATGAGGAGAATGAGCTAGGCATCCTTGGTTCAGGGCTTCATTTCCACCCTGTTCTTGTATTTAAGACAGTGCTCTAATGTTCAGCGTTAAGGTTTCAGAAAAGGATGTGGAAAATACCTTAGGCCTGGAACTTTGGCATCTCTTAGAATGAAAAGCCTAGATTTCTGAAAACTCATTTTCTGAAAGGGTATGCCAATACAGCTACAGTACATTAAATACACAGTTTATAAGCTCACAGTTATATACAGAACTAAAGTTGTATTAAGTTCTCATTAGTCTCACTCCTTACAAAAAAAAAAAAAAAAAAAAAGACAAAACATGAAAAATCACATGTATTTCAGATGTCTCTTTCTTAATTGCCTTTACAGTGGAATTTCATCAAAAGAAAACTAAATTGTGGAGTTGGAAAAGGCCATTCATCAAAAACTAACAAGTTCTGTAAGTGATGGCTTCCTAGCCTAAGAAAAAGTTGTGCTGAAACCCAAAAAGAATACTTCAGCTATTTCTTCCTGGTGTAAATTAGGTACCTTAGAAAGGAGTATGGAAAAGCAGCCATTCCTTTCTCAGGCTCATCCATATTGTATCTTCTATCTTCAGTCTAGAATGCAAAAGTAAAATATTTATTATCAATGAAAATACACAGTAAATTATATCAGTAATGAGCACCCAGCTACTGAAGTTATATATTTACAACCATCTGTGACTGCAATATAAAATATTAGGGAGCAGATAGAGCCTGAAGTGGTATAACTGTTCACTAAAAAATTTTGCATTAAGCAAAAGTGACAGAAAACAACAGCAAGGAAAGCATTTCTGTCTACTGGTTTGGATATTTCCTAAGAGGAAGGGACCCCTTAGTCCCAGTACTTCTGTCTCAGGCTTTATATATATGTTAACGAATGCAAAATAAAGACAAAAATCCTTGTAACAGAGGCAGAAAGGTATGCTGATAAATAACATGCCAATTATTTATGTCCTTTACAGATAATTAAGCATGCTAGTGCCTCTCTAAAACTGTTTGGAGAAAAAAACACTTTCAAAACTCTTATTTTCTAAGCTCAGGTTTTTTTTCTTACCACTTCTGCTCATTCTTCTAAAATTTTATCCTCCATCTAACTTATCTTAGAATGACAAAGAGAATGCAACTTTATTCAATTGTATACTGCTGTGCCAGAGATGAATTATATACTCTAAAATGGTAGTGAAGGGTGGGGAAAAATTATCTAGATGACTGATAGATGATGATTGTATTACCTTCACTGTCATCTTCCGATGTTCAGTCATAACTTTTCCCTCAGATCCTTTATCTGCACTTGGAAAGCTACAAAATTTAGAGATGTATTAGATCTCTAAGGCGGCTTTCAAGGTAAGCAGAACATGAATACCAGTGCCAGCCACTGTGGAAATTCAGACATTTCGTTCCCATAAATTTGAAAGGAACCTAGTACTAAAATGCTTGAACAGTTTAGAAAGCTTTATCATGGGAATAGATGTCTAGCAGAAATTAAAATAAAGTTAAGTCTGAACATTAACGCTAGCCAAACAGAAGTGTTCCCAATCCATTTTTTGACTGTATTTACAGAGGATAAATAAAATATCCACAGTAATTGTTCTGAATTCAGAATAGACATGATGATTCTATGTATTAAAAATGCAGTCGTATGAACTCATGCCACCCACAGCCATAAGATCTTTGCAATTAAAAGGCAATGAAGATTTGCATTCAAGAAAAAAAACATTTTCTTTGCATGATATGTTAATTAATGAATTGGAAGAGACTGTGGGGACAACAGGGGAGGAAGACATGCATACTTAATTCTTTAGAACAAAGTTAATTCTTTAGAAGACAGAAAGCACAAATATACACCATACAGAACAGTAACTAGTATAGTAGCAGGTAGCAAAATTCCACAGTTGTAAAACAAAGTTTTAATCTCTGTACCTGATCACATCAGTCTGTGTTTCAGCTTCCACGTGTTGCTTGCAGTGCTTTTTCCTTTTCCTTTGAGCAGCATTGTAATACCTATACCCAAGCAGGGCAGATTTAGCATCTGATATTAAGGTGCGTGGAGTAAAAGGTTTCTGGCTGCTGGTAAATAATTCTGAGTGTCTGTCCAGAAGATCCCCACTGTATATTTTGGAGTTGCTTTCCTGATGCCTCTGAGAACGACTGATGCTTGCAAAGCTATCCGAGGAGCAACGGCTTGAAACTCCAGAGCGTTTTCTTGGTGTGCTTGACATACTGACACTTGAGTTTGAGTTAGATGCATTAGATCTATTCCGAGAACGTTTTCTGGCACATTCCACTGGACTGGAGCAAAGCAAGCCAAGCTCACCGTAAGGTGACAGTGCTCTTGCCAGGCATGGTGTGTGCTCAACACAGGAGAACAGATTGTCTTTATCTTCTACTTCCACAGGACTCTAGAAAAAAGTTAAACCAAGGTTTGATTGCTTTGCAAGCTACCAGCTTTGTTCAAGTTGATACCTCAGCTATTTTTGCTACCAACTCGGAGGTATTTTTGACCTAAAATGAAACTGGTTTCAGAGCAGCTCCAGCACTAACAAGTAACTAACACTTGACAGCCTGATGGGAAAAGATTGACATTACCTTATCTTAGATCAAAACCTCAGAACATTTTTAGAAGTCAAGGAGCTAATAATCATTGAATTGAGACAAATGATTTTATCTGGGTATGCTCTGTTGGTTCTGCCCACACAAAGGTAAATAGATATTATCCACTGTTATCCTGACGACACTACCTAGATTCTCTTCACGTGTGGATTTGTTGCCTCTCTCTCCAAACCCTATTAGATTCAAGATTTATCACACAGCAGCTGTTTTTATAAAATATACATTCTGCAAGGGGCACCACTCACTGATTCATCTTAGACTGAAAAGGAAACTACTGTAATGTGGTTTAAGATACAGAGTAAGGAAATTGTAACTAGCTGCTTATTCCCTGCATAACCCTTTTCTTTCACCTGTGGGTGCAACATGCACATCCTTGGTAGGGCTGCAAAAAAACTTTCCAACAATTTAAATTTTTGTTGTGTTAATTCTTATGAGAAACAGCATACTAATGGCAGAGACAAGAATCCTGAGTTGGATGGGGCCCACAAGGATCACCGAGTCCAATTCCTAACTACACGCAAGACTACCCAAAAATCAAATCCTCTGTCTGAGAGCATCCAAATGCTCCATAACTTCGGGCAGCTTGGTGGTGTCTCTCTCCTGACACAGCTCCATGCCATTCCCTTGGGTCCTGTCATTGTCATCAGAGAGCAGAGCTCAGCACTGCTCCCCTGCAAGGAGCTTTCATGAGGCCTCCCCTGAGCCTGCTCTGCACTGGACCAACCAAACCAAGAGACTTCAGTTGCTCTCATAGCTTTTGTCCACCAGATACTTCACCATCTCTGTAGTTCTACTTTAGAGTCTCTTTAATGGTTTTATGTCTTTCTTATATTGTGGAGCCCAAAACTGCACAGTGCTTGAGGTGAGACTGCACAATGTGTGACAAATCTTAAGGTTATACCATGCAAACCATATAATGAGACAAAATAACAGCTAGAATAGAATAACATCTGACAAAGCCCAATTCAAAGCCAACAACTACAAACTTAAATTGTTTCAGTTCATGTCTAATCAAATAGTCAGATATTGCAGAAACTGACTGTTCCTTACAGTCAGTTTGCATAGCTACACAGCAACTACACAGCATCAGTAAATTCTGTAAGAGTTAAATGGATGTATACAAATAGAGATGTTTCATATGACAATTTCTAAGGCCAATGAGGGAACACACTTTTAACAGACCTGAAGTTCAAGTTCAGATAGGCTAATACAGAAATTAACTTGCTGATATACCTCCCATCTGAACAAATAATAGGAATTTTGCAAGATAATCAATAGCTGCTGCGAGACTTCTGAAGCCTTCTACTTTGAGGATGTAAGTGTGCTGAGAGAAAAGTAAAGACACTTGGAAATTTTTGTATGTTTGTTGTAAACTCAAGACACTGCAGCCTGGTAATATAAATTATAATAATGTCTGATAGATTAACCTGTGTAAAGTTTGGTGATCATAAATGCACAGAATTTCTATTCTACCATTTAATTTCTACAATAAAGCTTCTAAGAACACCCAAGTAATGACTTTTACTGCAAAAATGTTGGATTTCTGCATAGCTGCTACTGTTAATGCTTTGAACCTACACTATTCCAGTTTTTGCCTTTAGAACTGCTTTGTATTTTAAATTAAAACTCAAGATAATCAGAATATACTTTATAGTATGCAGTAAAAGCTATTTAAAAGGAATATTAAAGAATGTAGCTAATCATCAAAATTAAATCAGAACACACTGCTATCATGCTGTTTATTTTCTTCACAATTCCACACATTCCTCCCAAATCAGTAGAACAATCTGTTCCAATACCTCAGAATTTGCACAACCACTGATGCAAAGAGGTGATTTTATTTTTAGTTAGCCGAGCCAAAAAAGCCCTTCTTGATGGGGTCTCACATTTGCCAACTTAATTTTACCACTACAGCACAATTAAATGCTGAACTGATAACATGCAGTAACAATGCCAAACAAATGCCTGTGTTAGCAAGCAGCACAATTAAGGCTTACCAGAGTGATTGTTTGCATATAAAATAGTTGCTGTGGTAGCTCTGCACTACAGAAAACAAATAAGACTGGAAAGTTCCAGAATCCACCTATAGAGACATTTATTTTGCAAAGTTAATTCCACACCTTTCCATATGTATTATAAACAGCTTTTTTTGGTTGTATGCTTTTTACTCTCAGTGACTGGAGCTGCAAAATAGATCAGACTGCAGAAGCATTTGCTAACACGGGATTATGACTGCTGCCTCATCGTATAGGAAGAAAAAGAAACAGCCAAAAAACAGAACGAAACATACTAATGAGAACTACTACTCATGAAAGCCACACAATCTATTTCATGGATCTAGTTGAACTGATCTTAAAACAAGACAAAAGGATAGAGTAAACACGGCAATATACTATAAGCTTTCCTTATTTTTGAGGAATTTAGGAAATTCTTCTCTTCTAAAATATGCCATAAGCAGAACAGACATAATGACTAGCTAAATAGATCCACAAACCCTACCTGTATTTGTGTCAATCTTGAGTTATATTCATTCAAGTACTTAGAAAGATAATGTATTTTGAACCCCTCATCCTTGGCTAAACCTTTATTGCTCAAACACAAAGGGAACAAAGCCTCTGGATATACAGAGAGACAGTATCAGGAACAGGGAACTATGTGGCTGACTTCAAAAAGATTTGAAGGAATGCAGCATAATGCTGTTTGTCTGTAATTTGTCGATGTTTTAGAAAAGTCACTTGTAAGTAAATATGTTAATCTACCATCATAGCTCATACCTTATCTGTATTGTCAAGAGACAGAAACTGGAATTTGGTAATAAATAAACATTTGATTCTTTTAACTTGACACAGCTCAATCTGTAAGTCACTACTACTGCTGTAAGTCAACTGAATTCCTGCTTTCTGCTCCTCAGAGTAAATGGTTTCATTTATTAAGTGAGTAACTTTCTTAACCTTCTTTACATTTGCTAGTCTCACAACCCCCCTTGTACATCACCTGTTCCTTTCCTTATACACTTTGATATTTACTTAAAGACTGAGAAAATTAAGAGAGAAAATTCACACAAACCCAGGAACAAGTAAGACTGGAATGAATACAATCAGTCTGCATAGTGGCATCAATAATAACCATTTTTCTCATTCTAAACTACATTCCTGTTACATTTTCTATATCCATGTGAATGTATTATTGAGTCGTATAATGTGATACATCACTGCTTCCATCAAGAAGCCTGATGTTATTAAGAAGGGAAATTACTGAATGTGCATATGGAAACACATTTATTCAAACAACCAATGTGGGAGGTGGTTGCTGTTATGAAGCCAGAAAAGAAATAGAATAGAACATCAAATGTAGGATATAGAATGTATTGAACATTCCTGATGAAAACATCTTAAGATATTCAGAAGGTTCTTCTGTTCTCTTTTAGTTGCTCACATATATCATTCTGACAAGAACTAATTCAAGCATGATACTTCTTCATCATAACAGTGTAATAAATCTTTAAACACAAAGCATTTGAGGAAGTAACTCACATAACCATGCATGTGCACTGCATAAAAAATTAATAGATATTATAAACTGCTAATGGTGTTTCCTGATCTATTTTTCATATACACGAGCATGTAAAAGGTCATACCTGTCATTCTTAAGAAATCAAAGTCTCAAAAATCAGACTGAAATCCATCTTGAAACGTGAAGCAGTCCTTCACGTTCCAAAGGCAATTACAACTCATTTAAAATGGCTGAAATCCCTTCAACTGACAATTGGCATGGAGTAATTTCTTTTAAAAATATTTAGCAGTCAGAAATGCCTATTAATAGGATTATCTAAACATGGAATATGAAACAGCAAGTCTTGCTCAAATTAAGTTTTTACTCATGGGAAACTCATTTCAGATTTTCTTGCTTCATAATTAAGTCATACTGAGCTTCACACAGTTTCACTCACTGAACATGACATTTGCCAGACTGCATCAAAAAGCCCTTTCTGTTGTAAGAAAATCACTTCAAGTAATAAACTTAAGACTGAGTGTATGTACTTAATTTGGTGATAGATAAACGTGTGGATGCCCACAGGTGTGCTGCTTACTCATCCTTAAGATTTGGAGACTTAAAATACTCACTTTAAATTATCTGCAAAGACACACAAAGTTATCAGCTCTTTCAGCATCCAAATCTGTAGTTTATCATACTGGTTTGATAAACATTCACACATGATGTCTGTCAACTGTCAACATTAAGTAGCATGGAAATAGAAAAAAGAAGTACAGCAGTCTCCTGTACATCTTATGCTTTCCTTGCTCCTCTGTTTGACTGAGAGAAATGACTGTCTTTGAAGCACCTTAATTGAGAGCAATCCCATCAAAAGGCCCCATTGTGCATTTTGAAAATCAGCTGGCTCCTCAGCCTCTCACACTTGTGCTAAAAGCACAGAAATGCATGATGCAGCATAACCATCTATCACACCTTAGCCCACATGTCAACTCAGTGATCTAAATACTCTTCTTTAAAGATAATCTATGATTTTAATAAAACTCAGTAGTGAAACTTAGGTCACCACAACAGAAATAACTTTCTCAGTTAATTTCATGTCACTGCAGAGTCTCACATTACAGTAACTTTACATTTATAACCAGATATTAAATGAAGAATTTACTGTTCTTATGCATTCAAACCCTTGCATAAAACAGTGGAAAATGATGACTAGTCAAATTCAAGGCACATTTTAGATATTCAGTTTCAAGCTCTGTTCACTGTATAATAAAATACACTGACTAAATCACATAGTAAGTTATAAATTTCTTATAATCTCTATGTCTTAGAGGAATAATTTTTAGTTCTTTCTGTTTTTACCATGCACAAAGCATAGGCTCAATTTAAAACAGCTTCTCTGCTCTAGTACAACACTGAATAATAAATGCAGCTATGGAAAAAATGCAGAACGATGAAATAAAGGCAGCAGACTTACCAGAAAGCATAAACAGTGATTGATAATGAAAATAAAAAGCCAGCTGTGTAAATCAAAACTGACTAGCCATATTAAGCCTAGCCTGGTCAGAGCTGTAAGTTTTGCTGCAACCTCTCTACATTATCATAGGTATCCTTAGAATTTGCTTTCTAAGTATCACCTATTCTGATAGCTGGTAAAATACAATTAGAATGGCTAAGTTATCTTAACAATGCATTAGAAAACATCTAAACCTTGAAGGGCAAGAATCCTTCCTTGGTGTATGAACAAGCACAGGAAACCAATGCAAATTTTGTCAAATTCAGGTTAAATATGGACTGTCGTATTTTTTCTACTAAAAAAGAGGCCAATTACTTCCTCTGCTTACCCTTCCACCAGAAGATTCTCTTACAGATTTTTACTTCTCAACCCTACAGAAGCAAAACAAACAAACAAACAAACAAACCCATACCAACCAACCAAACAACAACAAAAAAAACCCTCAAACCTATTATATCAAAAAAACAATTTTTTAAGTGTTGTTAAATGCTGTCTTGGCAAGCGCAAAAAAATCACTCATAAAATGCATCTTTCTATTGATATTCTAATTGATACATTCAAGTTCAGACTCAGAATTTTTTGTTGATTTACATCCTGAGGCTAGCAAACATAAGGAAAACTGCAGTTACTCTTGGCATGATAAAAACTACACTTTCAGGACAACTTTTGATGGGAAAGCATCTGTAATTAATTAGTAGAACTGAGAAATTATTGTAGGAAGACTTTGTTTTGAAAGCGATTAAAGCAAAGGGAGAGTGACAATCTCATAATGATGTATTAAAGACCACACATCCTTTTCCTTAGAAATGATAATTTATATAGCAGTAAGAGATTTTAAGCCCCCTTCACTTGTTTTTGCAGTGAAATAATTAAAGGAATTTATCTGCCACCCAGTATGCAGCAAATAGCACAGAGGAACAATCAACAAAAGATAACACTTGGATTTTAAATATGACACTTTGTCCCTTCTCTTACTCATGCCTGTGATTTCATCCATAACTAAGAGCCATGTACTGAATTTCAGAGCATTAAGTCTCACTACAATAAGGTCATACTCAGACTGCCCACTGCCAAAAACAAACATATGAATGATGCACCAAAATCAACAAAGTTAAAATAGCATTCTTTTTTTGAGCTGCAAATTGCTCTAATTGCTCTTGTACAGGAATGAATAATATTATATAGTTTATTAGACTACTTATTATTTGGGAACACACACCATACAACTGGGTGAAATTCCAGTCAAAATAATTGACCCTATACATACTGACAGAAAAGTATTCATCTTCACTCATTTGGACGGCTTAAATACCATTTTCAATTTCAGTGACAAAGGGAGGACACGGGGATTTGACCTGAAATGATACAGAGAGAATTCAAGGGTAACTACAATTTGGATTTATCACAAGCATGCTTTATCCACAAACCTGCCACCTTTATCAGAAGGCTGAGACAGGGTTGGGTGCACACCAGGAAGACAGTTGTCTTATCTTCTACTGTTAGAAATATACTAGTCCTCCTTCCAGAACTACTGCTGCATTGGTGATCAGCTGTTATTATGGGAGGCAAGCCAACTATGATATCTACTAAATGAAATTAAAATATCTACCTTTCCAAAAGAGGTTGACAGCAGCTTTCCACTCTCTCTTGAGCTGGATCGTGAGGCACTTTTGCTCACATTCATTTCTTTTTCATATCTGGCTATCTTCTTTTTCAGTTTCTCTCTTCTCTGTTGGTCAGCAACTTAGGAAAGAGACAAAGTTGGTCAGATCCAATCTGAAATCTTACTCTCTTCTTGTCCTAAGTGATTTGAAAATATCAAAGGGTTTCCCACATGTTCAGCAAAGTGGGACCACAAAGACAGGCTCCACTCTACTCAGGAATTATGAAAAATTACCTCTATTTTTAGAAGAAAATTAACATTAGAGTATGCTAGCAGCTGAAGCTTCTCTTGCGTATTCCCAGATCTCACAAGTAGCACAAGATTGTGCACTAATTCCAAGATCAGCAATGCTATCAGAATATTCTGCTTGAAAACTCACAAATTTGCTCTTAAACTTTTATGGATTAATCTCCTCTAACTGTACTCTCATCCAATATTTCAGCAAGAAACAACACATGTGCTGGCTAGCAAATTTGCAATACACAAAAATCCATGTTCAATTTACGTCAAAATAATCTCCCAAATACAGAAATCCTCTACAAAACATTACATTTATGTCAAGAGTACAAACAATGCAGGCTAACTGTGTGAAAGGGACACTGCCTGATCAGGAAGAGAAACTATTATTGGGGTATGATTTCTATGCTTGAGTTTGCTATCACCTACATCTGTTATCTTAGATAGTAAAAAGGATTTTTTATATTATGAGCACTTAGGTGCCAAAGATGATGAAGTTCACAAAATTAAAAAATCCAGCTAAGACTGATCAAAAATATGAATAATTTCATTCTCAAACAAGAATGAAGGCTTTATACACATGAGCATTCTTCGGAAGTCTGAATACACAATGGAACCTGCTTAACTCTTGACTACAATTCTCATTTATTTAATACAGACTCAGATATATCACAGAATCGTAGGGGTTGGAAGGGACCTCAAGAATTGAGTCCCACCCCACTTCTAAGGCAGATTCCCCACAACAGATCACATAGTAGATGCCCAGATGGGTCTTGAATATGTCCAGAGAAGGAGACTCCTCAACCCGCATGGGAATCCTGTTCCAGTGCTCCATCACCCTTACTGTAAAGTTCTTCTGCATGTTTGTATGGAACTTCCTTAACTTCCATAACTCCTTGTCCTATCGCTACACACCACCAAGAAGAGCCTGGCCTCATCCATTCACCTCCCACCTCCCTTTAGATATTTATAAACATTTACTGAATCCCCCCTCAGTCTTCTTTTCCCCAGGCTGAACAGATAGAGGTTACTCAGCCTTTCCTTGTACCAAAGATGCTCCAGACCCTTCATAATCTTTTTGGCCCTCTCCTGGACTTTTTTGTAGGAGATCCCTGTCTTTTTTGAACATATGAATGGCTTGTTTGAGACAGATGCACAGGAAGACCTTTGCATATTTCTTCTTCACTTTCAAAATGTATTTACATCGTACTCCAGTAGATCCCAACCTTCACACAGATTATAACACTTAGTATATGGAAATGCACTTTGTGGATTGATGTCATACATTCTTCTAGACAGCTGAGAACTACAGCAATCTGGGGACATATAATCATCTTTTAAAATACATGCACTATGTACATTAACCTGAGAGACTGAGTCTCTAGGACTCTGTTAAGTACATATATTAATTCTGTTGAACATTTTAGTCCCCTTTTAAGCTACAAGTGATTCTTTCAAATATAAAACCCCTGCCCTCACTCCTGGGGGAAATCCCTTTCTCTTCCGGTTCTTACAATTGATAAGTAGAAGACAAAGTAATTTCTTTTACAGCTGCTGATCTGTTCAGCATATTCCATTAGGGTGCTTCCAAAATAAAGTTGCTTTTATTACTGGGAAGCCATTAGCTGAAGTTAAGATATGCTAAATTATACAAATCTGAATTAAAAATACGACTTATAACTGCATTAACCATTAAATAAGCAAAACTCATTATTTGTCTTCCTACACTAAACTGTTATTATGTGTCTATTCTATATTATTATTATTTCTAATTCTATCTGTCTTAAAAGCTACAGAAGGGCACACAAAAATTAGTTACAACTGAAATGTTCAATATGCTTAGATAATTATGCTGGTCTACCAGAGCGTGTCTGTATATGCACACAAATGAAAGCTGTATAAACTGAAGTCTTGCCCACTTCTCAGACAGAACGGTGCATGAGTATTGAATAAGTATCTTAGGAAACAACAAATGAATGAGTGACAGGGCTCTACAAAGCAATAATGCAAATCAGAATTATAGGTGTCATTTTGTAAGTACGAGTAGAGGCTGAACGAGAAAATTCTTTACACTTAAGTGCTTAGAAGGAAAGTGGGCTTGTCTTAGAAAACACGTGCTTAAACCTCTTACTGCGTGTTCAGCCTGCATACTGTGCCTTACTGGGAGTTTCTCAGCAAAGCATGAAGCTATGTGAATATTAACAACAACAACAAAAAAGATATTTTGTTGTCCCTTTGCCACTCTTTACAGAATAAGGTTTGAGATTTCACACACATGGGCAGACTTGGTCTTTACAATTGGAGATCAGAACTATAAAAGCCTACTTCTACAGATCTCCAGGACTGTGTGCTGTGACTTCTATCAGCCAAAATATGGCTTGTGCCCAAGTCAAGAGTAAAGAAAGAAAGAACAGTAAGCATGCCAGGATGCTAAGGCTATCTTTGGTTGTCAGAATGACCCACTGGGACTACTGTCACCTAGATGGGAAATGTAAAGCCCTTGCCTCACACCAATGAGCTTATCTCAGCTAATCCATCAAGTGTGTTCCAAAAGCTATAAAGTCATTCATGCATACTACAAGCCAGAGCAGACACATGCAGAATAGAATGGCAGAAAATCCTAGCAGAGCACTCACTACCATGTTGCCAAATTAAGGAGATCTCGGGCTAGGTCTGCTGTAAAAGCTGGAAATTGTATAACCAGCAAATTTAGAGATAAAGAAATCCCTCTTGAATAGAGTTAACGTAGGCATAAACACACAATTAGACTAAGTAAGGGCAGCTATGAGGAGACAGCAAGCCACACCAATAAGGGTACAGACCCAAAAAATGCATACTGCCAGCCTATCCTTACCTTACATATTGTTTCTCCAAGAAAGGACTGAAGAATCCAGACTTTCTGTTTGCTGAACAGAAAACGGTATTTTACAAAATGCCTGAGCATTTGATGCACTAATTACAAATAACATTACAACTGGCAGAAGCTGAAGATACTCCAGACTGCCACACACAATGACTTGTCCTACATGTGTGCATATACGACACACAAAGAATGAGAGCACTATTCAGGAACAAATACACAGTTTTGAAAAGGAGATGTATCTGTTAAAAACTGGAAGGGTTCAACGCTGTTCTAGATAGCTTCTGTTTCAAATCAATTACAGTCATAGCTTCTTCAGCTTTCAGTGAGGTTAATAATCCAAATTTTACAGGATGCCATTAGAATACTGCCACAGTAGTATCAACTGAACTTGTTAATAAACAAGTTCTTCATCTCTTCAAAAAGGATACACTAAGTATTTAGGTATTAAAATGACTGCCTATATACCCAAATGACATGAGTTTCTATTTAAGCCTTGTAGAAGACTTTGAGATTAATGTATCTCATTAACTGCTGTGCTTAAACCACGGCAAAGATTTACAGCATAATAAAGAGACAGTGTATTAGATGATAAACAAAGTAGTAATTTTTGTATATCTGATAAATTCAGTCTGCCAAACTAAATAAATTCCATCTGTTATCTCAGTGCTGCTAGCAGTGAGAGTAGGCATAAGAAAAACTATAAATTTTAGAGGTTAAACTGTACTATTCTCTATAAAGAACTACAAAGAACTATAAAACTCTGATCAGACTCACAGAACTAAACACTTTTGCTGAGGCAAATATCTTTTTCACAAAGTTTACACTACTCTTAGAAAGTGGAGATCAGACTGTTACTTTTCTCTGCTAGTCTTCTGCACTTGAAAGATTTGATTCTTTCTTCCTTAAAACTTGGCTGCAGAAGTGTTCCTAGATATATGCTTGGAATTATAAAAATGAATGGCAAAAAATGTGAAGGGGAAAAAAAAAAATAATCATACCTACCACATTCCTAAGCATCTGTGCTTAAAAGGATACCATGATTTGGAATGCAAGTGATTGTCCTTCCCTCTGAATTTCTGATCTCTAGATTTATAACGTTACATTCCAGTACACTCTGTGGATTTAACCTTCAAGTAATTTCATTATTGATGTGAGTAAGACAAGGCAAACAATTAAATATTATGTTAGCCTTAAATTGACTAGCTCATTGAACGAGGTATCTCAAAAGAACTGGAGGAATTCTTGATGCTGGACAATGTCTTCTTATCAACTGTTTTTACAAAAACCCACTTCTGCTTATTTTTCACCCTCATAAATTCTCCTAGATCAACAGTGCAAACATCAGCTGCATTTTTACTGAGCTTCCAGTGATCATAATAAAAATATACAGCGTATTATCAGGTAATATTACTGCTACAAGCAAGTTCTTCCTTCCACAAGCATTTTTACCATTACCTTCCTAACAGCAGAAATCCCCAACGCATCATGATTGATGCAACTGGGGTGAGTTCTCATCAAATTCAAACTGAGTTTTGCCATTGATTTCATAACACAAATTTTAATTTTCACAACTCTATGATTCTGCAGTCCTTCTACATACCCAGTATCAGTAACACTGTTTTATCAAATAAAGGAGGAATCACAATGAGAAAAGATGATAAAGGATTTGTTAAGGGCTTGATACCTACAACCTTGCTTATATCAAATAGAATGTTACTCAGAATAATAATATTTGTATCAGGTGATCTACTTAAGAAACATGACACTACTTGGCAAAGCTGCTAATAGCACAATTTGGTCATTATTAAGGCTTCCAAGTAAAGCCTAGCAGTGAGACTTGAATACATTAGAAGAATTTCAGAGGGGTTAGAAGCACAGTGTTATTCCAAATCCATCCACCTCTGATCCATATAGGGTCTTCATATAGCACCTCACAGATATTCCCGTTGGTGGGATTAAAAGTACAGCAGCATGTGTACACACTGAAACTGTGAAACTGCTGCTCCCAATCTTAAGGTATTTCCAAGCCTACTCAGAAGTCAAATCATGAATTCTAGAGAGGGGCTTAGAAGATTTTATCTCATAGTATCACTAGCACAGTATCACAGTCCACAAGAAGCTAATGCTTTGCATAAGCAAAAAACAATTTTATTCTCATTCTCTCAGGTATGCTACAGTTACTTTGTGTTCCTGATCAATAGCAGAAAAAGGTGTAACAACAATCCCTCCACTGCCCTCTGATGCTCTAGCAATGGACAGACGTTAAAGCTGGGTAAATTCCATCACATACCAGGGACACATTTTCAGTAATCATCATGACTACGTGCTGATACAACAACAATAGAAAAACAAGTTTTCCTCTATTTCTTGATCTTTACAGGTCAAGACAACAGGCCCTTCTTGTTTGTGTGCTTTATTCATCATGGCTGTTAAGCTCAGTATTAGCAAAGCTGGATTATATTTTTAGTCTGCTTAACTCTTTAAGTCAGATTAGATGATCTACTGTCATTTTGCAACCACAAACTATGAGAAAAACGCACCTTCTGATGTACTGAATATACATTTCAAAATGAATTCTCCCTCTTAAAAATAAATCTTTCAGTAGAAGATATTTTAAGTAAATAACTTGTAAAAAGAAATTTAAATTACCATAACTACAAGTATTGATTGATAAAGACTTTTACACTGTGCATTTCCCCACTCTCCAAAATTTCAGACTTGAAAAATATGCTGCAATACCTTTGTAAAAGCACATTTGAACTCTGATAATGCAAATGTCAGAGCTGTTTGAGTGTCTCATTTTAAATGACTTAAGTTGCTTTTAGCTTTCATTTTCAGAAATACATTATGTAAGGAGAAGACAACAAAAAAGCTAAGAATAAAAAATGAGACATTTTGTGAAAGCCTCCTGTGAACAGGATACTTAGCCTTCCATAGTGTGAAGGGTAGAGAAAGACAGTGCAAAATATGTATGCAATCATAGGAACAATTCAAATAGAGAATTACAGAAGAATATACACTTATTGGTATTTCTACATTAATCCAAACCCCAAACCTCACAAAAGTATAAAAAAACCAAAAACCAAAAACCAACAACCAAACAAAAAGGCAACATCACTGATCAGACTGAACTGTTTTCTTGCTCCCTGCAAATATGCAAGCTTTCACTGATGTTAAAATAGATTTCTGGTGGGAACTTCTCGGAACACTTTTCCTTCTTTTTCTCTATTTTTTTTTTTTTTCTTTCCCCCCTTCTCCCCCCCTCCCATCAAAGAGACTTGCATTCCAAGCACACTAATCACTGGGTTCAGGCTGTGCTATCAATATACTTGTGGAAAAACCTCTAAACATATGGGTTGAAAAGACAGGACTGTTAGGAACCAGGCATGTGTAGCAGCAGCTGTCTTACTTGGCATAGCTTATATCAACTTTTCTGGCACAAATTCCACAACCACAAGCTTCTAATGGCCACCGGTATCAATCAACATGCTTGGACTAATTCTGAACATACAAGTTTCACATTTCAATAAGTTTCACATTTTAACAACTATTTTAAGTCAATAAGGCTGATCTAATACACAGGAACATGTTCGCTGCGAGCTCAGTTGCATGGCAGCTTGCCTTTTTTGCTGCCAGCTAAGATACCAGGAAAAGAACAGTGGAAACTAAAGCCACCTTAAGGACAGTACGCATTTAGTTGTCCAGGGAGCATGCCAACTACAGTATCATGTTTAATTCTTAAACACTAATGACTGATTCATGGCAACAACCCCAAAGGGAAATACTCACCTGCTATTTTAGCTATATGTGATGCATATTTTTAGGGGCTTTTTTTTTAAACACTGTCTTCAGGAATTCTGTTTTGCAACTCTATGCTATTAATAGATCTGAACATTTCAAACTGAAAACCTATTCCCCTTCCCCAATTTTTTAAAAAGAGAAAAGTGGCAATCTGCTTCACTTGGGACAATAATATGCACAGAACTATGTGAAGAATAAAGCTGTAAACTCCTTGACCCAAGGGACACTATCGATCAGTACGGCTGATAGTCAGCCACACTGATATTGCATCTGAGACTGGTGTGTCCCTTCTCCAGTAAGAAAAAAAGATACATTTGAAAATCCTGTTGTGTACTTCATTCACAAACAGATTTTTCAACAGCTCTGTTTTCAGCACTACTACCCGAGTACTAGCTGTCATCTCCACCGTAAATTTTGTAATATCCCCTTTGAAAAAGGTGGATATTTTTCAAATTTTTTTTTTTTTGGTGGATTACCAGAGAAACAATAAATGATACCTAGCATTGAGCTTAACATCTGGACACTTAATACTTGGCCATTATTAGTATAGGACTGAAATCTATAGTTCTTCATAAACAGTGCTTATAACAGTGGGGAGGGGAGATGAAAAACAAACAACCACAAGCACTCTAATCTTATGTACAAAATTAATTTAAATTGCTTTCAATTTCATTCTAAATACCAGGAGTTTCTAAAATCAGTGCAGATATTGGCAAAGGAAGGTCTGAGTACCTTAACTACCTTGAAGACTATGAGACCACTAATCAAGAAAATGAAAGTAGATGTGTCCCCACGGAGTATACCTTTGCTAAGTCTACTGAAACTTCAGCCTACGTCTGCTTATAAAAAGATCTCAAACAGATGACAAAATATATTAAGACAGGTAAGAAAAAAAGTCTAGAGCTGTTGCTTGTTGCAACCGTGTTCTAATAAGGTAAAAAACATCAGCAGCTTTTTCTAGTGCAGTTTGAAAATAGGTGAAAGAGCAAGTTAGTGAAATTTAATGCACCTATTGAATAGAGGGATAAAAACTAACGTGGTAACAAAGGTGAAATGTTTCCATCACACTCTGTATAAAAGAGATTAATATTCTGTCTGTTATTAGGACAGAGTTTCATAGTCAGACTCTAATCTAAGATGAACTGAAACATACTGCAAAAGCCTACTACCTAAAATGGAAATTTCTTCACTACAGAGCACACCTGTTACTGTTGTGACAATTATCTGTTAAAGTTGTGCAGGTATCTTCCAAAATGAATTCATTCTGTGAAACTCATGCTGGTGTGAAATACACAAGCTCATTTATCTGTATTTTATCTGTAAAGACAACTAACATGATCAGGCATTAGCTGGTGTTTAGAAAGACCCAACACCTGAAAAGGTATGGAAGAGTAATAGTTAATTAGGGAATCAATGAAACAAAACATTCTAGCAATTCCAGAAAGAAAAGCAGGAGGATTTTACTAGACAAACACACAGGTGTAATTTTTTTTTTTTTTTCCTTATACCAGCCTTGTTTTATCTTGCCCATTTCAAATCAAATTTTGGTATAGCTGGAGGTTAGGAAGGAAGGTTTTTTTTTGTCAGACGATTCTGCAGAACACATGATCTGAAATTCCTATCTCAATCTGTAAACTATAGATAGCCTTGTAATATTGTTCCTAATTGTGCTGCACCTTTGGAAAACAGCCTGTTGCCTTATTCACTCTCAACTCCTTAACCAGAAGGAAAAAAGTCTAACAAAATGCTGATATCTTTCTGCCAAAAGGATGAGTGATTTTCTACATAAGCTCTGGTTACTCTCATCATTTAGCAAGGTATTATCACTTTGGCCTGTCTGGATTCGAGACTAATAAAGTATTCTATACAGAAAAGATTTATCTTTCTATCCCAAATAAAAGTTTTTTCCAGTATCTCAGCAGTGGTAACTGAATATTGAATTGGAGAAAAAGAACTTTCTCTAATTGGATTAGAAAAAAAGATACCAGATAACAGAAATACATATTTGTTATTTTAACCAACAGCTGCTGTTTACCCTTCCTTGATAATTCATTTATGATTCCGTAAGTCAATGACTTGAAAGTATTGCTCTTCAGCTAAAACTGTAAAGAAAAGCAACAGTACTGACACATTTCATCACCATTAAGAAATGAGACAACTCTTGGGAAAAGTAACTGCATTCAAGCTGCTGAGCTGGGCATTTGTGACTGTGCTTTCTGTCAAAAGGAACAACAAGTTTTAGTCCCAGTTCCCATATGCCCACATTCCTAAAATTTCTCTTAACCTTGTACTCATAAGCCCTCTTCATGAAAGTCCAAGCTTACATTGTATCACAAGAAATTAGAGAGAAATTACTGCATTTCTCCTCTTCTACTGCACTGACCATGCAGAAAAGGAACGTAAGTAAAATTAGTTACGATCTTCAGTAGAATTAATTAATCCCTGATAGACAAAGTCCATCTCACTAATAATCCATTCACTGCAGAATCTTACCTATAGACAAGAGCAGGATAAGAAAAGCTGAAGAAACAAAAAGACATATGCTTCGTTATTCTCCTATTCATGTGGCATTTGCTTTGTTAGGTTATTTTTACAAAAGCTTTTGCAGAAAAAAAGATAACTCACAGATACTTACGTTTAATGCTCCTCAACCTACTTCTGGGCACTGAACAGTCTACAGCTGCTAAAAATAGGAAAAAAACAGATGCAATTCAGTATTAGTGTTTGTCATGCCTAGAAAAAAAAGTGATAATAAAACAGGACATATGCTAATTTAATTAGAATAAAGCATATTTTTCACTATTTTAAAATACATTAAGAAATGGCAAAATGATAGGAAAATCAGCATAACCACATCCAAAACCCTATTTCTGAAAATAGCTTGAAAGAAAGTATATAATGTTTTGGGAGGTATTCAAATCTTTTATCGCATAACTCATACTATTGCAAAATTCTCTGCAATGAATTTAAACACTCAGTACATTCTGCCAAGCCCTAGCATTAATATCTCTTGGACTTAAATCCCCACAAGTTTATGCAATGAAAAATAAAATGAAAAAAAAACAACCAAACAATATTAACAGCTATCTACAGACATCTCTTGGCCCTGTGCATGATATTAACTTGAACAGCAATTCACACTCCTCAGAAATTATAATTTGAGCAATAATAGATTGCTTTCAGTTGTAGCATTAGCAATGGTCTGCAAGATCAAATAGGAGAAGCTACACATTTCTAAATCTGAAAAAAATGAATAAATAACATAATTAAAAGACATAAAAAAACATATAAGCATGTACAAGTTCAACAGGCTCTTACGTTCCAGATTTCACATTTGCCTTTTGACAAATGTTAACTACTTCTACAATTAAAATCTATACAGATATTCATATACATTTTTAGTGCTCAACAGCACAGATTAATAATACAACAAAGTTCTCATTTGCAAATCCAACACAATATGCAAACTCCTTAAAACTTGCTAATGCAACTGACTGTAACATGAACAAAAGATAAAGATCATTCTTTGGGAAAAAAAAAAGTCAGTGGTCTTAGTTTAACTGAAGTTGTTCTGTAATCATTTCTAAAATAAATTTGGAATGTTTGCTCTTCAGGTTATCTCCATATCCTATTTTATTACAGCACTAGTGCTGAATGAAGAGAATACAGCACAAAGTACCCTTAAATAAAGTAACTTTGGTAGCATTCAAGAGAAAAGGTTTTCATACAAAACTTTCAATCCGAATAACACACAAGTATTACTACATAAAAGCTGTATCTTCTTGCTGACATCATTCCAAGCATGAAACAGGAAAAAAAAAAAGGAAAAAAAAAAAAAAAGAAAAAAAAAAGAAAAATCAGGCTTCTGACAACCCAATTCATTCCCTTTTGATACGAGCCTTTTCTGAAAAATGAGCTAAATCTGAAAGTGGAAATTATTTACGTATGTAATTTTTACCTTTGGCTGAAAGAATTCTGTTATAATGAAACATCAAGTGATCTCTGATCAGGTACTGGTTTGTCAGACTTCGGGAGGAGTCAATGCAGAAAGCTATTAAGATTAAAATTAACATTATAAAGGCAGGTAAAAGAATATTCAAATCTTGAAGTTATTGACTGCAATTCAAATCTGAAAGCCAGTATTTCCAATAATAATTGGACAGGTGATCTGTAGAAAATAAAAGCCAAAAGAACATTAAAGTGGTTTTGCTATTAACTTCTATCCTGTATCAAGTATTGAGATAAAACTGCTTTCCTGAGAGCTAGTTCCATGATCATGCTTCTGAAAGATTTCCACTTAAGCTTTCACAGAATTGTAGAATGGCTTGGGGCTGGAAGGGACCTTAAGGATCATCTAGTTCCAGCTCCTCTGCAACAGACAGGGTTGCCAGCCTCTAAATCAGGCTTCCCATGGATCCAACAAGCTTGGCCTTGACACCTCCAGAGAAGCAGCCACGACTTCTCTGAGCAGTAGGTCATTTTTTCCTTCTCCCACTACAGTACCAGTTTACATCTAGCAACATTTCCGGAACACTTAGTGTTTGCAGAAGGCAGAAGCTACGAACTCAATACAGCATTGCTGTGTGCTTCTCTGTTCAGTGGAAGCCAGTTTGTCTAACCTGCCAGTATAACACGAAAGTACCTGGTCTCCTTTGTTGTCTAAGGTCTAAGATGGCACAGAAACATATCCTATCCCATCCCAGCAACTGCATGCAAAAGAACAGATTTAATTTCAACACTTCCTCCAAGTAGTAATTCTACATATTCCAGCTAATGCAGATATGCTGCTAATTATTTCTAGCTAGCATTACAGTCCAGGCAAAATATTTTCAATAATACATAGCAATTGTAAGTAGTATTAAATGTCACCAATAGAGCTCAGTGCAAAGGTTCATGGAGTCATGGAACATCCTGAGTTGGAAGGACTCCACACAGATCATCAAGCCCAACTTCTGGCTCCAGCATTTTGATCATGAATGCAATTAATTCACATAGAGAAACTCCGTCAACTTTGTAATGAAAGCAAGTGTGTTACTTACCATTACTTTTAGTACTTAGCTGTCCTTTAAATGGACTTGCTGGACCACATCTGGGAACAACCACAGCTGGGTATTCATTCACTTTAATGAAATGTCAAACAGTTAGAAAGGAAAAAATACATACTCTGACAGACAAGCAATAAATAAATAAATAAAAATATATTTCCCCAAAGAATTATTCAGTTATTGTAGTGCACTTTTTTCCTAGATGAAAAGTCTTCATTACACTATAATACTACAGCATAATTAAGCAACTTAATCAAGATGCCAAAATATGATTATAAAAACTTCTGCTGGTTCCGGGGCTTCAGCAGCAGAAGAGACCCTTAGATCACTTCAACCTGAACTTCTACACTGCTCATCAGGCTGCACAGAGATGCAGCCAAAGTTTTGCAGCTACGATAAACTCTAATTTAAGTGTTTATTGATTGAATTTTACCATGACATCAAATAACTAATGTGAAAAATATTCTGCATGTAGATAAACACTGTGTTTAGTATAATACTCTAGAGTTTAATAGATTTAAAGAAACTAATTACATCTGTGTGACAAACCACCCTATTAATGAGAACATACTCTTTCAAATACCTATTGCTGTTACTGCAAGCAGAATTTGGTTTGCCATTTCATCTTCTGGCAGTTTATAGACTGGAAACCCTCTAAACAAGTGTAGGTACTAACAAAACATAAACATCCAAATGTTCTGAAATACGAAAATGTGAATTAAAAACTCTGCATCTTGTCCTTGGGATTAAAAAAAAAAAAAAAAAAAAAGACCACTGTCTGTAAGGCGACCTATGATTTAAAAATACACATCCAATTTAATTTAGAATTTGTAGCATTTTCAGAACAAATTTTAACAGGAGATAGGTACACTATTATTTCAAAGATAAGTGCATACAAAGCATTCTTTTATGGTTTCCAAGACTCTGCTCAGAGTACAAATTAAAACAAATGAGAGGAGTGGGGATCTTTTTGCCCTGGCCTTCAGCTGGATCAGCAAAGGCAGGCATCTGTACAGAATGACTGCAGACTGCAAGAAATTATGCTGAAAGACACAGCCAGGCTTAAGCCACATTTTTAAGAGACCTTTAATTCCATTTTTCATGGCTTTTTACCCTCTTTTTTACCTCTGCTCAGCACCTTGTTTTCCATCCTCTCCATCCTCATTTCTCAGTGTTATGTGACAGTTACAAATATATAACAGTACTGTTACAGCTATGAATGTCACTGCAGTGTTTCATAGCTCAACTTTAAGTGTAAGAGCATGCTGCACGAGATGCTGTCCAAAAATTAGTTGGCAGAGATCACATCAAAATAAATTATTCTCTTAATAATGCTTTAATATTATTTCCTCAAAGACATTACTAAAAAAGACATGTACTAAATTTCAAATGACTAGGATTAGTTTAGGAAGCAAAATAAAGTATCTTGAAAAAATAAATAAAATGAAAATGATTACTGTATGTAGAAATGTACCTAATATTTTCTTGAGACCTTGTTGTGCCTGGATCCACGTTCTCAACTCCCACAGTTGCAAAGCACAACTCAGTTTTGAGCTAGCAAGAGGGTCCCACACTCAGAAAAGCCTGCCTTTACACAGCTCCAGCTCTGACATGGTGTCTATAGACACAACACTCCCACCCCTTCTGATGGGAGGTACCAGAAAGGGAGAACAAAGGAAAAGTGCTACCACAGATTTTTTTCACCACTAGCTCGAAACTGTTCTTAAGGTACGCTATCTTCTTTAAAGCCAAAGGGAAACATTTGTACTCTTCTGCACCCATTTTAATTGGTTCTTTAAAAAATTCCCCTTGTGGTAAAATTCCCCCCACTCTCTATTTATGATTTAAACATACACGGGCAAACAAGACTATTAAAGTATTAAAATTTCAAGCATATAGCAAGAATTTATTAGATTTAGAATGACTGCCTCTGTAATGACTGCAAACCTTGCTCAATAATGGCCTACTTTCTTACTATTTCTCTAGCAAAGTAACACCAAAGTGGTACTCACAACCTAGTTGGGTAACTGTACTGAAAATCACCTGAAGGTACAGTGCTCACATTTTTAAAGAATGGAAGTCCTTCAAAAGACTTAAGTGTTATAATCTAACATTTTGGTAAATAAAATTTTATCCTAATGATTAAAAAAAGAAAAAAAGTGTAAGCTATTAGTCAGAAATGTAATCTTAGCAGACATATCAAAATCTGAAGGTTTTCATTCACAGTTGCTCAAAATAAACTAAAGCTTCCTGTATTTTCTGTATTTCAGTGCCAAGTTATAATTCCAAAAGACATGTGACACCATTAATGTTTATAAGGCCACCTCTAATTTCTATATGTAACTGTAGAGAGGTAAGCACGAGCATCTTAAAAATGCACAGGGACGTTCTCACAACTGCAGATGGTTCATTTCAAATAAGCTAAGCTTCTCTGCCCTGAGTTAAAGAGAACCAGATCCACTCAGAAACTTGTTGCTTGCACTGTCTGCAGATGGAAGTAAATCTCTGTTCAATACTAGAGGAAAATGCAAGGATTCTGAAATACTCACTTACTTTGCATCACCAGCAGATGGCAACATGGATAAGCTGTACAGAAAGAATTACCTCATCGGTTCCTTCTGCCCTACGCAATTCGTGTGTATCAGAGTATCTGAATATTCTGACTGTGGGCATAGCACACGTATCTGTAGTGCCACAGCCCACCCTCTCTGTCCCTTGTGCCAAATGAAGTGATGGAGATATTTCTGTAACATTTCCATTAAAGAGGATGTTTGAATCTCTGCGAACCACCTCATCTCACAGAACTTATCGCCACTTTTTCACAAAGGCCTCAAAGATACCAATTTGGCTGAAATAAGTAATGGTCAGTGCTACTGAAGCTGTAAGGAATAACTAAACTTTTGTTTTCTTAGGATCCAAAACTGTTCGTGTAGACATTCAACTGCATTTATCATTGCTACATTAAGTTCAGCTTACACTTTTACTCCATAAACCTGCAGTCTGAAATTCAAAACAGTTTTTAATTTGTTCTCTTAAATTGCTTAAGCCAGAGAAGAAAATGGATCTGGTATGCGGGGGATTTAGTTTATTGGTAATTCAAAAAAACTGAAGTGAGGTAGAATGTTAGGATTCAAATGTTTCACAGGATAGTTGCCTACTGACTTGAGCAGGTGTTCGTTTCAATTCAGTTTGTATTTTCACAGTTATTTACATAATAGCAAAAAATAAACTTCAATTGAAAGCTTACATATGTGAAAAAATAAAAAAAAAAGGAGAAGGTGGGATTTTTTTTAGTTATCAAATAGGAACCTAACAAAACGACAACGGCAAAACAATAACGAGCACCAGGATGGCTGTGAGAGTGAAGAAAGCTGTACAGTCTTAGGACTTTGTCAACCCCACCTTTTTTTTCCAAAACCAATTCACAGAATTGCGAATTTTTTCAGCAAGAATATTTCGACTGATTTTGACAGTAATTATTTCTTGAATAATGAATTACTTGAATAGGATCACCTGTATGAAGTGGGCGTAGCAGAACTGGTCCTGGAACTTGCAGCTTTTGGAATAAACATTCCCTGATTACAACACACACTTCTACTTCATATAATAATAAAGCCTTCCAGTCACAAAGTAGAGGTCTACGTAAACAGATTTCCAGATCTGGACTGGAAACACTTCAATATCATTTCATTTAGCTTAAGAAATTATTTTCTGAGTTCACAGCCTCAGGAACTGAGAAGTATAATGGACTCATAACTTCAAACATGTAACTGCACAATCGAATCATACATATCCTCATAAAGATTTAATGGTCCACACTGAATACAATACTGGGATTCTCAGACCACAAGTTATCGTGAAGTACAGAAAGCAAACAAATGATATATTACAAAAAAAAAAAGAATCTGGTATTTTAGTTCCTCCTTAGTGCTTCTATCTGCTTGTTCTTGTAAGCTTTCCATGCACATGTGGCACTACATAGTGACAAGAAAAACTAAAACAAGCTTGGGGAATAGTTTTTCCAGTTGGTATCTAAGTAAAGTAATAATTGCATTACTCTAAAGAGATTGGTAAGATATTTTCTTCACATTATCCTTTCATTTTTTATTTAAAATGCCTTCTATTTTTATTTGCAATTTCAAAGTCCTAAAAATGATGGGAAATGCTGTTTTCTATGTGTTATTTTATACCCTCTTAGTAGACAGGAAAATTATTTCCTTAAATTCTGCCTATACAGCCATTTCAGATCTAGCTATATTAATATACACAGAAAAGATGCCCAGTCTTTCATTACAGCACTCTCATAGGAAGGATTTTAAACATGACTATTAACCTGCTATTTTTATACTTTAGATACAGCAAATCAAAAACACAAAAACAATTCAATCTAGCTCCCTTTACCTTACAAAGACTTGTTATTTAAAAGATAGCTCATAAAAATATAGAGACCTGAAGTGAAATATTGAGTACAGGCACCTAAACGCAGCGCTACAAGCCACAAGCCCTTCACCTCAGTGTATAGGTTTGCATGAGCACTATGCTTCTGTAACAGCAATTTATAGATCTGAGGTTGAAACAATCCCAAGTCCTATGTAGATTTAGACCTCAGGTCTCCCCAGCTGTCCCAGTGGAACATGCCCATCACTCAACCAAGGCCACCGACCCTTTCATGTATTGGATTTTTTCACAGCTCAAGGATTCTTGCACTCCCTGATGCACAGCAGCCTCTCAGCTACAAATGTTCGAAGCACCTACAATGGATTAAAACTGCAGCATTCGCCTGAGCAGTGACGATTTCATCTCCCAGAAGCTGATAAGGACATTCAACCCAAATTGACATGCTATGCAAATGCTCTAGCCACTACCTTAACTTCTAAAGGCTTTGAGCTGCTGCCTTTTCCACCCCTAGCTCCTTTTCTTCTCTTCCTTCACAGCTCCTGAATACTCTAAAACAAAGCCAGCCAGACATCTCCGCCCAAGTGGGTAACTCAGGCAACTACACACAGAATTGGCTTTGTGCTGCAATCTTATCAGAAGCCAAGGATGCTCTATCACCCTTTCTGACTAGTTGAGCGATCATTTCAGTGGTTCCTGCTACTGACTCATTTGTCTAGCTCCATACACACTAACAGTATGCTGCGGCACTAACACTGTACACATGGAGTGTGAAATCCTAAACACATCAGAAGTAGTAGTGGCATCTAACATTTCTGAAAAGGTCACATTTAAAGGAATGAAATTTGGACCCACTAAATAGATTTTTACCCTTTTGGTACTACGAGAACTTTTGAATCAAAATATCCACGACCTCTTTATGCTGCAAAAATTGTGCATACAACTACAACACAGACACACAGTAAATACTGTTGTATCTATGTTAAGAGATTAACCTGATTATGAAAATGCACATTAGATTTAAATTTTTTTAAAATAAGAAACTAACTACTATGTTTTCTGTTATATTAAAATGATGATACACTCTCATTATTTTAAAAAACAGTAACAATAGGATGGTCTATTAGTAATGACATTTTCATTGTGGCTTACTTCCATACCCTACCAACCTCCTTCAACTTTCTCAACTTCTTTTCTTCCCTGGCAGTCATCCATTCCCCTCACCATCACATTCCCTTTTGCTCAGCTGTGGCTGCAGAGCTGCTGTATGTTATAATCCATCTGGTTTATCTCAGTTTACATCTTGTTTATATCTAGTTAACATATGCTACAACTGGTAACCTAGTTTAAGCTTATCTAGTTGCTTATTCTTGGCTGACTAGTTGTTCATCCTCTTGTTGCTTATCTGGGGATGGCAACAGAACAGAACGCATCTCCCCAAAAAAGTAAGGTAATCAGTTGAGGATTTTCTTCCCTTACTCAGAAACTGAGGTTCACACCACTCAGATTCCTACTTGTTGCTCATAGCTGGCTGAAATTGCTTAACATCTTCAGGACCAGAAAGAGGAAAAGGCTGGCAGACAGTAGCATTCAATCCACATGCTCCTTTTTCAGGAAGACAGGTTAGAATATGGCAAGTCTTCTTTGCTTTTCTGCAGTACCTATGCAATCACAAAAGGTAACGTCTTCACATTTAGCTGGTTATGGAATGCACTGATAGTGTTCCATTCTATCTGAAAAATATGAGGGGTAAAACTGAACACTTCATAATGACTTAGTAACACGTTGCTTTTCTTCCTGTTCATGAAAACTAAGTAGAAGACTCCTGGATCCACTTCTGGTTTCAATTACAAAGAAAAACTCCCACGGATCCTGAGAACACACTCTTAGATTTGAAGCTGCCTTTAACAAAGACATTTAAGACTTATTTAAAAAGTAGAGAATCAACCAGAAAAAAAAAAAAGTGTATTGCCACTGTTTTCCAGTTTTTCTTAAGCAAAATGTGATGAATGAAGCTACAACATTCCAATTTCAAAAGGAAGTTCCAAATGTTCCATTTGAATTTTGCATGGGATCATTTGTGTCAGAGGCAAAATATTATGAAAGTAATTCTCTGAATCATTTCCTGACATGCGCACCATACATAATCTTCTAAGCCATTAATTAGATAGGTGCTATTTATATGCTTACTCTGCTGGATTACACAAAACCTCTTCTTTACATCTACTCTCAGTGTGCAGGAGTTGGGTCTCTCAGTCCTTTACAACTAATAATGCAACAGTTTTCTGCATAAATGAAAACTATTCAACGAAAATACTATTTCAAAATTCAAAACCTCCCTGATCAAAGAAATCTAACAGAATAGTAGAGCAGCCTTCAAATAGGCTCTTTTGAGTCTTATTTAAGCAATTCTTGAAAAACATTACAGTTTTCCAATTAGCAGACATCATATATACCTCTACATGCAGACACAGAAAGAAAACCACACTCTACTCAGTTTATAGTGTACAGAGAGAAAAGGTCTCTTTTTTTTTTAAATTTGTGCTGATGGAATACTCCATCAGTATTTTATCTTCCATTTTCCCATATTTCTAACTGAAAAGGCACAGCTGGCACCATGCAGAACAGAGATCAGAGAATCCTTGTTTCGCCGAGCTGCAGGTAACGTTGCAGAGTATGATTGGAGCAAAACAGCAAGTAGGGTTAATGATTTGAATCCTGCTACTTTAGCACGTATTTCATTTGAAGCATGCCAGAAACCTTCAATGAAATTGGACCTATTAGGTATTTCAGTTCCACAACAGTTTTAAATCATTTGCTGAACGAAGATAGGATGAGTCATACCATGTGAATAAGTCACTGAGTAGGCTATCTTACCAACGGGCAAAGTAACGACAGGTTTAAATGACTGGTTGAGACAAGGTTTTAATTTGGTAAAAAATTGTGGTCAGTGATTAACATTTACCTCTGTTGGTTAAAATATATTGTTATGGTTCAACTGTGACTTCCATATGTCCTTTCTTTTTTGAAGATACAAATATGATTTTTCAACTTTCATGCTGGTCAAATTCTGAATATTCAGAATGGGTATCACCAAGTTGATGCTCGTGTATGTATTACAAGAACTCTGCAAGGACTACAACAGGTTATAAAATAAGAAATCCCCCCTAAACAGTACTAACTTTCTGGACAGACACTGCATGGACATGACTATTTTGTGTAGAATACACAGATATTATTTGTTCTGCCCCTTTCACAGACTGCCTGTAAGCAGCTGGAGGGCTGTTCTGCCAATTTTGCTCAGGCAAAGTAAGGTGATACTAAGCACTCAAGCAATAGCATTTAAAGAGATGTTCTTACCAACTTTCAAATTATTTTGTATAATTGTTTTTCATTTGTTTGACAACAAGGGTCATTCAGTCAAAGCTTCTGCAGCCTGAATGAAATTTAGATCTTATATTCTATTTATTCTATTTTTACAGTCAACAGACTGTGGTTGCCCATAAAAATAATTAGAGAATCAAGAACATGAACAGTGAAGAACTTGACAGATTTGTAGTAAGACTGCTTTCACACAATGTAGGGGAATGTCTTTTATGGAGACTGCAAGAACATTAAACATATTTATTTATGCAGAAGATCCTAGTTTTTGCCCAGAAGTTTGTAGATCCATGTGGTATTAGACCTCATGTTAAAACTCTACTCTGATATCAGACATCTTCTGGAGCGGCATCAGTCACTAATTCCAAAGACCTGATCTGACACCACAAAGATGCAATGTGAAATGTTATCTCACTAGATCTGACCTGACACAGCTATGTACAATTTTGACAGCACAGCATTGAGTAATTCCTACCACTGTTTTATACCATTCATGCCATCAAGTTCACATCTAAAAATACTTCAGATACTTTCCAAGAGCTGGAACTAGCTCATGTAAACTTTTTTTTTTTTTCATGTTTATGCCTGTTTTTATCACAAATGACAAATGTCTCTATGAGTATTTGCAGGAACTAAACACAATGGCAGCCCACAGCCGATTAAATCTGGGTAAGGAATCACAGAATCATATAGAATCACAGGTGTTGGAAAGGCAGATCAGCTAGCCCAAGCCTCTTCCAAAGCAGGCTCCCTACAGTTCCACTTGCTGGGCACCACGGTCACGTGCCTGGCAGCATCCACCTGACCTGCCCTCCTTGTCAGTGCTTTTATTTAAATCCTTTACTTCTCAGCCACACTTTCACTAATACCCACCTACTCCCCAAAAAACTTGGACCTGCACCCAACAGCCATCTAAATGCAATTCTGCTAACAAAACAAACAAACAAACAACAACAAAAACCCAACACCACTATAAACGACAGTTCAGAGCCGTACCAGCTTTGGAAAAGAAGAAACGCGGCTCCCAGAGGGCGAAGAAATTCAGACTGACAACGAGGCGGCTCTCTCTGCCCATCCCACACCGCACTGACACAGCAGCGCCGAGCGCCAATGAAAGGCAGGAGCAACGCAGCGATGCTGCCCGTGAGGCGGACGCTTTAGCGGCCACGTTACTAGGTCGAATCTTTCGCCCGGCGCCCGCACGGAGGCCGCTACGGAGCCGCGCTCCCCGCGGGCAAACGCTTAATGGCTCTGAACGGCCCAGGCTCCACACGGGCCGCCACGGCAATTCGCACCCCGCACAGCAGGGCAAGCCGTGGGTTGACACCCTAACACGCGAGCAGATCCGCCCGGCCCCTTTCTGGAGAGGGCCTCGCCCCAGCACTCCACGGCCGGGAAGACCGGGAAAGGCAGGGCGGCAGCGCGCCCCAACGCCGGCAGGCCCCGCCCGCAGCCCCCCGGTCCCGCACCTTGGCTCCGCCTGCCGCCGCCCCTCTCCATCTTCACCCCCATGCTCTCGGGCGAGCCCAGCTTTCGGCTCAAAGCGGCAACAGCTCTGCCTCCGCAGCGGCCGGGTGGGGCGTGGCGCTGAGTCTGGCATGGCGCGACGTGTCCTGGCCCGGCGGCCTCCGTTGTTGCCATGGTGTCGGGAGCGTCGCGCTGGGCGGGCGGGCAGGGCCGGGCCAGGCCGCGGCCTCGGGGATGGCTTCTCCCTCGCCTGTAATCCGCAGTAATTATTTAAACCTGCTTGCAACACGACTGAAAGTAAAAAAATAATTGGTGCCAAGTGAGTGTTTTAAACAAAATTACTCATGTTTTGTAGGAGAGAATGGCAAGTAGGGAAGCTGGAGTGTTCCCGGCATGTTACAATGAAGAAATTCACTCTTTCAAAAGAGCTGTTCTTTAGAAATGAACCACAACAGCAAATATTGAAAACCAATGTTTGATCATATCACTGATGTATGCATTAACACTAGTTTTGTTTGTAGTCAACTTTCTGAAGAAGTGATAGGTTTGATTTTACATGGTCACTCTAGAAATAATGTCTCCTATTTATCTCCATGGAAACTGCAGCAGATGATACAAAGAACACAATAACGCTTATGGAGTGAATTCTCAGCTACAAAACGCTGTTTTTCAACGCAGTCAGCATCCTTAGCTATGCATTTTTGCCAGCAATGAACAAGACCCTTCATCCTCATTCCAGATTCCCAGGAAGTCACAGAAGCAGACATAGTCGTGTGGATGAAACCTGAAGTACTGCTGCACATTCTGTGTGACAGTAGTGCTTACCAAAAATTTCAGAAAACTTTTCAGTAATCAACTATTGAATGTTGGATGCATAGCTGAAGTTTCTTGTTAACCCCTAGCTCCTGCTGGGCAGCCTGTGGTTTCCCTTCAAAGCTGCTTTAGTAGATCTTTAATGATTTTTTTTATATTCCCATTTATTTTGTGTGAAGTACTCTTTGCATGTAGCCTTAATTCTTGTGCTCCACATTATAGTGATTATTTCGACAGTCTAATACTGCTTTCTGTAAAATCATCTGTAATGATAATTGTTTTTAAGTTTGTCTGAAAGGGGTCAGGAAAGGAAATACAAGCTTCTTTGGATCCTCATTCCAACTCATCTTCCCGACTGTTTTTTTTATAAAGTGTCTGTTCTCATGGTATGTCAACTTCCACCAGCCATTAGGTAACAAAATAGCTTTTTTTTTTTTTTTTTTCTATAACAAATAATTTAATAGCATTTTTTCTTTCTCTTATATCTCTTTTGGTGTGAAGACAATGATATCATTATAATCATAGAATCATAGAATGTCCTGGGTTGAAAAGGACCACAATGATCATCTAATTTCAATCCCCCTGTAATGTGCAGGGTCGCCAACCACTAGACCAGGCTGCCCAGAAGAGTAAGTTGACTACCCCATGAATAAAAATCCAGAATGCCCTGAATCCAAATGCTCTTTCCCCTTCCCCCAGAAGGATTTTTGACTGCATGTAAAATTAGAAATTAGGAGATAGGGCTTCAGGAAACCAGTTGCCTTAGTTGCTGTGTATCAGTGCTTAGACTTCTTTGTAATAATTCATATTGTTAAACCAGTAGATTGTGGAGGTAGTGATTGTCTTAAAGTAGTGTCGGTTTCAGATACTTGGTGATACTGCAGAGGAGGTTGAGTGCTTGAGATCCTACTGCTGTGGTGTCCTGGGCTCTAGTTGTAATGCTGTGTATTGGCTTCAGAAATCATGCTACCGAAAATGTCTCTCACTTTTGTTTGTTTTGTTTTTGTTGTTTTCAAATGAGCTGCACACAGCAATATCTTTATACTTTTAGAATACTTTTTGTTTCATTGTTTGAATTTGGAATTTCACATTCTTGAATTCTCAGTGTATCATTCCCAACATAGCATAATATAGCATAACAGCATAGTAACTAGGCTGTGCTTTCTGACCCTAGTGATGTATTTCTCATAGTGCCTTCCCATTGTTCATATGTTTTTTCCACCATATAGATAATTACAACTCCGAAATGTGAGTGAGTGTTTTTAGAAACATATCATGACTGTTCCCCTGGTTTCTAGGCAACACTGAGGGAATGTAGCAATTTCCACTAGTTCCCCCTCAATCAGAAGCATCCTAGAAATACCCCAGCTCTGAAGTTTTTTACCTCCAATAGCAACATGTACCAGAGCTCTGTGTTTGTAACTGGTCTGACTTGCAATCTTTTGCCCTTTGGCTCTATTGGATCTCTAAGTGTTTATGTACTTCATGTAATTAAAAGCTAATCCGGATATATTGCAATGTACTCACACATTAAGTCCTGCAACACATACTAAATAAAAATAAGTCTTAAAAGAAATTTAATCAGTCATGGATTTTGATCCATCATAGTAAGTTCAAAAATAAATGAAATGAATTGCTGCGGAGAACAAATTGTTGTCAAAGAAATAGCATATTGAAAATTGTAAATTTTGTCCTCTTCCAAACTGAAAAGAAGAAACACAGTGCTAATGTTGTTGGCTGTCTTTCTCAGGAGGGTATTTTCCCATTTTCCTTGAAATTTTAGAGCACAGTGTGGTATTAAAGTTTGACTGCACTGGGAGGATGGAAGCAGCAGGAAGAGTCACAGTGGAAGGTCTAGAAGATCACCTGTTCTTACTTGAGAAGGTAAGGCTTGCAAATTACATTTCCCCAGTTTATCATCTAGGTAGATCTTATTGCGCTCTATAACCTCCTGAAAGGAGGTTGTAGCAAGGTGAAGGTTGGCCTTTTCTCCCAGATAAAAGTTGCAGGATGAGAGGGAATGGCCTAAAGCTGTGCCAGGGGACATTCAGGTTTCCTGTAATAGCAGGAAAAAAAATATTCTCAGAAATAGTGGTAAAACATTGGCATAAGCTGCCCAGGGAGGTAGTAGAGCATCCTCCCTGGAGATGTTCAAGAAATGGGTAGGTGTGGCACTGAGGGACATGGCTGAGTGGCATGATGTCAATAGGTTGGTCATGGGATTAGATGATCTTTGTGGTCTTTTCCAACCTCAATATTTCTGTGATTTTGTGACCTGATGTAGAAGCCTATTGTTCAGCATATTTATGGTTAATAGTATTTTGCAACAAAACAGCATTCTCAAGACCTGTGTAGTGTTTATTTTTGTGGAAGAAACAAATTTGTTAGAGAAAAGGGCATCAGAAAAAGGAAACAGTCCATAAAAAGCTTAGGGGTTTTTTTAGCACAGATCAGCCTGGTTTCCTCTGAAAAAGAATGCGTGTCAGGCAGGCAGCACCTCCAACAGATCGCATTTCATTTGGGACAGAGTTCAATTTGTAATGTCAGAATTCTACATTTCTGGGATTTAGCTGGCTTGGAAAACATGGTTTGTGTGCACCCTGAAGATTTTTTTTATTATTTTTTTTTTTTTAGGGAGTCTTTGCTTGTTTTAAGCCATTGATTTTCCTTCGTGCTCTGTTTTCCTTACAACTGTCTAAGTAAGCCTACATATGCAGGCAGAAGATATCCCCAAAACCAAATCTGCAAACTGTGCTCATACAGAAAAGCCCTAAATTCATCACACTGTGTACTTTGATATGGAAATAAGCTTTTTAGTTTTTCTTGAGATTCTTGCTCTCTCCATTTTGGCATTAGTGCCCTGTTACAGTGCGGCTTTGTCATCTGCCTGTGCCTCAGCATGTGCACCTTCCCAACACTGGCTGGCTGCTGCTCACAGCAGGCAGCTGCTGCCTTGCAGAAATCCCCAGCCTGCACTTTCAGATTCATTGCATTCATTCTTCTGCAGTGGTCTAGAAAGAAGAATGTTTCCCTGAAACATCAGAGGAGGCAGTGCTTTCTGAACACATTTAAACAGACTGCCTGAGCAGACTTTTTGTTCTTACCTGGGAAATTATTGTGTCAGGCAAAAGGAGTAATACTCCAAGAGCTGGTGCAAGGGCAAAGACTGAAGTAAACTCTAGGGTGTTTTTTTAAGTACACTTTTCTAGGATAAATTTTTGGTCTGCCTCTGTGCTACATGGTTGTTTGATCATTTGGTCCTTAGAGTTTGATGGGAACTGCTGAGTCACGGCCTGAACCTCTAATTGATCATCTGAGGCGAGCCATGAGTCAGCCACAGGAGCACAGCTGAAGGCAATTCACCTGTGCTGCTGGAAGGGGTGGAGCATGGCTCCACCCCTCCTAGACTTATTTAAGAGCTGGCTACCAGTGGGGAAGGATCTTGTCTGGAGATCCCCTCTTCTGATGTTTTTTGTAGGTGAGCCTGGCATGTGGGTAAGCCTTCCATTTATTCTCTCCTATTATCTTAGTCTGCTTTGCCTAACTCTCTTGTTCTTTTTGTGATTATAACATCTTGATATCTATTGATTATACAGAGTTGTTTAAAGTCATTGTTACTTTCAAAATGATAAGAGAGTTATATATTCTGACAAGGCTGGAGACTCTCTACCTTTCTTCATAGCAGTGTGTTTAGTGGTTTTGTTACTGTCGTATGGCAACGGTAGTCAGATATTTTTGTAAATGCTAGGGTCCCACTGGGAATGGTGATGCAGAAACAACTAAGAGGAGATGATCCATATCTTAAAACTTAAAGTTTTTAATATACTGTAATTTAGAATGCAGTAAGAGAGCTAGTTTAAAGTAAGAGAGAATGTGATAAGGAAGATGATTGAACTATAGCAATATATAATGGCACAGTGTTAAGTTGCCATACTTTTTGTTGCTTTTAGAAGAAAAGGTCTCCCCTGCAGTATGAGTAAGTACTACCAAAACTCCCTCAGGAAGCTGCTGTGCAGATGTACTCTGTACATCTATTCTTTCTTTTCAGTTTTATACAGTCATATCATGCATCTGCCCCGTGATACAAAAATATTTTTTAAGTATAACAGGGAAAAAACATATAAATTGTAGATGGTATTTTGGGCTGTAATGTAAAACCCAGTAGCTGGGGTGACTCAAGATCTGCTTGTATTTATTCTTACACTATGTCATTTTCTGTTTATCTACTGCTCCCATGAAAGTTTACAGACAAGAAGACTGTAAATGAAAAATAGCTCTTTTTCAGTGCTGACTGCTGAGAACTGTTCTTTTCTCATTATTTTATTTGAATGATTAGGTATTGAGAATACACTGTAATAACTAAAGATGTAATTGGAATTTTAAGAGGGAAGAAAACTACATAAATGTCATAACCGGTTGCCCAGAGCATAAGATATGTTTTATTTTCTAATATTTTCTATTGTGTCACAAGCAGATGCATACTTACAGAAACTAAGAGGAAAAGGATAAAAACATATTTTTAATATTTCACTCAATAACAGAAAATTGCGACTCAAATTAGAAAAATATAAATGACACAGCTCTATTAAGATCAGTGAATAGACCAAGATGGATTGCCTGTATCTACCCAGCCTACAGCAGGCAGACAGAAGAATGTCAATGCAGCATTTGTGTGGCCCATCTAACTTGTACACAACCATTACAGAGTGCTCATACTTGTTTAGTATTATGTGAATCCATGCACATCCTTGAACAAATGGGATCCTGTGTGCTCAAGAGAGTTCCTTTGGATATGACAAGGTCAAGAGGAGAAATCCTCAAGGGTGGCTTTAAAATTGCCTGCAAGACAAAAAACAAATATACTCTAGTTTTCCGCTGTAGTTTCATATCTATCTGCATGGTTCATGACATACAATTTATCTAGAAATAGAAATTCCCAACTGGAATAGTTTGGGGGTTTATTTTGGATTTAGAAGGTACTGTAATGGCATTGCCTCTTTGTTTATGCTTACTGGAAGATGAAGATGACAGACTGAGAAAATCTCTTGCATGCTGTGTTGCATAAGTAATAGTGATTTCTATCACTTTAACCACTTGTAACTATGTGTGAAAGAAAGCAGTGGGCAAGAGAACAACAATAATCAAACTGGAGGGTATGAAGTGTAACTCTTGCAATAAATTTTGTAAGAGTATTTTTTTTCCTGTGGAATCATTTTATTAATAGTAGGGGGAAAAAAAAGAACAAAATAAGGACATTTTAGGAAGAAGTACAGTAAGTACTTTCTGTTACACTGTCTAAAGCTTTCCTTCAGTTTAAAGTGGTATTCCAAGGAAAAAAAAACTTATTGAACTTAAGCTTTACTTATTGAACTTGTGCATTGATACTGATATCATAAGACTTCAGGAAAGTCCACATTCTGATTGAAACAGAACCTGAATTTTAATGTTTTAGAACTTGTTATAATAGCACCACCTTCCCCATAAACATGTTATATGCATCAGGAAAAAAAAAAAAGAGGAGTTTAGTTTGATGAATGTTTCACAGACCCAGGAGTCAGGGTGCTCACAGTTTGTTTACAGTCTGTCGGTGACTTGTGTGACCTTGTGTACACCCCGAGACGGGTACCTGAGTAGGCTGCTGTCTAAATCACCTTAACATGATTCATAGCTTGTAGTAAAATGGAGATACTTAGTTAGCTCACTTGTCTCCATTTTGGAATGAGATTTCTGCACTGTACTTCTTATCAGTAGGAACATAAATGACATTCTGTTGTTTGAATAATAAATATCAAAACTGCAGATTACAAGATACAGGTGAGTACTGAACACAATATTTATTTTTAATCTTCTGTCACAGAAAGCAGGAGGGTAAGGCTGACTTTTAATATTAAATGTGAATAGCACTGGCTGTTGAACGGATAATGTAATGGAATATAGAAATTCTGACTAGAAGGAATTGAAATTATTCTGAGTAATCAAACCAGTTGTAGAATATAGAAATAAAGGAAAATATAACCAGGATAGGGATAAGTCTTACGTGCTATGATGGTTTCTTTAATAACAGGCAACAACATTGTATTAATGTTTAATAAACTGCTCAGGCTCTGTCTTAAAAATTTTATGCTTTTATTTAAAAGTTTGCTCCCATTTTATTCCGTAGGTGGGTGTATGCCAGTGTTGTACCAGTGCTAATCTCAATTCTAAATTTTTTTTTATTTCATCTTGAGATTGGTAACTTAGTTGTGGCTAGCTGTGTTCCTTGGCCCCATGCAATTCTCTTTTATTCCTGTACTTTTCTCAGAAGTTTCTGGAGTGACCTCACTGTGGGCTAAGCTCTCTCTGTCTGAACAACAAGGGATCCAGTTAAATATTTGCAGATGTTTTTCAATCCAGCAGAAGTTGTGAGGAGGAAATTTTCACTTTACTGGAGGTGTAGTTATCTGTCTCTTAGTGGTGTTTGTCAATCATTTCTCTAAATCCAGAGATTTAGATCTGAAGAGAAAGCAGTTTGAGACGCAAGTTATTTATTTATTTTTTTTTTTTAAAGAATAATGCAGGTTTTAAGTAGCCTCAGTTGTTCCTTGACCTAATAACATTAGCAGTTTTTTAGGTGGAATTAAATACTTGAGAAGGAATAGGTCACGTTTAAAGCCAAGTTCTTCCTGAGAATAAAATGGAGGTGAATACAAACTGTGTCAGACTGTTGTCTTTTGATTGGCAGGTGTGAAGGTACATTTTCCTTGTTGCTCTGGAATTGTCTGAGGAAGAAATGGTTCTTTCAGTAATTTTGGGATGACAACAGAAATCTTTGATTTTAATAAGTCAGAAATTGGGGTGAGGGTAGACCTATCAATTCTCCTTTGCTGTGTAAGAAAAAATGATTGCATTTTGTTTGCTGAAAATTGATGTATTTTTAATTTAAAGATTTCAGTGACCATTTCTTTCGGATTTCAGTAAGTTTTGTGGATTGCATTACTGGTAAAGAGTTTGTGTTTTCTATGCTTCTGTGCTGTGGCTGTGGCAGCAATACTGAGCTGACAACTTCTCCAAAATAGTGAAAACATATAGCTATGTTAGTTTATTGTCTTAAAAGTCAGTTCCCATGGCAGCCTCTCCTTCTCTGAAGATGCCATAGGCTAGCAGACTCTTGTGTATCCAATGTTTGCAACAGCTGGATTTCCTCCTACTACCATGTAGCAGGAGAATCAGAAACAGCTGCAAATAAAAGCACTTTAGCTGCTTTCTATTACTAACCCCTGATTAATGAATAATTAATATGATTGTAGAAAACAAAGTAGGCCAAAAATAGATCTTTGTTTTAGTGACTCAATTCCTCAAGCTAAACCTTAAATATATTCATTTTGTAAAATTTCATAAAAAAAACAGCCATGTCCAAGAGAATTTTTGTACACAGTCCATCTACTTGTTGTATTTCAAATCTTAGTGTTTTATAAACATTTGTCGTAACAAAAAAAAAAGATAGATATTTAAGCAAGTTTGTCTTTTCCTAGGAGTAAAACAGATCTAAACTAAGGATTCTCTTCCTTAACGATGTCACACCTTTGAAGCAGAGAAGGCATGTTCAAGAGTCAAATACTAAATACAATCTCTTTTGTTTTTGAGTTTGTCATGAGTTATGTTAGTATTAATTTCTTTGCTTTAGTGAGTTTCATATAAGAAACGAAAAGACAGAAGGATCCTGGATTTTCTGTGGTTTACCTAGAATATATATCTTTACCCAGTTATGAGAGAAATAAATGTGTTAGTATGTGAAAAAGCCTGAAAAAAATTATGCAAAAAAATTGTAAATAAGTAAAAGTTGCAATAGATTATTAATGACTGTATTTCAGTTTTTGCCACTGCTTTTCAAGACAGAGAATTACTGGAGTAATAAAAATGAAGTTGACATACTGCAATACATTAACAGGTATGGATTTCTGTGATTAAATAAAATGAAAAGTTGAAGGGCTTTCATAATATGTTCTTTTTGGATTGTTACAAAATAAAGAATGAGCTATTAATTATAATTAAAGGATGATGTTATATTGCCAGAAACTAATATGAACTGCTGATTTATAACCCAAGAAGCCAATGTGCATAATTTATTAATATTTGTGATAATTAAGAAGGAGGATGGTTTTATGCATAGAATATTTTATATGGAATGAACTGCTAGTAGAGGTATATTTTTACCAAGCAGAATGATAGTAGTTGATGTGCATATGTTTTGATCCTTGCACTGTTTTGTTTTTTTTTTAACAGTATTTTTCAGTTTATCAGTCTGGGTTCTTACATTGTAAAATTATGATTTTTTTTCCTGGCTAAGTGTTTGGCTTTGAAAAATCTCATTTCCATTTTTCACTCTATTCAAGATCTTAATGAAACTAAATGAGATGCTAGACCATTCTGTACACCAGTAATCTCATCTGTAAGAAGATTTTCATGATCTTTTTTGCTAGAGATAGCTCAGCTGGAAGATGCAAAAGAGAATAGAATTAGCTGTATTATGTTTCTCCTTGATATTTCAAGTACAAGCATTGACAAAGGAAAGGTATTGATCTAACTAACAAGGACATGTAATGGCAAACTTCCATGCCTGTTTATATATTTAGCAGCATCTAATGTTAGCATCAAATTTCTGTCAAGATCTATATAACTGTAGCTGCACTGATTTCTCACTTGGTATGCAGAAAACTTGTGCCATAAATGTACACTTCTACGTTACTTCTGAACTCTTCAATTGAGTAAATTTAACCACTGTTTGTGTAGATAATTAGTTATTATGATGACAGAACCTTCTTTTGTTCCATTGTCTTCCTTTACTCAAAATGCTTGCAACTTATCTTGGTGCTAAATTCTTTACTTCCTTTATTCTATTACCATGGTTAGGGTACTGAGGGATTTGGTGTTATATGTTAAAAAGAAGATATGCAAGATATTTGGGTGCCTAACTGCTGTTGATTCATTTGGTGTTGGTTGCCTAAAAAACTTTTGGAACCTGGGCAGGAATGATTGCTTCATATTCCTGAGTTCTTTGCTGGTCAACTGGAAATAATTTAAAGGGGCTTTTTTTTTTTTTTTTCCTGGAGTGAATACCTAGCACTGTCTGCAAACTGTTTTTTTTCGAGGTTTCTTCATCTGTGGATGGAAAAGCACTTGGCACTTTTGAACACATTGGTTGACAATGCAATACTGAAACAGTCACCAATCCCCAATACTCTCTAGAATTTCAAAGATGTGTTCTAAATGAGGGCTGAGGAGTGCCTTAGTGCCTTAATAGTTAGCCTTGTGAAACTGAAAAAAAAAAGTGGAAAGTAAAAGGAAATGCATATCTGATTTGTACATGTGTTTTGTAGTACTAGTAATTTTGATCTATCTTTTAAGCATATTAAATTTCTGGGCTAGAGATTATCCATGTCTTGTTTGTATAGTAAGGAAGATTACTAAATGGGATCTTTATATAAAAATACAGCATGAAGATGTAAAAAAGTGTTTTTTGTTGTTCATTTTGAACAGAAGATCCCAAGACTTTTACATGTTACATACAACAGTAACTGCAACTGTTTTAGAGCAGCAGGGAGGCATTCCTGAAATGCTCTGTAAAATACTTAAATAATATCTGCACTCAGAATGTAAACATAGAAAGGAGGCAGCTTATAGAGAACCTGCAATTGTTAGCTTAGGAAGCTTATGCACATTATTTTTTCTATTCTTCAGCATGAAGACTTGTTATCACAGTACAATTCCCAATTCACATAATCTTATATTTACATTTATATTCCCAGACTACATATAGTCCAGAAGCTTACTATAATTGTGTAGGGTGACACTTCTTTTCATGGGTAGTAAAATGAAATGCATGTTACCTGCTGGTCTGCAGGCTGTAGCAGATCTGCTAACTGTGAGAAGCCACTGCCTATGGAATGATTAACACTGAGCTTCTTTCTTCGGTGAAAGTATGCCACGTGTGAATAACACTGCAGTCTCTTGCCATGTTACATCTAAACTTGTAATCCCACTATATCTTATCTAACAATATACTGCAAAACAGTTAATGAAATGGAGAGTATGATAATCAGGGTAGTTGTTGTGGAAGATGATGTTATATACTGGGATGAATCCAGTCATTTCGTTATTTCCTTTTTTCTCCCCAAGTCCAGAAGATTCTACTCATGGGTTTGTATTTCTACTTCTTGTATGGCTATATATATGTGCATGTGTATGATTTGTGTATATATTCAAACTGGGATTCATCTACTGAATCTTCAGAAATGTGGGAATAGCTCTTTTTTCCTTGATATATTAAGATTTTCCATCATGAGACATTTTTCTGCTCATCATTATAATGCCTGGCACTGCTCCTTTAATAAGTATTAGTAATTTTTAATTTACACTCAGAACATAGTCTCTGCTCTTCTTAAAACAGAATATTAATGTACTGATTTGGTTTTGCTTGAAATACCATACTATTTCAAGGTCTTTTTCTCAAAGAGGTCCAGTGCTGATGTGGCTAGTTGTGTGCAGATATAAAGACCTATGCAATTCAGACTGTTACCTTTTGAACAATGGCTGAAGTAGTGACAGTGAAAGTTCTGCATCTGTGTGGTTTGGCTGAAAGGTGTCTGCACTCAGCTACGAAGTTGGAAGAAGCTAGAGGAAAGATCTAGTAAAGTAGAACTAAAGAAAGTAGCGCAACTGAAATTGAAGCCTTATTTCATTCCCTATTCCACAGCTCCATGATAAATACCATCACCTTCACATTTTTGGAACAGCTTCTTACTATATGAGTGGTAAATAAGTTACCTAATTTAGGAAGTTGTAAAGCTCTACTGAGTAATGTCAAAGTGATGATGATTACTGCAGGTGTTGTGGTCAGCTCTTTAAATGCTCAGTATATCATCTTTCTTCCCTTGCTGTTCAGAGTAGATAAGAAAAAGATGTGACTGAAAACTGTAGGAGGACTGGTCACAGTTAATAGTGTCTGTGCAGACTGTTCCTCCTTGCTTCATGTATTCTATATTTGCATTAATACCCATATTTAATAGGCTGCTGTGAGGATTCTTCTGTGATGATACAATGAAGAACACTGAAAGGAACAGCTGCATTTACTGGCATGCTTGATTCTAAGAAATGATGAAATTTTTCATTACAAAGTGTGGTAAGACATTGCTTCTGAGACTAGCATTGACTTCCTTTGTGTGGGGCCCTAAACTTGCCCTACCGTCTGATAAGTTTGCATGTCATGTATGCTAGAAAGCAAATCTGTGTACAGGATATGCAAGTAGTTGACTTAGTTTACTAGTCCTGCAGATTAGGTAGGAAATAGTCAGATTATACTGCAGTAAGGAAAATAATCTGAAGTCTTGCCCAAGATCCTTATGTGTTCTAAGTACAAATCTTTGTAAGTATATTTATTCAATCTGAAGACATTAAACAAAGAAATATTGGGACAACAATCGTACACATAAAATCGCATTTCTGTTTCTCTTGCTGTTCTTCACTAGTGCAATTGTTGATGACTTCTTGGATGATGTTATATGCAGATGTGATTTAATATATTTCTGTAATGCATTGAAACACGTCCACTCATTTATCCACCGTTCTTCTTTCAATCTGCTGCTACACTGCTTTAGAAAGCCTGCATTGTCACTGCATTGGCTCTGCGTCGCCTTGGCAGGCCAGACTCTCGCCTGGGACGTGGGAAAGCAGTGCCTGGGGCCAGGCGCTCATGCAGCAGGGAGGCTGGGGCCGAGGCTGCGGAATCGGCGCTTCCCCGCAGCCCGTGGCCGACTTCAACTGTCCAGGGTCCTGAAGCCACCAGCGGGCCGGGCGCGCTTCTGCACACTGCGCCCGTCCTCGCACGACTCTGCTAGTGATGTGACTGACAAAGAAACATAGGTATCTCTGAAAGCCAACCCACAAATTTCCTGTTTAATATAGAGAAAAGTTATCGACCTGCTAAGGTAAAGCTTCATGTAGCTATCTAGTAATAAATCTTTAACAAATGGCAAGAGGCAAGAAAACAGTACTGCTACTGCTCTAAAATGAATTTGGTGGCTTGTTTTTATTAATCAAGCTTTCTATTTTTGTTAAATATCAGACTTTGATCTTATGAGGATTCTTTGCAGACATCATGGAAAAAAACTAAGGGCCAGATTGTAATTCTCCCATGACTGTGATTCAGGAGTAATTGTACTGAAGTCAAATTAAACTAATATGAAACAGATGTAAGTGGGTTCCATCAGAGATTCAGTACTATAGAGCTTGAGTTAATACTTGTTTTACATGACAGACCTTTCTGAACAAAATGCTACATTATATTATTACAGTAATAATGTGCATGGACTGTAATTTTAAAGATAGAATAAAAATGTGAGCTAACTATGCCACTTCAGTCCTTGCTAGCACAATAAAGGGACTGGCGTAACAGGTGTCTGAAAGCTCGAGTCTGACTAATGAAAAAATATTACCAGGAAAGAACTGAGGATGAAGTAGATAATTACAAAATGCAAAGCAGGCACCCTCACTTCAGTTCTGGCATTTAGGGGATGGATGCTTACAATGAGGCTGGGAATATGAATGGTGCATTAGGATGTGTGAGATAAGATCCATAGTGTATTCTGTTTAGTGTCACTGGCTAAAGGAATTCGTAGATTGTCTGTGGTAACTTAAACACGTCAGATCTGTGCAGATCCTGTTCTGGAAAAGGCTATTACAAAGCCTCAGATTCAGTGATTTTGTTAATAAATAAATACTTGCATTTCTATGGGTTCATCTCTGCATGAATGTAAATTAAGGCTTAATGATTTCTAAGAAACACCAAGTAGTAAAAGGCAATTGCAAGTTTGTTTTCCTTGCACAAGATGAGGTAATCCTGATTATTAGTTAACTTTTTAATTCCCAGACACACTAAATCTTCTGAAAACCATCAGAAGAAAATTATTCAGTTTACTCCGTAGAGAAGGCTTTATAAGTCTTCCTACACACAAGGCTTCCTAGGAAGTAAAAAAAAGCTATAAAATTTTTCTTCACTGGGTCTTGTCCAAATTCATACTACTGAAGACAGAACATAAAGAACAGAATGCCCTTCACTGGATTTATACTTTGGATTTCTTAGTCTTAGGGTAAAAAAGAGCAGTCTGTGGCAATAAACTAAACAAAGAACAATCTTCAAAATCAGAAATAGCACATTTCTAGCAAACATAAACTGAATAGTTACATGCACGTGTGCAAATTGTGAAGTGATGATGCAAAGACTGCAAAAGAATTCCACCTAACCATATTATATTCCTTCAGTATGTTCAAGAAATTTAACATAAAAGTTACAGATGATTTCAATCTACCACTGATGCATTTTCTACTTCCTACTTATTGCATTTACGAGGTATAAGATATATTTATTATTCTTTTCTGCTCTGGCCTTCTTTCAGTTACACCAGAACAGCTTTTAAGTCACTCATGCCATATTATTGAACAATAAAATGGAACTTAGCATTTTATTCTTCTGTCAGTGAGATTGTGTGTAATAAATAGCATCTTGTTGGTTGTGTTTTGATGGTCGCAAGTCGATCCCTACAAGATGCTGATCTCAGCTAACACCAACTCTGAGGATGTAAGATCTGAAGAATTTAGGCAGACTGATTTGCTAAATTACTGTTAAAAAGTCAAGACCTGAAAAATGTTATGCAAGTACTAAAGTAGATTGATTATGCTTTATTTTTTTTTTTCTTGGTGGTCTCCTATTTAAATATTAAACATTACTGAAGCCACTTGGCTTATAAAAGTTGACAGAGTAACAGCTTGAAATACTATAGCTTCAAGGCACCAGTTCTGCCTATCATGAGAATTCGACATCACTGAGGGGTGAAAGGCCTTTTATTTGCATAAGATAATAGTTACGTTTCTATGCAACAGCTGTGCTGTCAGTGAAAGATGCGCTCATTGTGCCAAATCCATCTCTGGAGTAACCCCATTGATTTTAAATGAGTTACTTTGGGAATAAATTGGCCAACTAGATAAAACTACAGGTCTCAGGTATTGAAATAATCGAGCAAGATTTCCATGATCATAACATGGTAAAAAATTGCAAAACAATTGTATGATATCATGTATTTCTGTACCTGACAGATCACAATCAATTTACAGCAAGATTTTTAAGCTGTATAGCTGGAGCCGAGACAAAAATTACTGTAAAGCTTACAGATAGTTTTGAGTGGGAATGTGGGAACATTGGGTGGTTACAAAGACAGGAATATAATATTGTTTCATTATTATGAACTCAGCGTTTTAATGATACCATAAGTCAAATATGATGTTTGTCTAAAGTCAGCTTAATAATGTAAGGTTCTTAAGGCCACATTAAAATTACTCTTTTTTAGACAGCAAAAGACAGCATCTGTTTATTTGCAAATGCTTGGTAATGAAATTGCCTGAAGATTTCATCTCTAGACTATAGGTTCATTTCGTGCTTATGTTAGCAAATATTAAATGCTGTTGGCCTTTCAGAAGCCAGTTTGAATTTGTTGAATTTAGGTGAGTTCTCAGTGGACGGGTGATTACAGCATAATAACTACCTCATCAGTTAACTGTTAGTAGTTATGGCAAAAAGATAAAAGTATTGCTTGGGTTAGAGTGACGGAGCTCCTAATCACAACTAAGTAATATTTGTCTATATGTAAGTTTTACCAGTAATATAAAAGGAAGTTATTAATAATAACCTGGAAACTAGAATACTGAAGAAATGTTATACACATGCATAGATTTTATGTATTCATGTGTGTATACATATATTATACATATGGAGAGAGAGAGAGCATTAGAAGTCCTTTAGAATAAGGTGTTCAAAAGTCTCCGAAGTCTTTCTAGTTTAGTAGAATAGCAAAAAGATTTTCAGTCATGACTCAAGCAATCATGCTGCACAATTAGCAAAGCCTACTCTCAATTTTTTCCATTCAGTTTGCAGAAGTAACGTCAACAGGAATCCCGAAGCCTCTTCAGAATGTATCGTAGGATACTTACAAAGGAAATACCTTGTTCTTTTGGTGTCATTGCAATCATCTCAAATTCAAATCTGACTGAGCAGGCT